TTCACTTCATCTTGCCCGCGTGCGCTGCTAGCTATATGATAATGTGACTTGCAGAGCAAGATATCGACTGACCAATGATATGTTATCCCATTTCACGATCACAGGTCTCGACATGCTGCCTTTTTTCACGCAAGAGTCAAATTGAACCATAGAGCTACACCATTCAACACATCATGATCAGTTGGCGGTCTAATGAACCATTTATTTCTTTCCTTTAGCCCCTATGACGGGTTCATCAGTTCCCGAACCGAAATATTAGGAAAACATACATTTTAAAGTTGATCTCAAGTTTATATTTCATTTTTTGTCTTCACCTCTTCTCCCCGCCGTGAGGGGAGAAATGAATAGATAAATAGATGAATAAAAAAAAGAAAGCTCAACAGTTTCCACTTATAGTCATATGGTACATGAACTGATTACTGAGGTGGAGTAAAGCCATAGAGGGCTGGAAATGCAACACCCCAGGTTCAAAATTGAATAAATCAGGATAGTCATTCTTAAAAATGAACTCAAATGCTTCATTAGAATTAATTGACACTTAATGACATTGATGTGCAAAATTTCAATAACGCTACTGATAATAATAATTTTCTTTTGGATTAACACGGTGACACAGCGAAATCATTCAAACTGCTCAAAAATGGTGCATCACTTCTAAAGACTTTAACACGAACGATAACATCAACAATAGCATGCTAGTTCATCATCAATTGTAGTAAATTTCTTTTCCAAAAAGTCTTAATGGTTACGTACCAATCGATTCCATCCTATTGAGCTTCCAGTCAAGCACCAGCCCACTTTGGGCTGGAAATGATTTTCTTCAACTCGATCAATAAACCGCTATAGGGACCATACTTCGACTGCTATTTCTTATGTCTAGCAAGTAAAAAGACGCTGATTGATATCAGCGGGCCCCTAATGTGACATGTATACTGGTCAGCGGTTTTTTTGGAGAAACAGCTGTCACTAACATAACAATGTGGATGTCCGCCATAACAACAATGCACTGCAGGAGTTTTTTTAAACGATTGCATAAGAGGCTTATTACATTTAGGACTAAATGTTATTACATTTAGGACTTTATTACATTTAGGACCAAATGTTATTACATTTAGGACTTTATTACATTTAGGACCAAATGTTATTACATTTAGGACTTTATTACATTTAGGACAGTTATTACATTTAGGACTTCAACAGCTCCATAGGGTTTTTGCTCAATGTTGCGTAATTTTTACAAAAAATTTTATGTTTTCGCTTTTCTAGTTCACTAAAAGCCATCAAAAGGCGATGAGCAAGGTTCGAAATATCGTTTACTGTAGTAAATATTAACAAAATGATTTTCATTCTTAAGTTAAGGTTCTACGAAGGGAGGCTCTCGTCAGAGATAATTAATTTGGATTTGCCCTTAATTTTCTTAAGTTTACTTCAATGAAATCTCTCAAAATGTTCACAATTTGTGAAATTTGTCCTGCCGATCATTTTTGAAAGCCAAAAAGATAGGGGTTGCAGAGGCAGTTTCCTCGCCATTTACAATTTTGTGTTTTGTTCCTCTATCTCAAATTTGGTCCTATGAATTTTTTGTCAACTGGAACTAAGAAGGGCACTAAGTTTAACGGTCCAGCAATTTTTTTAGGAAATTCCACCAAGTGAAACGCGATAAATCTAGCTCGAAAGAAACCTATTTTCTTTGTCGCAAAACATTACGCAATGGAATAGAACTTCGCCAAGATCGATGTCTGAGCATGCGTAAACTTTAGACTCTGTCGCCTCTTGGCAATCTTTCACACGGTGTTTTCTTTTCGGTTGACCTCTTTTTCAGCCGTAGAAGGCCAATGAATATTACGCGTGCAATTGCTGGAAACACTAGATTCCATCACATGAAAACTGTATTGTGTTAAACTGTTTTTAACACACCTCTTCAGATAACAATCGTGCGATCGTATCGAGCCGCCGTGTTTGTTTTGCATATTGTTACTTTAAAGCTCGCTATGTTCGCACCCAGATTTCGAGCGATCAGAAAATCCTATGGAGCCTATGAAATGATCATTTACCCATGAAAAGCTAAGGCGTTGCTATAATAATTTTGTAAGATAAAAGAATGGTTGTGAAACTGCCAAAATGACCAGATATTTCTTTGATACCAGTGCTCTACCATCAACAGTAGCATAACAGAAGTAAGGCTTCATCAAAACAACAGTGCTTTAAGTTGCTGCATGTTACCTTAATCTGTCAGATCAACGAAGTACAAATTGTTTTTCTGTCATGCAGTTTCTCTTACTTTTTTATTCTAATTGTTTTGAGTTGCGAATATTCGGGTTTAGATGTTGAATGCTGTCCAGAGTTACAAGGTGAGATGGAGAGTTCGCAAAAACAAAATAACAAACCTTGTGAATGGCATCCTTCTTTTTTTCTTCCTGACAATTCTTCATTTCCAGATTCTTTTTTTATATGCTTGATACTGTCCTACAACAAAATAAGTGAACTTTTATAAGAACTGGTATATACCTCTCTGTAGCTGTAGATAAATACTGTTACAACAAAACAAAACACGTCGAACATGGTAAATAAGTACATTCTGAGACGACTTGACAAAACCCTTGATCACTACATCGAGTTGAATCATTTCGACATGTTAGCGTTGGAGAAAACTGTAAAATTCGTTGTAAAATTCAAACATTTCATATTTAAGAACTAAAGCCAGATTTCAATTTTAATTTAAGCCGTGAGAAGCGGATACTTTGTGATTTAATTGTTGTTATCTTTCACAGATTTACTGTTGATATCGATTTTGTTGCCTTAGATCCAGTTATCAAAATTATAAGTGTTAAATTAAAAATGTATTGCACGAAAATTTTAGTCTAAATTTAAGACAACCAAGAGCCGTTTGTGGCCTCTGTAGTATATATGGGGAAAGAGCCTCTGATGCTTAGAAAAAAGGCTCTTGGTCTAGTGGCTCTTAAGATCACTCTTCAGCCGTGCAGTGCGGGGTTGGAAATATGAAAAATATTCCGTTTAAAACAAGCTTAATTTTAAAACGCCATAAGCATGATTAGCTATTTATGGGATCAAATAAGACAGACAAGAGGCAGACTAGTACGAACATGATCAATGTTGTAGCAATAAAATTAAAATTTCTCGTCCGCCCTAAACGTCATGTGATTCAATAACAACTGTCATGGCGGTTGCTCCTTGAGGATTTGTCTTATTTCTGCTGCATTTAACCTGCTCTTCCCTTAGATGTGAACTCTTAGACTTGATTTTCAAGGGCGGCAAAGAGAAACAAGACCGCAATATTTCTAACAAAAATATATATCATTTACGTAGGCTACTCACCCTGGGAAAGTTCAAAATGACAAAGTGACGGCCATCAATTTTTGACGTCGAATTTGTACAAGTGATTAACAGCCTCGAAGAAACAAAGACTGGCGACACAAAATATCCAAACTAATAGGGAACAGCAAGTTTCATTGCTCCAGAGTCGCTGGAGAAGACGTCGAAGTTTCTTGTAGTTCGTAAGCTCCCTCCACGTGCAAGACCTGAGCTAAACTATGAATATTAATTTTGAAAATGATTTGTAAGTCAAATGAGTTTTCCAACTTTGAAAGTCAGACAACAGAAAATTCAAAAAGCTTTTGATCATTTCCATTCAATTATTGCGAAACGGAATATGATGATGAGCTGATAGAAATACTTACTAGTCCTCACAACAACACGAAAAAACAAAATTTCAACTGAGAGCATTTTCAGTTACTATAATCAGCTATATCAAGGGGCCTGTTGTCCCAACCTTTTTTTCGTTTTTCTTGCCATTTCAAAGGTTGTACTATTCTTCAATCTTCACCCGTATCGAAGTTAAACGTTGAAGAAGAAGGGAAAACTGTGTTATGCAATATTCCAACCAGATAAAAAAAGGTATATACTTCCCATAAAAATTATCCGTCAGACCTCACCAATTGTTAAAATACACTCGTGGAAAGAAGTTGCCCCACCCTTCTTTCTCCGACTTTGTTCGCAAGAAACCTTCCTGTTTAAGTCGGACCATTCCTTGACGACATACAAAAACGAAAATCATAACAAAATCAATGCACTGGAACAATACCCCTGAAATTATATGCACCAAATCCAGTCATAAACTAAATTCACACCCTTGGTAAGTTTTTGTTGATTTCTTCACTATCTCTGGCTGAGTAAAAAGAGCAGCATCACCAGATCGCTAAAGTTCTTGTATTTACGGCATAAAAGCCTTCTGCCCAAAGTGTTCAATAACATGTTCCAACATGCTGGTAACATTCGTGGCTACAACACAAGATATGCAGCCAAATTACATTATCTTTTCAAGCCTAAAGTGTGAACTAATGGGGGAAAACAATAAATCTCTTCATGGCAATCACTATTTGAATGATTTTCCACTCTCTTTCAAAGACTTAAGTGTAATTTCATTTCCGAAGCAAGTCAAACGTTAACTACTGTTAGAATAAGAAGAAAGTTTGACATCTGATCAGAGCCCTACTTGCATTATTTCCTGCATTTTTCAACTCAAATTTAAATCAGAGTCTTTGTATTTATTCTTTTTCCAACTCCTTTATAGGCGGTTGGGAACCCTGGGACTATATTTTGTCAAAAAATTTTCATTTTTTCCTGGAAGGGACAGCGGGAATTAAATTGCTCTTCAGTCCCTCACTTCTCTCTCCCGCCCTAATCTCTTGTTTCCTACTCCCCCTCCCCTCCCCTTCCAAAACACTCAGTTGATTGATGATATTTAAATTTTCCATTCATCTTCCGCCTTTCACTTCGGTAAAATATCCGCATCTCGCCTTTGCCTCCTCCGTTTCCCGTTACTTCCCTAACTCTCGAAGTTTGGTACAGCCCCTCTCACTAAGCTGGCTGAGATGGCCTGGGTACCCCAAAATTAGTTACTTCCGCTATCGTTTTCCTACTCTGGTGATTGTCGTGATCCACGCTCACAAACTTAGGAAGTAGGTCTAATTTTTTCTAGAATGGAAGATCTGCCACCAATCTCTGTCATTGAAAATGATACTTTTTGTGTTGAAATGATGAAACGGCTCAACATACAACGAAAACAAGGTCACCTATGCGATTTAACTTTGGTGACAAAAGATGACGAAGAACTGAAGGCTCATAGCAATGTTCTATCCGCTGCAAGCCCGTTCTTTAACAAGCTTCTTCTCAGCGACATGAAGGAGAAGCGCGAAGGAATTGTTCGGTTTGAGGAGATTTCAGGATCTGTTATGGAAGATGTTTTGGAATTTGTCTACTCTGGAACTGTGGGAGTAACTCAGGAGAATGCCGAGGAATTAATCGCCGCAGGGAATTATCTGATCATACCAAGCTTGAAAACTGTTTCAGGGCGATTTCTAGAAGGAGAAATGTCTGATAAAAATTGCATCTCGACCTTTTATTTCGCTGAGAAATATCAATGTAACGAGCTTCTAACCAATAGCAGAGGATTCATCTACGAAAACTTTGCTTGTGTAGCAGAAATGGATGAATTTTTGAGCTTGGAAGCTAAAGAGGTGGAGCGGTGGATATCAAGTGACGAGATTGTTGTTAAAGCAGAGCTGGATGTTTTTAAGATCGTCCAAAAGTGGGTTGAACACAGCAAAAGGGAGCGAAAAGCAGCATTTGAGGAATTGTTTCGTCACGTTCGACTGGTTTACTTATCGCGTGACTATTTGTTGAGTGTCGTGACGAGTGAACTAGTGCGTGACAATGGAGTATGTCTGAAGCTGATCTCAGATGCCATACAACTCACCACATTTTCAAATGAACACGATCTACCCCAGTCCCCGAGAAAGGGTCTTGAAACACGTGCTATTGTTGCTTGTGGAGGTAAATATACATTTTGTTACATTCCTGAGGAAGATGAGTGGAAACGTTTACCTGATGGGTCGTCAGAGAGGAATGAGCAAACCCAGATGATAAGATTCCACGATCAGTTATATGTATTTTCTCCCTCTCATCCAACAGAGAGATATGACCCTGTTTACAACGGTTGGTCTACGTTGGATTTTCTATCAACTCCTGCTACAGTAGTTGTCATGAAAGGAGAAATCTATGCTCTTGATATTAACACATTAACGAAAAAATCAACAATCGAAAGATACAATGTTGATATGTGCTCCTGGCAAACAGTTCTTACATCAAATAAGGCGTGCAGAAAAGAATCTTGTGTTGTTGCTGCTGGCCATTATCTGTATTTTTTTGGTGGCAGGCCACCAAGGTCCTCAAAATATGTCACAACAGCAGAGAGATTTGACACCATGGTAAATGAGTGGGAGGAAATTGCTGACATGCAGCATGAAAGGGGGGTGCTTTTGGAGTGGCCACTGAAGAAAAGATTTTTGTTGGAGGTGGGTCACAGGTCAGACTATTGTTTGAATTCATGTGAGGTGTACAATGTATCAACAAATGAGTGGCAGATGATTGGAAACTTGAATGTATGCCGCAAATATGGTACTATGATGTGTCTGAAGGGAAAAATATATGTGCTAGGTGGCTTTACTAGTTCATGGAGAAATGAATTGAAAGTTGAATGCTATGACCCCACCAAGGATAACTGGATTATAAAGGCAACCATACCCGTGAAGGAAATCTGCAGAGACGATACAGATACATTTAGTGGCTGTGTACTGAAGTTCTCCAAAGGAGTACTGGACAAACTTAAAATTGTTGAACACTGATCAAAATGTATATGGTTGTCCTAGATAAACAGATTGATGAAGAGTACTGCCTGAAATAGAGGTTCCTCCAAACCCCAGATCAGATCTAAATATTCAAAAAGGGTGTTTAAAAACAAGTGCAAATCAACAAACATTTTCCCCTTTACTCTGAAAAATTACTCCTTATGCATGTAAGAAAGTAGCCATATATTTAAAGGAACACATTAAACATTTTTCTTAGGAACAGAACAGAGAAAAGTTAGCTTAGAGGGCTTGAGCCCTGTCTGGTTATAGTTTCACAGTTAGATTATACTCTGTCAACTGAGCTACATAAAATTTGTTGGTGACTCAGTTCACTTACTAAGGTCATATGTGACAAAATGTCCTGTTTGTTGCTTGTATCAGGTAATGTGTACAATGAAAGCAAAGGTAGATGAAGCAAAAGCTAATGCAACCTTTCAGATATGAGTGAATATATCTTTTGCATTGAAATATTACACCATAGTTAACCAATCTCAGCATATTTGAGCCCAATTGTTATAACAATTTTGCCTACTTCAGAAATTTTTCTTGGGGTGGGGAGGAAGGGGGATGAATCAACCAAGAACTCTTTAGGGAACTGGACCATTTACTGGGTTCATGAGTGGCACATATCCTGTATAATGATAGAATCACAAGAGTGTAAAGTTTATTTTTATCTTGTTCATGTTAGCATTTAAGAAGCTTTTAATTATAAAAGGTCTGTTAAACCCTTTAACTCCCATGAGTGACCAAGACAGAATTTCTCCTTACAATATCAATGAAATATCAACCAAGTAAGAGACAAGAATAAAGAAAAAGATCAATTTGGGGATAATTACTTGATCCACTTCGAAATTCTCTGAACTAACATTATAAGAACTGTATGGTTGACAGTAAGGAGAATTGCAAATTTGATCTGGGACTTAAAGGGTTAAGCAAAAACCACATCTGATGAGATTCTCATCTTGGATTAAATACACTGCTTTTTTTTAATCAAGCAAAACCTAAAATTTGTATAAAGAAAACTCCTGACAATTAGGCTTGAGTGAAATCTGTGTCAGAACAACTCTCTAGTAATTAATAATTGCTAGATTAACAATCAACATTTTTTAAACTACAAGTTACCAGTTTTAGTGTTCAAATTTCTCTTTCAACTTGAATTCTAGAAGTTTTCAGATGTTTGGAGATTAGTGATGCCAATGCAAAAGTTTCCAAGTAACTGACCACTTAAGAAAACAAACAAACAAAAAAATAATAAAATCAAATCAAATAAATAGTTTTAGGACAGAAAAATATGCATAAATTTATCAAGGATGTTGTATCGCCAGAGAAGGAAACAGGCTGAGTATTGCTTTCTTGGCATTGCATACCATTCTACAGAGTCAAAGGGTTGGCTTAAAAAAAATTACTCTTAATGCATGTAAGAAAAATGTATTTAATTTAACAAGGACATTAAACTTTTGTCCCAAGAACAGAACAGAGAAAAGTCAATTGTGAGGGCTTGACTCCAAGTGGTATTTTTCTTAGTTTCATTGTACTCCAATGACTGAGCTACATGAAAGTTGTTGGTGACCCAGGTCACTTACTCAATTCTTACATAATAAAGAAATATGTCCTGTTTTCTGCTTGGATAAGATAATATGTACATTGAAAGCTCTCTCCACAAGCACTCCCCTAAAAAATGTGTTATATAAAACAGAAGCTTTTACAGGGTTTCAATTTTACAATTGCATAGATATTTTATACTGAAATACTTTAGGTCCAAATAAACAGCTTCCCCATGTTATAACCAATCCCTTAGCATGTATGGGCCTTTGGGAGTGGTCATTACTTATTACCTGGGGGGGGGGGTTGAAGGATTTTGGTTGTGTCATGAGAAAATCTAACTGAACCTCCATAAGGCTCTGTTAAATATTCTTGATCCCCCCTCAATGGCAGTCAATTTTCTAGAGTCCCCATGGGTATACACTACTGACGAAAATTCATCCCCCCTCTATACTCTTTGAGAACCATGTGATCCCCTAGATCGCTGAGCTACATACATGTTGTTGATGACCCAGGCCACTTAATTTCGTATCACCAAAGAAATGTCCTGGGTAAGGCTTGGATTAAATAATAGGTACAGAAGAAGCTCATCCCACAAACGCTCCCCTCTGACACACTGCTCTATACATACTCATGTTTATTACCAAATTAGTTTGCCTAATACCCATACCTAAACCCTGTATTAAATCCATTCACTCTTAAGAGCGACCAAGAAGTAATTTCTCTTTACATAATTAATAAATTAACAATTCGGGAAGGTCTGGAAAGGAGCTATTGGGCTTACTTCCGCATTCGAAGTTTCGCTCTGTTGTCAAATCTTCATAATTAAAGCCGTTCTTTTGAGTATGGAAGATCTGCTTCCTATCACTGAAACTGAACAAGCTTCATTCTGTGTTGAACTTACGAAGCGGCTCAACATGCAGAGGAAACAAGGGCATTTATGCGACTTAACTTTGGTGACGAAAGAAGGTAAAGAGTTGATGGCTCACAGTAACGTGCTTTCTGCCGTAAGTCTGTTCTTTCACAAGCTTCTTCAGAGCGATATGAAGGAAAGCCATGAAAGAATTGTTCGGCTTGAGGAGATTTCAGGATCCGTTATGGAGGATGTTTTGGATTTTATCTACACAGGAACTGTAGAGGTGACAGAGGAAAATGCCGAGGAACTCGTCGCTGCAGCAAATTATCTACTAATATCAAGCTTGAAAGCTATTTCCGGTCGATTTCTAGGGCAGTTGATGAACCACTCAAACTGTATTTCAACCTTTTACCTGGCTGAAAAATATCATTGCGACGAACTTTTCACCGAAAGCAAGAATTTCATCCAAGAAAATTTCGCTTCTGTGGCTTTCATGGATGAATTTCTAAGTTTGGAATCGAATGAAGTCGAAAGGTGGCTTTCAAGCGATGAGATCACGGTGAAAGTGGAAGCTGATGTGTTTGAAATCATTGTAAAGTGGATTAAACGCAACAGAAGTGAGCGGATTGCAGATTTGGAGAAATTGTTTCGTGTCGTTCGGCTGCATTTCCTATCGCGTGACTACTTAATTGATGTCGTGACAAACGAACTTGTACAAGAAAGGCCTGTTTGTTTAAAGATGGGTTTGGATGCATTGAAGAAGACAACTTTCTCGATCGAAGGTGACCAACAACAATCACCGAGAAAAGGGGTCGAAACAAGTGCCATTGTAGCCTGTGGAGGAAAATATACTTTTTGTTACTTTCCTGAGAAGGACCAGTGGAAACGTTTAGCCGACAGCTCGTCGAACAAATACGGAGATTTTAAGGTGATAAGATCTCGCGGGCAAATGTATACATTTCCGAGTTATTATGACGATCCAGAGAGTTTTAATCCAGTTTTAAACAGCTGGTCCACATCAGACTTGTTTGCAATTTATGTTCCGGTGGTTGCCATTAGAGGAGAAATCTACGCAGTCGAGGTTCAGACCTCTCTAGAAAAAACCATAGTGAAAAAATACAATGTGGAATCGTGTATTTGGGAGACACTTCTCTCGTGTCTTGAAGGCTGTAGAAAGGAAGCTTGTCTTGTTGCAACCGGCAGCCATCTCTATGTGCTTGGTGGAAGTCCTCCCTTATCGTCACAAAACGTCGCGAAAGCTGAGAGATTTGACACTGTGGAAAACAAATGGGAGAAAATCGCTGACATGCGAGAAGAAAGAGGCAATGCTTTTGGAGTGGCCATACATGAGAAAATCTTTGTCGCTGGTGGATCGCACAGAGAGAAAAAGTCAGTGTTGCAAACTTGTGAGGTATATGATATCTCAACAAATGAATGGTCTCTTACCGGCAGCTTGATTATTTCTCGTAAGGGCGGAAGTATGGTTTGTCTAAACGAAAAATTGTTCGTGTTGGGTGGAAAGAATGACCGTGATGAGGCTGAACGGATGATTGAATTCTTTGATCCTGAGGAGTGCAAATGGACCCGGAAGACAACCATACCAGTCGAAAAGATTTCTAGAGGGAATAAAGACACATTTACAGGCTGCGTACTGAAGCTTCCTAAGGGAGTACTAGACAAAATTCAAGTTATTGGGTAGAAGTCTCTCATACAATTTTTCGGCAGTTAGTATTCTAAAGAGCTTAAGTGTGACTTTAACAGGAAAAGACAAGTAGAGGTTTTAGTTTCCTTTTATATTTCTTTCAGGATTACAGTGGGTGAAAAACATTTGCCATTTGCTATTTACCCCAGCCGATAACTCTCTTTCAAAATATTGCATGACAGGGTATATTAACAACATCGCATAATTAAAGAAATTTTCAATGAAATGTTGAAAGAAATCCGGCATTGCCTTGGATTTACTTATTATTTGTTCTGTAATTGGTCCAGAAAACTCACAAATACTCTCAATCAATCAGAAGCAAAACTAAAAACAATTGTAACTTGGTTATTTGCTTCAAGCCTGGCTTCAAGCAGTCTGCTCATTTGTAATTTGAATCCTCATTGGCTTATGATGATGTAAACCTCTGTTCGGATTGCTTGCTGGGATGACTTAATTTTGGTTGTTCAACAAAAATCTGCTCTGAAAACTGCTCTAAGCTGTAAGGCTTAATTAGTTTTTTAAAATTTATTTTGAATATTGATTGCTTACTTGGATAACATGCTACCAGCCATGTATGACACAAGGGCATTGGGGCTTGTCAAAAACAGAAAAACTGCCCAAAATGGTAATCAAAGTAAGATGCCAGAATAACAATTGTTCCAAACCAGAAAACCACCTTAAACCCTTTGCACTTTATTATTAGTATTCATATTCTTCATACTGTTCTCTTTACATTTCCTTTGGTAATGACTAGGAGAATTTGTTTTGCAATCAAGAGGTTCTTAAATTGGTGATTATTTCCTTTATTCTAATGAACTTTATATTTGATTCAAGGAATGCAAGGGCGAGCTGTGCTTAGTTGTGACAAGTTGCATGACTTGCTATGTGATATCTAACCACACGAGTTTCTGTTATATTGTTGATTCAGCCAATGAAATGCTTTTACGTATGATTGCACAACCGTGTGCTGGAGTTCCCAAAACGTTGTAGAACGTCGCTCGACTGCATGTAGTTGTTTTTTACAATAAATCTCCGTTTAATACCCAGGTGCTGTTTCTTACATTAGTGAAAATAAATACAACACAATAACTTGTATATGTCTAGACTCCTCGTCTTCTTAAGCTTGTAAACAACGATTTACATATGAGGATTTATCTGGTAATGATGTGAAGTTATTGCTTCTCACAGGATAGCTCAAAATCCTTAGCTATAAACCAAACTTGGGTAAAAATGGCAAAGAAAAACTACCAATGATGCCCAAGCAATGCACATGGCATGGGGAACTGCACCCTATTTTGTCAGTGGCACTTTAGATCGCAAGTAAATTCAAAGAATTGTATAAGGAAGGTACAGTATGGAGAAATTGGAAGCCAGTCACACTTAGGGATTAAAGGATTAAGAATTGTGTTGTACACTAAAATTTGGAAATGAGGAAAATATAAACAATCCATTAACAAAAAAACAACAAAACGCTGTTTTTATTTTTAAACACAATAATCTGAATTTAAAAGTGGAAACAAAGAAAATCTTACCAAAAAAACTGTTTTCCCCTGTGTTTTGTAACACGTAACCCTTTAACTCCCAGATCAAATTTGTAATTCTCCTTACTGTCAACCATACAATTTTTATAGTGCTAGTTCAGAGAATTTAGTATTGGATCAACTAATTAAACCCCAAATTGATATTTTTCTTTATTCTCATCACTTGTCTGCTTGATATTGTATTGATATTGTAAGGAGAAATTCTGTCCTGGTCACTCATGGGATTTAAAGGGTTAAAAGAGAGAGTTGAATCATTTGAATACACTTCCATTATGCACTATCAAAATGGCAATCTACAAATTACTAGTAAGCTTAGAAAAAAGAAACAACTTAATGAACAAGCTGCAATATTTTGGCTTTCAAAATGAATCTTATTGTACACAAGTATGGATTAGTTTTAAGTATTACAATCAACTTTAGGAAACTTGAATACAATGAACCACACAACGCAATAGACTCAGCTGAATCTCAGTATATGGCAACACTTGTACCCAAGTCACACCTGTGTTTATGTATTAAAAAGGCAGTTACAATGAAGGGTCTTGCATTTGGCCTGTACATGTATATTTTGATGTGTTTTTCTTGTTCTCTTCAGAGCTGGTAGAAGTTTTGGAAGACCTATGCCTGTATCTTTTTATGTAATACTTTGTTTTTGAAAATATGCTGATGGGATATTTTTCAAACTCATGCAGTCTTATTTCCCTCTGTTCCTCAAAAATTTCCCTACAGCCTTGAGACCATCATTTCTTGTCACAGCTTATTAATCTACTCATCCCTAGATTTCCCCAGCTTAGGGATATCTTTTCCATTTCCTGTTCAAAGAGATGAGGATACTCGAAGTTTTGTGCATGGGAGACACCTCACCAGTCTAATGAAGTGTGTAGAGTGAATGCTTGTATTGTTACTGCTAACAGTCATCTGTATATGTTTGGTGGGATAAATCCACATTTAGATTAAACTCTATCAGCTGAGCTACATAAAATTTGTTGGTGAACCAGTCCACTTACTTAAAGTTCCTGCATGAAAAATGTCCTGTTTACCACTTGTATCATGTAATTGAAGTACAATGAAAGCTCTCTCCACAAACACTCCCCTAAAAAATGTGGCAGATGATGCAAAAGCTAATACAGGCTGTCAAATATAAGTGAATGTGTAGTGTTGTTATTCAGACACAAAGGGACTCTCTCTTTCATTGCCAAAGGCTAACTGAACTTTATTAGCAAACACGTTACACGTTTAAAAGTAGAAGAGTTTACTGACTTATAGTAATTTTACAGCATGTAGGTATTTCCAATACAGTAGGATTACTGTGAGTGGTACATTTAGTGAATTAAGTACAAAGTGCTCACCTTAGAACCCACACTAAGCTTGTTGTCAATTAATTACAAGATAGGTGCGTGTGTAATTAATACACTACAGAATGCATCTTTTGTACTCAAACATTACACTATAGTATAACCAATCTCAGCATATTCGAGTCCTATTGTCATACCAATTTTGACTACTTCAGAAATTTTGCTTGGGGTGGGGAGGAGGGGGGTGAATTGACTGAGAATTCTTTAAGGAAGTGGGCCATCTACTGGGTTCACGAGTGACAGGTATCTTGTATAATGATAGAATCACCAGAGTGTAAAATTTATTTTTATCTCCTTCATGTCACCATAAGAAGCTTGAATTCAAAAAGGCTTTTTTAAGCGAAAACCACATTGTCTTGGTCACTCATGAGAGTTAAAGGGTCAGTCTTCTTTATTTGCGAACAACAACAACACTCGAATAAAGACTCCTACCTAAAAGGCACGTGTTTATATTACCTTCAGGAGGAATTGCGAAACCCCCCCTCCAGGACCTAAATGTCGCGCAATAACTCAAGAACTTAATTGTCACGCAAGTGTGCAAATATGAAATGGCATAATAGGCCTCATTGACAACATCACACTATCAAATTGGTAGGCTTAGTTTACTTCCCTTAACATCGGTTTCATGCCTGAAAAAGACACCACCAACCTTCTATTACGCTAGTGTCAGATAAGAAATGTATCTTTCGAATACTTTCGGTATGAGCAACCTAAAATTACACCAATTTTTTTGTAGTGCATAGTCCTTGATTTCTACCAAGCTCCTTTGGAATTGATCAAACATCAAGAAATTTAGGCCAACGAAACAGTTTTCCTCTAATTTCGGGTTAACTACCACCTTAATTAAGCCCTATAACAATGGCAATCCAAAACTTACTAAAACACTGAGGAAATAGTAACCTCTAGATGAACCAGCCTTAACAATTTTCGGCTTCCTAAACGGATCTTATTGTACACTGGTATTATTTAGTTACCGGATTGTTTTACTTCTTAAAATAACATATTGTCACAGTTGAGAAAAGATATGGAAACTTTTGAATACACCGACACCAACAACGCAAAAATACTCAGTCGAATCTCTATTTATAGCTATTCTGGTACCCGAGTCACGACAGTGTGAACGTAAACGCCGAAAAGGATGTTTGCAAAGGGCTAGTACTTGTTCGGCAGAACTTCTCATTCTCTTCAGAGCCAGAGTTTTTGGCCAACATATTTTGCGATTTTCCCTTGTGCCCACCTCACTATCGAATATGGTTTATCCTATAAACTCTCGAGCAAGAGATTATAACCAGTTAATAATTTCTTGCCCTTAAGTAATTGATATACCCTTATCTTTTTACACATAACTTTTGTACAAATATGCCGTAAGGATAATGTTTCAAATTCATCTAGTCTCCTTACCTCTTTCCCTCAAAATTCTTGCCACTGGTAGTGAAGAGACCATAATTTCCTATAATAGCTTATCGAGCCCTTCTTTCCCAGAACTACCCGACTCCGGAACTGAGGAAACTAGGAACCAGCTGTACTTCTGGTTTCGATATCTGATCGTGTGATCCTCAATATCAGCAAGATTTCAGCAGATTCTTTACAAGGAAATAAGGACATTCTGTAAACGATGGAAGATATACAGCCTATCTCAGCTGCTGAACAAGCGTCATTCTGTGTGGAACTGATGAAGCGCCTCAACATTCAGCGAAAACAAGATTATTTATGCGACATTACTTTGGTTTCGAAAGATAACATAGAGTTAAAGGCTCACAGAAATGTTCTTTCCGCCGCAAGTCCGTTCTTTTACAAGCTTCTTCAGAGCGACATGAAAGAAAATCGAGAAGGGATTATTCGGCTTGAGGAGATTTCAGGATCCGCTATGGAAGATGTTTTGGAATTCATCTACACTGGAACTGTGGAGGTGACTCAAGAGAATGCCGAGGAATTGATCGCCGCAGGGAATTATCTGATCATACCAGGCTTGAAAACAGCTTCAGGGCGTTTTTTAGAAGGAGAAATGTCCGACAAAAATTGTATTTCAACGTTTTATTTCGCCGAGAAATACGATTGTGACGAACTTATCACAAACAGCAGACGTTTTATTCATAAAAACATCGTTTCCGTGGCAAAACTGGATGAATTTTTGCACTTGGAAGCTGAAAAGATCGCGAAGTGGATTTCGTCCGACGAAATTACAGTCAGTGAGGAAGCTGATGTTTTTAAAATCATATTAGACTGGGTAAACCACAGAAAGAGTGAGCGAAAAACAGCATTTGAAGAATTGTTTGGTCACGTTCGACTGGGTTTTTTGTCGCGTGACTGTCTGGAGGATGTCGTGACAAACGAACTGCTGCGCGAGAATTCGGCTTGTGTGAAGCTGGTCTTGGATGCAACCGTACAGATGGCTACCTTTGTTGATGAAGACGATTTTCTACAGTCACCAAGAGGATGTCTTGATACACGTGTCATTGTTGCTCGTGGTGGCAAGCACACTTTTTGTTATATTCCTGAAGAAGACCTGTGGAAGCGCCTACCAGATGGTCTGAAGGACATTGACGCCAAGTTAACTCAGATGATAAAATTTCGTGACCAGTTGTTCACATTCACCAATGATCAAAATTCAGAAAGATATGATCCTGTTTTTAACGTTTGGTCTGAACTGAACTTGAGCACTGATTCTGCAAAGTTGGCCGTTCTTAAAGGAGAAATTTATGCTGTTGAATTTGACACCAAAAACTGGACAACTGCCACGAAGAGGTACAACGTAAAGCAGTATGAATGGGCGACACTTGACTCTTATCATAGAGAGTGTAGACAGGGTGCTTGTGTTATTGCAGCTGGAAGCCATTTGTATGCATTTGGTGGGAAGAATTTACGCTTTAGCAACAATGGCACAGCTGAGAGATTTGACACTGTGGAAAATGAGTGGGAGAGAATCGCAGATATGCTGGAAGAAAGAAGCAACGCTTTTGGTGTGGCCTCTCAAGAAAAAATCTTCGTTGCTGGAGGATATGGCTCTAGAGGAATATTAGAAACTTGTGAGATGTACAATACGTTAACAAACGAATGGCAACTTGTTGCAAACTTGAATTTCCCACGCTTTTATGGCAGTATGGTTTGTCTGAACGGAAAGCTGTACGTACTGGGTGGAAAAAGTCGTTACATCCGAAGTGTTGAATGTTTTGACCCTGCAAATGACAAATGGATCCAGGAAACAACCATACCAGTGAAAAACATCGACCCAGAAAATAACGACACATTCAGCGGCTGTGTTCTGAAGCTTTCTAAAGAATTACTAGACAAACTTATGATTGTTGAGCAGTAGTCTCTCCGACTCTTAACAGGTTTAGAATTAGTCATGTTGTTCACAGCAGACAGCAGACACAGCCCTCCGTTTTATATTGCCTTAATTTAGAAGCTCACTTAAGGAAAGGCTGGGTTTAATCAAAGGTTCCCTCTCATTAGTTACTGTTTGCTTTAAACCCAATTCTTTAAACTCTCTCATTAAAGATAGCATGCTTAGTCATGTTTCAGCACAGGAATTGTAAGTCGTTAAGCACTTTTCATACTGAATGCTTCCCAAGTCCAAACCATAGCATTGCTTGAGTGGACATAGGAGTGTACCAGGATCTGAGAGAGTAGAGTTATACCATTTCATGAGTCAACTTTGAGCCCGAGTGAAGTTTGAGTCACAATTTTTGTTTGAAACTGAATACTGACTCGCCAGGTTTAATGTATATTCTCTCCACCTCATACAATTGAATTATAATTGTGGAGCCATGCTTAGGAGGCAATTGAGGAAGGTATCAAGGGCTCATGTGATAAAGATGTTTTTATCCAAAAAGCCACCCCAGTCAGAAGTTTTAAGAATGAACTTGGTGTATTTCCCCTCCTCCCTCTGTAGCCTGGGCCAATCTATATCCCGAGCATTGTGTGGATTTTTCAAGGGGGGTTCCCACTGTGACAAACAGAGGGTATTCACCAGATTGTCATGTGGACCTCCACGCTGTGTTTCACTCAATATGACAAAGAAAAAACCTACAAAGGAAGGGGGGTTACAGGTACCCCAGGACTCCCCTGGCTATGCCTTTGCAATTAGAAGAGGGGTCATCAAATTGGCTGTTTTATTAAAATGTTGGATGGAAAACTATATTTTCCACCTCCTAAACACCACCTTTAAAATTACCATGAAGTAAACCGAAGTTGATAAATGAGGAAATTAAAGAAGCAATTGACAAAAAAAAGAAAACTCTGATTTTAGTCTTAAAAGCAAAAATCCAAATATAAAAAAAGGAAATAATGGAAATCCTATTGGATACCTATAATGAAAAATACATGATTTCTATGGCAAAAATATAATAAAACTGGTCTAAAAAGTGACTGAAAGTCAAATTGACAGTGACACTGACTTTGCAAAACGAAATAATATTTTGAACTTCTCACAAAAGAAACAGACACTGAACAGACATTAAGTAGGAATAAGATATCTATGGAAACAAGAAAAGAACTGGTCTAGAAGTCAAATTGTATTGTGAGTAATAATTTTCTATATTGAATTTTTTAAATATTTCATTTAATTTGTAATATGTTATTGATTGAGGGGGCCACAAGTTTATTAGTTGTTTCATTATGAGGTGTTACCCTCTATAAATTATATTTTTGTACATATCTCACAATTAGCAAATTAGCAGATATCTTAAGATGGACACCCAGTTAGAATTTGACATTTTTTGCTTGAAATGATGGTGGATTTTTTATCTTTAAATGTTGTTCTTTTGTTTGCTGCTCTGTTTTTATATGATTAAATTTTTGATGCGAAAGTGAAATTTTATTGAAATTCCTGGGAGGGAAGATAAATGTTCATAACTCAATATTTCTACCAAATTTGAACTAGGTTCCTCCTGTCATCCTAGTAATTGTACGCTGTGCCCTTTTGCCCATGTTTCTTGCCAATCAGGGACCAATAATTAATTATCACTGGGGCCAACAGAGGGATTTTGGAGATTAACCTTTGATTCCCATGATCTGATTGTCAATTCTCCCCTCTTGCTGCAACACATTTCCTTGTAAATTAGTTACAAGGATATGTTGTTAAATTAAGACAGCGACTTCTACCTGATAAGTTTGAGTATTCTCATTACATTTTGCTGGATAATGTTTGGATATTGTAGGGAGAAGTTACATGTTAATCATGTCTGGGAGTTCAAGGGTCAAATGATGTTGAAGGAGAACAGAGAGACAATCAGAAAATTGACTGCCAACTACCTGACAGTGAGAGGGAATCAGAACAGTATTATTTAAACTAATATTTTATCATGGTTTTATGGTTCATTTTCACTTGGTTCATTTCATGCACGTTTGAAAAATTAAATTCCTATATCAATTTACACATAACATCGCGCAAACATACCAAGAAGATATTTCCTCCAGAAATTCTAGCTTCCGACCTCCCCTGTTTCCGTCAAGATTCTGCACACATTCTACTCGTCCCCAGAGTCCCCCAGGCAACTCGGGAAAGAAGCGGAGCGGCCATATGAGAAAGTGGGAACTAGCTTAACTTCCGCTTTCGATACTTTTCCTGAGTAATCCACATTATCAACAGCGTTTGACCAGAATCTGCCCACAGAAATAAGGAAACTCTATAAAAGATGGAAGATTTATTGCCCATCTCAGTTGCTGAACAAACAGCTTTCTGTGTTGAACTGTTAAAGCGCCTTAACGTTCAGCGAAAACAAGATTTTTTGTGCGACATTTCTTTGACGACAAACGACGACAGAGAGTTAAAGGCTCACAGATATGTTCTTTCCGCCGCAAGTCCATTTTTTTGCAAGCTTCTTCAGAGCGACATGAAAGAGAGTCGAGAAGGGATTATTCGATTTGAGGAAATTTCAGGATCTGTTCTGGAAGATGTTCTGGAATTCATCTACACTGGGACTGTGGTGGTAACTCAGGAGAATGCTAAAGAACTGATCGTAGCAGGGAATTATTTGATCATACCAAGCTTGAAAACTGTTTCGGGGCGATTTCTAGAGGCAGAAATGTCCGACTCCAACTGCATTTCAACGTTTTACTTCGCTGAGAAATACGACTGTGTCGAGCTTATCGGCAACAGCAGGAAATTCATTCACGAAAATTTCGTCTGCGTAGGAGAAAAGGATGAGTTTTTCAGCTTGGAGGCTAAGGAGGTGACGAGGTGGATTTCAAGCGGCAAGATTGCTGTGGGAGCGGAAGTAGATGTTTTTAAGATCATAGTTCAGTGGGTTGAACACAAGAAGAGCGAGCGAAAAGCCTACTTTGAGGAATTGTTTGGTCACGTTCGCCTGGATTTCCTATCGCGTGATTGTTTGCAGGATGTCGTGACAAACGAACTTGTCCGTGACAGTGCTGTTTGTTTGCGGCTGACCGTGGATGCTATTGTAAAGATGGCTACTTTTGCAAGTGAAGATGATCTCCCGCAAACACCAAGAAAAGGTCTGGAAACACGTGTTATTTCAGCATGTGGTGGCAAGTTCACTTTTTGTTTTCTCCCTGAAAAAAACCAGTGGAAGCGGCTGCCAGATGGGTCAACTGAGAGATCTCAGAAAACTCAAATGCTAACATTTCGTGATCAGCTGTATACCTTTAAGAAGTTCAGCAAGGCAGAGAAGTATGATCCTGTGTTTAATGGCTGGTCAAAGTCGGATCTGATTGACGTATCAGCAGATAGCGCCATTGTGACCGTTGTCAAAGGGGATATGTACGCCATTGAAGTTAACAAACCCGTTGGAAAGTCTACCATCAAGAGATACGATGTGGAGCTTTGTACATGGAAAACAGTACTGGAATCTCCCCAAGGTTGTAGAAACGGTTCCTGTGTTATTGCAGGTGGCAGTTATCTGTATCTTTTGGGTGGATCAGTCCCTGGCAGTGCTAGTTATGTCTCTAAAGCTGAGAGATTCAACACTGCAGAAAGCCAATGGGAGGAAATCGCTGACATGCAACAAGGAAGAGGTGGTGCCTTTGGAGTGGCAAGTGAAGAAAAGATTTTTGTTGCTGGAGGCTTAAACGAAAAGTATAAGGTGTCAAAAAAATGCGAGATGTACAATGTTTCTACAAACGAATGGCAGTTCATTGGAAGCTTAAACACTTGGCGTGTGTATGGCAGCATGGTGTGTCTGAGTGGAACATTCTATGTACTGGGTGGCACCAAGAATAATAGGGATAGTTTGCTGTCAGTTGAATGTTACGACTCTACAGAAGACAAGTGGATTGAGAAGGCATCCATACCAGTGGAAAGGTACTCAACTAAAAATAAGGACACATTCACTGGATGTGTAATGAAGCTCTCTAAAGGAGTACTTGCAAAAATCTGACTCCATCAAGGAAGAGCCCATCGGCTTTGCATTTGGCGAGGCCAGCCACCACGTCAACTGTCTTCGGCGCCTCCCAAACCTTCACCTCAACCGCCACCACTGGCTTCTCCTGGAGTCTCCACCCTTTGCTTCGGCTCTGGAGTCTCCACCTTTGGCCCGGCTCCTGTTCTTGTATATGAGTTATCTGATGATGACGACTGACTGACTAAGTTAGCTTCTATACAATCCCCTTTGATTTACTTCAAGGAGACAGTTAAAAGTTTTTCTTGCGAGTGTTCAAAGTTAAGAAATGTTCAAACTGTTTCGTAGTCAGTGGACAAGGGACAAAACAATAAGACATCTTACACGTCATGGTCATGTGATATCCCGTGCGTGATTTCACTACAGTTATTCGACAGTAAAACATACTCTTGCATGTTTAAATACCATTTTTGAACTGTTACGGTTAAAAAAAATATTGTCTTGTATAAGTAGCACACAGATTTACTAATAACAAGATTCTTCAATAAATGGAAAGGAGCATGCGCAAAGTTAAGATAGCCGCAACAAGTTTAATTTCATTGTTGCTCGTAGTTATAATTGTCTTCCTTTTTGTTCCATATCACCATGAAACTTCAGATTCCAATGAACTTTTATACTTTTTATAGTTTGGAGACTCGGCAGTGTCTTTTTCGATCTTTAAGTCCTCATTTAACGCAAGAGATTTCTTTAAAAAAACAATCAGATTTCTGTAAATCATTTATGTTGTATAGACAAGACATTCATTTGAAGGACGACGGGTATTTTCGTTTTATAACGAGTAAATGCTAGAGACATGATAACTGTTTACGATTAATTAATAAGCCTTAGTTGATTGTTGTGTTATAAGACAGTAATTAGTGAGTAAGCTGTTCCACAATGAAAATAAAGTGCGTGACCTTCAAGGGTAGTGCGTGGTGCAGTTGTCGAAGCAGTCTCTTATTGTCACCCATATCCCCTTATGCGGACCCACCCTACCTTTGACAAAAAAAATATTTTCACAGTTTATCCTCTCTGACTTGCCATCATCTTGGTTTGATTTTAATTGCTTTGCGTGACATCCTGAGAACCAAAAGCGAAGGGGAATGGGTCTGCTAGTTTTTTTTCAACCAAAAATTTTATGCACAGGTTGCAGTATAAGAACTCATTCGATCAAAACCACCCACGGATTAGATCATTCCTTCCTAAATTATAATGTTATTTTTTCGCGGGTAGTTGAATAAGGGAATAAACAAACTAACATTTGTCTTTGAATAAGAAGAAAGGAATCCATGGTTCGTTGTCAGGCTAAACAAACCACCGTCCAGACCAAACGGGAAAACAATCCAGCCGCATCGCTAAGCGCGGGAAAACTCAGGACGGAGAATCTCGTTGGTGGCTCCTGATTGGTTAGAGTGACCCGAATCTATACTCTGATTCGCTAAAGGACAGTATATGGTTTTTGATACCATTAAGAAAGATCGGAACAAACAAAACCAAATAGGCACGACATTACTTTCGAGACAGAACACGATTTATATATGAGGGTGAGAGGTTAGAGGTTATTTTCCGAGAGACTGGATCAGCAGTTTGTTGATGTCCTCCAGTTAATTGTTCAGAAACATTTTGCTTCAGAGACCGATCGTCGCTCTCCATGCTTTTTGTAGCAATAACTGAGTAAAGTCAAGGAAATGTCGCAGTAGAGGTCATTTAAGTCAAAAAGTCACCTATTTCTCAAATTTCGAGGTATCCCTAAGAGTAAAACATTTTAGTATTTACGTTAAATATATGCACTTTACCAAAAACTTCCTTTCGGTTGGTTTCAGACTGACTTCCATCATATGGCCCCACACTTGAGCTTATCCATAGGTGTTAAAGTTTAAAGATTACAGTGTGAATTTTGTAGCACCTGACAAGTTCACCCTCTAAAATATTTTGTTTTCGTTTTATTTGGATAAAAAAAGATACACTCCTTCATGATGACTGATGTTGCCATTTTTCTTTGTAAGTTTCCGAAAAAAACGTTCAAAGAGGAAGCTGATCTATTTAAAATCACATTTAACTGGGTCAACCAGGGAAAGAGCGAGTGAAAAGCAGGATCTGCCAAATTGTTTGATAACGTTCGAATAAGTTTTCAGTCGCGTGACTGTTTGGAGGATGTCGTGACAAACGAAATTGTTCGTGACAGCACTGTTTGTTAGAGGCTAATTGAAGATACTATTGTAAAGATGGCTACTTTCGTCAATGAAGATGGTCTACCGCAGTCACCTAGAAAGGGATATGATACACGTGTTATTGTTCAGTGCTCGTGGTGGCGGGAAGTACACCCTTAACTATCTCCCTGAGGAAGACCAAATGGAGGAGTTTAGCTGACGGTTTGAAATAAGTGGTCGATAACACAGTAATGGTAAAATGCGGCGATCAGTTATTCTCTTTCACATATAATCAAGATACATAGATATTAGAGTTTTTTAATCGCTGGTTTGGAACAAACTTTCGCTTAGATTCTGGCAAGGTAGCTGTGGTAAATAGATACATTTATGTTATTGAATTTGGATACGATTCGATGGAAACTACTGTGAAAAGATGCGATGCAAAGGCGTGCGCATAGGAGACACTTCACTTATTTGATGAGGTGTGTAGAGGAAAAGCTTGTAATGTTGTTGCTGGTAGCTATATGTATATCCATCGCTAGGGCTGAGAGATTTGACACTACATTGGCATGTGGAAAATTTAAACAAATGTGAGGAAATCACAGACATGCTGGATGGAAGAAACGATGCTTTTGGAGAAGCTACTCAAGAGTAATCTATGTCGCCGGAGGATTACGCAATGGGGAAAAATTGGAAACTTGTGAGATGTATGATGCGACAGCGAATGAGTGACAACTTATTACAAGGCTAAATGTTCCACATTATCATGGTTGTATGGTTTGTTTGAATGGAAAGCTGTTCGTACTGTGTGGAAGGAATGAGAGAAACTAAAGTAAACTGGATGTTGAATGTTTTGACAGTGCTAAGGACAGCTGGATCCTTACAGCAAAAATACCAGCAACAAATGATATAAACCCGTCGTTTGGCTGTATTCTTAGACTCACCAGAAAACCACCCCCCCCCCTCTCTCTCTCTCTCTCCCCCTCTCCCTCTCTCTCCCTCTCCCTCCCTCAAGATTCTTCCCACAGCCCTTTCCCTAGGTCTCCGTTGGGTTGTTTTGTCTGATCGTCCCCAAAGTCTTCCAGGAGACTCGGAAAAAGAAAATCGAGCGGGCGTAAGGGAAACTGGGAACCAGCTTTACTTCCGCTTTCGATTTCGCTTCGATTTTTTTCTTGAGTAAACAACAATACCGGAAAAGTTAGAGCAGAAACTGCCATCAGAAACAAGGAAATTCTGTAAAATATGGAAGACATACAGCCTATCTCAGCCGCTGAACAGGAGCCTTTCTGTGTGGAACTGATGAAGCGCCTCAACATTCAGCGAAAACGAGATTATTTGTGCGACATTACTTTAGTGACGAACGACGACATAGAGTTAAAAGCTCATAGAAATGTTCTTTCCGCCGTAAGTCCGTTCTTTTGCAAGCTTCTTGAGAGCGACATGAAGGAGAATCGAGAAGGAATTATTCGATTTGAAGAGATCTCGGGATGTGTTATGGAAGATGTTTTGGAATTCATCTACACTGGAACTGTGGAAGTGACTCAGGAGAATGCTAAGGAACTGATCGCCGCAGGAAACTATCTGATGATACCGAGCTTGAAAACTGTTTCAGGGCGATTTCTGGAGGCCGAAATGACCGAATCCAACTGCATTTCAACGTTTTACTTCGCTGAGAAATACGACTGTGTCGAACTTATCCGTGACAGCAGGGAATTCATCCATGAAAATTTTGCATTCGTAGGAGAAATGGATGAGTTTTTAAGCTTGGAAGCCAAGGAGGTGGCGGTGTGGATTTCAAGCGACGAGATTGCTGTGGAGGCGGAAGCCGACGTCTTCGAAATTATACTTAAATGGGTTGAACACAGCAAGAGCGAGCGAAAAGCAGCATTTGAGGAATTGTTTCGTCACGTTAGACTGAGTTTTCTGTCGCGTGACTGTTTGGAGGATGTCGTGACAAACGAACTGGTGCGTGAGAATTTCGCTTGTGTGAAGCTGGTCATGGATGCTACTGTAAAGATGGCTACTTTTGCGAGTGAAGAAGATCTCCCACGGTCACCAAGGAAAGGTCTGGAAACGCGTGTTATTTTAGCATGTGGTGGCGAGTTCACTTTTTGTTATCTCCCTGAAGAAGACCATTGGAAGCGGCTGCCAGACGGGTCAACCGAGAGAAACCAGAAAACACAAATGCTAACATTTCGTGATCAGCTGTACACATTTAAGGATTTCAGCAAGGCAGAGAAGTATGATCCCGTGTTCGATGGCTGGTCAAAGTCGGATCTGAGAGACGTATCAGCAGATAGCGCCATTGTGACTGTTGTCAAAGGGGATATGTACGCCATTGAAGTTAACAAGCCTGTTGGAAAGTCTACTATCAAGAGATATGATGTGGAGCGTTGCACATGGCAAACAGTTGTGGAATCTTCCCAAGGTTGTAGGAACGGTTCCTGTGTTATCGCAGGTGGTAGCTATCTGTATGTTTTGGGTGGATCGGCCCCTGGCAATGCTGGTTATGTCACCAAAGCTGAGAGATTCAGCACTGGGGTAAACCAATGGGAGGAGATCGCGGACATGCGGCAAGGAAGATTTGGTGCCTTCGGCGAGGCTACTGAAGGAAAGATTTTTGTTGCTGGAGGCTTGAAACAGGATGGGAAAGTGTCAAAAAGATGCGAGATGTACAACGTATCCACAAACGAATGGCAGTACATCGGAAGCTTGAACCATTTTCGTGTTTATGGTAGCATGGTGTGCCTGAAGGGAACACTGTACGTATTGGGTGGCACGAAAAACGCCAGAGATAGTTTGTTGGCAGTCGAAAGCTACGACTTGACAAAAGACGAGTGGATTAAGAAGACAACCATACCAGTGGAAAGATTCTCTAAAGATAATAAGGACACATTCACTTCCTGTGTAGTTAAGCTCTCCAAAGGAGTAATTGACAAGGCTAACACTGTACTTGGCTTTGGCTTTTGCCCTTTCGGTACTTGGCAGTCCCAAACAGCTGGGGGCCTTTTTGGAAGTACGCAGTCCCAAACAGGATTTAGCACTGGGGGTCTTTTTGGTGCTCGGCAGTCCCCCTTTTCGTTCTCTTCATCCAATTAAAGTTCGCGACTGTATTTGAGTAGGCAGAGGATGCGTAAGTTAAGTTTGCTATAACATGAAATTCCTTTCACTTGATGTCTAGGGGAACTCTAAATTTCAGTTGCTTTGGCGAGTCAGATCTCCACAGTATTTACTCTATAGATTAGAGAGAAAATAGGCAAGGGCCAATTTTAATTCCAGCCATACAGAGGGGCATTCATCACGTCTCGGTGTTAAGATGCCCCATGGGTGATTTTACAACTGTTATCGAAAGGGAAAACGTAATCTAACATGTAGATTTTTAATAATACCACATCGTCACTGCCCTTAAAATACAATCGTGTTAAGTAGAACACAGATTAACGCTTTAACCCCTAAGAGTGACTGGCATCTAATTTCTTCTTGCAAGAACACCCTGTATAAAACATTTAGGTCATGAGAATAAGGGAAATGATCAGCAACTAAAGAAGTTCTTGATTGTTAAACACATTCTCCTTTTCAGAACCTTAAGAAAGTATGGAGAAAGTATGGAGAATATGCATACTGATTCTGGGGTGTAAAGGGTTAATAACAAATCAAACAATAACTTAAGGCTTCCACAAAATTAAGGGCGCATGCGCAAAGGTACTATCACAGTTGAATATCAGTTGACAATTGCCCATAGTTACAAATTTCTTCCTTATTAATATTTAGATACCAAGGAGCTTTTAGTAATATTTTCGGTCAATTGAAACCTGGCAATGTCTTACAGGAACTTTAAATCTTGATAGACTGAAGACTGTGCAAAGTGTGACAACAATCAGCTTTTTCATAAACGATTTATGTTCGTTAGACAAAAGAGAGATCCATAAGAACGCGTATTTTTGTTTCACAATGATTACAAACAAGAAGCGTGACAAGTGTCTATTTTTTTAAAATCCTTCACAGATTGTCGAGTGAATACACTATAATTTGAGAGTAAGTGGTGAAAATAAAGTCTGTGACATTTCAAGGTGGTGTGTTTTGTTGTTGACGGATTCCCACCTCAAACAAAAAAAAATCTTTACACAATTAATTGGCTTTGACTTGCCTCAATGATTTCAGCAATAATCTTGAATTGATTTGGCAGTTTAGTAACATGTCTGGTAAAACCACCTATGTCGGCCAAACATAAGGGGTTTTGTTTATCAGAATCCTCATGTATGTGCAGCCTCCTTATCAACTATTTTTGGGAATTCACGCCATTCTCTCACCTTGGAACTTAGAGAGTTGCGTTGCGTGACATCCTGAGGACCAGAAGCAAAGTCGTGTGGTCCGCTAGCTTTTTTTAATTCGAAAAATACATGTACAGGTTTGCAAGAGCTCATTCAATCGAAACCACCTCTAGATTAGACCAGTCCTTAACTACTTGTATAGTAGTCTTTAAAACAGATTTACGCTGGTAAGTTGAATAATGGAATAAATAAACTAACACTTGTCTGTGAATAAAGAGAAAGGAATCCTTTGGCTCGTTGTAAAGCTAAACAAACCACTGACTAGACCAAACGAATTAAGTGTACTTCTCACGGCAAAAGTGTAACCCGCACCGCAGAGCGCGGGAAAGCAGAGGTCGGAGAACCGCTTGGTTGCTCCTGATTGGTTAGAGTGACCCGAATCTGTACTCTGATTCGCTAAAAGAAATAGCACTATTAAGAAAGATCAGAAAAAGCAAAACCAATGTAAACACATCATTACTTTCGAGACAATTAGGTAATGTAAGAACTCGAAACTATAGCAGGGAAAATACATGTACTTTATATTTCTCCTCACCTGTTCAACTTTCTCCAGATCCATTTGAAGGCGGGTGTGCTCTAGAAAAAAAATTAAAATAAAAACACGAGAAACAAACTATAACTAAAACCAAAGACTACCACGTTACAGGTCATATTTAAGCCTATAAATTAAGGAAGTTTCCCTGTGAGGATTTGACTTATTTCTACTGCGTGTAACTCGCTCTTCCTTAAACTGTGAACTCTTGAATTTGATTTTCAAGGGCGACAAACAGATACAAGACTACGATATTTCTTAGAAAAATGTATTTATACGTCTGTTACTCACATTGAGAAAGTTTAAAATGACAAATTGACGGCCATCAATCCTTGACGTCGAACGTGAAGAAGTGAACAACATCCTCGAAGAACACACTGACAGAATAGTGTCGCAAGCAATATCCAAGCTAATAGGGTTGAAATAACATGTTTCCTGGCCTAGGAGTCGTCGAGGAAGACTCGTAGTTCGTAAGCTCTTTCCACGTGCAAGAACTGAGCTAATAAATGAATGTTAATTTTAAAAAAAGATTTGTCATTCAAATGAGATTTCCGACATGATTGAAAACAATTTTTGGTCACTTCTGTTCAATTACTGCAAAACGGAACGGGATGACCAGCTGGTGCAAATACCTACTAGTATTCATAAGAACTCAGAAATATATTACGAAGAGCATTTTCAATAATTTTTCATCAGCTTTAATGAACATAGGCATGCATAGCATGCAAGAGTTAATTTTTTTGGCCAGGTGGGTTGAGGTGGGACAGTTTGTAAACTTAATGTTTTCATTTTTCTCACCGAAAAGAGAAGAAATTTTAAAAACGATAAAAATCGCAGAAAAAAGACGGAAAAATACCTAATTCCTCTGCTGTCCAAATACCTCTAAGTAAAATGAAATGCATCTGTGCCACAACGCCTTCTATTTCCCGTTTTGGAGAGAGCGCGTTGTGTGACGAGACCAAATAACGGTTGCGAAAAAGACTACGCTTCCTGCCGTTCCTCCAACAGAGAGAGAATATAAAAATTATTCGTCTACAACTTTTAACCACAAATTTTTCTACGAAAAGGAAATTAAAACTCTGTTGTTCCTCTGATGGACCCCAACGAAAGATTTATATATTGCGATCTCGAATAAGTGAAGATACATTGAACGAGCTAAGAGGATAATATTTGAAGGAGGGCTTTCGATTGATGGAATACGCCTCAAATAAAACTTAGTAGGCTGTTCGTAAAGATTTTTCTCGCCCGATCTCTTCTCGGAACGGATATCTGTGCGGTTTTTTTGAATGAAGGCTGTTTTTATATAAATAATTCCAATTACAGTATCAGAGGGCCTAAAACTTCAGTTTTGCTTTTATTGTCATCTCACACTTTTGGCTGAGTTTTCGTTCTCAAAGAGTTGCATTCAGAGGTAAGAGAACTGAGAGACGATGCTCTTGTAGAGTTAAGTATGCGCATTTTTAAGGATATGCCCGGGCATTTGATTGAGCAGAAATGTTCAGTAATGATTCAATAGTTAACAGTTCTGAGTTTCACATTCTCCTCTTGTATAAGTTTTGGATACCCTCTTTGAATGTCTAGCTTTAATCCGGGGTTTATACGTTTAGAGGGAACTCACACAGTTCTTTTTTTGACCAAAGCACTTTGTGCGTTTAGAAGAGTTTTCAATTTTCATCAATTTCAAGTTTGTACAGTATTCTTTTGGAGAACTTCAGTTCACAGCCAGCAAATGTATGTTTATTGCTTCTGTTGGTTTTCTCTATGGATATGGTTGCTTTTATAATCCATTCATCCTCTGTAGGGTCTTAGCATTCAACTGTTAACTCATTTCCGTCCCCTTGAGTGACCTAAGCTACCCATGCAGTACATAAACTTTCCCTTCAGACACATCACACTCGCATATTTGCGGCATAAATACTGCCACTCATTTGTTAAGATATTTTACATCTCACATGATCTCCACACCCATTTATTTAACATGGCGGTCCTCCAACTGCATTTCAACGTTTACTTCGCCGAGAAATACGATTGTGACGAGTTTATGAACAACAACTGGAGATTCGTCCTCGAGAACTTCCGTTTCGTGGCAGCACTGGATGAATTCCTTAATTTGGAAGCCAAAGAAGTGGAGAAATGGCTTTCAAGAGATGATATTTCCGTTGAAACGGAAGCCGATGTTTTTAAGATCGTACTTGAGTGGATTGAACACAGCAAGAGCGAGCGAAAAGCATTGTTCGAACAGTTGTTTCGCTACGTTAGACTGGTTTTGATGTCGTGTGACTACTTGATAGATTTCGTGACAAATGAACTTCTGCAAGAGAGCTTCGCTTGATTAATGTTGACCTCTGCGAGTTTAAAAATGTCTAGTTTCTCAAGTGAAGAAGGTGTACTCTAAACGCCGAGAAAAGGAGTCGAACTACACGGCATTGTAGCGTGTGGGGGTGATAAAAGTTTCTGTTATTTTCCCGAAAAGGACTAGTGGAAACGACTACCAGATCAGGGGGAGGTCGACAGGCCACACCCAAATGACAAAACACTGCACTAAGTCGTCTAGATTTGTAAGAGTTAGCAGCGTAGAGAGGTATGATCCAGTTTTTAATGTCTGGTTTGAGTTGGAATTGCGTGAAAACTTTTCAAGGTGGCTATAGTTAGAGGAGAAATATATTCACTTTAACTTAACACTTCTTAGCAACAAACCACTGTCAAAATATACAATGTAGAGCGGTGCGCATGGGAGACACTTTTTTCAACCAGTAAAGTTTGTAGAAAGCAAAACTGTGTTGTTTCTGCCGGCAGTTGTCTTTATGTTTTTGGTGGAAAGCCGCCAGAAACTAGAGAATATGTTGCGAAAGCCGAGAGATATGACACTGTAGTTAAGAAATAGGAGGAAATTGTGGACATGCTCGAAGAAAGAGGCGACGCTTTTGGTGAAGCCACTAAAGACAAAATCGTTGTCGCTGGAGAAAGCATAGGGATGAAAACTCAGTGTTGCAAACTTGTGAGAGTTACAATATCTCATCAAGTAAACGGCAACCCACTAGAAGCTTAATTGTTTCTCGCATGCGTAGTACGTAGCATGGTGTATCTGAACGGGAAGCTTTACGTGTTCGGTGGAGAACGAGAGGAAGACCATCGTGAACTGAAGCTTGAATGGTCTAACTCTGAGGAGGACAAATGGATCCGTAAAACAACCATACCTGGCAGCTTTAGCAGGTATGACGGAGAGCCGGTTTTTAATGGCTGTTTACTTAAACTCTCCCAAAGGAGTAATGGACAAACTAAAAGTAGTAAAATAATTCTATATGTCATTCTTGAATCTACATTTAGTCTCTGATGTGTTCTGATACCTGCATTGCATACCTCAAGGGTATCTGCTGTATATGAGGATTAATTCATAATTTCAATTCAACATGCAAATTAGCTAATCCTTAAAACAGAAACATTTTCAGTTTGAAAATTTTTTTAGCATTCTTAACTGTATGTCATCTGCAATTCCAATGTTTGTTGTAAAATTTAAATTTTCTCTTAACAAACATGTCATGAAGTTATGACAGAAGTTTTGCTCCCCAAAATGCTATATTATATGATATTACTGTTATTAATATATAATTATTATTATTATATGAAATTCAATGGAAGCACAGAGGAGCAGTAGAAGTAATAGAGAAGGAACTGGGAACAGCAAAACAAAAAAACACTGACAGTAATGTTGACAAAAACATAGTTAAATGAAAATAAGCAAGTCTAGGTGTTTTAACTGTTGGATTAGTGTTAGATTCTTCATTATACAAGGCCTCTTTTATTGCAATTTGAAAAATTGAGGTGGCAGATTCATTAAATTATTGTAATTAGAAACCCTTTACACCTTAACATCAGTATGCATATTCTCCATACTGTTCCCTATACATTTCCTCACATGCTGACAAGGAGAATTTGTTGAACGATCAAGAGCTTATAATCTTTAGTCAGTGATCATTTCCTTTATTCTCATGACTTTGGTTATTGATTTGGGGGAGATACTGTAAGGAGAAATTAGATGCTAATCACTCTTAAGGCATCAAAGTGTTAACCTTGTAAAATTACTCCTAATGCATGTAAGAAAATAGTCATTTGTTGAAAGAATGACATTTAAGAACATTTGTCTGAAGCACAAAACAGAGAAAAGTAAGTTGTGAGGGCCTGAGCCCCACCCAGTTATAATTTCACAGTTAGATTACAATCTATCAATTGAGCTACATAAAAGTTGTTGGTGACCCAGGCCACTGAATGTTAAATAAATATATGATGCAAAAAGTGTCTTGCGTGGGCATCCACGCTTCAGGATTTCTATTCCATTGTCCCTGTTGATGTTGTAAGGGTGAAGTCTTGTGTGAATTGCCTCTTTGATCCTGCAAGTGTACTAGTCAGGATCATGATCAATAAACTTAATGTGTGGATATTACTGGGAGAAATTACATGTAAATCACTTTTGGGAGTTAACTCTTTAACTTCCAAGATCTCACTGGTAATTCTCCTTCTGTCTGCCGACAATTCTCATTATGTTAGTTTGGAGAATTCATCTTCATAGAAGTTCTCACATGTGTCAAGATGAGTGATGCTAGAGCAAAAATTTCCAAGAAACTGGCTACTTAAAAAAATTGAAACAAAAAATTAATATTAAAACAAAAAAATAAAAACATTTAGTTTTAGGAGAAAAATATGTATTAACTTATCAAGGATTTGGTATCTAGGAAAGAAAACAGCCCAAGAGTTGTTCTGTTGGCATAGCAACCTTCTGCAGAGAAAATTCAATGTTTTTCCATCTTGATTTGTATCAATGGGAAAGTTCAGTCATTGTTTTATCTACAGGTAACCTTATCTATCTTTGATCCAGGGGATTCTATTACTGTCACATTTTGTTTCTTCACTGCATTTTCTTGAGGTTATTTACTTTCATTTCAGTACAGTTTATGCCCAGTAAATAATCTCCTCCTCATCCTCAACTGCATTATCAAGATAATCCAATACTCCTTTAGAGAACTTTAGCACACAGCCTTTAAATGCCTGTTTTTCCTCATAGCCCTCTTCCACTGGTATGGTTGTCTTCACAATCCACTTGCCCTGTTTATCATAACATTCAACTGAATGTTCTGGGTTTCTTTCAGTTTGGTCAAAGCCACCCAGCACATACAATGTTCCACCAAGACAAACCATACTACCATGTGTGTGGCAAACATTCAAGTTTGCAATTAACTGCCATTCATTTGTGGAAGTATTGTACACCTCGCATGTTTTCAACACTGTGCTTTCTTCATTTGCTCCTCCAGCAACAAAAATCTTTTCCTGACTGGCCACACCAAAAGCCCCACCCCTTGCTTGTTGCATGTCTATAATTTCTTCCCATTTCTTTTCCGTAATGTCAAATCTGTTAGCTTTTGCAACATGTTGGGATGTATGTGGCAACGTCCCACCCAAAAGATACAGAAAGTTACCAGATCCAATGACACAAGAATCTTTCCTGTAGCATTGAGAAGAGGAGTGAAGCTTTTGCCATGAACATGTCTCTACCTGGAATTTTTTGATGGCTACTGTTTTTGTGTTAATTTTATCCTTCTTAATTCTTGCGACGGTTTCATGGATAGAAAATAACTCTCCTTTAATGACAGTCACTTTGTCCCAACCTATGCCAAAGCAGAAGGGGAATGATGACCAACCATTTAAGAAAGGATCATACCTCTCTGCTAGACCCAAGCTACAAAACTTGAATAACTGATCACGAAATCTTATTCTATGGGTTGAAGGGATGCCGATACTCGGTTTTTTAGCTGAACAGCTGCATGTAGGTAACCTTTTCCACTCATCTTTCTGAGGGACATAACAAAAGGCATATTCTCCTTCACAAGCCACTATAGCACGTGTGTCAAGCCCTTTTCTCGGGGACTGGAGAAGGTCATCATCGCTTGAAAATGTAGTCTGTCTAATAGCATCTGAAACCAGCGTGAAACAACCAGCATTGTCGCGCACGAGTTCGTTTGTCGCGACATTCAACAAATAGTCACGCGATACGATAACCAGTCGAACGTGACGAAGCAGCTCTTCAAAGACTGCTTTCCGCTCGCTCTTGTTATGTTCAACCCACTTTTGCGCAATTTGGAAAACATCAGCTTCTGTTTCGACAACAATCTCATCACTTGAAATCCATCTCTCCACCTCTTTGGCTTCCAAACTTAGGAATTCCTTCGTGTCTGCTACAGACGCGAAGTTCGCGTGAATGAAGCTCTTGCTGTCGTTTAGAAGCTCTTCACAATCGTATTTCTCAGCGAGGTAGAAGGTGGAAATGCAGTTTAACTCACACATTCGTTGTTGTATAAATCGACTGGCGATTTTTTTCAAATTTGTAACGAGGAGATAATTTGTAGCAACGACCAGCTCTTCGGCATTTTCTTCAGTAACCTCTACAGTTCCAGTGTAGATGAATTCCAAAACATCTTCCCTAGCAGATCCCGAAATCTCCTCGAACCGAACGATCCCCTCCCGATTTTCTTTCATATCGCTCTGAAGAAGCTTGCGAAAGAACGGACTCGCTGCGGAAAGGATATTTCTGTGAGCCTTAAACTCTTGATCATCTTTCGTAATCAAAGTTATGTCGCATAAGTGGCCTTGTTTTCGTTGTATGTTGAGCCGTTTCATCATTTCTACGCAAAAAGGATTCTGTTCAGTGACACTGATAGCTGAAAGGTCTTCCATTGTCAAAGGATAGGCCTTGTTTTCGAGGTTTGTAAGTGGAGATTATAGTGGTTAACAATATCGGAACGCGAATGTGGAAACAAAAAAAAAACTTTGTGGTACTCTTGCTGCTCCGGCCAGCTCTGAAGCGATAGGCTGCACCAGGCTTTCACAACATGATGTCGACACCAAAATAGTGATTATCGTTACTTCCTAATTGGCCCTAAAATAATGAATAGCATTATTTTTAGCATTATTGACCTATGTGAGACCTTCGGAACTCGAAACCTGAGTACAAGTATACAGGAAAGGTAAAAAGGGGTCTTACGGCGGCGAAGGAAATCTCAGTAGTTTAGTATTTAGCGTGAAAAGGCTTGGGTGTTGTGATCTGCTTCTCAAGCCAACTGGTTACTGGGTTAAAATGTTCCAACCAGTTAGACTGATTTATCTGGTTAAAATGATGCAACCGGTGAGATGGTCCAGCCGGCCAGTTAAAATGATCCAACTGGTTAATATTCCGTCGACAGAAATGCAACGGAAACATGTCGTCATATTTCCGTTCAGGAATCATAACAGAAACATGACAGGTCCAAGGAAGAAGAAACTAACGTGTTTCAGTTGCGCGGAAATAGAACGGAAACATATTTTCATTTTTCCGAATTACAGAATCATGCTATTTCGTTCTGTGCCCGCTCTAACTCTATGCTATCCTAAACCTAACCCAAACCCTAAACCCAATCTTAAGCCAGGGTATAAGTTTTAAATAAGGGTTTAGGATAATTACCTGGTTAGGGTTAGGGTTTGCGGGGTCAGGAGCCCATCATACCATTTGTACCCTTGGGTCAACCCTGTCTCGCATCTTTTTATTTTTAGAACTGATATAGGTGGGGGGTCCTTTAATTTCCCGCGAAAACATGCTGACGTTCGCATAACACCCTAAAAAAATGGTAAACTTTCCGCGCTTTTTGTCATTAGAGAAATACTTTTGAGCGGCCTGCGTGTGACGTAAACAATAGAGAACCACAGCTCTCTCATGATTGGCAATTATATAAACACCCGCGAAAAACCCCGTGGGAGGTGCTTCTAAAAATAAAAAGATTCGGGACAGGGTTGGCTCCGAAGTTAAGTATGAAAGATGGAAGCTCCGGATAATGGGCTTCTAGCGGGGTTTAGCGTTATAATTAGGGTTAAGGCTAGGTTAAGGTTATGCTTAGGGTTGGCGTTAATGTTTTTCTAAATGCATTCAAATTTGTTTTTTTTTGGTATTGTTTGTAAATTTCAGTAACTACTTGAAAGTTTGCTGAAAAACAAAAGATAGGTGGACTGGTTACACTTACAGGATAAATAGAGAAGGTTAGGGTTAGGCTAGGATTTTCAAGTGTGCACACGCAGTTGTGTGGATGTTGTGGTACATGGAGTTTACTAGAGGGTAGGTTTGGCAGTATTTGCCAGTTTCCACATATTTATGAAATTATGGTTCCAAAGTGCGGGTCAATGCTAAAATGGGTAAAATCAAATCCGTGTAAAAACAGTAAAGTCAAAGAGTTGTTGAGGTTCGTCAACATAGGGAGGGTCCTCTTGGTCTGGAGAAAAACCTCTGCCCACGGATGAAGGTGTTAAATCAATAAATTGATATTGCTGGGCGGCATATCGAACAGGAACACTAACCTTCGCCTTTCTCACAGCTTTTTCCCCTTTAACAGCTTTGTTCATTCCAATTTTTTTAATGTAAAAACTCGTTTTGGAGGCATAAAGATATCTAAAGCCGCGTTTCAAGATTTTATCGCGATCTTGTGAAAAACATGTAGTTTCAGCTAGTTTTGAGGGTTTTGGCAGTTATTTAGACAAAAAGTGGGTAAAATCAGCTCAATTTGTAGTGCTTTTTAAGCGTTTTTTTGCCCAAATTTTACTGAGAACACTGTGTTTTAGCTGGATTTAAGTGTTTTCACACAGACTGTATTCCTATTTTGCCAAAAACATCGTGTTTTAGCTTGTTTGTAGCGTTTATGAACGCGAAATAAGCTAATTTTTGCAACAACAAAAAAAAACAACAAAAACGTGTTTTTCAGTTCGAATTGAGCGTTTTTGACAACTTTTGTGTAAGATTGAGCAAAAACTCGTGTGTTTCTGTCGGATTTTGGTGTTTTTAGACAGATTTCATTGCAATTTTCCAAAATATATGTAGTTTCAGTTCACAGCATTTTGGGCTTGAGACTGACAAGAGTGATGTTAGACACTCTTGGTAGAGATAATTGTGCAAGCAGATATTAAGATTTCACCTCTAAAGACCATAAATCAATTAAAAACAAGAAAAAAAAAACTTGATTAAAAAAAATAGAATAATGGTGGGGAGCAAAGAGGGCTGTAGTAAAGATTATGTACTTGTTCTTGAAGCTGACAATTAACAAGGTTCCTATAAATTAAGTTTACACAAAAAACTAACAAATTGTGAAAATCACACAAATCCCAAGCTATACCTAGGGTTTTGCTCTCAATAAAATAAACTGGGTTAAAATGGTCCAACACTCACTTTTTATATAGATAGGTATAAATAATGCTCCCCTGACTCTCCCCCGAATTTTCAGAATAGATGCAAACTCTTAAGAATCACAGAGGTTTTTTGGGTACTTTGACCTGTTTAACACCTAAAAAGAAGGGCACATACATGCTACACACAACCAGCCCAGTCAAAATGTGCCTCAGCCAACAATTTGGCTGCCTACAATAAAATATCTGCTGCTTACTTAACACTTGTCAGACTTCTATTCAGGACAAGGTTTGGCCTTTGCTGCCTAGTGCTATCGCCAGCTTGCCTTCCACTCAAAAACATTTCGAGTGAGCTTACACATGCATACTTACCTACATGTAGGATTAGGTTACATGTGCGAATCTGCCCTATTGAAAGAGATCAATGAATTATAACTCAATGAAACATTGATAAATAAAATAGATAGATCGGATAGAAAGGACAAAAATTAAACTGACAGCAGACAGTACTCTTTTGGCCTTCTGGGCCTGATCAGTGCAGTGATCTTCGATTAAGTGCTTAATTTGGACATAAAACCAAAGCTTAGTGTAGTTAAATATTATTATTTTTCTTTTAATATTCCTATTCCAGCTGATGTATATTTTTTGAATTACAAGTCTTATTAGCATGTTAAAACCACCTACGGGCAAGGCATACCCTTTGTATCTCTTTACTTGAGAAGCAGATCACAACACCCAAGCCTTTTCACGCTAAAACACTAAACTACTGAGATTTCCATCGCCGCCGTAAGCCGCCATGTTATCTTTCCTGTATACTTGTATCCAGGCTTCGAGTTCCGAAGGTCTCACACAAGCCATGAAATAATGCTTTTCATTATTTTAGAGCCAATTCGAAGTAACGATAACCATTATTTTGGTCTCGAGATCATGTTGGGCTTTCAAGAGGTCACCTGGTAGTGACTGGTGCGGAGATTGGGGAGGGAGAGGTACTAGAGATGGGAGGGGAAAGGATGAAATACGGACAGTCTGATTTGACAGCGGTAAGTACGGAAGAGAAATGCGTAATGCAAATATTTCTTAATTATTAGTGTCAGGAGGGTAATGGGCTCCTGTTGGTGTGTAGTGTTCTGAAATGAGGCTGGAGACAAGACTAAAATACGTATGGGAGGTGGAAGAAAAGGGTAAGACAGGTATATGATTCAAATTCCTCCGTTTCCTTTCATATATTCCGGAGAGAAATATGTTTTTCGGTAAAATACAGCCCCCCTAAGATATAAGGTGACAAAATTGATAAAAAAATAAATATCAACCGTGAGAGCAAAGTCTTCTTCCAAATGAGTATATATTTAGGGGAGTGTTTGTGAAGTGAGCTTCCACTTTACAGAATATCTTATCCAAGCCGTAGCCAGGACTTCTGGCTACGCCTTGACCTTGATGAACAGCTAAGTTTCGATGTTCATATCGACTCTTTATGTAAGAAGATTTCAAAGCGTATCGGCATACTTAACAGAATTAAGGCTTACTTACCAAGAACAGAGTTTATACTTTATGATAATTCTCTCATTAAGCCGCTGATATTATATTGCAGTGTAACATGGACAAGCTGCTGCAGTCACGACCATGTATATTTTTTCAAACTCGTCCAGTCTTTTTTCGCTGTTTTCCTCAAAACTACCATAGCTAATATCTCGTCCCCAGATTTCCACGGCCAAGGGACACAGGAATTAGAACACCCGAAACTGAAAACCAGCTTTACTTCCGCCTTCGATATCTTTTTCGTGTGTTCCTCGTTATCAGCTACATTTGAGTGGATTTTGCTGAAGGAAACTAGGATATTGTGTAAATGATGGAAGATATACAGCCTATCTCAGCTGCTGAACAAGCGTCATTCTGTGTGGAACTGATGAAGCGCCTCAACATTCAGCGAAAACAAGATTATTTGTGCGACATTACTTTGGTGACGAACGACGACAGAGAGTTCAAAGCTCACAGAAATGTTCTTTCCGCCGCAACTCCATTCTTTTGCAAGCTTCTTGAGAGCGACATGAAGGAGAATCGAGAAGGGATTGTTCGGTTCGAGGAGATCTCAGGAACTGTTATGGAAGATGTTCTGGAATTCATCTACACTGGAACTGTGGAGGTGACTCAAGAAAATGCTAAGGAACTGATCGCCGCAGGGAATTATCTGATGATACCGAGCTTGAAAACTGTTTCAGGGCGATTTCTGGAGGCAGAAATGTCCAACTCCAACTGCATTTCAACGTTTTACTTTGCTGAGAAATACGATTGTGACGAGCTTATGAACAACAGCAGGAGATTCGTCCTCGAGAACTTTCGTTTCGTGGCAGCATTGGACGAATTCCTTAATTTGGAAGCCAAAGAAGCGGAGAAATGGCTTTCAAGTGACGATATTTCCGTTGAAACGGAAGCCGATGTTTTTAAGATCGTACTCGAGTGGATTGAACACAGCAAGAGCGAGCGAAAAGCATTTTTCGAAAAGTTGTTTCGCCACGTCAGACTGGTTTTGATGTCGCGTGACTACTTAATAGATGTCGTGACAAATGAACTTGTGCAAGAGAGCTTTGCTTGTTTAAGGTTGACGTCTACGGCTTTAAAAATGTCTAGTTTCTCAAGTGAAGGAGATGTACTCCAAACGCCGAGAAAAGGAGTCGAACTACACGGCATTGTAGCGTGTGGGGGTTATGAAAATTTCTGTTATTTTCCCGAAAAGGACAAGTGGAAACGACTACCAGGTGGGAGGTCGACAGGCCACACCCAAATGACAAGATACCGAGATAACTTGTTTAGATTTTCTAGAGATGGCAGCGTAGAGAGGTATGATCCAGTTTTTAATGTCTGGTCTGAGTTGGAATTGCGTGAAAACGTTTCCAGGGTGGCTATAGTTAAAGGAGAAATGTATGCACTCGAGCTTAACACTTCTGAGCAACAAACCATTGTCAAAATTTACAATGTAGAGCATTGCACATGGGAGACACTTCATTCGTCCAGTGAAGCTTGTAGAGAGCAAATGTGTGTTGTTTCTTCCGGCACTTATCTTTATGTTTTTGGTGGAAAGCCGCCAGAAACTAGAGAATATGTCGCGAAAGCCGAGAGATTTGATACTGTGATTAAGAAATGGGAGGAAATCGCGGACATGCTCGAAGAAAGGGGTGACGCTTTTGGTGAAGCCACCAAAGAGAAAATCTTCGTCGCTGGAGGAAAGCATAGGGAAGGAAACTCAGTGTTGCAAACTTGTGAGATTTACAATATCTTAACAAATGAATGGCAACTCACTGGAAGCTTGAATGTTTCTCGCATGCGTGGTAGCATGATGTGTCTGAAGGGGAAGCTTTACGTGTTAGGTGGAGAAAGAGAGGAAAACCATCGTGAACTGAAGGTTGAGTGCTTTAATTCTGAAGAGGGAAAATGGATCCATAAAACAACTATACCCAGCAGCTCTAGCAGGCATAACAATGGGAGGATTTTTAATGGCTGTGTACTTAAACTCTCCAAAGGAGTACTGGACAAACTTAAAGAAATATAATCCTACATGTTATTCTTGGACCTGCATTTACCTCATGGGTAAGAGCTATGTCTGAGGATTAATTCGCAATTTTAGTTCAACAGATTAACTAATCCTTATAACAGAAACATTTGTAGTTTGAAAAATTTTTTGGCATTCTTAAGTGTAAATCATCTTCAGATGCAATATAATATTTGTTGTACAATTTGAATTTTCTCTTAGCCCTTTAACTCCCATGAGTGACTAAGACAGAATTTCTCTTCACATTATCAATACAAGATCAGCCAGATAAGTGATGTGAATAAAGAAAAATATCAATTTGGGGATAAGTAATTGATCCAATACTAAATTCTCTGAACTAACATTATAAGAGTTGTACAGTTGACAGTGAGGAGAATGACAAATTTGATCTGGGAGTTAAAGGGTTGGCAAACATGTCATATGAAGTTACGACAGAAGTTTTTGTCTCCCAAAATGCTATATATTATATGATATTACTGTTATTATATGATTATTATTGTATGAAATTGAATGGAAGCAAGGAGGAGTGGTAGAGGTAATAGAGGGGGAGCTGGGAACAACAAAACAAAAACCTCTAACAATAATAATAACAAAAAATAATTAAATGGAAATGAGAAAATTTAGGTGTTTTTAATTGTTGTATTAGTGTTAGATTCTCCCATTATACAAGGCTTTTTTTTATCTTTATTTGAATAACTGAGGTGGCAGATTCATCAAATTATCATAATTTAAAGTCTTTACATCCTAACATCAGTATGCATATTCTCCATACTGTTCTCTGTACATTTCCTAAGATGCTGACAAGGAGAATTTGTTTAACAATCAAGAGCTTATAATCTTTAGTCACTGATCATTTCCTTTATTCTCATGACCTTATTGTTTGACTCAGGGGTGACATTGTAAAGAGAGATTAGATGCTTGTCACTATTGGGGATCAAAGGATTAACATGGTAAAATTACTCCTAATGCATGTAAGAAAATAGTCATTTATTAACAGAATGACATTTAAAAACATTTGTCCTGAGCACAAAACAGAGGAAAGCTTGTTATGAAGGTTTGAGCCCCACCCAGTTACAATTTTTCAGTCAGATTATACTCTATCAACTGAGCTAAATAAAAGTTTTTGGTGACCAAGGTTACTGAATTTGAAGTAAATATATGACAAGAAAATGTTGTGCTTTAACTGCTTGGATTATAAGATAAAATGTACAGTGAAAGCTCTCTCCATAAACACTAAAAAACGCAGTAAACATGTATGAAATAAAAGCTTTTACAGGCTTTCAAATGCAAGTGCATATATATTTTATACTGAAATGCTACCAGTCCAAATAAACAGCTAACTGATAGTATAACCAATCCCATAGCATATTTGAGCCTTGTTGTTATGCCATGTGTCTTTACTTCTGAAATTTTTCATGGGGTTGGGAGAAAGGGGGGGCAAATCAAATGATAATTTGTTTAAGGATTGGGCTATTTACTGAGTTCATGAGTGACAGGCATCCTGTATTTTATGATGTATTCAGCGATGCCTGAAGTGTATTTTTATTTTAATGATGTTTCTATAACAAGCTTATTCAAGTGGGCTTGCTTAACCTTTAAACTCTTAAGATGTGATTGTTCATTCTCTCCTCTAGCTGCCACAAATTTCCTTGTTTATTGGTTATGAGAATTTGGTGTTAGATGAAAAGAAAAACTTCATCCTGATAAGTTTAATTATTCCCAATTTACCAATTTGCTGGAAAATGTATGGATATTCCAGGGAGAAAATACATGTTAATCACTTCTGGGAGTTAAAGGGTTAGCAAAAAGTAAGTCAGATGTGATTCTAATCCTGGATAAAATATATTTCCCCTTTTTGATTGAGCAAAACTTAACATTTGTAATCATCCTCATCCTCATCCTCAACTGCATCATCAAGATAATCCAATACTCCTTTAGAGAACTTTAGCACACAGCCTTTAAATGCCTGTTTTTCCTTACAGTCCTCTTTCACTGGTATGGTTGTCTTCACAATCCACTTGCCCTGTTTGTCATAACATACAACTGAATGTTCTGGGTTTTTCTTACTTTGATCAAAGCCACCCAGCACATACAATGTTCCACCAAGACAAACCATACTACCATGTGTGCGGTAAACATTCAAGTTTGCGATTAATTGCCATTCATTTGTGGAAATATTGTAGACCTCGCATGTTTTCAACACTGTGCTTTCTTCATCTGCTCCTCCAGCCACAAAAATCTTTTCCTGACTGGCCACACCAAATGCCCCACCCCTTGCTTGTTGCATGTCTGTGATTTCTTCCCATTTCTTTTCTGTAATGTCAAATCTGTTAGCTTTTGCAACATGTTGGGATGTATGTGGGGACGTCCCACCCAAAAGATACAAAAAGTTACCAGATCCAATGATACAAGAATCTTTCCTGTAGCACTGAGAAGAGGAGTAAAGCTTTTGCCATGAACATGTCTCTACCTGGAATTTTTTAATGGTTACTGTTTTTTTGTTGATTTTATCCTTCACAACTCTCGTGACAGTTTCATGGATAGAAAATAACTCTCCTCTAATGACAGTCACCTTGTCCCAACCTATGCCAGAGCAGAAGGGGAATGATGACCAACCATTTAAGAAAGGATCATACCTCTCTGCTAGACCCAAGCTACAAAACTTGAATAACTGATCACGAAATCTTATTATGTGGGTTGAAGGGATGCCGATACTCCGTTTTTTAGCTGAACAGTTGCATGTAGGTAACCTTTTCCACTTATCTTTCTGAGGAACATAACAAAAGGCATATTTTCCTCCACAGGCCACTATAGCACGTGTGTCAAGCCCTTTTCTCGGGGACTGGGGAAGATCATCATCGCATGAAAACGTAGTCTGTCTTATAGCATCTGAAACCAGCGTGAAACAACCAGCGTTTTCGCGCACGAGTTCGTTTGTCACCACATTCAACAAATAATCACGCGATACGAAAACCAGTCGAACGTGACGAAGCAGCTCTTCAAAGGCTGCTTTCCGCTCGCTCTTGTTATGTTCAACCCACTTTTTCGCAATCTGGAAAACATCGGCTTCTGTTTCGACAACAATCTCATCACTTGAAATCCACCTCTCCACCTCTTTGGCTTCCAAACTTAGGAATTCATTCATGTCTGCTACAGACGCGAAGTTCGCGTGAATGAAACTCTTGCTGTCGTTTAGAAGCTCTTCACAATCGTATTTCTCGGCGAAGTAGAAGGTGGAAATGCAGTTTAACTCACACATTTGTTGATGTATAAATCGACCAGAGATTGTTTTCAAATTTGGAACGAGGAGATAATTTGTAGCGATGACCAGCTCTTCGGCATTTTCTTCAGTAACCTCGACAGTTCCAGTGTAGATGAATTCCAAAACATCTTCCATAACATATCCCGAAATCTCTTCAAACCGAACGATCCCTTCCCGATTTTCTTTCATGTCGCTCTGAAAAAGCTTGCTGAAGAACGGACTTGCTGCGGAAAGGATATTTCTGTGAGCCTTTAACTCTTGATCATCTTTCGAAATCAAAGTTACGTCGCATAAGTGGCCTTGTTTTCGTTGTATGTTGAGCCGTTTCATCATTTCCACACAAAAAGGATTCTGTTCAGTAACACCAATAGTTGGAAGGTCTTCCATTATCAAAGGATAGTCCTTGTTTTCGAGGTTTGTAAGAAGAGATGTTTTCGAAACACGAATGCGGAAATAAGAAAAACTTTCGTGGTACCCAGTCTGCCTCGGCCAGCTCAACAGTTGAAGAGGCTTCACCAGGCTTTTAAGAGGTCACTTGGTGGAGGTGGACAGGTGCAGAGATTAAGGAAGGAGAGGAACTAAAGATGAGAGAGGATACAGGCAGTCTGGACGGGATACAGGCAGTCTGATCTGTCAGCGTTAAGTACGGAAGAGAAATGCGTAATGTAAATATTTCCTAAATAATGGTGTGGAGTGTTCTGAAATGAGGTTGGAGACAAGACCAAAATACGTATAGGAGGTTAAAGAAAAAAGTAGGACAGGTATATGACTCAAATATTGCCCAGTTTGTTTCCATATATTCCAGAGAGAAAAATGTTTTCGGTAAAATACAGCCCCCAGTGCCTAAGATATAAGGTTACAAAATTGAAAAAAAAAACAATATTAGCTGTCAGAGCAGTCTTCTTCTGAATGAGTAATATGCTATTAGGGAGGAGTGTTTGTGAAGTGAGCTTCCTCTGTTCATAACATCTTATCCAAGCCGTAACCAGGACATTGTTTTGTCACAGATATCACATCTACCAGCTACCTTTACTTAATTCCCATACTAACACTGTATTCAACCCTTTCTCTCCCCAGAATGACCAAGAAGTATTTTCTCTTTACTTAATCGATGAAATATCAAGCATACAGGTGTTAAGAATAAAGAAAATATGAAACAGAGAAAAGTGAGTTGTGAGGGCTTGAGACCCACCCAGTTATAATTTCACAGATTATAATCTAACAACTGAGCTACATAAAAGTTGTTGGTGATCCAGGCCACTGAATGTTATCAAGGATTTGGTATCTATGAAAGAAAACAGCCCAAGAGCTGTTCTGTTGGCATAGCAACCTTCTGCAGAGAAAATTCAATGTTTTTCCATGTTGACTTGAGTCAATGGGAAAGTTCAGTCATTGTTCTATCTACAGGTAACCTTATCTATCTTTGATCGAGGGGATTCTATTACTGTCACAAAATTGTTTCTTCAGTGCATTTTCTTGATGTTATTTACTTTCATTTGAGTACAGTTTGCACACAGTTAATCATCCTCATCCTCATCCTCAACTGCATCATCAAGATAATCCAATACTCCTTTAGAGAACTTTAGCACACAGCCTTTAAATGCCTGTTTTTCCTCATACCCCTCTTCCACTGGTATGGTTGTCTTCACAATCCACTTGCTCTGTTTGTCATAACATTCAACTGAACGTTCTGGGTTTTTCTTACTTTGGTCAAAGCCACCCAGCACATACAATGTTCCACCAAGACAAACCATACTACCATGTGTGTGGTAAACATTTAAGTTTGCAATTAACTGCCATTCATTTGTGGAAACATTGTACACCTCACATGTTTTCAACACTTTGCCTTTTTCATCTGCTCCTCCAGCAACAAAAATCTTTTCCTGACTAGCCACACCAAAAGCCCCACCCCTTGCTTGTTGCATGTCTGCGATTTTTTCCCATTTCTTTTCCATAATGTCAAATCTGTCAGCTTTTGGGAGGTATTTGGAGGTAGGTGGGGACTTCCCTCCCAAAAGATACAGATAGTCAGCAGACCCAATGACACAAGACTCTTTCCTACAGCTCTCAAAAGAGGTGAAAATTGTCTGCCATGAATTTTGCTCTACACTGAATTTTTTTATGCATGTTTGCTCATCTTATGTGTAATAATACATCTGCCTGACAGAATACAGCTCTCCCCTAACAGTAGTCAAGTAGTCAAAAGAAAATAGGTTGAGGTGCAACAATGACCAGCCATTAAACACAGGATCATACCGCTGCACTTGACTCCAGTCCTGAAACATATACAACTGATCACGAAATCTAATCATTGAGGTTTCATGACCTCTCTTCCATAACAGTTCAGGTAAACATTTCCACTCATCTTTATCAGGGATATAGCAGCAGGCATATTTACCTGCACAAGCCACTATAGCTCGTGTCTCAAGTCCTTTTCTCGGTGACTGGGGAAGGTTAACATCGCTTGAAAACGTAGTCAGTTTTATGGCATTTAAAACCAGCCTCAAACAATCAGCGTTGTCACGCACGAGTTCGTTCGTCACGACATTCAACAAATAGTCACGCGATACGAAAACTAGTCGCACGTGACGAAGCAGCTCTTCAAAGGCTGCTTTCCGCTCGCTCTTGTTATGTTCAACCCACTTTTGCGCAATCTGGAAAACATCGGCTTCCGTTTCAATGACAATCTCATCACTTGAAATCCATCTCTCCACTTCTTTGGCTTCCAAACTTAGGAATTCATTCATGTCTGCTACAGACGCGAAGTTCGCGTGGATGAAACTCTTGCTTTCGTTCAAAAGCTCTTCACAATCGTATTTCTCGGCGAAGTAAAAGGTTGAAATGCAGTTTAACTCACACATTTGTTGTTGTATAAATCGACCAGAGATTGTTTTCAAGTTTGGAACGAAGAGATAATTTGTGGCGACGACCAGGTCTTCGGTATTTTCTTCAGTAACCTCTACAGTTCCAGTGTAGATGAATTCCAAAACATCTTCCATAACAGATCCCGAAATCTCCTCGAACCGAACGATACCTTCCCGATTTTCCTTCATATCGCTCTGAAGAAGCTTGCAAAAGAACGGACTCGCTGCGGAAAGGATATTTCTATGAGCCTTAAACTCTTGATCATCTTTCGTAATCAAAGTTATGTCGCATAAGTGGCCTTGTTTTCGTTGTATGTTGAGCCGTTTCATCATTTCTACACAAAAAGGATTCTGTTCAGTGACACTGATAGCTGGAAGGTCTTCCATTGTCAAAGGATAGGCCTTGTTTTCGAGGTTTGTAAGCGGAGATTGTGGTGATTAACAATGTCGGAACGCGAATGCGGAAATTAAAAAAATAACTTTGTGGTACTCAGGCTGCCCCGGCCAGTTCAGAAGCGATAAGTTGCACCAGGCTTTCAGAAGGTAACCTGGTGGTGACAGGTGCAGAGATTGGGGAGGGAGAGGTACTAGAGATGGGAGGGGAAAGGAAGGCATACGGACAGTCTGATTTGACAGCGGTAAGTACGGAAGAGAAATGCGTAATGCAAATATTTCCTAATTATTGGCGTCAGGAGGGTAATGGGCTCCTGTTGGTGTGTAGTGTTCTGAAATGAGGCTGGAGACGAGGCTAAAATACGTATCAGAGGTGAAAGAAAAGGGTAAGACGGGTATATGATTCAAATTCCTCCGTTTCCTTCCATATATTCCGGAGAGAAATATGTTTTCGTTAAAATACAGCCCCCCAGTGCCTAAGATACAAGATGACAAAATTGAAAAACAAATCAATATCAACCGTGAGAGCAAAGTCTTCTTCCAAATGAATATATATTTAGGGGAATGTTTGTGAAGTGAGCTTCCACTGTACAGAATATCTTATCCAAGCCGTAGCTAGGACTTCTGGTTACGCCTTGACCTTGATGAACAGCTCAGTTTCGATGTTCATATCGACTCCTTATGTAAGAAGACTTCAAAGCGTATCGGCATACTTAACAGAATTAAGGCTTACTTACTAAGAACAGAGTGTATACTATATAATAATTCTTTCATTAAGCCAGTGATATTATATTGCAGTGTAACATGGACAAGCTGCTGCAGTCATGATAATATATGTAAGATATTTAAGCTATAGAAACGCTGTGTTCGTATCATCCTTGACGCCCAACAACGCCATGGCACTGTGGATCTATTTAATATTTTAGGGTGGGTGCCATATAACATCGAGTTTGACATTAAAAGATGCTTAATGGCCTACAAGGGGATTATGGGTACTTGCCCTGCCTATATAAACGCTCAGTTAGACCTAAACAACAGCCAGCCCAGCAGAAATACACGAGGAGCTAACCGAGGAGATACATTAGAGAGAAAGATGGAGGCCTGTATCTCTAAGTTATGTAATACTTTTTTGTAAATATGCCGTCAGGATATTTTTTCAAACTCGTCCAGTCTTTTTTCGCTGTTTTCCTCAAAACTACCATAGCTAATATCTCGTCCCCAGATTTCCACGGTAAAGACACACGGGAATTAGAATACCCGAAACTGGAAACCAGCTTTACTTCCGCTTTCGATATCTTTTTCGTGTGTTCCTCATTATCAGCTACATTTGAGTGGATTTTGCTGAAGGAAACTAGGATATTGTGTAAATGATGGAAGATATACAGCCTATCTCAGCTGCTGAACAAGCGTCATTCTGTGTGGAACTGATGAAGCGCCTCAACATTCAGCGAAAACAAGATTATTTGTGCGACATTACTTTGGTGACGAACGACGACAGAGAGTTCAAAGCTCACAGAAATGTTCTTTCCGCCGCAACTCCATTCTTTTGCAAGCTTCTTGAGAGCGACATGAAGGAGAATCGAGAAGGGATTGTTCGGTTTGAGGAGATCTCAGGAACTGTTATGGAAGATGTTCTGGAATTCATCTACACTGGAACTGTGGAGGTGACTCAAGAAAATGCTAAGGAACTGATCGCCGCAGGGAATTATCTGATGATACCGAGCTTGAAAACTGTTTCAGGGCGATTTCTGGAGGCAGAAATGTCCAACTCCAACTGCATTTCAACGTTTTACTTTGCTGAGAAATACGATTGTGACGAGCTTATGAACAACAGCAGGAGATTCGTCCTCGAGAACTTCCGTTTTGTGGCAGCATTGGACGAATTCCTTAATTTGGAAGCCAAAGAAGTGGAGAAATGGCTTTCAAATGACGATATTTCCGTTAAAACGGAAGCTGATGTTTTTAAGATCGTACTTGAGTGGATTGAACACAGCAAGAGCGAGCGAAAAGCATTTTTCGAAAAGTTGTTTCGCCACGTCAGACTGGTTTTGATGTCGCGTGACTACTTAATAGATGTCGTGACAAATGAACTTGTGCAAGAGAGCTTTGCTTGTTTAAGGTTGACGTCTACGGCTTTAAAAATGTCTGGTTTCTCAAGTGAAGGAGATGTACTCCAAACGCCGAGAAAAGGAGTCGAACTACAAAGTATTGTAGTGTGTGCGGGTTATGAAAATTTCTGTTATTTTCCCGAAAAGGACCAGTGGAAACGATTACCAGGTGGAAGGTCGACAGGCCACACACAGATGACAAGATACCGGGATAAGTTGTTTAGATTTACCAGAGTTGGCGGCGTAGAGAGGTATGATCCAGTTTTTAATGTCTGGTCTGAGTTGGAATTGCGTGAAAACGTTTCCAGGGTGGCTATAGTTAAAGGAGAAATGTATGCACTCGAGCTTAACACTTCTAAGCAACAAACCATTGTCAAAATTTACAATGTAGAGCATTGCACATGGGAGACACTTCATTCATCCAGTGAAGCTTGTAGAGAGCAAACCTGTGTTGTTTCTTCCGGCACTTATCTTTATGTTTTTGGTGGAAAGCCGCCAGAAACTAGAGAATATGTCGCTAAAGTCGAGAGATTTGATACTGTGATTAAGAAATGGGAGGAAATCGCGGACATGCTCGAAGAAAGGGGTGACGCTTTTGGTGAAGCCACCAAAGAGAAAATCTTCGTCGCTGGAGGAAAGCATAGAGAAGGAAACTCAGTGTTGCAAACTTGTGAGATTTACAATATCTTAACAAATGAATGGCAACTCACTGGAAGCTTGAATGTTTCTCGCATGCGTGGTAGCATGATGTGTCTAAAGGGGAAGCTTTACGTGTTAGGTGGAGAAAGAGAGGAAAACTATCGTGAACTGAAGGTTGAGTGCTTTAATTCTGAAGAGGGAAAATGGATCCATAAAACAACCATACCCAGCAGCTCCAGTAGGTATAACGATGAGAGGATTTTTAATGGCTGTGTACTTAAACTCTCCAAAGGAGTACTGGACAAACTTAAAAAAACATAATCCTACATGTCATTCTTGGACCTGCATATACCTCATGGGTAAGAGCTATATCTGAGGATTGATTTGCAATTTTAGTTCAACAGACTAACTAATCCTTATAACAGAAACATTTGTAGTGTGAAAAATGTTTTGACATTCTTAAATGTAAATCATCTTCAGATGCAATATAATATTTGTTGTACAATTTGAATTTTCTCTTAGTCCTTTAACTCCCATGAGTGACCAAGACAGAATTTCTCCTTACAATATCAATACAAGATCAGCCAGATAAGTGATGAGAATAAAGAAAAATATCAATTTGGGGATAAGTAATTGATCCAATACTAAATTCTCTGAACTAACATTATAAGAGTTGTACAGTTGACAGTGAGGAGAATGACAAATTTGATCTGGGAGTTGGCAAACATGTCATATGAAGTTACGACAGAAGTTTTTGCCTCCCAAAATGCTACATATTATATGATATTACTGTTATTATATGATTATTATTGTATGAAATTGAATGGAAGCAAGGAGGAGTGGTAAAGGTAATAGAGGGGGAGCTGGGAACAAAAAAACAAAAACCACTAACAATAATAATAACAAAAAATAATTAAATAGAAATAAGCAAATCTAGGTGTTTTTAATTGTTGTATTAGTGTTAGATTCTCCAATTATACAAGGCTTCTTTTATCTTTATTTGAATAACTGTGGTGGCAGATTCATCAAATTATCATGATTTAAAGTCTTTACATCCTAACATCAGTATGCATATTCTCGATACTGTTCTCTGTACATTTCCTAAGATGCTGACAGGGAGAATCTGTTTAACAACCAAGAGCTTATAGTCTTTAGTCAGTGATCATTTCCTTTATTCTCATGACCTTAGTGTTTGACTCAGGGTGATATTGTAAGGAGAAATTAGATGCCAGTCACTCTTGGGGATCAAAGGGTTAACTTTGTAAAATTACTCCTAATGCATGTAAGAAAATTGTCATTTATTAAAAGAATGACATTTAAAAACATTTGTCCTGAGCACAAAACAGAGGAAAGCTTGTTATGAAGGTTTGAGCCCCACCCAGTTACAATTTTTCAGTCAGATTATATTCTATCAGCTGAGCTACATAAAAGTTTTTGGTGACCAAGTTACTGAATTTGAAGTAAATATATGACAAGAAAATGTTGTGCTTTAACTGCTTGGATTATAAGATAAAATGTACAGTGAAAGCTCTCTCCATAAACACTCCCCTAAAAAACGCAGTAAACATGTATGAAATAAAAGCTTTTACAGGCTTTCAAATGCAAGTGCATATATATTTTATACTGAAATGCTACCAGTCCAAATAAACAGCTAACTGATAGTATAACCAATCCCATAGCATATTTGAGCCTTGTTGTTATGCCATGTGTCTTTACTTCTGAAATTTTTCATGGGGTTGGGAGGAAGGGGGGCAAATCAAATGATCATTTGTTAGAGGATTGGACTATTTATTGGGTTCATGAATGACAGGCATCCTGTATTTTATGCTGTATTCAGCAATGCCTGAAGTGTATTTTTTTTTAAATGATGTTTCCATAACAAGCTTAATTCAAGTGGGCTTGCTTAACCCTTAAACTTCTAAGATCTGATCACTCATTCTCTCCTCTAGCTGCTACAAATTTCCTTGTATACCGGTTATGAGAATTTGGTGTTGGATCAAAAAAACAACGTCAACCTGATAGTTTAATTATTTCCATTACCAATTTGCTGCCTAATGTGTGGATATTATAGGGAGAAAATACATGTTAATCACTTCTGGGAGTTAAAAGGTTAGCAAAAAGCAAGTCAGATGGGATTCTAATCCTGGATAAAATATATTTCCCCTTTTTGATTGAGCAAAACTTAACATTTGTAAAAAGAAAACTATAAAAAATTGTGCTGTAGTAAAACATGAATATAGCGAATACTATTTCTATTATTTCTAATTACCTGTAGCATTTTTTAACTTTAAGTTTAATTCCTCTTTCTAGAAGTTCTCAGATGTGTCAAGATTAGTGATGCTAGCATAAAAATTTCCAAAAAATTGGCTACTCAAAAACCAGAAACAAAAAAAAAAATAGTAAAACAAAAATAAAAATTTTGAGTATTAGGACAGAAAAAATATGTGTTAACTTATCAAGGAGAAAAAAGGCCAAGTGTTTTCTGTTGTTTCTGTTGGCATAGCAACATTCTGCAGAGAAAATTCAATGTTTTTCCATCTTGCCTTGAGTTAATGGGAAAGTTCAGTCATTGTCCTACCTATAGTAACCTTATCTATCTTTGACCAAGTACTGTCAAAAATTGTTTCTTCAGTGCATTTTCTTGAGGTTATTTCTTCCTTTTGTGTACAGCTTTACTGAAGTTGAACGCCTCTTCAACTGCATCAGTAAGATTATTCAACACTCCTTTGGAGAACTTTAGCACACAGCCTTTAAATGCCTGTTTTTTCTTACAGTCCTTTACTGGTATGGTTGTCTTCACAATCCACTTGCCCTGTTTGTCATAACATTCAACTGAACGTTCTGGGTTTTTCTTAGTTTGGTCAAAGCCACCCAGCACATACAATGTTCCACCACGACAAACCATACTACCATGTGTGCGGTAGACATTCAAGTTTGCAATTAACTGCCATTCATTTGTGGAAACATTGTACACCTCACATGTTTTCAACACTTTGCCTTTTTCATCTGCTCCTCCAGCAACAAAAATCTTTTCCTGACTGGCCACACCAAAAGCCTCACCCCTTGCTTGTTGCATGTCTGTGATTTCTTCCCATTTCTTTTCCACAATGTCAAATCTGTCAGCTTTTGGGAGGTATTTGGAGGTAGGTGAGGACTTCCCTCCCAAAAGATACAGATAGTTAGCAGACCCAATGACACAAGACTCTTTCCTACAGCTCTCAAAAGAGGTGAAAATTGTCTGCCATGAATTTTGCTCTACACTGAATTTTTTTATGCATGTTTCCTCATCTTCTTTGTCATAATACCTGACAGAATACAGCTCTCCCCTAACAGTAGTCAAGTAGTCAAAAAATCGTAGGTTGAGGTGTAACAATGACCAACCATTAAACACAGGATCATACTGCTGCACTTGACCCCACTCCTGAAACATATACAACTGATCTCGAAATCTAATCATTGGGATTTCATGATCTCTCTCCCATAACAGTTCAGGTAAACATTTCCACTCATCTTTATCAGGGATATAGCAGCAGGCATATTTACCTGCACAAGCCACTATAGCTCGTGTCTCAAGTCCTTTTCTCGGTGACTGGGGGAGGTTAACATCGCTTGAAAACGTAGTCAGTTTTATGGCATTTGAAACCAGCCTCAAACAATCAGCGTTGTCACGCACGAGTTCGTTCGTCACGACATTCAACAAATAGTCACGCGATACGAAAACTAGTCGCACGTGACGAAGCAGCTCTTGAAAGGCTGCTTTCCGCTCGCTCTTGTTATGTTCAACCCACTTTTGCGCAATCTGGAACACATCGGCTTCCGTTTCAATGACAATCTCATCACTTGAAATCCATCTCTCCACTTCTTTGGCTTCCAAACTTAGGAATTCATTCATGTCTGCTACAGACGCGAAGTTCGCGTGGATGAAACTCTTGCTTTCGTTTAAAAGCTCTTCACAATCGCATTTCTCGGCGAAGTAGAAGGTTGAAATGCAGTTTAACTCACACATTTGTTGTTGTATAAATCGACCAGAGATTGTTTTCAAATTTGGAACGAGGAGATAATTTGTAGCGATGACCAGCTCTTCGGCATTTTCTTCAGTAACCTCTACAGTTCCAGTATAGATGAATTCCAAAACATCTTCCATAACAGATCCCGAAATCTCCTCGAACCGAACGATCCCTTCCCGATTTTCTTTCATATCGCTCTGAAGAAGCTTGTAAAAGAACGGACTCGCTGCAGAAAGGATATTTCTGTGAGCCTTTAGCTCTTGATCATCTTTCGTAATCAAAGTTATGTCGCATAAGTGGCCTTGTTTTCGTTGTATGTTGAGCCGTTTCATCATTTCTACACAAAAAGGATTCTGTTCAGTGACACTGATAGCTGAAAGGTCTTCCATTGTCAAAGGATAGGCCTTGTTTTCGAGGTTTGTAAGCGGAGATTGTGGTGATTAACAATTTCGGAACGCGAATGCGGAAATTTAGCCAGGACTTCCACAGGCGGCCCAAGCTCCAGCTGTGAGATGATTATCTTACGCAAATGAACGGTCATGGCGGAATTATAAGAGTTTGTATGGTAATATTTACGACCGCTCTAAGGAATAAAAAAATACGTCAAATTCTCAAAAAAAAAATACCTCACCTCGCTTCCACAGCGTATTGCTTGTTATCTGACCGCTTTTCTTATGTACGTTGAAAACCTCGAAATGAACAACTCGCTCAAATGGGCTCTTTTCATCAAAGTAAGCGGTCAGATAACAAGCAATATGCTGTGGAAGCGAGGCGAGGTATTTTTTTTTGGGAATTTGACGTATTTTTTTTTTTTTATTCCTTAGAGCGGTCGTAAATATTCCCATACAAACTCTTATAATTCCGCCATGACCGTTATTGTGTAAGATAATCATCTCACAGCTGGAGCTTGGGCCGCCTGTGGGACTTCTGGCTACGCCTTGACCTTGATGAACAGCTCAGTTTCGATGTTTATATTGATTATTCATGTAAGAAGACTTCAAAGCGTATCGGCATACTTAACAGAATTAAGGCTTACTTACCAAGAACAGAGCTTATACTTTATGATAATTCTGTCATTAAGCCACTGATATTATATTGCAGTGTAACACAGACAAGCTGCTGCAGTCATGATAATATATGTAAGATATTTAAGCTATAGAAACGCTGTGTTCGAATCATTCTTGACGCCCAACAACGCCATGGCACTGTGGATCTATTTAATATTTAAGGATGGGTGCCATATAACATCGAGTCTGACATCAAAAGATGCTTAATGTCCTACAAGAGGATTATGGGTACTTGCCCTGCCTATATAAACGAACAGTTAGAATTAAACAACAGCTAGCACAGCAGAAATACACGAGGTGCTAACTTAACCATTTTACCAAGGAGATACATAAGAGAGAAAGAGGGAGGTCGCACGTTTTCTGCAACAACCTCAAGATGGTGGAATCACCTCCCCCTTAAGCAACGCGCTTCTGAATCGCAAATACTTCGAAGAATGCTTTGTATAAACATTTTAAATCAAGTCAGCTTAGGGATAAGATTTTTTACTCCTTTTTTAGATAATTTATTTTCAGATCAAATGATATAAGCAATTTGTTTTACCTTTAACTTTTAGATCTTGATTTGTTGTACATTATGATTTTTAATTAGGTTCTAATTAAATTCTTAATTAGGTGATTAATTATTGTAGGTTTTATTAAAAATTGTAACAATGTTTATAGAAGGCCACAAGTTCATTTCTTTTTAACTATTAAGTGTCACCCTATTTAAATAAAGTTTGATTGATTGATTGATTAATCGCGTTTAATTCACTTCTTAATTCCCGAGTCACGTCTGAAATAAAAAAAAATTAGTTCACGTGGACATGAAAAGATCTTATTATCTTTAATCACAATTCACGAATAAAGAAAAATCAAATCACGATTCACGAGAAAAAAAATTGCCCAATCACGCTTCACGTAAAAAGTATAAGGAACTCTCAATTAGCTTTGACTCCTGTTCTCTAAAGATCAGAAAGTATAATGCTTTAAATGTCAGCTTTCAAAACCAATCTTTACTGTGGCCAATTTACATTATCAACTCCGTTAATAAAACCAAATATCTTGAAACACCCCCCACTGACGCAGCACCACAGCTTCTTTAGAAACTTATCCACTTTACTCATACGCTTAACATATTTTTTCCCATCCAGCCATTTCAATCAGAGGATTTAAGAATGAAGCTGGTCATGTTAATGCTGATTAGTCTCTGTTTCCATCTCCTTTTTTTATAGCCGGTTTCAATGTATGTGTAGTTAAAAAGGAGGCATCAAATCAGCTCCAAGCAAGACTTTGGTGACAGTCTGTCCTGGTTTTAAGACAATGTAAACTCTCTTTTTTAATTCCTCTGACGGACCGTCAAACAACAACATGATCTGAAACGACTTTTGATTATCTGTGATTGTCCATGTCAAGGGGCGATGTGAACGTCAGTTGTGGAGATTATGATCCCCGTGGCCTATCTTTCACAGGCCACTGTGAAAGGATAATTTATGTGGAACTGATGGAGAGAAGATGGAATGAGGAAAGAACAAATTAGAAAAAAACCCAACTAAAATCATTAAGGGGGGAAATAGAGAGAAAAGATGGAGACGCGGTCCAGGCTCTCTCAAATCTCTTCGGTTAGGCCTGGAAACAAGCGACAAGGGTTATTCCGCATTCGAGGGTTCGCTTTGTTATTATAATTTTCATTTACATTCTTTAGGGTATGGAAGATCTACATCCCATCACTGAAACTGAAAAACCTTCATCCTGTTGGGGCTAACGCTCGAAACGTCAGCTTTGAAACTCTTTACGGTGGCCAATTAACATTGTCAACTTAGTTGATAAAACAAAAATTATCATGTTATACTTCGCCACCGACGCACCTCCTCAGTTTCTTTAGGAACTTACCCGCGTTATTTATAATATTGATTGCTTACTTGGATAAGACACTGTCAGCCTTGTATTACACAGAGGGGCATAGGGGCCTGTCGAAAACAGGACAACGCACCTAAACGGTCATCGAAATAAAATGGCGGAATAGCAATTGTTCCAAACTTAAAAACCACCTGTACACGTTAATATTAGTATTCACTTCACACTGTTCTCTCAACATTTCCTATGGTACTGACGAGGAGAGTTGGTTTGAAAATTAGGAGCTTCTTAAATTGGTGATTGTTTCGTTTATTCTCGTGACCGTTATATTGCTTTAGAGGAGATACCCTTTTCAAAGGATAAATTAGAAGCCAGTTACTCTTAGCTGAAGTTAAGTAATTAGGAAACTATAACAAAATCAATGAACAAAAAAAAAGAAAACTGGAAAACACTTTTATTATTTTTAAACACAAAAATTCGAATGAAAAAAACAGAAAAAGAAGAGAACACTTGACGCTTAAAAATCAGAGTTGACCTTTCAAATACACTTCACTAATGTACTATGATAATGACAATCTAATAAATTACTAAAATGCTTAGGAAATATTGGAAATTGCAATCTTAAAATGAACAAGCCGTAATGATTTTGGCCTCCTGAACAGATTTGACTGTACAGGTATGATCAGTTTGAGCAATAGTTTACTTTTCAAAAGAAAGATTTGTCACTGGTAAGCGAAGATGTAAAAAACTTTTGAATACAGCTAACCAGAATGAAGTGTCTTGCAGTGGAGTAGAATTTCGATCTGTTATTCTTGTACTCTTCTGAGCAGGCAAACTTTTTGGTTGACCTTTACCTGTATCTTTTTACATAACACTTTTTGGCAAATATGTCTGTGTTTTTCTCAAAACCACCATAGCCAATATCTCGTCCCCAGAGTTCCACGGCCAAAGGAAACGGGAATTAGAATGCCCGAAACTGGAAACCAGCTTTACTTCCGTTTTCGATATCTTTTTCGTGTGTTCCCCATTATTAGCTACATTTGAGTGGATTCTGCTCAAGGAAACTAGGATATTCTGCAAATGATGGAAGATATCCAGCCTATCGCAGCTTCTGAAAAAGCGTCATTCTGTGTGGAACTGATGAAACGCCTCAACATTCAGCGAAAACAAGATTGTTTGTGCGACATTACTTTGGTGACGAAAGACGACAGAGAGTTCAAAGCTCACAGAAATGTTCTTTCCGCAGCAAGTCCGTTCTTTTGCAAGCTTCTTCAGAGCGACATGAAGGAGAATCGAGAAGGAATTATTCGACTTGAGGAGATCTCAGGAACTATTATGGAAGATGTTTTGGAATTCATCTACACTGGAACTGTGGAGGTGACTCAAGAGAATGCCGAGGACCTGATCGCCGCAGGAAATTATCTGATCATACCGAGCTTGAAAACTATTTCAGGGCGGTTTTTGGAACGAGAAATGTCCAACTCAAACTGCATTTCAACCTTTTACTTCGCTGAGAAATATGAGTGTGACGAGCTTGTCACTAACAGTAGATGTTTTATTCACGAAAACATCGTTACCGTCGCAAAACTGGATGAATTTTTGCACTTAGAAGCTAAAGAGATCGAGAAGTGGATTTCGTCCGACGAAATTACAGTTACGGACGAAGCTGATGTTTTTAAAATCATCTTAGACTGGATAAACCACAGAAAGAGTGAGCGAAAAGCAGCATTAGAAGAATTGTTTGGTCACGTTCGACTGGGTTTTCTGTCGCGTGACTGTCTGGAGGATGTCGCCACAAACGAACTGGTGCGTGAGAATTTCGCTTGTGTGAAGCTGGTCATGGATGCAACCATACAGATGGCTACCTTGGTTAATGAAGACGATTTTCTGCAATCACCAAGAAGATGTCTTGATAAACGTGTCATTGTTGCTCGTGGTGGCAAGTACACTTTTTGTTATCTCTCTAAAGGAGGCCTGTGGAAGCGCTTGCCAGATGGCCTGAAGGACACAAACAGTTTAAAATTGATAAAATTTCGTGACCAGTTGTTGACATCCACCAATTGTCAAATTTCAGAGAGATACGATTCTATTTTTAACGTTTGGTCTGAGCTGAACTTGAGCATAGATTCTGCAAAGTTGGCCGTTCTTAAAGGAGAAATTTACGCTGTTGAAGTTGAAATCTATGGCAGCCGGAAAACTGTCACGAAGAGGTACAATGTAAAGCAGTGTGTATGGGAGACAATTCACACATATCATGAACAGTGTAGACAGGATGCTTGTGTTATTGCAGCCGGCAGACATCTTTATTCGTTTGGTGGTAGGATTCCACGATCATGTAACTACGTCGTCATAGCTGAGAGATTTGACACTGTGGAAAACAAGTGGGAGAGAATCGCAGATATGCTGGAAGGAAGAAGCGACGCTTTTGGCGTGGCCTCTCAAGAAAAAATCTTCGTTGCTGGAGGAAAAAACTCTACGGGAAGGTTAAAAGCTTGTGAGATGTACAATACGTTAACAAACGAATGGCAACTTATTGCAAACTTGAATGTCCCACGCTGTTATGGTAGTATGGTTTGTCTGAATGGAAAGCTGTACGTACTAGGTGGAGAAAATCAGTTCCGCGATAATCGGGAGCTAAGAGTTGAATGTTTTGACCCTGCAAACGACCAATGGATTCACGAAACAACCATACCAGTGACAAACATTGACCCAGAAAATAACAACACATTCACGGGCTCTGTTCTGAAGCTTTCTAAAGAATTACTAGACAAACTTACGATTGTTGAGTAGTGTTTATCCGCCACTTTACAGCTTTAGAATTAGTCGTGTTTTTCACAGTAGACAGAAGGCACAGCCATTCGATTTTTATTGCCTAAAAATTGAACTGACAAGAGTGTCAGATATTGCAAATCGGAATGCCAGATCCCCAACAGACAAAGCTAAGCGAAGCCTCATCATTATCAGTAAAAGTTCCTGCTCAAGTTTTAGTTTCCTTTGGGGGCCAGGTTTACTGATATTTGGGGACTCATCCATGGTCATATCAGAGTACCCTTTGGGCTTCTCTGCCTCAATTTGCTTATCGCCTTTCCAGTAATTCATATTCTTGGCTATAGGAAGTAAGTACTCAAATAAGGTTCTGAAAGCATCTGTATTTTGCATGCCCGTATAGAGTCAAACATCAGCATCTCTGGTTATTTGTGCAGAGGCTGTACACAGTGTTAACCCCGGGGAATCGTCTCCACTTCTCATCAATTCATCACTTGCAGGTATACCACTATTATCAACCGGTTTTACCTCTGAAGGGCCAGCATGTACAACTGACTTGGTTACAACTGACGTTGCAGCCTCCTTTTTATACTCTAATTAACGCCGCTTTTTGGGTGACTTACTATTTAAATGCTCAAAAGGAGTCAAAAAAAAGAGTAGGTATAGGGTTGCTAACAGAAGGCTTCCCGTCTCGAAAATGATTAGAGCAGACGACAACACTCTCCCTTGACTTTCTTATTCAGAAATCTTTTCTTCCCATCTGAACCTGTCGAGACCATGCTTCAATCAACGATTGCTTGGGTTTGTGGAACGATAACTTCTCTACATGCGAGTGGATGACCCATTTTTTCGGATGTCTTCTACCGTTGTTACAGCCGACACAACACTTATCTCCAAAACCCATTTAACCAAGGGTTTCTCTTTGCCGAGTTAATTGTTTTCAATAGTATGTTAGCCTGTCTGGACGAAAAAGTTTTAAGAACACGTAAACATATTTATTTCAATTTTTCCTCTGCCCAATTAAGTTACTTAATTACAAAAAGTCTTTCGAAAAAGCAGTTCTGTGACCTTCTGGCATTGTCGGCCGCGAGATCACGTTCAAAGACGATCCCAGTGTTCCTATAAAAACCCGGGAAGAAAAGGTTTTTCGCCTAGAGAAAAAAGGTCACTCACCTTTATTAATGTCTTATCTTTTTCAGCGATGGATATTGATTCTTGTTCCTGAACAAAGCGAAAATTAAACGAGGGTAGCGATGCGTGTCTTATTATCATAAGAGATTATATGGCTCGCTGCCTAGCAACGAGGTTTTGTTTGACCCCCAACCAATTTGGCCGCTGAAACCGTGGAAGGATCTATATAGAGGCTCACCTACGGAAAGGCTGGGTTAAATCAAAGGTCCCCTCTTACTAGTTACTGTTTGCTTTGAACCTTCTACTTTAAACTGTCACACTAAAGATAGCATGTGTAGTCATGTTTACAGCACTGGACTTCTAAGTCGTTAATTATCCTTGACTGCTGAGCACCTTTCTTACTGAATGCTTCTCAGGTCAAAACCATAGCATTGCTTGAGTGGACATAGGGGCGTACCAGGGCGTGGGAGGGTTTACCTGACTCGCCAGGTTTAATGTAGTTTCTCTTCACCTCATACAATTGAATTATAATTGTGGAGCAATTTTTGGGAGGCAATTAGGGAAGGTATCAAGGGCTCACTTGATCAAGATGTTTTTATTTCAAAAGCCACCCCAGTCAGAAGTTTTAAGAATGAACTTGGTGTGTTTCCCCTCCTCCTTCTGTGGCTGGGGCCAAGCTATATCCAGGGCATTGTGTGGATTTTTTAAAGGGGGGTCATACTGTGACAAACAGAGGGAATTCACCAGATTTTTATGTTGACCTTCATGCCGTGTTTACTCAATGTGACCAAAAAAAAAGCCTTCAAGGGAAGGGGGCTCACAGGCACCTCAGGACTCCACTGGCTATGCCCTTGTGTATGTAATTAGAAAAAGGGTAATCAAATCAGCTGTTTTGAGAAAATTTGATTAAAAGAAGGTTGATTATATGGAAATAAAAGAGGCAATCGACAAAAAAAAAACAACAACAACAACAACAACAACAACAAAACACTGTTTTTATTCTTAAATGCAAAAATCTGAATAAAAAAAAGGAAATAATGAAAATCCTATTGAATACCTAAACTGAAAAATATGCGAATTTTATGGCTAAAACATTATAAAACTAGTTATCTCAAAAATGTCTAAAAGTCAAGTTTACAGCAACACTGAGTTTGTAGAGCAAAATAATATTTTAAACTTCTTACAACAGCAACAGACACTATAATGTTAGCTTAGATTTCATTTAAGCAAAAATAAGATATCTATGGAAACAAGAAAAGAACCAGTCCAGTATTTAGATGTTATTGTGAGTAATATGTATTAACCCTTATATTAGTTTTTATATCGAATTTTGCATATATTTCATTTAATTTGTAATATGTTATTGATTAACAGGGCTACAAGTTTATTAGTTGTTTAATTATTATTAAAGGGAGCTGGGAACAACAGAACAAAAACCATTAACAGTAATAATAACAAAAAATAATTGAATAAAAATAAGCAAATTTAGATGTTTTAACTGTTGTATTAGTGTTAGATTCTCCCATTACACAAGGCTTTTTTTCCTTATTTGAATAATTGAGGTGGCAGATTCATCAAATTATCATAATTGTAGGTCCTTTACACCTCGACATTAGTATACATATTCTCCATACTGTTCTCTGTACATTTCTTAAGATGCTAACAAGGAGAATTTATTTAATGATCAAAAGCTTGTAACCTTTAGTCAATGATCATTTCCTATATTCTCATGACCTTAGTGTTTGATTCAGGGGTGATACTGTAAGGAGAAAGTAAATGTTGGTCACTCTTAGGTATCAAATGGTTAACTTTGTAAAATTACTCCTAATGCAAGTAAGATAATTGTCATTTATTTAAAGAATGACATTTAAAAACATTTGTCCTAAGTACAAAACAGAGGAAAGCTAGTTGTGAGGGCTAGAGACCCACCCAGTTATAATTTCTCAGTCAGATTATATTCTATCAGCTGAGCTACATGAAAGTTGTTGGTGACCCAGGTTACTGAATTTGAAGTAAATATATGACAAGAAAATGTTGTGCTTTGACTACTTGGATTATAAGATAAAATGTACAGTGAAAGCTCTCTCCATGAACACTCCCCTAAAAAATGCAATAAACAAGTATAAAATGGAAACTTCTACAGGCTTTCAAATACAAGTGCATGTATATTTTATACTGAAATGCTACCAGTCCAAATAAACAACTAACTGATAGTATAACCAATCCCATAGCATATTTGAGCCTTGTTGTTATGCCATGTGTCTTTACTTCTGAAATTTTTCATGGGGTTGGGAGAAAGGGGGGGCAAATCAAATGATAATTTGTTTAAGGATTGGGCTATTTACTGAGTTCATGAGTGACAGGCATCCTGTATTTTATGATGTATTCAGCGATGCCTAAAGTGTATTCTTATTTTAATGAAGTTGCTATAACAAACTTAATTCAAGTGGGCTTGCTTAACCCTTAAACTCCTAAGATCTGATTGTTCATTCTCTCTTCTAGCTGCTACAAATTTCTTATTTATTGGTTATGAGAATTTGGTGTTAGATCAAAAGAACAACTTCAACCTGATAAGTTTAATTATTCCCATTACCTGGCAATTTGGTAGATAATGTGTGGATATTACAGAGAGAAATTACTTGTTGATCACTTCTGGGAGTTAAAAGGTTTAGCAAAAAGCAGGTCAGATGAGATTTCAATCTTGGATCAAATAAACTGACTTTTTTGATTGAGCAAAACCTAACATTTGTTAAAAGTATACTCTAAAAAATTGTGCTCAAGTAGAACATGCATATTGTGAGCACTATTTCTATTATGTATAATTAGCATTTTTAAACTACAAACTTCAATTCCTCTTTCTAGAAGTTCTCAGATATGTCAAGACGAGTGATGCCAGCACACAAATTTCCAAAAAACCGGCTACTTAAAAAAACAGAAACAAAAATAAAAATATTTAGTTTCAAGGATTTGGTCTTTATAAGAGAAAAAAGGCCATGTGTTGTTGTTCTCTTGGCATAGCAACATTCTGCTGAGAAAATTCAATGTTTTTCTATTTTGACTCAGGTTGATGGGAAAGTTCAGTCATTGTCTCATCTACCAGTAACCTTATCTATCTTTGATGAGGTTCTGTCACAAATTACTGTCAAAAATTGTTTCTTCAGTGCATTTTCTTGAGGTTATTTTCTTTCATTTGAGTACAGTTTTATTGCGGTTTATGGACCTCTTCAACTGCATCAGCAAGTTTATTCAGCACTCCTATGGAGAACTTGAGCACACAGCCTTTAAATGCCTTTTTATTCTTCCAGTCCTCTTTCACTGGTATGGTTGTCTTCACAACCCACTTGCCCTGTTTGTCATAACATTCAACTGAATGTTCTGGGTTTTTCTTAGTTTGGTCAAAGCCACCCAGCACATACAATGTTCCACCAAGACAAACCATACTACCATGTGTGCGGTAAACATTCAAGTCTGCAATTAACTGCCATTCATTTGTGGAAACATTGTACACCTCGCATGTTTTCGACACTGTACTTTCTTCATCTGTTCCTCCAGCGATAAAAATCTTTTCCTGACCGGCCACACCAAAAGCCCCACCTCTTGCTTGTTGCATGTCTGTGATTTCTTCCCATTTCTTTTCCGTGATGTCAAATCTGTCAGCTTTTGCAACATGTTGGAATGTATGTGGGGACGTCCCACCCAAAAGATACAAAAAGTTATCAGATCCAATGAAACAAGAATCTTTCCTGTAGCACTGAGAAGAGGAGTGAAGCTCTTGCCATGAACATGTCTCTACCTGGAACTTTTCAATGGTTAATATTTTTCTGTCTACAAAACTGAAATAAATAGTTTCACTGATAGAAAATAACTCTCCTCCGATGACAGTCACCTTGTCCTTACATACGCCAGAGGGGAATGATGACCAACCATTAAAGACAGGATCATACCTCTCTACTCGATCGAAGAAACTAAACATGAATAACTGATCACGAAATCTAATCATGTGGGTTGAAGGGATGTTGGTCCTCCGTTCTTTAGTTGACCTGTTACATGTAGGTAAGATTTTCCACTCATCTCTCTGAGGGAAATAACAAAAGGCGTATTCTCCTTCACAAGCCACGATAGCACGCGTGTCAAGCCCTTTTCTTGGGGACTGGGGAAGGTCGTCATCGCTTGAAAACGTAGTCTGTCTTATGGCATCTGAGACCAGCCTCAAACAACCAGCGTTGTCACGCACGAGTTCGTTTGTCACGACATTCAACAAATAATCACGCGATACGAAAACCAGTCGAACGTGACGAAGCAGCTCTACAAAGGCTGCTTTCCGCTCGCTCTTGTTATGTTCAACCCACTTTTTCGCAATCTGGAAAACATTGGCTTCTGTTTCGACAACAATCTCATCACTTGAAATCCATCTCTCCACCTCTTTGGCTTCCAAACTTAGGAATTCACCCATGTCTGCTACAGACCTGAAGTTCGCGTGAATAAAACTCTTGCTGTCGTTTAAAAGCTCTTCACAATCGTATTTCTCGGCGAAGTAGAAGGTGGAAATGCAGTTTAACTCACACATTTGTTGTTGTATAAATCGACCAGAGATTGTTTTCAAATTTGGAACGAGGAGATAATTTGTAGCGACGACCAGCTCTTCGGCATTTTCTTCAGTAACCTCTACAGTTCCAGTATAGATGAATTCCAAAACATCTTCCATAACAGATCCCGAAATCTCCTCGAACCGAACGATCCCTTCCCGATTTTCTTTCATATCGCTCTGAAGAAGCTTGTAAAAGAACGGACTCGCTGCAGAAAGGATATTTCTGTGAGCCTTTAGCTCTTGATCATCTTTCGTAATCAAAGTTATGTCGCATAAGTGGCCTTGTTTTCGTTGTATGTTGAGCCGTTTCATCATTTCCACACAAAAAGGATTCTGTTCAGTGACACTGATAGCTGGAAGGTCTTCCATTGTCAAAGGATAGGCCTTAACTGTTTTCGAGGTTTGTAAGCGGAGATCGCGGTGATTAACTATATCAGAACGCGAATGCGGAAATTAAAAAAATACTTTGTGGTACTCAGGCTGCCCCGGCCAGCTCAGAAGCGATAAGCTGCACCAGGCTTTCAGGAGGTCACCTGGTGGTGACTGGTGCGGAGATTGGGGAGGGAGAGGTACTAGAGATGGGAGGGGAAAGGATTGAATACGGACAGTCTGATTTGACAGCGGTAAGTACGGAAGAGAAATGCGTAATGCAAATATTTCTAAATTATTGATGTCAGGAGCGGTAATGGGCTGCTGTTAGACTTGAGTCGATTGTGCTCGTAAAACAGGCATCTTATGCTCCAAGCACTACTTAAAAATTTCTGAAATTTATGCCCGAGTCACGCTCGTTTCTCTAAATTATGCTCCTTGCATCAAAATTATGCTACTTGATTTTTAAGCAAAATAAAGGCAAAGCGCTGGAGTATACACAAAACAAACAGCAACTAATTACTTATCTGGTGACTGCAGCCCATCATTTCAATAAGCCAATTATCAAACAATGTGCCGTTACACGTTTCCCCTGCATTTGTTCCTCAGAACTGTTAAATATACTGCTGATCATTTTTCAATCAATGGAGCCTCTTAAGTCAAAGTAAGAATGCAGAGTAATACGCTTATCAGGCGTTTATTGTACTGAAGCATAACACAAGCCTGAATATAATCTACTAGAGCATGGTCTTGCGAGTTGTTGAAAGAGGAGTTAATTATTGAGAATACTCTTTCTGCAGCAGCAGATGAGGGTTGTACAGGGATAACCTTCATGACTGCAAACGATCAATGTGGCGATCGATCTGAGTGCTGTCGCCACCAGTTCACTTTGTCTTCTTCGCAGGCCATTGTGAAGTTATGGGCCGCAGCAACATAGTTAGGCAGTTCCGTGATTAAGCCATTTATTACATGATTACCGTCCAAAAACGGAAATAATGGTAGGCCTTGTACAGTTGCTGGCGCAGGTCGCAGCCATTGCACAGCTTCCGGGCACATTATTCTAGCAGCCTTGAATGCGCTCAACTTTTTGCACAAATCTGCATTGAATTTTCGCAAAAACCATTGAATTCCAGACTCGACACTCCTTTTGGCTTCCTATTCCAGTGCTGCAACATTTTTTGTGGGATCTCCAGCCGTTATAGTGACAGCTACTGCGTGGACATTTCGGAAATGTGGCACCTGACATACATTCGCAACCGTTTGTAATCTCTCGAAGCACTGGAGAAGACTTGTGGGCCTGAAACCAACAAACGTTACAACGACCACAGTGAATCACCATAAGCGCATTTCATCATTAGCGACAAACATTCAAGAAACATAATTCAGTCAAGAGAAGTATATTCAATACAAAATTACGAAAATTGTTCACATCATGGAAGTGAAAAAGCAGATTATGCCAGCAGTGCTTTTCTTTGAAAAAAGTTCAAAATTATGCTCGTTTTGCCAAATTATACTCAAATTATGCTGGCACAATCGACTCAAGCCTAGCTGTTGTTGGTGTGGAGTGTTCTGAAATGAGGCTGGAGACGAGACTAAAATACGTATGGGAGGTGAAAGAAAAGGGTAAGACAGGTATATGATTCAAATTCCTCCGTTTCCTTTCATATATTCCAGAGAGAAATATGTTTTTCGGTAAACTACAGCCCCCCCCCCCCACCCCCAGTGCCTAAGATATAAGGTGACAAAATTGAAAAAAAAAAAATCAACCGTGAGGGCAAAGTCTTCTTCCAAATGAATATATATTTAGGGGAATGTTTGTGAAGTGAGCTTCCACTTTACAGAATATCTTATCCGAGTCGTAGCCAGGACTTCTGGCTACGCCTTGACCTTGATGAACAGCTCAGATTCGATGTTCATATCGAGTCTTTATGTAAGAAGATTTCAAAGCGTATCGGCATACTTAACAGAATTAAGGCTTACTTACCAAGAAGAGAGCGTATACTTTGTAATAATTCTTTAATTAAACCACTGATATTATATTTCAGTGTAACATGGACAAGCTGCTGTAGTCATGATAATATAAATAAGATATTTAAGCTGCAGAAATGCTGTGTTCGAATCATCCTTGACGCCCAACAACACCATGGCACTGTGGATCTATTTAATATTTTAGGGTGGGTGCCATATAACATCGAGTCTGACATCAAAAGATGCTTGATGGCCTACAAGAGGATTATGGGTACTTGCCCTGCCTATATAAACGAACAGTTAGAACTAAACAACAGCCAGCACGGCAGAAATACACAAGGTGCTAACTTAACCATTTTACCAAGGGGATACATTAGAGAGAAAGAGGGAGGCCGCACGTTTTCTGCAACAACCTCAAGATGTTGGAATCACCTCCCCCTTAAGCTACGCGCTTCTCAATCTGTAAATACTTTGAATAATGCTTTGTATAAACATTTTAAATCAAGTCAGCTGAGGGATAAGAATTTTTACTCCTTTTTTAGATTATTTATTTTTAGATCGCGTGAATTGAGCAAAATGTTTTACCTTTAATTTTTTAGATCTTGATTGTTTGTACATTATGATTTTCAATTAGGTTTTAATTAAATTCTTAATTAGGTTATTAATTATAATAGGTTTTTTTAAAAAATTGTAACAATGTTTATAGAGGGCCATATGTTCATTAGTTTTTAACTTTTAAGTGTCACCCTATTTAAATAAAGTTTGATTGATTGATTGATTGATCACGTTTAATTTACTTCTTCATTCCCGAGTCACGTTTGAAATTAAAAAATTAGTTCACGCGGACATGAAAAGATCTTATTATCTTTAATCACGATTCACGAATAAAGAAAAAATCAAATCACGATTCACGGGAAAAAAAAATTGCTGAGTCACGTTTCACGTAAAAAGTATATGGAACCCTCAATTAGCTTTGACTTCTGTTCTCTATAGATCAATCAGTAGCCAAGGGCTTATGCAGTCTGATGAAGGGCTAATGCTTGAAATGTCAGCTCTAAAAATCGATCTTTACTGTGGCCAATTTACATTATCAAATCCGTTAATAAAACCAATATATCTTGAAACACCCCCCACTGATGCAGCACCACAGCTTCTTTAGAAACTTTACTCATACGCTTAACATATTTTTTCCCATCCAGCCATTTCAATCAGAGGTTTTAAGAATGAAGCTGGTCATGTTAATTCTGATTAGTCTCTGTTATCATCTCCTCTTTTTATAGCCAGTTTCAATTTATGTGTATATAGTTTAAAAGGGGGCATCAAACCAGCTCCAAGCAAGACTTTGGTGACAGTCGGTCCTGGTTTTAAGACAATGTAAACTCTCTTATTTACTTCCTCTGACGGACCGTCAAACAACAACATGATCTGAAACGACTCTTGATGATCAGTGATTGTCCATGTCAAGGGGCGATGTGAACGTCAGTCCTGGAGATTATGCTCCCGGTGGCCTGTCTTTCACAGGCCACTGTGGAAGGCGAATTTATGTGGATCTGATGAAAAGAGGATGGAAAGAGGAAAACACAAATAAGAAAAAAAAAAAAGAACCAAAATCATTAAAGAGGGAAAATAGTGAGAAAAGACGGAGACGCGGTCCAGGCTCTCTCGAACCTATTCGGTTAGGCCTGGAAACAAGCCACAAGGGTTATTCAAGGGTTCGCTTTGTTGCTTTCATCTTCATTTGAATTCTTTAGGGTATGGAAGATCTACATCCTATCACTGAAACTGAACAAACTTCATTCTGTTAGCCCTTCGTCCATTTGCTGTGACGAAGGGCTAACGCTCGAAACGTCAGCTTTTAAACTCTTCAATTTACATTATCAACTTAGTTGATAAAACAAAAATTATCATGTTATACTTCCCCACCGACGCACCACTACAGTTTCTACAGAAACTTACCTTCTTAATTTTTAATATTGATTGCTTACTTGGATGAGACACTATCAGCCTTGTATTACACAAAGGGGCACAGGGGCTTGTCGAAAACAGGAACACGAGCCTAAACGGTCATTGAAATTTAATGCCAGATTAACAATTCACTCCACACTGTCCTCAACATTTCCTACAGTAATGACGAGGAGAATTTGTTTAAAAATCTGGAGCTTCTTAGATTGGTGATCGTTTCCTTTATTGTCGTGACCTTTATATTTGCTTTGGAGAAGACACCCTTCAAAGTAGAAATTAGAAGCCAGTTACTCTTAGGTTAAAGGATTACGAATAATGTTGTTACCTGAAGTTAAGTAATAAGGAAACTATAAAAAATCAATGAACAAAGAAAAAACGACAAAACACTTTTATTATTCTTCAAATGTAAAAACAGAAAAAGAAGAAAACACTCTAAACCTAAAAGTCAGAGTTGACCTTTCGAATACACTTTACTTATGCACTATGATAATGACAATGCAATAAATTACTAGAGCACTTAGGAAATGTTGGAAATTGCAATCTTTAAATGAACAAGCCTTAATAATTTTGCCCTCCTTAACAGATTTGATTGTTCAGGTATATGATTAGTTTGAGCATTAGTTTACTTTTCAAAAGAAAGAATTGTCACTGGTAAGCGAAGATGTAAGAAACTTTTGAATAGCAATGGGGCAGAATTTCGATCTGTAATTCTTACACTCTTCTGAGCAGGCAAAATTTTTGGTCGAAATGTTTTTTGCAAATATGCCGTCTGTATATTTTTTAAACTCTTTCAATCTTTTTCCCCTCTTTTCCTCAAAAATTTTCCCGTAGCTATGAGACCATCATCTCGTCCCCAGAGTTCCACGGCTAAGGGACCTGGAAATTAAGATGGAAAACTGGGAACCAGCTATACTTCCGCTTTCGACTTTTTTTTTTATGTGTTTTCGTTATCAGCTACATTTAAGCGGATTTTTCTTAAGGAAAGTAAGTGATGGAGGACATCCAGCCTATCTCAGCTGCTGAACAAGCATCATTCTGTGTGGAACTGATGAAACGCCTCAACATTGAGCGAAAACAAGATTATTTATGCGACATTACTTTGGTGTCGAAGGACAACAGAGAGTTTAAGGCTCACAGAAATGTTCTTTCCGCCGCAAGTCCGTTCTTTTGCAGGCTTCTTAAGAGCGACATGAAGGAGAATCGGGAAGGGATTATTCGCTTTGAAGAAATTTCAGGATCCATTATGGAAGATGTTTTGGAATTCATTTACACTGGGACTGTGGCGGTGACTCAAGAGAATAGTAAGGAACTGATCGCCGCAGGGAATTATCTGATCATACCAGGCTTGAAAACAGCTTCAGGGCGGTTTTTGGAACGAGAAATGTCACACATAAACTGTATTTCAACCTTTTACCTTGCTGAGAAATATGATTGTGACGAGCTTATCACTAACAGCAGGCGTTTCATTCACGAAAACATCGTTTCCGTGGCAAAACTGGATGAATTTTTGCACTTGGAAGCTAAAGAGATCGAGAAGTGGATTTCGTCGGACGACATTACAGTCAAAGAGGAAGCTGATATTTTTAAAATCATATTAGACTGGGTAAACCACAGAAAGGGGTGAGCGGAAAACAGCGTTTGAAGAACTGTTTGGTCATGTTCGACTCGGTTTTCTGTCGCGTGACTATTTGGAGGATGTCGTGACAAACGAACTGGTGCGTGAGAATTTTGCTTGTGTGAAGCTGGTCATGGATGCTGCCGTGAAGATAGCTACCTTTGTTGATGAAGATCATCTCCCGCAGTCACCAAGAAAAGGGCTGGAAACACGTGTTATTGTAGCACGTGGTGGCAAGTACACTTTTTGTTATATTCCAGAAGAAGACCATTGGAAGCGTTTACCAGATGGTAATGCGGAGTTGAAGGCCAGTACCTCTAAGATGATAAAATTCCGTGATCAGTTGTTTACCTTTAGCAATTCTGAAGGCTCAGAAAGATATGATCCTATTTTTAACGATTGGTCAGCCTTGAAATCGCACGTAGACTCGCGTGACGTGGCTGTCGTTAAGGGAGAAATTTACGCTGTTCAAATAAACACCACTGACCAGAGCACTACGGTCTCTAAAGTACAATGTAGAGCTGTGTAGATGGGAGACAGTTGATCTCTCGTTTGATCAAGATTGTAGAGTTTATACTTGTGTTGTTGCAGCTGGTAGACACCTGTATATGATTGGAGGGTGGAAAAACACACAGACATTTTTCGCAAAATGTAATAGATTCGACACTGTGGAAAAGAAATGGGAAGAAATCGCTGATATGCAGGAAGAAAGAGGTGGCCCTTTTGGGGTGGCCACTCGAGAGAAAATCTTCGTCGCTGGAGGGATAAACAGTAGAATAAGATTAAATACTTCCGAGGTGTATGATATTTCAACTAATGAATGGCAACTTTTTCAATGCCTAAACGTTCCTCGTTATTATGGTTGTATGGTACAACTGAATGGAAAGCTGTACGTGCTGGGTGGAATGAAAAAGGACAAACAAAATGAACTGTGTGTTGAATACTTTGACACTGCTGAGGACAAATGGATTCAAAAGACAACCATACCCGTGAAAAGCATCTCTGGAGCAGATAATTCGTTTATCGGATGTGTAATGAGGCTTTCCAAAGGAGCCCTAGACGAACTAAGTGTTATAGATGTGTAGTCTCAAAGTCAATTTACGACTTTAGCAATGCTGACAATGCACACTATATAAGGACTGGTCATGGGGAGGGGGGGGGATGGGGGTTGAAGAATTTGGTAGTGTTACGACTTAATTTACCTTTCCCCCTCTGGTAGTCAATAGGCAGTCATTTTTCTATAGTCGCGTCTTTATGCTCTGTTGGTGATGACTAATACCTCCTCCGTTCTCCTTGAAAACGATGTGATCCAAACCCCCCCCTCCTCTCGGACCATAAGAAATATCTGGGTCCTTTAGTATAAGATTTGACTCAAGTAAAAAGTTGAAGTCCTTAAGCGTTTGTCAAATTCAATCAATAATTCCATTGATAATAATTAAGAAGCAAATGCTTCACAACCAAGAATGGAACTCGTAGTACAGGGGAGAAATTGTAGAAATAGCAATTGTAAAATAAACTAAAGGTTTCTTGTGCCTAATTATACTACAAAAAAATACAATTAAAAATGCCGATTTGTGCGACAAAAACAAAAATCGAAGATATAGAGTGTTTTGCCTGATTGAGTTTCAATTATTATGTCACAACTATTATTGGAACCGCAAAGGACCTCTGAGCCGAGGGTAGCATGATCCCGTTTCCCGCAAAAGTTTTCGAAAAGCAGACGCGTCTTGAGGTTTTCACTTAACGGAAGAAGAACTTCACGGGTCACGTATACTTCAGGAGGCAAATCACGCCTCAGGCTGGTTCACAAATTCACGCAAGAGAATATAAACTTGTATTCTCTTGATTCACGTACGTAGCACACTCGCCTTTCTGCAAAAATTGGCGCGTCACATGAATTTTGGCATCAATCACGCATCTCGTTAACCATTTGCCACCATCTGAGCAGTTTTTTACAATTCTCAAAATTTTTGTCGATTTTGGCTAGCATGTATTCTCCTTTCTTTCAAGTTCAAGTCATATTTTGTTTATTGAGTGGTGCCAGGGTTCATGCAAATCATAGAAATCCTGGAAAATCTTAGAATTCCATCTCTCACGGGCAGGAAGATCTTTATTTCACAATTTGAGAAAATCCGGCGGCCACTTAATTTGTGGTCATTTGGGCGAATCAAAGCATCATCGAACCCTAACTTGGTAACTAAGTCGGTTCGAAGGATTTAAAGTGCAAGCCCGACGGTTTGAAATAAGTGGCCGATAACACTAATGGTAAAATGCTGTGATCAGTTGTTCTCTTTTACATCCAATCAAGATACAGAGATATAAGAGTTTTTTAATCGCTGGTCAGGAATAAACTTTAATTCGCTTAGATTCTCCCGAGGTGGCTGTGGTAAATGGAGGCATTTATGTTGTTGAATTTGGATACGATTCGATGGAAACTGCTGTGAAAAGATACGATGCGAAGTTGTGCGCATGGGATACACTTCACTTATTTGATGAATTGTGTGGAGAAAAAGCTTGTAATGTTGCTGCTGGCAGCCATCTGTATATCCATCGCTAAGGCTGAGAGATTTGACACCATGGAAAACAAATCACATGAAATTGCAGACATGCTGGAAGGAAGAAACGATGCTTTTGGAAAAGCTTCTTAAGAGAAATCTATGTCACTGGAGGATTCAAAATGGGGAAAAATTGAAAACTTGTGAGATTTACGATGCGTCAGCAAATGAGTGGCAACTTATTGCAAGCCTAAATGTTTTACATTATCATGGTTGTATGATTTGTTTGAATGGAAAGCTGTTCGTACTGGGTGTAAGAAATGAGAGAAACCAAAGTGAACTGAGTGTTGAATGTTTTGACAGTGCTAGGGACAGCTGGATCCTCACAGAAAAAATACCAGCGACAAATTATATAAACCCGTCGATTGGCTGCATTCTTAGACTCACCAGAAAACTGCTAGGCAAACATAAGGTTCTTGGGTAGTAGTCCCTCAAACACTTTAAAGCACTGACATAAGGAAGCTTTTTAAGCTTAAAAGTATGAGGTTAACGACAACAGACGAGCCTACGATAGAATTTAAATCTGGAAGTTAATAACGTTCACTGAAGAAATAAATCGAAGATCACAGTTACCAATTGATCACAATTGCTGTTTTACATCACCAAAAAGCAAGGAAAAAGCTTTTAAATACAACTGAGTAAAAATCACATGTAGTTGTAATCTCACTCACTCACTCACCCATGCCCATTATGCCGTGTGACATGTAGGGCGGGTACGAAGATTCGCCAAGTCTGTCGGTTCCGGGCCAGCTTCTGAATGGTACCCCAAGTGTGTTGCATGGTCTTGAGCTCTACTTCCACAGTTCGGCGCCACGTGTTTCTTGGTCTTCCCCTCGTGCGCTTTCCTTCAGGTGTCCAGTGAAGGGCTGTGCGAGTGATGTTGTCCTACTCTCTTCTCATGACGTGCCCAATCCATCCCCATCACCTTCGCATGATGATGGTCTCCATGCTGTCTTGATTGCAGCGGGCAATCGAGTAGCTGTTGGTTGGAGATGGTGTCAGGCTAAAAGATTTGCACGATTATCCTGAGGTTCTTTATGTGGAAGACTGACAGCTTGGTGATGTCGCTCTCTGTCATCCTCCATGGAGTTATAATGCATGTTTATAATTGAATCTTTTGTACAAATCTCACATTTGCTCATTTCTAATTTTTTAGTGGATTTGCAATCCTTAAGAACTCTTCTTTTATTCGCAGCTCTGTTTTAATATAGATTTGCGATGCGAGTTGAAGCGAAATTTACGTGAAATTCCCGGGAAGGAAGATTACCGTTCATAACTCAATAGTTGTGCTAAATTTGAGCCAAGGTTCTCCTTCCTTCCTCATCTTTGCGCCCTCTGCACGTTTGAACAATTAAAATTAGTATATCTTTTTATATATTTCTTTCCGGGAATATGTCTTTAGGATATTTTCTCAAAATAGTTCAGCTTCTGTCTTCATCTCTGTCTCTCAAGATTCTGGCTACAGCCCTTTCGGGTCCTCTTAGGGCTATACGTTATGTTGGCTAATCGTCCCCAATGTCTTCAGGGGGACTCGGAAAAAGAAAATCAAGGGGGCTCATGGAAAACTGGGAACCAGCTTTGCAGCTTTCGGTATTTTTGCTGAGTATTCAACAATATCAGAAATGTTTGAGCAGAAACTGCTCACAGTAACAAGGAAATTCTGTAAAATATGGAAGATATACAGCTTATCTTAGCCGCTTGACAGGGGCCTTTCTGTGTGGAACTGATGAAGCGCCTCAACATTCAGCGAAAACAAGATTATTTGTCCGACATCACTTTGGTTTCGAGAGACAACGTAGAATTTAAGGCCCACAGAAATGTGCTTTCCGCCGCAAGTCCGTACTTTGACAAACTTCTTCAGGGTAACATGAAAGAGAATCGAAAAGGGATCGTTCCGCTTGAGGAGATTTCAGGATCTGTTCTGGAAGATGTTTTGGAATTCATCTACACTGGAACTGTGGATGTGACCCAAGAGAATGCCGAGGAACTGATCGCCGCAGGAAATTATCTGATCATACCGAGCTTGAAAACTATTTCAGGGCGGTTTTTGGAACGAGAAATGTCATCTATAAACTGTATTTCAACCTTTTACCTCGCTGAGAAATATGAGTGTGACGAGCTTATCACCAACAGCAGGCGTTTTTTTCATGAAAACATCGTTTCCGTGGCAAAACTAGATGAATTTTTGCAGTTGGAAGCTAAAGAGATCGAGAAGTGGATTTCGTCCGACGAGATTACAGTCAATGAGGAAGCTGATGTTTTTAGAATCATATTAGACTGGATAAACCACAGAAGGAGTGAGCGAAAAACAGCATTTGAAGAACTGTTTGGTCATGTTCGACTCGGTTTTCTGTCGCGTGACTCTTTGGAGGATGTCGTGACAAACGAACTGGTGCGTGAGAACTTCGCTTGTGTTAAGTTGGTGATGGATGCAACCGCACAGATGTCTAGCTTTGTTAATGAAGATGATTTTCTGCAATCACCAAGAAGATGTCTTGATACCCGTGTCATTGTAGTTCGTGGTGGCAAGTACACTTTTTGTTATATTCTTAGAGAAGACTTGTGGAAGCGCCTACCAGATGGTCTGAAGGACGAAAACGACTGGAACAATCGGATGATAAAATTTCGTAACCAGTTGCTCACTTTTACCAAAGATCAAATTTCAGAGAGATACGATCCTATTTTTAACATTTGGTCTGAGCTTAACTTGAGAAAAGATCGTGCAAAGTTTGCCGTTCTTAAAGGAGAAATTTATGCTGTTCATCTTGACTACCATTGTACGAGAACTGTCACAGAGAGATACAACGTAAAGCGGTATGCTTGGGAGACAATTCATCCATATCATGAACTGTGTAGATGGGATGCTTGTGTTATTGCAGCCGGCAGCCATCTGTATGCGTTTGGTGGGAACATTCCACACTCAAGTGACTACGTTGCCATAGCTGAGAGATTTGACACTGTGGAAAACAAGTGGGAGAGAATTGCAGATATGTTGGAAGGAAGAAGCTACGCTTTTGGCGTGGCCTCTCGAGAAAAAATCTTTGTAGCTGGAGGAGAAAACATGACAGGAAGATTAAAAACTTGTGAGATGTACAATACGTTAACAAACGAATGGCACCTTGTTGCAAACTTGAAAGTCCCACGCTGTTATGGTAGTATGGTTTGTCTGAACGGAAAACTGTACGTACTGGGTGGAGAAAGTCGCTACACCCGAAGTGAACTAAGTGTTGAATGTTTTGACCCTGCAAATGACCAATGGATCCAGGAAACAACCATACCAGTAACAAACATTGACCCAGAAAATAACGACATATTCACTGGCTCTGTTCTGAAGCTTTCAAGAGAATTACTAGACAAACTTATGATTGTTGAGCAGTAGTCTCTCTGACACTTTACAGCTTTATAAGAATTAGTCATGTTGTTCATAGCAGACAGTTGGCACAGCCATTTTTTTTATTACCTTAATTTAGAAGCTCGCCCAAGGAAAGGCTGGGTTAAATCAAAGGTCCCCTCTTATTAGTCACCGTTTACTTTGAACCTTATACTTAAAACTCTCTCTGGGAGGGAAAACAAGCGTGAGTTGTTTTTCTTCTAAATTAGAACTAGGATCCTCCTGTCATCCTAATCTTTGTACCCTATGCCCTTTTGCTTGCGTTTATATTCAATCAGGGACCAATAATTAATTATTACTCGGGCCAACAGAGGGATTTTGGGGGATTAAACCTTTAACTCCCAAGATCTGATTGTCAATTCTCCCTGCTTGCTGCTACACATTTTCCTGTAAATTAGTTACAGGAATTTGCCGTTACATCAAGATAGCAACTTTTACCTGATAAGTTTGAGTATCCTCATTATATTTAGCTGGATAATGTATGATTCAAGGGTGACATTGTAAGGAGATATTAGATGCTAATCACTCTTGGGGATCAAAGGGTTAACTTTGTAAAATTACTTCAATGCATGTAAGAAAATAGTCATTTATTTAAAGAATGACATATAAGAAAATTGTTCTAAGCACAAAACAGAGAAGAGCTAGTTGTGAGGGCTTGAGCCCCACCCAGTTACAATTTCACTGTCAGATTTTATTCTATCAGCTGAGCTGCATAAAAGTAGTTGGTGACCCAGGCCACTAAATGTTAAGTAAATATAAAGAGAAAAATGTTGTGTTTTGACCACTTGGATTATAAGATGAAATGTACAGACTGAAAGCTCTCTCCATAAACACTCCCCTAAAAAAATGCAGTATACAATTATCAAACGGAAGCTTTTACAGGCTTTCAAATACAAGTGCATGTATATTTTATACTGAAATGCTACCAGTCCAAATAAACAGCTAACTCATAGTATAACCAATCCCATAGCATATTTGAGCCTTTTTGTTATGCCATGTGTCTTTACTTCTGAAATTTTTCATCGGGTTGGGAGGAAGGGGGGCAAATCAAATGATAATTTGTGAGAGGATTTGGCTATTTACTGGGTTCATGAGTGACAGGTATCCTGTATTCAGTAATGGTTATAATGTATTTTTATTTTAAGGATGTTTCTATAACAAGCTTAATTCAAGTGGGCTTGCTTAATTTAACCCTTAAACTCCCAAGGTCTGATTGTTCAGTTTATCCTCTAGTTACTACAAATTTCCTTGTATATTGGTTATGAGAATTTGGTGTTAGATCAAAAGAACAACTTCAACCTGATAAGTTTAATTATTCCCATTACCAATTTGCTAGATATTGTGTGGATATTATAGGGAGAAATTACATGTTAATCACTTTTGGGAGTTAAAGGGTTTAGCAAAAAGTAAGTCAGATGGGATACTAATCCTGGATCAAATAAACTGACTTTTTTTGATTGAGCAAAACCTAATTAACATTTGTGAAAAGAAAACTCTACAAAATTGTGCTAAAGTAAAACATGCCAATAGTGAGCACTATTTCTATTGTTTATAATTAGCATTTTTAAATTACAAACTTCAATTCCTCTTTCTAGAAGTTCTCAGATGTGTCAAGATGAGTGATGCTAGTACAAATATTTCCAAAACACTGGCTACTTAAAAAAACAGAAACAAAAAAATTAATATAAAAACAAAAATTAAAACATTTAGTTTTAGGAAAGAAAAATATTTTTTAACTTATCAAGGATTTGGTCTCTATGAGAGAAAAAAAGGCCAAGTCTTGTTGTTCTCTTGGCATAGCAACATTCTGCAGGGAAAATTCAATCGTTTTCCATCTTGACTCAAGTTGATGGGAAAGTTCAGTCATTGTTCTATCTACGGGTAACCTTACCTATCTTTGATCCAGGGGATTCTATTACTGTCACATATTGTTTTTTCAGTGCATTTTCTTGAGGTTATTTTCTTTCATTTGAGTACAGTTTATGCCCAGTTATTAACTAACTAAATCCTCTTCTTCTGGATCAGCAAGATAATCCAATACTCTTCTGGAGAACCTTAGCACACAGCCTTTAAATGCCTGTTCATTCTTCCCATCCTCCTTCACTGGTATGGTTGTCTTCACAATCTGCTTGCCTTGTTTATAACAATCAACTGAATGTTCTGGGTTTTTCTTGGTTTGGTCAAAGCCACCCAGCACATACAATGTTCCACAAAGACAAAGCATGTTTACCATGTGTGCTGTAAACATTCAAGTTTGCAGTTAACTGCCATTAATTGGTGGAAATGTCTAAGCATGTCTGTGATTTCTTCCCATTTCTTTTCCATAATGTCAGATCTGTCAGCTTTTAGCAGGTATTCTGAGAAATAAGGAAACTATAAAAAATCAATGAACAAAAACTAAATTTTTCTTAAACAAAAATCCGAATGTAAAACAGACAAGAGAGAAAACACTTGACACTTAAAAAGTGAGAGTTAACCTTTCGATTACACTTTAGTTAATATGCACTATGATATGGACGAGCAGTAAATATTTTGGCCTCCTAGACAGATTTTATTGTACAGGTAGGATTAGTTTGAGCATTAGTTTATTTTTCCAAAGAAAGAATTGTCACTGGTAAGTAAAGGTATAAGAAACTTTTGAATACAGCGAACCAATGGTCTTCCAACGGGCCAGTATTTCGATCTGTAAATCCTGCACTCTTCAGGGCCAGAAATTTTTTGGGCGACCTTTGCCTGTATCATTTTACGTGAAATCTTTTTTTGGAAATAGAGGCCAAGTATGAGACCACAACTATTATCTAGTCCCCAGCGAACCACGGCCAAGAGACTCGGAAAGTAAGACGGAAAACTGGGAACACTTAGACTTCAGCTTTCTATCTTTTCCATGTTTTTTTTCATTATCAGCTACATTTAAGCGGATTCTACTCAAGGAAAGTAAATGATGGAAGATATCCAGCCTATTTTAGTTGCTAAACAAGCTTCAATCTGTGTGGAATTGATGAAGCGCCTCAACATTCAGCGAAAACAAGATTATTTATGTGACATTACTTTGGTGACGAACGACGACATAGAGTTTAAGGCTCACAGAAATGTTCTTTCCGCCGCAAGTCTGTTCTTTTGCAAGCTTCTTCAGAGCAACATGAAAGAGAATCGAGAAGGGATTGTTCGGTTTGAGGAGATTTCAGGATCCGTTATGGAAGATGTTTTGGAATTCATCTACACTGGAACTGTGGAGGTGACTCAAGAGAATGCCGAGGAACTGATCGCCGCAGGAAATTATCTGATCATACCGAGCTTGAAAACTATTTCAGGGCGGGTTTTGGAACGAAAAATGTCATACGCGAACTGTATTTCAACCTTTTACCTCGCTGAGAAATATGAGTGTGACGAGCTTATCACCAACAGCAGGCTTTATATTCACGACAACATCGTTACCGTGGCAAAACTGGATGAATTTTTGCAGTTGGAAGCTAAAGAGATCGAGAAGTGGATTTCGTCTGACGAAATTACAGTCAAAGAGGAAGCTGATGTTTTTAAAATCGTATTAGACTGGGTAAACCACAGAAAGAGTGAGCGAAAAACAGCATTTGAAGAACTGTTTCGTCAGGTTCGACTCAGTTTTCTGTCGCGTGACTGTTTAGAGGATGTCGTAACAAACGAACTGGTGCGTGAGAGTTTCACTTGTGTTAAATTGGTCATGGATGCAACCGTACAGATGGCTACCTTTGTTGATGAAGATGATATTCTGCAATCACCAAGAATATGTCTTTATACACGTGTCATTGTAGCTCGTGGTGGCATGTACACTTATTGTTATCTTCCTGAAGAAGACCTCTGGAAGCGCCTACCAGATGGTCTGAAGGAGCAAAACGCAAGTTCAACTCGGATGATAAAATTTCGTGGCCAGTTGTTCACATTCACCAATGATCAAAATTCAGAGATATACGATCCTGTTTTTGACGTTTGGTCCGAGCTGAACTTGAGCGCAAATTCTGCAAAGGTGGCTGTTCTTAAAGGAGAAATTTATGCTGTTGAAGTTGACAACTTTTGTAGGAAAACTTCCACGAAGAGGTACAATGTAACGCAGTATGCATGGGAGACAATTCACTCATATCATGAACAGTGTAGACTGGATGCTTGTGTTATTGCAGCCGGCAGCCATCTGTATGCGTTTGGTGGGAACATTCCTCAATCAAGTGACTACGTTGCCATAGCTGAGAGATTTGACACTTTGAAAAACAAATGGGAGAGAATTGCAGATATGCTGGAAGGAAGAAGCTGCGCTTTTGGCGTGGCCTCTCGAGAAAAAATATTTGTAGCTGGAGGAGAAAACATGACAGGAAGATTAAAAACTTGTGAGATGTACAATACGTTAACAAACGAATGGCAACTTGTTGCAAACTTGAAAGTCCCACGCTGTTATGGTAGTATGGTTTGTCTGGACGGAAAGCTGTACGTACTGGGTGGAGAAAGTAATTTAAACCGAAAGGAACTAAGTGTTGAATTTTTGCACCCTGCAAACGACCAATGGTTCCTCCAAACAACCATACCAGACCTCGACCCACAAAATAATTCATTCACTGGCTGTGTTCTTAGGCTTTCTGAAGAATTACTGAACCGACTTTCTAATTTTAGAAATTACTAGACAAACTTATGATTGTTGAGCAGTAATCTCTTTGACACTTTACAGCTTTAGAATTAGTCATGTTGTTCACAGCAGACAGCAGACACAGCCCTTCGTTTTTTATTACCTTAATTTAGAAGGTCGCCAAAGGAAAGGCTGAGTTAAATCAATGGTCCCTTCTCATTAGTTACCGTCTGCTTTAAACCTTATACTTTAAACTCTCTCACCAGAGATAGCATGTGTAGTCATGTTTACAGCACTGGACTTCTAAGTCTTTAGGCACCTTTCACACTGAAAGCTTCTCAAGTCCAAACCGTAGCATTGCTTGAATGGACATAGGGGCGTACTAGGGCCTGAGAGAGTAAAATCGGCAAAAGTTTTCCTCTAGACTTTGTCCTATTTGAATGAATTTCCTTCAAATCCAGAAACCAATAAGAAGTCAGGTTTGAAGAAGAGAAACGGGAAGCAGATTAGTGAATAACAGTAAAAGTAAAATTGCTATCTTATTCATAAAAACTGAAAAACATTGTCAACTTAAAGGAAGATCCTGAAACGGCTCGGAGTTCCAACCTCAAAGACGCGATGATTTTAAGTGCCTGCATAATTTGGAAAACATGTCTTAAATTAATAGAACTAAATCCATTAAACCAGAAAGCCTTAAGGAAAATAATTTTCTCAATGCTTAGTGGGGGGAGGTGGGGATGGGGGGGGGTTTGAAGATTTTGGGAGGATCACATGGTTTCTGGGGAAACGGAGGGGAAAGCAGTCGTTGTTAAGAAAGTGTAAGGGATGGACTGGAGAAAATTGACAGACAACTAACTTCCAATGAGGGTAAGGGGGAGGGGTGGGTGGGTGTATCATGAAAATATTTAAGAGCCTTATGGGAGCATTAGGTAAAATTATCGTGACACAACCAAAATCCACTTAACAACGCCCCAACCCTCCCCTGAGCGATAAATAATGACCGGTCCTCTATGATTCGCTCCACTCTTTCACCGAGTCTGAATGCTGGTGAACACGTGACTTGAAGTGGCTCTTGCCATGATCCGTTCATAGGCCGAGTTTTGTTTGAAACAATATTGGAGTAGTTTCTTTCCACTTCATACAATAGAATTAGATGTTATGATTGGGGAGAATTAATATTAGGGAGCCAAGATTTGGGGGAAGGTATCGTTTGGCTGACCACGGAGAAGAAGAACAATGGTTTTATGGCATTGATCAATGTCAGTGTCTGAGCAACTGTGCACCTACCCCTCCCCTAACCCAACAACAGTCAACTGATAGCAAGTTAGGGTTAATGTTGGGTTAGGGTAGGGGAGGGGAGGGGTAGGTGCACACAACCAACTACATTATTCGAGATTACATTATTGCATGATAATTTCCTTCTTTCACAACTAACTTAGTTGAAGAAAACAAACCCTAGGAGAACAAAAGAACTTTAAGAGGTTGACAAAATAATTATGGCCCTTCATCAAGATATCGTAACAGTTTTTCAAATTTTTCCGAACTTTTTTAATAAAAACTTTAGGATCGTGTTTTACATCAAATTGTAAAATTATCCAAATAATTTTGGCTAAAATGAAATCCTTCACCAAGATATCGAAGTAACAGATTTTTCAGATTTTTCCGCTCAAGATACATTGCCTTTAGATTAGGAAGGATTTTCCTTTTTTTTCATTCAATTTTGTGGTTAGCTTTTTTCATTTCAAATTTTTTAAGTAATGCTCTCAAACGCTCTCCAACGGTACATGTGTTTCTCGCATTTTAAGTACGGTTGTTCGAGACCGATTATGGCCGAGAAAAGGCTTATTGTTGCGTTACACAGCGTTACTATTATATTCTCAATTGTGTTGTAAATCTACTTTCCTAAGTAAAAGGAAATTAACTTATCGCGAGTGTTGTATGGTAAATCTACTAACTTGATCATTGAATGAAGGACAGTTGAATTTGAGCCATGAATGGAATCACTTGACCAATGAATAACTCTACAATGCGCACAGCGACACACCGGGTAAGCCGGAAAGCAAAAGGTCGATCGTTAAACGGTGTTGATTGCTTGAGCGACTTCTGCTATTCGCTTGCGCTTTTAAATCTTCGAACCTGACAGCTTAGCTGTTATTAGGGTACCCTTTAATGACTTCCGTTTACGATGTGATATTAAGGGTTAGTTTTAAGGTGTCATTTCCCCATCTGTATGTTCTTGAGGTTTGGCAAAGCCGGATGAGATTGTGTTAAGGAAATAAAAAACGAATGGCTCTGTCTGCTTTCAGCTATGAACAACATGACTAATTCTAAAGCTGTAAAGTGTTTCAGAGACCACTGCTTAACAATCCTAAGTTTGACTTGGTTTGATGCTACTCTGGTTTAAAGATTTAATGAATGTAACCGAGAAGTTACAATTCATAGACCCAACGTTTCGACACTACTGTCTAGTGCCTTCATCAGGGGTGATCTAAACGCTGCAACAAGAGGTCCTTTTATACGCTCACCAATTAGCTGCGCTTGTTTCTGAAAGGCGTAAATAGGCGTTAGGAAGTAACCCGCCATCATAACGATTTAAAGGAGCGAGGGTGGAGTTGATATGCCAGGCTTCCAAACAAAGGCGCTGGTGGTAACGCCGATTAGTGGTGAAAACTTTAGACTTATCCCACCCAATTTTATGGTTGGTTACGCACGTGTGCTCCGATAAAGCTGAATTTTCTTTTTTGCAAAAGAAGACCGCTTTTTGATGCTCTTTCAAACGTAAATTTGAGATAATCAAAGATTTGAAATGGCTCTTTTAAAAAAAAAAGAAAAATAACAAAAACAGTTCTTGTTTGAAAGTAAAGTAAAAAAGTGTCTGCGGGCCTGTGCGACTCCTGTTATTCCTCCGTGACAAATTCGTTGTTAGGAGGCAATTGAAGACATTCAGAAAGAATCGAAACTGCAGTCTTGCCCGAGAATCTATTAATTTGGCAGCAGTTTCACACACAGCAGATGGCTGTGTGAATAATATCAAATTCGCGAGTTATTTAACGGAGAATCGTCCCTTGACATGCAAACGCATTCCAAAGAGGCAGCGACCTTCTAATACACGAACCATTTTCCATGTCATACACTTTAAAAAGGCGTCAATACGGGATTCGCGAAAGGAGAAGCCTTACGGCTTCTAACACCAAATTCGTCACGCTTAACGTTTATTAAAAAACGTACAGAGTTTCAAATATGCTTAAAGAATATAGAATACCTAGAATAAGGTTTTGACAAACGTATCTTTGGAGTTATGTTCCGCGGGAGAGACTGATACTTAAAAAAAAAAAATAGCGCGCACACATGAAAATATTACCTTTTTTAATCTAGAAGCTCACCTAAGGAAAGGCTGGGTTAAATCAAAGGTCCCCTCTTACTAGTTACTGTTTTCTTTCAACCTTATACTTTACTTTATACTCTCACTAAAGATAGCATGTGTAGTCATGTTTACAGCACAGGAATTCTAAGTCGTTAATTATAATTGTGTGTTAAGCACCTAAGTAGCATCAAACCATGTCCAACTTTTGATTGTTAAGCACTTTACAGCTTTAGAACTAATCATGTTGTTTATAGCAAACAGCAGGCACAGGCGTTCGTTTATTATTGCCTTAATTTAGAAGCTCACCTAAGGAAAGGCTGGGTTAAATCAAAGGTCCCTTCTTACTATTTGCCATTTGCTTTGAACCTTATACTTTTAAACTCTCTCACTAAAGATAGCATGTGTAGTCATGTTTACAGCATAGGAATTCTAAGTCATTAATTATCATTGAATGTTAAGCACCTTTCACACTGAATGCTTCTCAAGTCAAAACCATAGCATTGCTTGGCGTACCAGGGCCTGGGAGAGTAGCGTTATACCATTTCACGAGTCAACTTCGAGCCTGAGTCAAGTTGGTAGCCGCCAAAAAAATTAAGATAGAACAAACAAACCCGTTCATATAACGAAGTATTCTAGTGACCTTCGTGCAGCAACATCTCTACATGATTTTAAACTTAACATACGTCACCACAGTTTTGAATGAGTTTTAACACGGCATCCTTATAAAGCAGCTTTTAGTATGTAGTTTAGGCTAGTTAGTTTAGTTAGAAATGATTAGTTGATCTTGTATCATTTTATAATATTTGCTGAAGGATTTACCGTGTATGAATAAAGTTACCATTACCATTACCATTACCATCAAACCCGAATGCCTTAAAGAAAATAATTTTTTTAATGCCTAGTGGGGGAAGGTGGGATCAAAGTTACAAATAAAAAGGTTGACGGCAATGTTGCGAGGAGTGTTTACAAGTTCAGAGAAAGATGCGATAGAAAATGTGAAAAAGAAAACTTGACTGCACTCTTGAAACCGTATCCAACTCTATAAGTTACCAACAAGTTGGTTTTTCTACTCATCCCCAGAGTCTCTCGGAGAATTTGTAGTCTGGAGGAGGAGGCTTGGCAACGAGTTACACAACTTCCGCTTTCGATATCTTTCCTTAGTATTCCGCATCACCACAAATATTGGAAAGTCTCTCCTCGATAATAATAGCATTCGGTAAAAGATGGAAGACTTACAGCCAATGTCAGCTGTTGGGCAAACTTCTTTCTGTGTGGAATTGATGAAGCGCCTCAACATTCAGCGAAAACAAGATTACTTGTGCGACATTACTTTGGTGACGAACGACGACAGAGAGTTAAAAGCTCACAGAAATGTTCTTTCCGCCGCAAGTCCGTTCTTTTGCAAGCTTCTTAAGAGCGAAATGAAGGAGAATCGAGAAGGAATTATTCGATTTGAGGAGATCTCAGGATGTGTTATGGAAGATGTTCTGGAATTCATCTACGCTGGAACCGTGGAAGTAACTCAGGAGAATGCCAAGGAACTGATCGCCGCAGGAAACTATCTGATTATACCGAGCTTGAAAACTGTTTCTAGTCGATTTCTACAAGAAGAAATGTCTAATACAAATTGCATCTCGACCTTTTATTTCGCTGAGAAATACGACTGTGTCGAGCTAATCCGCAACAGCAGGAAATTCGTCCACGAAAATTTCGCATCCGTAGGAGAAATGGATGAGTTTTTAAGCTTGGAAGCCAAGGAGGTGGCGGTGTGGATATCAAGTGACGAGATTGCTGTGGAAGCGGAAGCCGACGTCTACAAGATTATACTTAAATGGGTTGAACACAGCAAGAGCGAGCGAAAAGCAGCATTTGAAGAGTTGTTTCGTCACGTTCGGCTGAATTTCCTTTCGCGTGACTGTTTGGAGGATGTCGTGACAAACGAACTAGTTCGTGAGAATTTCGCTTGTGTGAAGCTGGTCATGGATGCTACTGTAAAGATGGCTACTTTTGCGAGTGAAGATGATCTCCCGCAGTCACCAAGGAAAGGTCTGGAAACACGTGTTATTTTAGCATGTGGTGGCAAGTTCACTTTTTGTTATCTTCCTGAAGAAAACCAGTGGAAGCGGCTGTCAGATGGCTCAACCGAGAGAAATCAGAAAACACAAATGCTAGCATTTCGTGATCAGCTGTACACATTTAAGGAGTTCAGCAAGGCAGAGAAGTATGATCCCGTGTTCAATGGCTGGTCAAAGTCCGATCTGAGAGACTTATCAGCAGATAGCGCCATTGTGACTGTTGTCAAAGGGGATATGTACGCCATTGAAGTTAACAAACCCGTTGGAAAGTCTACTATCAAGAGATACAATGTGGAGCTTTGTACATGGCAAACAGTTGTGGAATCTCCCCAAGGCTGCAGGAACAGTTGCTGCGTTATTGCAGGTGGCAGTTATCTGTATCTTTTAGGTGGATCGGTCCCTGGCAATGCTAGTTATGTCTCTAAAGCTGAGAGATTCAACATTGCGGAAAGCCATTGGGAGGAAATCGCTGATATGCAACAAGGAAGAGGTGGTGCCTTTGGAGTGGCAAGTGAAGGAAAGATTTTTGTCGCTGGAGGCTTAAACGAAAAGAACAAGGTGTCAAAAAAATCCGAGATGTACAATGTCTCTACAAACGAATGGCATGTTATTGGAAGCTTAAACACTTGGCGTGTGTATGGCAGCATGGTGTGTCTAAGTGGAACATGCTATGTACTGGGTGGCACCAAGAATAATAGGGATAGAGTACTATCAGTTGAATGTTACGACTCTGGAGAAAACAAGTGGATTGAGAAGACATCCATACCAGTGGAAAGGTACTTAAGTGAAATTGAGGACACATTCACCGGATGTGTGATGAAGCTCTCTAAAGGAGTACTTGAGAAATCTGACTCTATCAAGGAAAAGCCTATCCGCCTTGGATTTGGCACGCCATCCACCATGTCAACTCTCTTCGGCGCCTCCCCAGCCTTCACCTCAGCCAGCACTACTGGCTTCAGCTTTAACGCCTCCCCGGCCGCCAGTGCCCTCTCAGTCTTCACCTCAGCCGGCACTACTGGATTCGGCTTTAACGCCCCCTCGGCCGCCAGTGCCTCCCCAGCCTTTACCTTAACCAGTGGCTTCACCAGCAACGTCACCGGCTTCAGTGGCGTCCAGTTAAGCCAACCAGCCGCGGCTCCTGTTCCTGTATTCGAGTTGTCTGATGATGATGACTGATTGACTGAGTTAGCTTCTATACAATCCCCTTTAATTCACTTCAAGGAGACATTTCAAAGTTTTCTCGCGAGTGTTCAAACTTAAGAAATCTTCACACTATTTCGTAGTCAGTGGATAAAGGACAAAACAACCAGATAACTTACACGTCATGGTCATGTGATATCCCGTGTGTGATTTCATTACAGTTATTCGACAGTAAAACATAATCTGCATGTTTGAATATCATTATTTTATAACCACTGTTATGGTTATAAAAAACAATCTTTTATAAGTAGTACACAGATTTAGTAATATCAAGATTCTTCAATGAATGTAAGGGAGCATGCGCAAAGTTAAGGAAGCCGCTGCAAATTCAATTTCACTGTTGCTCATAGTTATAATTTTCTTCCTTTTGTTCCACATCATTGTGAAACTTCAGATTGCAATAAACTTATATACTTTTTATTGTTTAGAGACTCGGCGATGTCTTTTTTGACCTTTTAAGTCCACATCAACTCGAGATTTTTTTCAAAAGACGATCAGTTTTCCGTAAACCATTATGTAGAAAAGACAAGACGCATTCATATGAAGAAGGACGCATATTTTCGTTTTATAACGAGTAAATGCAAGAGACATGATAATTGTTTACAAGTTGTTGATAAGCCTTAGTAGTTTGTTGTGGGATAAGACTGTAATTAGTCACGGTAACATGTGCCACAATGAAAATAAAGTGCGTGACTTTCAAGGGTAGGGCGTCATGCATTTGTCGAAGCACTCTCTCGTTGTCACCCATATCCCCTTACACAGACCCATCCTACCTTTAACCAAAAAAATACTAACACAATCTATCCTCTCTGACTTGCCTAAATAAATTTAGGAATCATCTTGGTTTGATTTCAATTGCTCAGTGTGACATTCTGAGAACCAGAAGCGAAGGAGAATGGGTCTACTGGTTTTTTCCAACCAAGAATTGTTTGCACAGGTTGCAGTATCATTCGATCACAACCACCAACGCATTTTATCATTCCTTCCTTAACTTGTATGGTAATTTTTCGCGGGTAAGTTGAATAACAGAATAAGTCAAGCCCGGGAAAACAATCCACTCACACCGCCAAGCGCAGGGAAAACACGGAGAACCTCGTTGGTTGCTCCTGATTGGTTAGAGTGAACCGAATCTGTGCTTTGATTCACTAAAGGACACAGATGTTTTTGATACCATTAAGAAATATCAGTAAAAGTAGAACCAAAGTAAACACGTCATTACTTTCGAGACAGAATGCAATTAGGAATAAATATTAGGGTGAGAGGTTAGAGGTTAGAGGTTATTTTCCAAGAGACTGGATCAGCAGTTTGTTGATGTCCTCCAGTTGTTCCGACACATTTTGCTTCAGAGGCCGATAGTCGCTCTCCATGCTTTTTGTAGCAATAACTGAGTAAAGTCAAGGATATGTCGCAGTGCAGGTAATTTAAGTCAAAAAGTCATCTATTTCTCATATGTCGAGGGCATCCCTTAGAGTAAAACATTTTAGTGTTTAGGTTAAATAAAAGTATCTTATTAAAAACTTCCTGTCAGTTGGTCTGAGACTAACTTCTATTATATGGCCCCACACTTGAGCTTACCCCATAGGTTTTAAATTTAAAGATTACAATGTAAATTTTGTAGAACCGGACGATTCCACCATCCACAATATATTTTTTTCATTTTATTCGGATCAAAAGGATACACTCCTTCATGACAAAGTTATTTTGTTCATGATGTTGCCATTTTCTTTCTAAGTTTCCAAGCTGCAACGAAATTAGAAGACAACGATTATAACGTGAACACTTAAGTGCTCAAGGTGGTTCCTATTATCGACGATGAAGATGAAATGTTGGTTGCGTTTGTGACAAGTAGTACCTGAGAATGTGTCTCGTTTTCCATTAGTTTACTCTTCGTAGCATCATAAAGTGAAGACAGCCTCTGAACGTCTAAAAAAACAAAAAAACAAAAAAGGGTGGAATTATGCCGCACTGATTTGATAATGGACACTAAAAAAAAGTACCAAAAAAACGGTCTAAGGAAAAACGAGCAAACAAACACATAAATAGACAGATAAAAACGTGAAAAAAGGGAAATAAAATGACGAAAGATCAACACATTAACAACGATGAAAGGAGATCGCAAACACACGAATGATAAGATATATGTACAAACACAAAAACAAAGGAATATATTCCTTATTTAGTATTATCAACTGAGTTAATAACGACCAAACGAAAGAAAGAAAGAACATGCAAGTGAACATCGACACGAATGAAAAGAAAAAAAAACAAAATTAAAACAAGATCAAAACTGATAAATAATTAAACAGAGAACAACCTAAAAAAATGGAAGGAACGAATAACGAATGACTCAACTTACGCTTTTTAAATGTTTCTTTCCTTGCGGACAGTGTCTTCTTTTCTCCATACAAACGCTATCGACAAGACAAAAAGTAACAATATTTGTTTATTTAAATGAAGAAGGTGAACTTTTTCATCAGCGTTTGTTATTAGGGACAAGGTATGGAAAGCTTACCGTTTTTTTCTCCTCTGACTGGTCTCTCAGGGCATCCAGATCGCTAAATGTTTCAAGTTCCTAAAGGCAAACAATACATATAAGGATGTAGATGACGGATTGGCTGAACAGAGAAAGGATGGAACGAAGTGACAGAAACACAAAACGGCAGGAAACAGACTAATGAAGACACGACGGATCAAATGAACGAACTGTACTGCAAATTATTAAATGGACGGTCGATGAATTACATCTGTGCTAAACTGGATGGATGATAGAGATACTGAGATGCAACAATGAATGATTTCATGAATGAATAAATGACATGAATGACAGACACAAAAAACCTGTTTAAATTTTTGGATGGCATGGGCTATGAAATTATAATTCAAAACATTGTCGTTAAAAAAACAGTAAAATTATCACCTGCGTCATTGTCTGGATTCTTTCTTTCAGTGATTCAAGTTCTGTCGTTATTTTTGTCTCGAGCTGTTGAATACAAAGAAAAAAATCACCTCAAATTATTTAAGAACAACCGTTACATGAATGCAGTAATTGAAATGTAGTGTCCTACTATTAGAGTACCTCTACTAGTACTTTCTATTTCTCCTCACCTGTTCAACTTTCTCCAGATCCATTTGAAGACGGGTGTGCTCTAGAAAAAAAATTGAAAATAAAAACACAAGAAACAAACTATAACTAAACCAAAGACTACCACGTTACAGGTCATATTTGGGCCAACAAATAAACGACGTTTGCAGGTTTTGTGCGTTCCAGCCCTTACCTGACCCTAAACTGGTCGCCGTAGACTGGGACTTATGCATTTCTGTTTCTTTAAAGTTTAGATCATCCTGCCCGAAAGGAAAAACACAGCGTTAGCTAAATGGTATATACAGAATCTTAGACTTCTTCTGACGGAACTGGCAAAGTCAGTTTCTTGGAATCAAGCACTAATATGAAATGAAGTTTTAGATAAGAAAATGGCAAAAAAAGAGAGAGAAAGGTTGGCGAGGGAGAATGACAGGATAGAACGGACAGATGAGGGCTGATATAGGGGTGGGAAAGAAAGGGAATGAAAAGTAGAAGATCCGGAAGGTGAAAAGGAATATGTATACTATAGGATTGGTACCTTTTTTCAGAAAGAAATTCAAGGACTTTCCCAGGACTTAGATTGATTTTTCCAGGGCTCCAAATTTAAACTTAAACCCTTTCATTCCCATGATTTCAAAATCAATTCACCTTATTGTCTTTAAAAAATTCTTATAATGTAAATTTTAAAAGCTTTATTGCCTAATTCAGGCAGATTTTCAGGACTCTCCAGAACCTGTAGTCTTTTTTCCAGGACTTTCCAGTCCTTGAAAATGTCAAAACAGGTTTTTCAGGACCTGTACGAACCCTGATAATACGAGGAGGAGGAATTTAAATTTTAAGCAGAGAAAAGTATAGAGACTTAGACTTGTTCTCACTTGCCACTCTCGGAGTTAAGGGTTAAGAATGTAATGGTTGAAGATCAAAAAAATAAAAAGAGGAAGTTTCGATTGATTGTCTTAACACCAGGGTAATTAAAACGGTTGATCAGACCAAAGGAAATTTCTCAAGAAACCAAGAAGTCAAAACAAACAAATCTCATAATGCGGCAAGCGCGAGTGGCCAAGTTCGTGATTATCCTACGTTCTGTACCTGATTGCTAGAGAAAGTAGCGCGAGTTTTCCACACCAATCTCAGAGTAAGACAATACGAATGCAACAAAATACTAAATTGCCTTCGACACTCATTTGAAAGTCGCGTCTCTAATACAAGAAAATCTGAAGAGTACCTTCATTCGTTGAAGTTCTGCCGGACTGGGTAAGTGCTTTGTACGTGCCATTCCCTGATGACGAAAGATAAAACAGTCAACAAATGCATCTCATGAGATGTTTTGGTGTATACTATCGCTGACTATTTTTACAGGTTGTGCCTTCTTTTGAAGAGCCCGTCGAGCGAGTCTAAATTCAAACAACGAGTAAAATACTAAGCAATATTACAAATCGTCTAATGAGTTTTTTTTATTATCAAAATACTTTGTTTTCTTCTCATTTCTCACAAGGCAGGAAAGCAGAGCAGATAGAGAAGCGTGGAGCGCGCAGCCGACCGGTTAAACAGGTTATTTCACGGTGCAAAATATCCAACTCTACAATATCGCTGGATATTTGTACTCCATTCGCGCGTTATTTGAACTCTTCTTTGGGCAGTTGGATAACAAATGAATAGACAAGTAAACAAATGAAAGTAAAGTTTTACTTAAAGAAGGGCGGTGACCGCGTTATTACTACCATAAAGTTCAGCAGATTACTTCAGTTTAAAATCAGAGAGCTAAATAATCAGGAGAAAAAGTGCGAAAATTGAGCATGAGCCACAACAGTAAATATTTTAACGATGTAAGAATATAGAAAAAAAACAACAACTGTTTAACGATTCAAACGTACAAAAGGTCTTCCTCGCACTAAACCAAAGAAAAAAACTCATTTTTAAGAAAAACGTTAAACATTTTGTCACAAAAGTGGGACAAAGCAAACGGGAGAGGCCCCGAAGAAGGATTCGAACTTCCTTTCCCTGTGCGTTTTTATTTAAAAAAAAAAAAACTTGATTGTGAATAGAGCGATAAACTAACCCTGCTCATATGCTCCAAGACGTTCACAATGTTGTTTTCCAACTGCTGCTTCCTCGTCTGTTGAAAATCGCAAAAGTTACAAAATCACATCAAAGTAAACAATAACTAGGAATACCTGTACGAATACAACCCTTAGACGTTCAAGAGAGGAGTGAATGGCAACCCCTACCCCACTCCTCTTGGTACCAAGTGAGATTGTCCGATACATTCAAGCTTTGATCCTTTTACTTCCAAGATTCCATTAGTAATTCTCCTCACTGTCTGCTATACGATTCTTATGAGGTTAGTTCTGGGAATTTGGTATTGAATCAACCGATAATTCCCTAATTGACATTTTTCTTTATTCTCATGACTTATCTGCTTGATGTTGTATTGATATTGTAAGGAGAAATTCCGTCTTGGTCACTCATGGGAGTTGCAGGGTTAACTGATAGAGGACGCTGGTGAACTAACCTGTTCATTTGCCTTAACTTCCTCAAACGTTTCCAAAAATTCTATAGAAAGCAGAGAAGAATGAACATTACAACACAGGTATACTGCACATGTTATGGATCAAGTTTCAGGTCGACAATTTCAAGTCTTAATATTTCTACCAGTTGTGATACTCCATCCGAAGAGGCTTACTAACCACGCTATCTTTCGTTACGTTTGATAATAATAATAATAATAATAATAATAATAATAATAATAATAATATAAATAATAATTATAGTTTTAATAATAAGAAGAATATTTACAAAGGGTAACACTAAACAGGTACAAACTGATAAACTTGTGTCACAAACAAATTGGAAATAAACATTGTAAATAATCATAAACATTAAGTGTTTAAAAATCACAACTGACAGGAAGCAGACTAGCTGGTCAAAAACAAAGTGCAGCCAGCTAAGGGGCAACTGAGATCAAATCCAGTGAGCAGCAGGGAAGAGAGCATGAGCCTGGGACCAACAGATTACAGGACCAGCGCCCTAACAACTTGGCTACACTGCCTCCGCTCAATCGAACACTGTCGCTACTCTTGTACATACCGTCCATCGTTTCTTCCCGCTTTTTCAACTCTTTGTACTTCACATTTCGTTCGCCTGAAATCCAGAGAGGTTTAAGTTAAGTTCACCTGTAATTTGAGTTTAAATATTCTCCCGTTTCCATCTTACCTGAAACTACTGCACTAATGTGTTGTGAAATTCAACCTTACAAACCACCACAATAAAGAAACATTTACGACTACAACAAAGAAAGAAGCAAAGACAACCCGCGTTCGCTTCCATGCGTGATAATGTATTATACACTCACTAACCTGAATAGCAAGTGCACGTGGAAAGAGGGAAACGCGCGAGACGAATTTTTCCCATCTATTACGCGCGCGTTTTCTCCCTTTCGCACGCACCTCTCGAGATTTAGGTTGTCTTTACGCAAGCACTCGCTACAGCTGTATGTCACAGGCCACTTACGATGCAGTTATTTGTATACATGTATTGCAAATGCCTAACCTTGATGTTCTTCAAGATCCATATCCAGCTGTTGAATTTCACCATTTGCTGCTTCAATTTTCTCTCGGAGTTCAGAGGTCCTGCAGTCAGAGTATGACACGACTTTTAGCAGAGAGCTCAGATGACAAACTACAGAGCATGCTAACAGTCTTTCTGTAAATCTTTTTTTACTAGCTTGCGCAAAAAGCTGTGGTAGGAATGAGAGAGGATGGAGCCTTACGATTAAACTTGGCAAAAGCTGCACACCACTGTAGCACCAAAAAATGCATTTAAAAAATATGTATAAAAAGAAACAAAAAAGGCAAACACTAAAAACATACACACAAACTTTGAAAAGCCTTACTTTCGCTCCATGCCTGCAATCTCCTGATTGTCTTCTTTCACCTGTACAGAAAAAAAAAGATACTTTCATTGTTACTTAAAACTAAATTAAACAAGGACAAATTTATTATTATTTTTGTAGAGTTAAACAGGTCAAAATCTCTGGCGAAACCATATCAAGCGTCGGTCCCAAACAGCTGGATCAAACTCAGGTTTCAAATGAGTTAAACGGATCTTAAAAGAGCAGTCATCGAGGTATTCTTTTATACATGTTGTACGACCTCACTAACAAAGCACGTCTGAGAAGACTTTTTTAAAACCACTATGTTCATTATCCACCGTCAACGATAAGGGTAAAATCAAATGGCCTGAGCAGATTAGTCACTTGACTAATTCAAAAACAATGTAAACAATCAATAGCGGATTTCTCCTATCATTCTCAAACTGTCGCCGAGAGATTTACCTGTTTCAAGAGTCTCTCTCTTTCTTCAGCGGGAGTTCCTTTGTTCTCTTTCTCCATCTCATCAAGCAAACTTTGTTTCTTCTCTCCCAGTTCGTTCAATTTTTCGTATAATGTCACTGTAAGTAGAGATAAGACACAAATGATTTCCTTAGACATGTTCCTTGAACATTTTGTTATCATGTTTCATCGTAAATCAAACGTTGCTGTATTACACAGCTGTATTTATCATCAGATAATAACATCCTCTGACTAGTAACCTTGACTATTGTTACAGTAACTTTCCTGGCAAACAACTCGAAATTGTGAGGGAAAATAAAAAAAATAAAAAAATAAATTAGAAAAAAAGGAAATTTCCCTCACAATTTCAAGGGATGAACATTTAATATTCATCACTTCTTGAAGTTAAAGGTTTAAGTACAAACATTTTAAGAGGACTATATGTTATACCTGCTTCTTGTTTAACTGGAGAACTGGATACCTCCTATTGAAATATTAAACAAACACTATTAATATAACAGTTAAACCTGTAGCAATGCTGTGCAGTCAAATACACGACTCTGTGACTCAATAGGTGCCTAGTTATAAGATAACAATTACTACTGGTATTTCAAACATGTAAAGTTGCATTGCACTCTACACAGACCTGTACAAACACATTTAATGTACTATACTTAAAGTGCTTACATCTTCAAGATTCTGAATGCGAGTTGTGAGAGCATCCAGGTCCTGCTGTTTCTGTTCAAGTTCCTGTCAAGTAAGGCAAGAAAACATTCTATGTCATAAAACTAGTATTACAACAATCAGAAGCAAACAAATTACATGTAGCTTGAATGCTTCAGCCATAACAAAAGGAACTCCTTATTCTACAAATTAACTAAAAACGTGTCATATTTCCTTATCTATTTACACACACTCAGTGCTGTTCACTGCTGCACCTCTGCCACTTCGTGCAGGAATCTAGCCACGTATTGTATTTACCTGCATGTTCTTCATAACAAACATGTTATCAACATGTATTTGTGTGAATTTTACCCAGGGTAAGTCAGGAAAAGGTGTGTTGCTACAAAAATGTTTACAAAAATTAAAGTTAATTGTGAGGAATAACTCTCTGAATGAACCTGTTACCCAACTATCAACTGAGTGATGGCCAACAGTCAGCCATCAGTCAAACTGACAGTTTTAAGCTCATCTGTTGGCCAACAGGTTTTTTCAGGCAGCTGTTCTTCACAATTACCCAAATAAAACTGTTGTCTTAGAGAGAAAAATAAAATCATATTAAAATTAATACTCACTGTCTGCAGAGAATTGTTGACATTTTTCAACTTAGCATACTTTGCTCTCTGATCAGGAGGCTGCAGGGAAATATCACAAAAGGAAAAGAATTAGTCTTTCAAAACACTATAAAAAACAAGGACAACAGAAGCAACAGTTTTATTAGTTAAAAGTATTTAGAAAGTTAACTCATATGCTGACGTCTTTCAAATATTAGATTAAAGTAATAGAGCTTGTATTTTCATAAATTTGTTCTAGAATTGTCGTAGCTTCCTGATGTTTATACAGTGCAGATGGTCAAAATGTAAGGTCATACAAGGTAAACTGTAACTGCAGTCTGTGAAAGACATAGTAAATGTATTAGGAAAAAACAAGTTGCCGTCTCTTTTTCTAGCTCAAAAACCCTGATGATCACTTCTTTTAACATAATCAAAATATTACCAAGCAAAAAGGTTAGGAGAATAGAAGTTGACTGATTCCTTTCTTGACCATGATGGATTAAGCTTAATAATCAGTAAGAATTTTAACATAATTAAAAAATTTATGTGAGCCTATTAACACCACATTGCACTCAAAATCATGTTATTGCCAATACAAAGAGGGCCTGGCTTTCAGGTTCCACTTTCAGCAGTTCCACTACAGTACCCTTGTTTCCTTTAAGTACATGTGTATTGAATTTTTTAAAATATCAGTATTAATCATTTCATATAGTAACAGCCAGTTCAATGAATAATCTAAGTTTTCCCGCAAAATTTGAACTGAATTCTTAGTTTTACCATGTCTTCCACCAAGCTCTCAGCCATTCTCCGTTCCTGGTCAAGTTCAAGCTCCAGTTGTTTTATCTGCTGCTCTTTACTGAGAAAAAAGAATGAAGAGACAATCAATATCACATGTAGTTAATGTACAGGCTGCATTATTGTGACGTTTGAGTCTTTATGGTACAAGGGGAATTTGTGTAACTTGATTAGTGAATGATTGGTAGAGTTATTGAACCAATTAGTTGAGTCAGTTGCTTTATCTGCTGCTCTTGGCTAAGAAAAAAGAATAAAGAAACAATATCAACATCACATGCAGTCAATTTACTGGCTGCATTACTGTGATGTTAGAGTATCATGGTATTATGGTATATGTAACTTAATTAGTGAAAGATTAGTGGAATTATTGAACATTTATTGGTTGATTGTTATGTTTTACCTTTTTCTCATTCTCTTACTTTGTCATAGAATTCTTATAAAGAAGAGAATAACTGAAACTAATTATCCCCAAATTGATATTTCTCTTTTTTCTCATTATTTATCTAGTTGATATTGTATTGATATTGTGAGGAGAAATTCTTTCTTGGTCACTCATGGGAGTTAAAGGCAGGCAGTGTTACCATGACGTTATAGTCTTCATTGTATTACAGTATATGTAACTTGATTGGTGAATGATCAGATGAGTAAGCGAACACATGTGTTTGGATATAGTGTATACACTCTTTACTAAAAAGTAATTAAAAAAATGTGATTTTCTTGCCTGATTACCAAACACCGTGACCCCCATATTAGATACTTATATGGCAAATTCAGTTGAGAAATATTTTATTCTACTATCTATCAGACACCAGTTGCAGCACACAGTGTTGTCAGTGGTAAGGACAATCTATGCACTCATCTCAGTTTTTGGTGACAATCAATTTCTTTATGCGACAAGTAACTAACTACAATTGTAAGAGTTTACTTACTCTCTTCTCTGAGTGAATAATTCATCAATGGAATTCTGTTCCCGCTCATTCTGAATTTTCAGCTTTAGTAGAAAAAAGATCACAATCAGTGTTCATTTGCAGCCTAATGGCCATAAGGAACATACATGTACAACACACACTGATATTATTTAACTGGGATTAAAGAAACAGGAAAAACTCACTGCATTGAAGTCTTGAACAATGTCATCCATTTCTGTGTCGGTGTTAATTTTGTCCAACAGCTGTTACAAATTTAAAATAGAAAAGATGAGAGAGCACTCATTCCATTTACAACTGTATTTACTCAACTACCTAGAATTAGCGTTGTCTATTTTAACAGCTAGAAGAACATTGTATCAATTTTGTGTTATTACCGTGTTATAATCAGCTAATTGTCCTTGGAGTTCTTTGATTTCTGTGGCTAAACCTTCAGCTCTGGAATGTGAAAAAGAGAACCTTAATTTTATCAATTCCTCTTCATATATATTGAAAATGAATGCAGACATCCCAAACATTTCCAGTACATCTAGTCTTTCTTGCATTATCAACAATTACAATTATTCTAAATTTACATGTGGAAAACATGAAATTTGAATTCAGGCAAAACAAAAATTGTAGCACATCATGTCATTTTTACAAATTAAATTCAGCATTACACTATTTGCCATAACCCTTTAACCATTAAGAGAGGGTGGCATCTAATTTCTCCTTACAATATCATGCTGGACTCACACATTAAGGTCATGAGAATAAAGGAAATGATCGCCAACTAAAGAAGCTCTTGATTGTTAAACAAATTCTCCTCACTAGTACCTTAAGAAATGCATAAAGAACAGTTTGGAGAAAATGCACACTAACATTAGGGTGTAAAGGGTAAAAAAGCTGTGAGATTATAATGATAGTAAGTATACTGCAGAAAAATAATTATATTAAGAAAAAAAAACCCATCATACCGTTTTTCATAAGTTAGAAATGTTGCATTCTCTTGGTCGAACTGGTCAACCTCTTTTTGCATTTTTGCTATCTCTGCTGCAAGCTCTGTAATTTTTGCCCTAAGACAAACAAACAAGCAAAAAATTAAATAACAAACTAGTCATATAATTTTTTTGTAAGAGAAAAATAATTTTTTTACATCTCTTTTAAATTGATGTTAAAGATGCTAGGATCAATGTCGTAATTATGCACCAACATGTACCCCTCCCTTAACCCAACAACAGTTGCCCAATAAAACGATAGGGCTAATGTTGGGTTAAGGGAGGGGTAGGTGGGTATTTACTCAGATATTGACATTGATTTGGATGCTAAATATACACATAAATTTAAACAAACATTTGAAATTACTGTCTAATGGCTATTACAACTCTGTATAATTATAAACTTGAAAACAACCACACTATAAACTAATCTTTTCACTAACTGGGGTGACAAACTCTTCAAATGCATACTGCTTATAATCTGGGAGTTTTTCTCTTATCTTTATTATTTCATTGTCCAGACTGCTGGAAAGTATAATATTTCAATAACACCTAGACTTACCTGAGTTGCCCCATGTAGAAAGACTTATCATAAATTGCCCTCTGTGGACCTTGATGAAAAAAACAACCATCATAAGATTTTCAAGCAAAGAGAACCTAACTCTTCAAACTGACCACTTTACAGTATAAACTATGCAATAAATAAAAAACACATTGCTTAATGTAAACACAGCAGCAAATTAAACAAAAGCAATAAACTACATGCATTTACAGTAATGCAAGTGTAGTTTTTGAACAATCTGAACTTACATTCATCTTATGAAATAACATTTGAATATTTAATTGCTGATTTACTTTGTATGAAATTGTTGCTCCATATATCTTGATCGTTAAATTAAATCTAACCTCTGCCAGCTGAAGTCTTCATTCCAGTTAAGCCTTGCTTTGTCATTGGTCTCTCTGCTACTCTTATCTGTGCATTCAAAGCTAAACCAAAGAAAAAAAACACAGCTTTGATCACAAGATCACTAAATTAGAAGGCTCAGACCTAACAATTTACCTTGTGATTATATAATTTCCACTGAATAAAACTGAACTGAACTCACTATTAAATAAAAAGTCATTGGGAGCTGAAAGCTTTTCATTGACAGAGGCATTTTTTTTTTATGCCATTCCAAAAAATAATAGATATCTTCAAATTAATAGTGACATGTACAAAGGAATAAATTTAAATTCACTCGTTCTAACCATGAATCATATCAAATTCAAGCAACTTTCATTAAATATTTTACTCAAACAAATACACTCTGATTCATTTAGCAGCCAACCATATATTTCTAGGATTTTGATTATTTTTACCAAAAGGCAATTCAATTTTGTCAAAACAACAACAAATTATAATTTTCCTTGAGGGTTAAATGGCATGACCTTTCCTATCACAATGTATTCTTACCATACTTGGTCATTATGTTTTGTGGTTAAATGTGTCCATGAAACATCGAATTAAGTTATAAAAAATGCAGTAGCATTTGACATTCTTCACCTCCACCCAATTCACCAGCTCTTGATCCTGGCCTGGCAGTGCCTGGGGCCTGTTGAATATAAGGTTCAAATTAACAAAATTTCATCCAGTTACTACATTAATTATAATATTACTCACAAGTTAGTTACATTTCTACCTTTTTCCTGACAACACCACAACATGTTATCATCCCACTGTTGAACCCAGCAACATATACGCCATGAGGTCACCAGGTTTACCTTTGTTCATCCTATAATTGCTGCTTTAACTACAGGATGGGTATTCTAACAAGACAGACTCTTTCTTTGTGAGGTGCAAAGCTTGCCCCACCAGAGAGGCGACTAAATAGGTTAATTTAATTTTGTGCGGTAATTTAGCAATAAAAATTACCTTTCACCTCTAGCTTGGCATTTGTCAGTAAAAGATAGCACTTACCATTCCAGTTCCTGGAGGCAGTCTCATTGCAGCAGTACCTTAAGAGAGTAGAATATCAATTTTTTAATAGTTAATAAAGGTTACAACTGCTATAGATCAGTTGTAACAGACCTGGTTCAACATATTATTTCAGTCTCTTTGAATTTCTGAGTAGAAAAATTACAAATAAAAAAAGATGTTAGTGTTTAATGCCACCCCATATTTCAGTGCATTGTAAATCCCTTTAAATACCTAAATTGAATCAATAAATTTGGTTGGCTTGTTTCAACAATACTCAAAGCCTTGAAAAACTAGAATAAATGCACAATAACAAACCAAATCCTTCTCAAAATCTGTTCCACCATCCAGAGCTAATCTGCATGCAACCTCTATCAGAGACATAACATTTCTTTCCATGCCATAGCAACAAAGCAATTTTATTTAATTAAATTCAGCAGCTTAATTTTCTGTCCTCTTTCTACATTTCATACTTCAAGTACATGTAGACGCTTTATGAATTCAATGGGTTTACTTCATTCATTACCTGGAGGTCTTCCCATAGCTGTTATATGTTGTAAAAATATTTGTCAAGGAATCAAGAATGCATGGATACACCCCTCAATCATTCAGTCATGCTCTTACTACTGCATACATTTGCTAATTACCGGTAATATTTTCAAATCATCACAATCTTGGGTATAATTTTTTTTGTCTTGCCCTAAAAGGTTCACTTTAACCTTTAATTCACAGATGTAATTAATAAGTAATTTCTCATTATGATTTTAAGACACTGCCTTGCAAACAGATGATGAGAACTAAGAAAAATATCAGCTGGGAGTTGTTATCTTGAAATGACACCTACTATCATTCTTTTGTCTAATTAACCCCGCACAGCTTAACATTGGTATGCATACTGTTCACACTGTTCTCAATACGTTCCCAATACTGACTCTCAGGGTACTGACTCTCTTCTGAGGGTTGAAAGGTGGGCAAAGAGATGTGAATGTATTACGAAAGGGAGACTTATTGATAAGATCTTGGGAGTTAATAGGTTAAGATACTGCATGAAAAAGCTGCTCTCAAAGTACCCTGTGACCCAAACAGCCTTCAAATCATGTTATACTTTTCAATCTTAGTGGCCAGGCTTCTTGATTAAATACTGTCTCTACATCCATCTGAGCTTAGCAAAAATCTAAAATTAAACCTTAATAAAAATTGGATACAGCTTGGGGGCATCCTTCCTCTTGCTCCACTTCCTGGTCTCATTCCTTTCCCAGAAGGTGGTCTGTAACCTCGTGCAGAAGGTGGACGTCCAAAATCACTCCTACAGTTTTAACAAATAATATTTTTACCATCTACCAAATGCTATCCTCTTTGAGAAATGTCTTGACTACCTTTTGTACTAACTAAATATAATTGCAATTCAGGTTGATAACATTCATATTAATTCAATTTGTTAAAAATAACAGAAATGATGATAGAAATGATGGTAGATCTACTGTGACGTACCTTGACTCTTTCACTCCCAAAATCTAATTTATTTAGTAATTCTTCCTACTGTCTGCCATACAATCTTTTGATATTACTTGAGAGAATTTAGTATTGGATCAACTTAAGGTCCCCTAAATTAACTTCTGCTTTATTCTCATTACTTTTCCACTTGATATTGTACTGATATTTTAAGGAGAGGTTCTCTCTTGATCACTCGTGGGAGTTGAAGGGTTAACTCTTTCCCTTGCAAGATCTAAACAGTGATTCTATACTTTGTTTTTCATTCATCACTCATAATATTAGATCTGAGAATTTGGTGGTTGATTCAATTCTCAACTAAGGGTTACTCCTTTGGTATAAGACTAAATTCTTAGAACTACCACTGAAAGAAATGTAATGGCCTCAAGGTTGCTCATATTTATATCCTGGGAGTGAAAGAGTTAAACTAGTTTGATTTGTATCTTCATTATATAAGGTCACTCATTAAGGAATACTCAAATTTATATTTTGGGAGTGAAAGAGTTAAACTAGTTTGACTTGTATCTTCATTGTTCAAGGAATAAGGTAATCTACGCGTACTTATTTCAGAGCAAAGAAAGTAGCTACAGCTAACCTAATTTTATTTCATTTTTATCAATAAGTTATTTTAAACTAAAGCATAGCCAAAAATAGCTGATAAACCCAAGGGACTGAGCTAGTAAACATTTCAAGATTTTTTAATGTGAAATGATAATTGTAGCTTTTAATCCTAATTTTTGAGTCATGAATTCAGGACCACTCACTCACATCCCCTAAATAACAATAATTAACCTTTAACATCAGTATGCATATTCTCCATACTGTTCTCTATACATTTTCTAAGGTGCTGACCAAGAGAATTTGGTTAGCAATGTGGAGCTTCTTTAGTAGGTGATCATTTCATTAATTCTCATGACCTTAATGTTTGATTCAGGGGTGATATTGTAAGGAGAAATTACATTAGATGCTAGTCATTCTTAGGAGTTAAAGGGTTTAATAACCTTTTCAGTGTTACTCCTTGTTCTTCAAAGACTGGTAAAAGGTAGGAAATCAGTAGCCCTCTACTTTTTAGCTGCTCCTAAATTTCTGTGGTAAACTTTTAAAAACGAGTACATCATAACAGATCAAAATATGTTACAGCTACTTGTGATAATTAAGGCCATCCTCGGCTGAGTATTGTACACGTAGTGTACATTGTTACTCAGCGTAATTCCAAAAACATTTAAATCATTATAAGTGCAAAAATATTACACATTAAAGCTCTGTTTTTAATGGTTAGGGCTCGCAGGAGAAGTAATGGTAACAATTTTCGTCAAACATCAAATTCGTGAAGGGCGAATTAGAATTTTTGTCTTTTTTTTAGTTTGGAAATTTCTGCAAAACAAATAAAGGACGAATCCTGGAGCAGAAAAAAAAAATTTAAAGCAAAAACACGGGTTCAACGACTGCTTGTAATAAAAAGTTGTGGTTATTCAATGTCATTCTCAATGCAAATGGCGATCGTTTGTAATACGGTGTTTACATGATCATAGCAACAACATCAGCACATTCGCATCGTCAAAAGTTAACTTTTCTCGCGGAAGAATTGATCTTAATTTAAAATAATTATTAACTGCAGATACTTTTAGACATTTCTGGGAAATTACAGCCGTAAAATACAGAAATTAACTTACATTTGGGTAAGTTTTCCACTGTTGATTTTTGCAGCAACAAACCTACGAAACTCGCAATGACTTGTGGGTTGCGAATGCAAAACCGCTGTGCATGGTATGACCAACTAAATAGGTCCGCAGTATGTGTACAAAGAGAGGCGATTGTCAACGACAGTTGATCGTAGACTTCCCACCCCCACATGACAGTAAATGGTTTATTGCAATTTTCTGCAACATGAACAGTGTTTAGTTAGTGATCAATTCCTTTATTCTCGTGACCTTAATGTGCGATTCAGGGGTGGTATTAAAAGGAGAAATGAGATGGTCCCTCATCGGATCAATCTTCGACAGTTCTAGACTAGACTAATACCTCATTCACACCAAAGCTTAAACATGTTTTAGAGTTGTTTTGTTTAACACAGTTTAATTTTTTTCTTTTAGAAACTACTTAACCGAGTATTTTTTTTCTTAAACTTCAGTAGCACATTTCAAATGCAAGTTAGCAAGTACTTGAATCCTATCGAAAATTAAGTTTTTCAGTTCTCTGTTTATGATTTTCCTTCAGTAAAAACCAGTTTAACAAAACATATTTTGCTGGTGTGAATAGGGTATAAGTTTGCGTTCGAAAACTTTCATTTCGTTTTTTTTGTTACTTAGATCACTGAAATTTAACAACAATGATTCGTTTATGAAACCTACGAGACATAATTTCTGAAAATGTCACAACCACTAAAAACAGAAAAATACAATTTTTAGTACACTGATTAACGGTAAAATTGTATTTCACCAATAACGTTCGTACCATAAACGCGTTGGTTTTGTTTAGTTTGAGTGCTATATTAGTACTTTGTTTCAAATGAAAAGTGTGTTTAAGCCTCGAAGTTTGTAAAAAAAAAAGATATAAATTAAAAAATAGGCCATCAAAATCATGTTCAGGATAGTATAGCATCACAAAGGCTTGGAATAATCTTTTATCACTTAATTCGAATTAGATTTTGCTAAACACTGGTCGGTAGCTAGTTTGTGGTATGAAGCATATGAAATAAACATAACTGAACTAAGTTGTATGCTCGCTGAGACGGTCGCTTTAATGTGGAGAGTCTCGAATCGTTTATAAATTTCTGTAAAGCTTAACTTGAATATGATGAGAGGAAAGTATTTTTTTTTAACGTATACAAAATTTTTTTGTGTATCTTAACTCTAGAGAGCTCGAACATCATGGCTCTAGAACGCTGCTAAATAAAAAGCTTATTCTCTAGAGAAAAACACGTCAATGTAAACGCAGTGTGTTCGACAACAGAAGAGGCAATTTTCCGGTTGTAGCTGGATTATCTGGTATTTACACAAGTCAGCCACATCTTGCCGTTTATCAATCAATTTTTTGTGTTAGCCTATACAACAGACTTACAACAGATGGCTTTTATCTTCTAATCTTACATGGAATTCATTTGTTTTTCAATATACATCATATTAAATATACCATATGCGACAAGTGTTTTGAAATTTGATAAGTGACAGATATCAGTGAACGGGCGTGCTAAAGCAAATGTAAAACGCTTAAAAGCCAGAGTGACTCTTCTTTCAGATGCAATGGCGGAGTTTTTCCTGTAGTCACGGATTACCTTCATTGCTCATTTAAAATAACTCTGAAAAACTTTCTAAACAATTTTAAAATCCAATTGCTGCTAAGAGCTTCCAAAGGTAAGCGAGATGACTTCTTTATCGCTTTGTCATGGCGTCATAACTCATACCGAAGCAATTAGGAGGTTTTCTCGCAGTGTTTAACCAGATGATAATGAATATAGCTTTACTGACCGTTAACCAGTTTTGATATTATAATCTCCGAAGGACGAGGAACAGTTTATAACCAAGTTAATGTGGAGAGACTAATGGTAAGCGAAACTTGCTTATGTTTTTGATTCAAGCAGTCATTACTCATACTAGGCCACTAAAAATATAGTTATCGCTGTCTGAAACAATTTGCTTTCTGTTAAAGAGAACTTTTACAGCAGTTAAGTTGACCCGTTTCAATTGTCTTAACCTCTGTAAAATGGTTGAAAATTCATTATTAATCATATTTTAGTTTTTAAGAATATTCATAACGTTTTGGGCGTCAGAATATCGAGACTATAGCATTTAGCAAAATGAAAAATAATGGGAAACATGAAAGTTGGAAAAGACTTTTGTCCTAAAGATATTAAGATAATAGAGTTTATGTTCTTGATCATAAATATCTTTTCGGCCCTTCCCAGAATTATTTTAACCCTCACCTAGCAGCTCGGACTTAAAGGATTATGTTGAGCCCGAAACATATTTATGCCCAAAGCTTAAAAACATGACAACAAAACAATCTAAACACCCACGCAAGCGTGTGAGCATTTTAGCCTGCTAAATTCTCTATTTTGGCCCGCGAAATGCTCTATAATGTCTAACAAAGTGATATTAATTTCATTTTTTACACGGTGCTTTGGGTAAAAACAGAGATAATTGCAATGGCCTAAAAATTAAGTTCTCTCTGGAAAGAAACAGAAACGAAAGCTGTCGTATTTCTTGCAGATGTTCTGAGTCATATGCCGGTAAGGCGAGTTAACACAACTTTGCATATAAATTTACCCGCTTAGCCATCAATAAACGGAAAAATGCAATAATTATGGGAAAGGGTATGAACAGATTGTGGCAAAAATGGGTAATACCATCAGCTGCGTAAGTTCAAAACCAAGTAAATTGCCTGCAGTTTTAGCATAAGCGATCTTCACGAAATTCTGAGTTCCTGTTTTCCATCATATGGTATATTTATTATACATAAACTATATTTTTTATTGACTGATCGAAAGGGCAAATGGTGAATAATTAGAATAAAGAGATTGTTAATAAGTTAACTTTGATGAAACGAAGCAGAAAAAAATTATTCATTTATCTATCTCAAGAACATTTGTGTCACGTCGGTTTTCAAGTAGTGGTAAACTACTTTGAAATTCATATTGCTTAAAAATTCGATCAAGCCTTCGGGCGGTAATTTTATTTGAGATCCAAAGAGAGATAATTACATGGCGACCGTCACTTAAAGAGACTCGCCCTGTTAAAAACGCATTTCAGTCGACCTAAAGATGGTCATTTACGTTGCTGCTTCTAAGAGGGTCTTCCAAGGTATCCATGACTACTCTGATGCTTTCCAGCTGCTCATTAGAACACAATGCATAAAACATTTTGGTCGCCTGCAAGAACATTTTTCTCTTACAACCTACCTGAAGGTATTTTAATTTAAAAAGAAGTTTAATTCAATTCGTGATAAAAAATTCCAAAAATATTCTAATCTAGCTCCTTTAAACGACATAATTTCAATTGCTCTCACAATACAACCTCGGTTCTAACGTCCTCTCTCTTCCTCCGGAGGCAAGAAGGAAGTGGACCCTGGGGCTCGAAAGATAGAAATAAATAGTTGTTACTTGATCGGAAACAAACACGCCGATGGGATTGCGTCTGAAGTTTAAATAACCACGAGTTAAATAGTCTTATTGGGGGAGAAAGTTTTCTGTCGGATACAGAAAAATTTGAAGGAGGTGTGTTGTCTGACTTGAGAAAATATCATGAAAGGAAGTCGCTTAATCTGTGCTTAATCATCTCCATTAGTTTAAAGACAAGACCTGAATTTATGTTATGTCGTACCATCTTGATTTCGTGTCCGTAGGAAAAACTTACACAGCAGGAAATTGAAGGTTAGTCCAGTTGTTCCTTTTCAGGAAGTACTGACTCATCAGGTTAAACAACACTTTTTCAAATCTTATTTGACCTTCTTCCTTGAAGTAGTCTGAATACTTAGTTACTCCGGTGATGTCACTCTATTTAAAAAACTAACGACAGCACTTGAAATTACAATGAATAGAGGTACCAGGCACGAGGTGTTTATGTTCTTTGCTGAACGGATTTTCACCACGTTTCTTTCTAAAAAACCAAGCTTTAAGGCCAAACAGGAAAGTGCAGGACTTTGTTGTTTATCAAATACAAGGCCAGATGCTAATTTAGGCTCTCCAGTTTTGTTTACACGTCCCGCCTGAAACTCCACTGAATTTTCAATTGGCAAGCAAGATAAATTCAATATAATTACTCATTAACATTCAATTTCCTAATAGAATACGTCGAGGCGTTCAGATGCTTTGACCTGAATGAAAACGGTCAGTTATCCACAAAGGAACTAAAGTATGCTATGCGCATGCTTGGCTTGAACCCAACCGATCACGAAGTTCAGGAACTTGTGAACGACTTGGACTACGACGGTGAGAATAGCCGGAATATTGCTTCTTCTGCAGTGGCTAAAAGAGTTTGACAATGAGCTAAAAGTGCTTTGCATTTGAAATATTTTGGCTTTACAAGCTTATTGCTGCTCTAAATATGCGTTTTTTGGTGGCTTTCATCGTCACGCAGTCGAAATCTTTAAATCTATCGAATTCCTGACGCCAAGAGAGTGAATTATTGTAAAATATTGATACGTAAACAATTTCAGGTACGCCATGTTAGTGCCCATCCAAGATAGGCACCAAAATTTAACGGTTCGATAGCTTAGCACCTTTCTATTTTGATGTACTAGCACTTGGCGACAAAGACGAGCTGGAAAATGAAAAGACGAATGAAACAGAAAATGGCAAACGGCGAAAAAGGAAGAAGTCGAGGGAAGACGAGAAAATGCAAGGAGAAAAATGGACAAAGGACGACTTTCCGATTTGTAAGCATAATTCTAATCTTTCACTGAAGCAGTTTTCATTTGAGACTCGAAAGTAATCCGGGGTTGCGTTGGTTTTGTCTCACTTTGCTCCGTGATTGGCTGAGAAAACTCGCGCCATCCTCTCAACCAATCAGATTTAACACTAAAAGCAAAAGTATTTTGGGTCACATGCATTTCCCGCGCCACAGGTAGTTTGTTGTTATTTTGAGCTCTTTCTTTATTTATTTAGCTTTGCCTAACTAGAATACAATTATACTTATATGCATAAAAATTATTACGGCAGGGAGACCACTACAACTTATCCAATTACAGTGGATTCCTCTTTAATGATTACTGATAACTAAAGCTACTCATATATAGAACGAGAAAAATAAACAGGAAACAAAAGTTCAAATTGCTAGAAGTAGCACGACGGTGGACATAGGAGAGTCCTCGCTATGTTGCAGCTGGGACAGATTGTTCTCTAGGTTCTGATGTCGTCAAGGTCATTCAGAGCTAAAGCGTTATTGTATTATTGAAGTAATGAACGATTACTCTTTCTGCTTTTGTCATTAATTTGCTCTGTTTGGCTGCTCCGATTACGTTGGTTTTGGTTTTGTGACAATCAATCGAAAAGCGCTCGATAGCTTAGGTCCTATTGCTAAGGGATCAGGAAGAGGTGAGGGGAGGATTCGATGCAGGATTTAAAATTTACCTTAATGATTCTACCCCCCCCCCCCACCCCCTTATTGACAGTTAATTGGCAGTCAATTTCTTTAATCCACCATCTCTATTGTTTGCGACCCCACCCCTACCCCCCTAGACGATCCTGTAATAATGACCACCCTTAGTATAAGTTTTGAAATAAAAAATTCCATCGAAGATGAGAAGCAAATGCTTTACGAACAAGAATGGAACCCGTTGCAAAGGAGAAAAAGTTGTAGAAAACCTCCAATCCCCCCTTCCCCCCCCCCCCCACGGGAATCACTAGAGACCGGCCCATAATGATCTCAGTGATAACGGTGATTATCTATAATAGTAATAAATTTGATGAAGATGATGATAATAATTATGAAGGAAAGTTTACTTAGAAATAATTGTGATTTTATCTCTAAGATGAGGGCGCTATAGATTTTAAAAAATTTGTCAACTTGATGGAAAAACAGCGAAGTATGATGCAGGACGACGAGGCCGCTATGTTGTTCACTGTATTCGATTCTGACCATCGCGGCTTCATTGAAGGAAAGACAATCAAGAGATCGCTGCATTTTCTGGAAGATGTCCCCACCGACGAGATAAACGAAATACTGGCGATGACAAAACTTTCGGATGACCGAAAGATAACTATGGAAGGTATCTAATCCACCTTGTTATGATTGTGAGCCAGAAAGAAAACTGTCAGTCGGCCAGTTAGTCAAACATTAAGCCAGTCTGCTTGCCAATCTGTTTATTAGTTATTCAACAGTCAATCAATCATTAATTCGGAAAATAAGTTGGTTAAGTTGACAGGCGCTGAAGTCAGTCAGTCATTCATTCATGCTGTCAGTCAATATATCAATCGGTTATTGAACAGACACTCATTCACCAAATAAGTCAGTCAGTCAGTCAGAGTTAGTCAGTCATTTATTCATGCACTCAGTCAATCTATCAATCGGTTATTGAACAGACACTCATTCACCAAATAAGTCAGTCAGTCAGTCGCTCGTAAGTCAGTCAGTCAGAGTCAGTCAGTCATTTATTCATGCACTCAGTCAATCTTTCAATCGGTTATTGAACAGTCACTCATTCACCAAGTCTATGCGTCAGTCAGCCAGTCAGTCGGCCGATCAATGAGTCAGCTAGTAAGTCTGTTTACTATGTCTCAGATTGTACGTGATCTGACTGGTCAATCTAAATTCAAAAGTTTGTCTGAATTGAAACAACCCCCCTATATTTAAACTCAGAGATCTAACAAATATCTTACTAACACTTTTTCCTCGGTCCGCACTGTTAATGAAAGAACCTCGTTTTTCCAATCGCATTTATGACCCGAATGCTTGTTTCTTGGGCCATAAATCCAATTGGTAAAAACTTGGTCCTTATGTCACAGCGCACCACTCAAAGTCGGTCAGTGACAATTTCAGTGAGATAGTCACCCATCCGTTAAGTCAATTTATCAGTCTATCAGTCAGTCAGTCAGTCAGTCAGCCAGTCAGCCAGTCAGCCAGTCAGCCAGTCAGCCAGTCAGCCAGTCAGCCAGTCAGCCAGTCAGCCAGTCAGCCAGTCAGCCAGTCAGCCAGTCAGTCAGTCAGCCAGTCAGTCAGTCAGTCAGTCAGTCAGTCAGTCAGCCAGTCAGTCAGTCAGTCAGTCAGTCAGTCAGTCAGCCAGTCAGCCAGACAGTCAGTTAGTCAGTCAGCCAGTCAGCCACTCAGTCAGCCAGCTAGTCAGCCAGTCAGTCGTCAGTCAGTCAGTCAGTCAATCTGCCAGTCAGTCAGTCAGTCATTTTTATCAATCAGTCAGTCAGTCAGTCATTTTTATCAATCAGTCAGTCAGTCAGTCATTTTTCAGTTATCCAGTCAAGAAATGATTAAACTTCTACTGCTGTTTAATTTTCAGAGTTTGTGACCAACTTTCTTTCACCTCTGATACTGAAGGAAGAGAACAGTGAGATGCTCTGATCTGGCATGCGCAACTGAAAAACAAAAGTCTCTAGTGTTTAGTTTTTCTTTTATTTAACTTTATAATGCTAGAAATACCCCCCAAAAAATTGGAATGTTTTAAGCTATTTTGAAAAAGTAAAACGTGGAGTAATCTATGATGACGTGAGTAGCCCATAGAGCGAAAATTGTCTGGCATTTTGGTTTAGTGAATTAGCTTTCTTTCAAAACATTTATTTCAATAATTTTTCTTAATGGATAGATTCAAGTGGGAGAGAGCTTTTGCTTTCATTTTATTTGTGTAATATAAACAACATTTTTGGTAGATGCAAACCCTGTTTCTTGTAGCAAATTGATTTTTATTCCGAGCAAGAGATGAAGACACTCTGTTGGACATTAAAGAACTTGATTCTCACATTAGGTATTGTGAGAACTCAAATAATGAAAATTTTTTTTTAAGTAAGTAGTTAAATGCTATAGCAATGTTTCATTAATAAAATTCAACAAATGGACGGTCGAAATACCTAGGACAAATGTTACGCTTTAAATGTCATATTTTGAAAGGGGAGTGACAAAAATTATCTGAAAAACTTTTGAAAAAAAAAAAGAATAATATTTCAAACAGTTAGCCGGTTAAAAATATCACGCAATATTAATCTGAGGAGTTGCAGCAGCTAAGGTTTTGAGTTAATTTCAAAAATTTACTGCTGTCATCCAAGAGTTGCGTTTTCAGTTTCATATAGAGAAGATGATTCCAAAATAAGAGTTTATTTCTTCTTGCGGCAAGTACTTAAGGACATTATTTTAACCGAACATGATCAATATTTCATTACGTTGAATTGGATCAAGAAGGTTTCCTTATGAAATGCGGATATTTAATAACTTTGGTTAAAGAACTTATGTAAATTTTTACTACCTGTGTTCTCCATTGCGTCTCTGGTGATTTATTTTGCAAATTATTTAACTGATGCGAAATGAAGCTAATAATCCTTGTTTTATCTGCATTCAGTCAATATTTTCACTCCATCTAAACGCCACATCTTTCAAGCGTGCTTTGTAGAGGCACTTTACATATTGGCAGTGATTTTCGCAGAACAACCGTTGGCTAGAGAAAAAACCGTTGTTGAATGTGATTCTTTTATTTGCGGCCGTTTTTAGCCAAGAATTTTGTGGTTTATCACACTGGAATTCCGCAAAAGGTAAGATTTCTTCGTAGATTATCGCTTGCAGTTAAAGAAATACAGAAGTAGACTTACCAAGTCATAGTGTACAGATAAAACTTAGCGGTTTTGAACTGTTCCTCTTCCTGGTTGAATTAGGAGCTATTCCTTCGCCCTAAAACTAACGAATGATACGGTAACGTTGGGTAAAATTTAAACTATTATAAAATCAATTTATTACGCCATCGTAATAAAAAAAAGGAATATGGAAAAAAACCGACATGACTCTTAGTTCAAAACGACCCTAAGCAAAAACGATATTCTCATCGAAAAGGTTTTCAAGTTTTGCTGTTGCTTCTCAAAAATGTGTTTGAATTAGGGAATAGATTTTGTATCGCTTTTCGGGAGACCACAGAAATCTCCTGCTGCGTTTGAAATGACTGGAATACGTAGAATTTTATTTGTAAAAACATGCGCAGCTATTTAAAAAAACGCTCAGTGAAAATAGTTCGACAACATCTGCGAAAATTGGACCCAAGCAAAATAGCTCTTGATAAAGTTCTAATTTTCTAGACAATGCGGAGACACAATATTTAGGGAAATTTTCTTTTGCCCTTCTTAAGTGAATCACTATCACAAACAACTAACAAGGTGGAGTAATTGATCAGCCAATCGCCGCGTCACAACGCAACGCTCTAAAATAGCACAAATCAACGTTTTAACACCGTTAGAACAGGATAAGCTTGCTTTAATTTCTACAATTACGTCGGAAAATTTACCATGTATGGAATTATCTTCGACGGAATCTGTTCACGTCTATCTAAGGCGCTGATGGTTGTTTCAGGACAAACATAATTATGTAATTTCATCAAATAACAGATAGATAAATGGATGTTATAGTTTTGCTTCCTCTTGTTATATTTAGCTTTTGAAACATCACGGAAAATCCCGCAGGAGGGAAGATGAAAAGTAAGCTGAACCTTGTTTCCAGGGTCCTCTCTCGTTCTTCCTTGGGAGGACCCTGGAAATGAGGTTGAAGTAAGCCACGTTTTTACGCACAGCGACATTGACGAGTTGATTAAAACTCGTCTTGCCGAAAAATTTCTGTAAACATTAAGTAATTATATATCAAGTAAGTATTAAATAATAGTTCTTTGATTATGGTATAGCTTGTTGTAGGAAAGCTTATTTTAGTTTCTCATTCAAATAAAAGCGTTTTTGACGAGTAAGATTTTTTGTTTGGTGTGCTTTGGCCTACTTTTTGAAACTTTGGGGGTTTTGAAGTAAAAAATTGTCTTGAATTTTTCTTACTCAGTTCAAAAATTGTTCAACACATTTGTTTTTTGTAAGGCCTTGGGTATTTTTTTCTCCTCAGTATGGATACGTTTCTGCAGGGATGGCTTATACCCCTCCTATTAATGAAATATCATGGAAACTGGTGAGTCTCTGATTTAATAGATAGATTGCACACTTTATCATTATCAGCGTTGCAGGAAGTACGTTTCTCCACTTACTAGAAGAATTAAGACGGGTCGGAGAGAGTTTTACCAGGAGTCTGGTACTATTATCAGTGCCAGACCCCTTGCAGACCTATCGGTGGCTCGCGTTGCTGAGGCTCTTATACTTTTTCGGGGGCGAAGAAACGCTTGTGCTGAAGCGTTAGTAAAGGGGGCCTGGTCCTAGGCTATAACAACAGGGAAATAGACAAGCAGCACTTTAATATTTCAACTGGAATTTGATGGTATGGTCTTTTTTTTCGTTATGAGGGGTATGGCCTCTTTTTTCGTTACGAGGGGTATGGCCTTTTTTTTCGTCATGAGGGGTATGGCCTTTTTTTTCGTTATACCTTACTTTTTCTCGAGTGAAAGGACATTTAAAAGCTCCTATTCTCCTAGAAGGGGTTTTTTGCTGATGATAAAGTCTCGTTCAGAACCTCTACAGTCTCAATAACACACGACAGTTGGAGTCGAATACGGAGTCCTAAGCTTGACAAAACAAGCAGTTCAGTTTTCATCTGATTCTGCCTATGACTCTGGTTTTTTTGAGCGAGTGAGCTCAAGATTGCAATAGGTGCAAGCAGCAAGAACCAAACAATTACAATGCGGGTTTTCAGGCCATCTGTTGGCTTACGATTCCAACAATTCAGTTTTCACAATCAAAGGCGACAGGGTCCCGAACCGTATCTTCGCTCTGCTTTCGATTCGCCGGATCTCATCCGGCTCCGCCAGCTCTGAACATCAACCTTAAAGTTTTAGCTCCTAGCTTGAACAGCTGAAGAACATTTGTTTGTTTCTGTTTAATTAAGTCCTCTTGACTACCTTCTTGTTCACTTTAATTATAGCAATGAGATATCTCACTTTGACAGAACAGAGATAGCCAATGCCACGTTCATTTTGGATAGTATCCTGGAAGATAATGATTACGACAAAAACACCAGACCCCGAGCAGGACGTAAGTCTCTCCGATGATCTGTGAAAAACTCTCGTCTTAATCAGCCTGTGTAGCCGTCCTCTAAGTTTCCTTTTATGGAAGACGGAGGAGGGTGAACCGCGCAAGGGCATAGGGCGAGAGAAAGTAAAGAAAGTGGTCCGTAGGTTACTTCTTTACTCCAGAACTGATCAACATGTAACCTCTTCTCAAAAATCCATATTTCAGCCGAGAAACAGGTGACGAGAATAGACAACCTCATCAGCTAGGGGTGTTATTTCGATAAAACGCCGAACACTGGAGGTTATAGGGAAATATTTGACAATTAGAAGGGAGGAATTGTAATCTTATTTTGGGATTTACAATAAGAGGAATAACATCTAGTAGATTAACTACTCCGGGGAGTAAGTGAGTGTTACCATGGAAACAAATTAATGGTGTCTATTGTGTTACCTCGTAATTTTAATGGGAAAGGAGTCACGATATGATCTCAACTCTTAAAAGCTCGTGCGTGACAGATTTTTTTCCCTGACCAGGATTATCATTGAAAATAGATGAATAATTAATGCAAACTGAAAACAGAAATAAAAATTTATCTTTTTTTCCTTAGAGAAACCAGTTATAGTGTATCTCAGTATGGCAATTCAATCTTTTACAAATATTAAGGAATCTAATATGGTGAGTTATTTGTTTTAATATATTTAACATTTGATTACTTTAGGTTTTAGTTTCTATGTATTTGCAGTTTAGTTTATCAATTCGTCCACTGTACACTTGTGGATGAAAATCACTTTTCAGGCTTCTAATCCTACAAGTTTTTCAATTTTAGCTGACTTGCGTGGATCATTTCTTACTTGAATATTATCCAAAGGTCATAAATTCTCATTTAATGTCAACAATTATAATCAGATATCTGATTATAATTATTGACATTAGATGAGAATTTATGACCTGTGGATCCCCATATGGGGACAAAAAACCCTTCAAATTAATTTCTTATCCACTGATCAGATGGATTTTCAGCTCACTTGGTAGTACCGCCCAACTAGCAAGGTTTGGAGAAGCATGGGTTGGAATCCATATTTTTATCTGCGAGGAACACATATCTACTTAGAGATAAATCATTGCTAAGAATGATACGATAAACTCGAATACGATAAATGGAAGCCAAAAGATAAGGAGTTTGTCAGCTTTAGAGTTTAATAACCAGTTAAGAACAATAAACGTCACTTACTTCTCGATAGGAGTTTACAACATCAATGTTCTTGCGCCAAGAGTGGAATGACAGAAGATTAGCGCATCATCACAACGGCATGTTACCTGTCCAAGGCAAAGATGTGCAGAAAATATGGCGTCCAGACACTTACTTCACAAACATGAACGACTATAAGTTGTACGAGGACAATCAACTGGCTCTGATATCAAGATTTGGATATGTCTACTATAGTTCAAGGTAAACTGAGACAACATGTCATGGTGGACACGAACGAACAGATCCTTTTACCAATATGGCGACGGAAAATGACAACCACAAAGTATTGAACTAGACCAGGAAATGGTTAAAATGGTTTTTTTCATTTGGTATCTCAGGAAATATTCACTGTCGTACCCTTTTAATTTTTTTTTGGTATGCGTGGCCTTGTAATTTTTAATAGACCTCAAAAAGCACCATTTTCATTGGTAAATCTCAATTATCTCTTTGTAAAGCGCATCAGAGTTCAATTAACCTCGTACCCAGATCCTACCGTGTAACCGTAAAATGAAATGTATAACCGCTTGACCGTGGGAGGTCTGGGAACGAGACTACAGTTCAACAGCAGCACACGTTCTTCCCACCCCAACCCAATATTTTGGATTTCTGCTTTCACTAACTTATTCAGAGAAGTAGAAAAGAAAAGTATCCCTTTTCAAAACGGCTGCACGAACCTCCGATGTGAAGAGAAAGACAGTTTGAATTATATGGAATGAACTTCATACGCAAGAAATGTTCTTTCTTCTGCGACAGGTTGTTTGTTGCTGCGTCCTGTCGAATGTATTTACAAAAGTTTCCAAGGGATGTTCAGAAGTGTAGCCTTATCCTTGAAAGTTGTAAGTATGAGCTGATTTTGTTGCTCTGAGTAAGGTTTCTCAATTTTAAACGTTCTTTGTAAAGATCATGATAGAACCAGAGGCTTAGCTCACGAGATGTGAACTCGTGAGTATAAAAGCCGCCCTTGTAGGAGAGCCTCATAGCTTACCAGCTGAGGCTTGCTCGTCACTGGTGCCCTCTACTTATTTGCTGCGGTGGACTCATTTGAGAAATTACGAAGCCACGACTTGCAAAATCTATTGTTGATCCCCTTGACAGTATCAAAAATTAGGCGGAGCACACAACCACGGGTCTTCCATCTATGTCCATATAATACAGGGTGTCCGTTAAAACAGGTCTAATAGACTGCGCAATCGTTTAATTTATTAGAAAAGCTTCAAATACAAAAGAGTGAGTAACCAGTAACTTTCCGAATGTGACAGTTTTACGGGAAGGTAAATGGTATAATCAATTGCCAGACTAGACAGTTTTTATAGCATGCAAAGTACTCTCGATCTGTGTTCGCTCAAGACGATGTCCGCTTACCCTTGACAGAGATTTCGCTGTAACACTAAGTCAAAACACTCTCGTCACAGCCTCCTCCCCAACTGATCACAAGATAATCAATTAAAACGCATAAGGAGCGAATATTTTAAGTGGCTTGTGTGTTATCTTTTTTAAAGTTGCTTTCACCAGAGACATGGTGGAATACCGATGGAAGTATCCCAATCCAATCAACATCCTGGATATAGAATTAGCAGAATTTGATTTGACCAGCACAGAATACACTAGTGAAGATGTTGAGTACGTTGCAGGTATTCACTACGACTTACTTCAAGCCCTCAGGGGTGTTCCTCGTAAGAAAAACCATGAGTGACCTCAGGGGTTTTCTCCCTCTTTTTGTCGTGACAAGAGCCCATTTTTTAACGAAAGATTTTCGTCAGAATATTTTTGAGACTTCAGCGATATAGTTTGCTTGCTTGAAGTTCTATTTTGTTTCTTTTCAAGTGGCTTGAAATTTAAATTGCACGCTTAACGAACGCCAGACGTGTGGAAAATATATTATGTCCGATAAGGTTAACCGTTAAACTTGAGAAATAACGCCACTTTGAAAACATCGGTATAATAATTTTTGCTCTGACGTAAAAGCTAACGCTTGAAACGTCAGCTGTATATGCTCTATACGGCGGCCAATTTGCACTACGAACTCAGGAGATAAGACTAAATTATCTTGTTACACCCCTCATCAATGTTTCTCTGGAAACTTACCCCCTCAATACCAAAAGTTTCGTGTGACCATTTGTGACATATGTTACGAGATTCATTGATATAAATCCCTGTTTCGCTTGCAGGTAAATACCGTGACATGATCGTAACTTTCACATTTAGTCGTCGGATTGGTTATTACCTCATTAACTTCTACGTTCCATGCATCATTATGGTTATTATGAGCTGGATCGTGTTCTGGATGGATCGAGCCAACATCGGTGACCGAATAGCGCTCGGAATTACGACTGTGCTAACGATTGTTTTCTTACTGAGTTCCAGTAACAGCACTATGCCCCGAGTCAGTTACCCGAAGGCAATCGACTGGTACCTAATGACTTCGTTCATCTTCGTCTTCACGACACTGATCATGTGTCTGTTGATCTTCCGGTTTGATAGACGTGTAAACAAACAGAAGTGCCCGCCGAGGTCGGTCAGCGGTGAACCACCAGCCGAATCAACTTCCATGCAGGTAAATGAAATCATATTAAAAGAGCCCACGATAATGAACGACTTATTGCTGACAATTAATGATCAAGACAGAATTTCTCCTTACATTATCAACACAGAATTAAGCAGACAAGTGAGGAGAATAAAGAAGAAAACTCAATTAGGGGACCAAAAGTTGATCCAATACCAAATTCTCCAAATTGAAATCAGAAGTATATTATGCCAGACAGTAGGGAGAATTACTAACCCCCCCTCCCTCACTCTTTTAAATAGTGCTGGGGAATTACTTCATCCCTGTTCACTTGAGGACTGAGAGGGCTAAGTTTCTCAGCTAAACCGTGCTTGGCCTTAGAGTACTGTGACTACTCTGGACGGGAATTTAATCAATCGCAGTTTGCCCTCCCTCTCTCCCTCCCTCTCATGGGGTTGGCTGGTACCCATTGATAACTCCTGGGTGAAGAGACGCTGTATGAAAAGTTTGCCCCAGAACACCACCCATAATCCAAACAAGAGCTCACACCTGGAATGCTCGTCCTTAGACCGCTGCGTTAAATACCTCGCCTCTCATGTCGGCTCTTTAGGCATAGCTTACTAGCCTTAAATCTTTGTCATAACTTTAGATGCCCGAAGAGCCAGAGATTAGGAGCCGTGTGTCATACTTTGTGGCAGACTCTCGAGGAGCCGTGTATCCCATCGTTCACAGCGCTTCAGGCCTCAAGAAAAGAAGTCTCCTATCGTTCTGTTTTCGCCAGAAGTTTTGCGGACTGTCGGCACGAGTTACACGGGAAAACCTGGGAATGATTTTAAACAATTTCTGTAGATTTCTCTTCCCTTGTTCGTTTCTTTTGTTTAATCTTGTGTACTGGGTGGCGATTTCCAACTAATGGATGCTCGTGATTAATTTAATGAGATGGAAATGAGACAGTGTGACCATTTTGGAGTCTTCTAGGACAGTTAGGTCAACGAGTTATGCCCATGTTCTGCTTCTAAGGTGAAAATCTCTCTCAGCGGTTACTCATGAGAAGATTTTTTGCTTTCTGTACAAGAGGAAAAGACACAACCCAAACAGATTCGCTTCACCTCGTCTATCTGGAGAGTGTTATGTTTAGGGGCGCTTATTATTTATATCCTGGGGTGGTGGGGGGAGGATGGAGGATTTTTTTTTTGGGGGGGGGTCACATGGGTTTTCAGAGGGTACGGCCGAAGGATGGTCGCAGCTAACGGATTATAAAGGGGGAGATTTAGAAAATTGACCGCCAATGAGTGGAAATCGTCGGAATACTACAGCGCATAAGGGAGGAATAAGATAAATTTTATTGACACATCAAAATCCTCCTATTCCCCCTCCCCCCGGATATGAATAACGACAAGTCCCCAAGTACAAGAATGACGAGTAACAACCCTTTTAACGAGTTTTTTAAAAAATAAGAAGCCTGACTTCATTAAGTAAACACATTTAAATTTAGGTAAAGTAAATAATTCTCGGAATCCAAGCTAGCCTGACTAAAAGAAAAACTTAATTTTGAAAAAAAAAAGGCCTTTAGACAGGAGTATTTTGCAGAATATCTGCTCATGTAGAATTAATCAACAGTTACTCGCTTTCTTGGAAGTGCGGTTCTTCAACGAATGGTTTTGAACGATCTTTTAGCTGCTAAATGTTTTCTCGAAAATTAGTTAGGAGAACTTGGTGTTAATTAGATCAAGACAAGAACGCTTTAGCTGGTGTGTTTGTCTATTATCATCACCTTTAAGTTAGATATCGTGTTCGCGTTGTTAGGAGAAGTTGGGTCATAGCCTTTTAACTCCCATGACTGACCAAAACAGAATAACATCAATACAATATTAAGTTGAAAAGTGATGAGAATAAAGAAAAATATCAATTAGGGGATTATCACTAGATCCAATACCAAATTCTCCAAACCAACAATGTAAAAACTGTATGGCAGGCAGTAAGGAGAATTACTCGTCAGATCTTGGGATTGAAAGGGTTAATTCCTTCACCACTGTAAGGGTTAATTTAGAACTGCAGTAAAAACCACAGTCTTCCGTCGCTCAATACCACAGTGCTTACGAGAGAAATCTAAATCACGAATCAATTAAATGGGTGAAAAGGGTCTTGTTATCTTTCCAAGGTACTTAAAGTTTCTTTCAGTGAATCAGGTAGTATTTATTATAGTAATTATTAATGGTTAGATTCATGTTTTGAAGAGAGTTGCAACTTCCATTTCAGGTATGTTATATGAATGTTAGTTGTTTCTCATGAAAACTCTTGTTCCTTGTCTCAAATTAATTGTTATTCTCAGCAAGAAATGAAGAAACTCGGTTGGAAATGAAAATACTTCACTCTCATATTGCGCTTCGTGTAATTTCAAATAATGAGGGAATTCCCAGAATAAAAAAATACAACAATAATTTTTCGCTGGTGAAATGCAATAAATAACTGTGGCGAAATGCAATAGCAAACAGCAAGTGTTACACTTCTATAGAGAAATATTTCGAAACGGGTGTGACAAGAATTAACTTTGAAAACTTCTAGAAAAAAAAAGTAAAAACAGTTAGCCAATTTGGAATATCAGATCATTTTAATCTGGGGTGTTGTTTATCTCTCAGACTTAATTCAAAAATTGAGCGAAGTCATCAATGAATTGCGTTTTAGTTTTTATATGGAAAAGATAATTCCAAAATAGGCAGTTATTTCTGCTTACGGCAAGTACTTAGGGATATTCTTTTTACCGAATATAATGAATATTTTATCACGTTGAATTGGATCAAAAAGGTGTCCTTATGAAATGCGGATATTTAATAACTTTGGTTAAAGAACTTATGTAAATTTTGACTGCCGCTATTCTCCATTGCGTCTCTCGTAATTTATTTGGCTGATGCAAAATGAAGCTGATAATTTACGTTTATCTGTATCATTTAATATTCACTCGATGTGAACGCCATACCTCTCGAAAGTACGTCGTTAAGGCATTTAAGGTAAAAGCCGTGATTTCCACCGATAAAAACCATGAATTAGGTTAGAGTTGTGGGTTAAAAGTTGAACGTTTTATGTGCAAGCGTTTTTCGCCAAGAGAGTCGGGGATTGTCGCTGTGATATTGCGCAAAAAGGTAAGTGCCTTCCTGTGGTATTCCTTGTTGCGATGAAATGTTAGAAGATGGCTTTCTACTTCATGGTAAGAATAACAACTATTTCTTAGCCTTAAAACTTGCAAATACACAGTTATGTTGCGTATAACCTAGAGTATTTTGAACATCGATTACTCGCAGCAAATTACAACTTCATTGTAAAAAAAAAGAGAAAAAATGCTGGCAAAAAAATCGGTGCAATTTGGAGTTAATTTAAATGTAAGCGGACAACATCTTTCAAACAGATATTTTCCCCAAAATTACGTTCTCAAAGTTTGCTTTTTGTTTTTAAAAAAGTACTCGTTTAGGTACACAAATTAGGGCACAGTTTTCATATCGCTTCTTGAAAGACCACAAAAATTACCTGCTGCGTTTGAAAACGTCTGGAAAATTTCAAATTTATTCGGAAAAACATGCGAAGCTGAAACTAGAATGTCAAGCGAAAGGAATCGATGACTGCTTTGTGTTTCACCAACTTTAGTGACTTCAGTGGAAAAAGTCTTGATAAAGTTCGAATTTTCCAGACATTATCGTGACAAAAATATTAAAAAACTTTTCCCTTAGACCTTCCCAAGTGGATCATTATCAAAAATAACTAACGAGGTAAAGTAATTGATCAGCCAATCACGGCGACACCACGCAACGCGCTGAAATCGTCCAAATCAACGTTTTAACACCGTTAGAGCGCGATAAGGTTGCTTTGATTTTTTACCGTTAATTTGGGAAATTTTCCATCTATGGAATTGTCTTTGACGGAATCTGTTCGCGTCTATTTAAGGCGCTGATGGCTGTTTCAGAACAATCAGAAACACATAACACCGTCAAATAACAGATAAATAATAAATGCTGTATTTGACGTTCCACTGTGATGTTTTTCTTTTGAAACATCCCGCATGAGGAAAAAATCAGAAATAAAGTAAAGTGTTGACGTACTTTCACGTCGACTAGCTAATCAAAACTCGTGTTACTAACAGATTTATTTAAATGAATAATTCACGCTGTTTGGTTTTGTCTTCCGTTGCAAGATGTTGTACTGTCTAGAAGTTACTTTTGATGTTTCACGAAGAATCAAGACTAGAAAAAGAATTCGAGTGCATAGGTTGCACAAAAGTGCTTCTCTACTGTACTGTGACATCTCACACTTTTCTTCTCAGGTTAAATAAAATTCCTTACTTTAGCGAAGTAAATTGATGTTCCTCGATCATACTCGTGTCCAGTCCTTTCTATGCGCGTGTAGTTTCGCTATTGCACTCACCTCGTTTCCGCCTACCGTTAATATGCTTTGATTTTTTTGGATAATAGGATGCATTTAGCCTTAAGACAAAGTCAGTAATGTTTTGCTTGGGTCGCAAATTCTCTTGAAAAATTTATCTTTAGCATTTTCGTCGGGACAGGCTACGAGCAGTCCCTCTTCTAAGTCGAAATCAGCGGAAAAAAAATTGATATCAGTGCACCGTGCGGAACCTCTTCGCCCTACTACCAGAGTTCCGCGCGGCGCGCGAAAAAAGATTTATTTTTTTTAGTGGATTTTTTAACTCGCGCGGCGGCCGACTTCGTCGAAAAGGAGGAAATGCTCTTTGTTTATCGTAAGGAAGAAAAATTATCAGCTTTTTGCTATCAAAGCTCTCCATTGAAACTGTTACGAGGTATTCATTCAATTAGTTATGGTTAATAATTGATTTGTTTACATTGAGTATTTAGGTAAGATTTGAATTCAATGTCCAAAGCCTATTGGGTTTTCAGTTATCACTATGAGTTTCCTGATTTTAACTGTTTTGTTTTTATTCTTCGAACTAAAATTTTTTTTAAAGTAGTCTTGTGGTGTGCTTTGTTATGAATTTTTCAAATTGTTACGATTTATCCAATTATTTTGTTGTCGTTATTCGAGTCTTATGACTCAAAAGCTTGAAGGTGGCACATTTAGTTTTAAAATTCAGTGGTTTGTCCTTGGCCGTCATTAAGACTCACCTCTAGAACAATAGCTATCAAAAGGTAGCCATGTTTGACTTCGCTTTGGACTTACGCCAAATATATTATTTTGATTTTAGAACTAAAATATTGGCCGTTTTATTGGTTGTGGTTCATTGGTGAGATTTCTGTGGAAGTATTTGCGCTAGTTTTCTGATAGGAGATAGCTTAACCCCCCAAGGTCAGTTAGTTCGCGAGCACCTTCAGATTGTGTCCATAAAAAAGTGTACGGTAGAGTTAGTAGTCAAAGTGGTTTCAGACGAGAGAAGAGATCAAGAGAAGTGATTCTATTGTTAGTAGAGTTAGTAGAAATTACAGCAGTTGTGTTTGGTTGATCAATCCTTCACATCGTAATATCAGTATTAATATTAACTACACATTTCTTTTAGTAAGACCAGGAGAATTTCAGTGACACTCGGCTGTAACGCGTGCGCCACTATTTCGCTCTTACAACATTTTGACGTTATATGCGATCTCTTACTGAACAGACCCACGAGAACATGGAACTGAATCTAACCGTTTAACTAAGGATGCTAGGAACTCCAAAACAAATTGATAAGTTTGCCTTCTGCGCCTCAGAAATGCTTTCTTTAGTTGCTTTTTTTACTTTCTATTGACGTTTTAGGATATTTTCAACTCAGCAGAATGGACACTTATCTAACAAGTTGGCTTGTGTACCTACTCTTTATGACAAATTTTGCGGTTTGGTAAGTCTTTAATTTTTATTTTCGTTAGCCAAATGGATTTTAACCTTGGTATGATTTGCCCTAGAGCTATCACGACTACAATCCTTTACAAGTAACATTATACTTCAAAGTTCTCGGGACAATTATCAAACTAAAAGTCTCCTGTATTAGAGAAAGAAGAAAGGACCTTACTCGTGTGCGTTTCAAGACACCCTTGAAACCAACTGCACTTTTTCTGATTGTTTCTAGGAGTCCAGTCTTACGAATTTTGTCGAAAATTTGAATTAACGTTATGCCCTGATCACCTAATTCTTTCTCATTATTTGCAAAATGTTACAATAGAGACCTTGACAAAATTTCCCAGTAGGGGTGAGGTGGGGGGTCGTTCTCACTTTTTCCCTCACAGAGAGAGCGCCTACAGGTACCCTGACACCCCGCTCGGCAGCTTTCTCGGCTAGTTAAAAAAAGGAGGTGGATCGGGAGGCACCCGACCGAGTGACCCCTGGTGCAAGGTTGCCCCACTTAGCCACGCCCTTACACATGAGGTGAATCTTGCTTGTATCTATATGTAAAATCTTAAATGATGCACGACGCACTTTTATCCCAACAGTGAGAAAGCTAAAATTGACAGGACAGAAATCGCCAATGGCACAGACGTTTTGGCTAAGCTTTTGAATAAAACCTGTTACGACAAAAACGCCAGACCCCAGGCAGGAGGTAAATTCTCTTCAATGACCTCTGAAAACCGTTATGTGACACGACGTCTTTAACTCCAAAACTGATGGAAATGTAACTTGTACGTAACTTCTTCTTTATCGCGGACGGGAGGGGTGGTGTTGGTGGATTTTTTTAGGGATCACATGGTTTTCAGGGTAACTCACCCTGAAAACCAAGATAATTCGTGGCCTACAGAGTTAAAAGTAGGGCTGAATAAAATTGACTGCCAATTTAAATGCCAGTGAGGAGGGATTGCAGAAATTTAACACAGACTTAAGGGGGGAATGGGGGGAACAGTTACTCTGATTGAAACATGACTAATACCCACTGATCCCCCTCCTCCCCTCCCCCGGCAATACCATTCTGGAAACAGGAGATGAGAAAAGACAAACGGATAATCTGGGCCAAGCCAAGCTCTCCAAACGAAGTTTTAGGAAAATATACGGCAAGCAGAAGAGAGGAAATTCTAATTAAATATTCTAACTTACAAGGAAAGGAATCACTGGAAATATTAATTTGAACGACAAACTAATGCAACGGGCTGAGTTAGTATCACTACGAAAACTAGTGGTTTATAACAAATGCGTGACTCAACGAATTTACCGAGGAATCACGACAGTCCCAACTCTTCAAAATTCTTGCTTGTCAAATTGATCCACTGACAAGGGTGTTAATGAATACAAATTAGAAGAAAGCGAACTGAGGAAAGCAATTGAAATCGATCTCTTTTCCTTAGGGGAGCCAGTCACTGTAAGTCTCAGCATGGCGGTTCAATCTTTTACAAATATAAAGGAATCTAATATGGTGAGTAAATATTTTTCTTTTACTTGTGATTGCCTGAAGGGTATTTTTAGTACTTGCTTTTCAATGGACGATACTTCCACTTTACACGACGATAATACCTTACCAAACGGGTTAGGAACATTGAATAAAGGGGTAAGTTTCTAAAGAAACTGTGGTGCTGCGTCGGTGGGAGAGTATAGCAGGTAATTTAGTGTTAACAACTGGGTTGAAAACGTAAATTAGCCACCGTAAAGGGTAAAAAAGCTGACGTTTCGAGCATTAGCCCTTCGTCAGAGCGAACGCTCGAAACGTCAGCTTTTTTTCCCTTTACGGTGGCTAATTTACGTTTTCAACCCAGTTGTTAACACTAAATTACGGGTTAGGAACATTGTCTTATCAAAATAAACAAATAGTAATAACTTTCTAAACAAATTCCCGCAGCAACCTAAGACCAGTGAAGAACACCCCTTAATTTTCTACCAAGGGTAAACCATATTTGGATAATTTCAAAATGATCGGGGATAAATAATACCAGGGGATAAATAATACTGACTACTCCCTGAGTGAATTCATTTTATTTACTTTTTTTAACAGGAATTTACAACGTCAATGTTCTTACGTCAGGAATGGGTCGACGTAAGATTAGCACACAAGTTGAATGGGACGTTGCCAGTGAGAGGCGTTGATGTGCAGAAAATATGGCGTCCAGACACTTACTTCACCAACATGAACGATTATAAGTTGTACGAGGACAATCAACTGGCTCTGATATCAAGCAGCGGTAGAGTTTACTTTAGTTCGAGGTAATTGAGAGAAAATAGGCAATAATAGGGGCAGATGTAGAGGAGGGGTGCAGGGGTGCATCCCCCTCAGGATGACCTTCCGCTTTCTTCTATAATTTTACGGTCTTACAAAATCTGCTCTAACGTTTGTTGTGTAATCTTAGCAGTTCACATTATGTTTTTTTCCCAGTCAAAAGCCGTCTTCTTCGTTGTCTGCTTTAAAATTTTGTTCACGCCCTCCGTTGATAACGTCATTTCTAATCTCTTACCCAGATCGTACCGTGTAATTGTAACTAAGTTATGAAGGTACAAACCCTTGGCCGTGAGAGGCTTGGGTACGAGACTTCGTCATTCCTCAGTAGTGCACCCCTTCCTAGGAAAATTCCCGGATCCATCCTTGAATAGCAGATATGAAAAAACCTATCTCTCTTCAAAATGACTCATGAAGACTGACAACCGCTTAGTGCTAAAAAGCACACAAACGTTGAAGCAGTTTGTGATTGAGGGTCGAAAACATTTCAGGATTGCTTTAGTTTTGCTTTTTTTTACTATCCTAAAAGACACGTTTTTAACCTGTTTTCTCTTTGGAAATTCACTTTCACTCTTTGAAGTTAATTTTTGCTTTCTATGGCTTCATAAATATATGTAAGAGAACAGCTTTTTATTTTCACAATATCAGCGGAGAAAGTGCGTTTGATCATTTTCATGAATTGTGCGCAATCTACATTTTAACGCTTTATTGGCTACTGCCATCATCATTATCATTATTATTGTAATTGTTATCATCATCATTATTATCAATGATCTAATTATTTACATCAGAAGGAAAACGCCCAGAATTCTTTGTTGCCTAAGTAACTCCAGTCTGGTTCAAACCTCTCCTCCCCCCCCCCCCCTTTAAATTGTTTCGGTTTTCACCATCACTGACTTATTTAGAACTTAACTAAGCTTGGAAGCAGGTGTTGTGGGAACAGTCGACTCCCATGATTTTATTTTTTAACTCTCCCCTCTAGCTGCCGCAAATTCCTTACAAAATAGGTACGGAATTTGGTGTTAGATCAAGATAACACTATCCCTGATAAGTTTGAGTATTCTCATCACCCGTTTACTGAATAATTTATGGATATTACAGAGAGAAGTTTCATTTTGATCATTGTGGGAGTTAAAGGATTATGTTAGAAATGTTCTTTCTTCTGTGGCAGGTTAGTTGTAGCTGCCTCCTGTCGAATGTATTTACAAAAGTTTCCCACAGACGTTCAAAAGTGCAGCCTTGTTCTTGAAAGTTGTAAGTGTGGGCTGGGTTTCTTACTTTTAATTAGGTTTTTTGTGCCTAATTTTGTGCGCTGAATACAGACTCAATTTACAGTAAATATGAGAGTTGAGATCTCGGCTACTGTGGGATTAATCTGAGGTCCGTCGCTCTGATACGAAGGCCGCTAGCAAAACGGAACGGACTCGTTCTAGCCTCCTTTCTCGATATTTACCTGTTTACAAAAGAGGAACTTGGAATGGTGTAGTAAATATTACTGACTAAGCATTCTGTTTGGTGTTTCCTTTTTCAAGTTGCCTTTACCAGAGATATGGTGGAATATCGATGGCAGTACCCCAAACCAGTGAATATCCTCGATATGGAGCTGGCAGAATTTGATTTGACCAAAACTGAATATATTAAGAAAGATGTGGAGTATGTAGCAGGTATTTAAGATTTACTTAATGCCCCCCCAAGGATCTATAGAGACGGAATACTTTACTGAAGATGTAGAGTACGTTGCAGGTGCAATTTTAAATATAGGTTTAGTCCGCATGTCTGCAAGGTGAAAATTCAAGAAATTTAACCCAGGTTAAATAATTCTTCTTAGAAAGATGTATATTTCGTCTAGTCAAGTGCTTAGGACAAAAAAAATTATTCTAGGTACTCATAAGAAATCGAACTTCTGAGCCTCAGATTCCGAGCTCAGATGCTATACTACTTGAATCACGGCGACTCTACAGTGAGCCAGGCCTCTATTAAGTCCATTTTTGACACAAGTCCTGCATTCTGCTATGATCAGAAATATCGAAAGGGTTATGTGTCTAGAAATATTAGCAAGATGTCATAAAAGAATAAGCAAGATGATAAATTTTGAGCTCAGTTTAGAAAGAGAGAATAATGTTTTCCGTCTAACCATGAGCGTGGGAAAATTTCTGAGTCCCCATGAGAAATTGAACCTCAGACCAGACCTTCTTCAGTTTTAGGCCAGGCGAGTTCGATCATTTGTGACAATCGTTAAGAGATTCTCACTATAAATCCGTTTCGCTTGCAGGTAAATACCGTGACATGATCGTAACTTTCACATTCAGTCGTCGGATCGGTTACTACCTCATTAACTTCTACGTTCCTTGCATCATTATGGTTATTATGAGCTGGATCGTGTTTTGGATTGATCGAGACAACATTGGCGACCGAATAGCTCTCGGGATCACGACCGTCCTCACAATCGTATTTTTACTGGGTTCCAGTAACAGCACTATGCCCCGAGTCAGTTACCCGAAGGCTATCGACTGGTACATGATGACTTCGTTCATCTTCGTGTTTATGTCGCTAATCATGTGTCTGTTGATCTTCCGGTTTGATCGAAAGAAGAACAAAGAGCAGCGCCCGCCGAGGTCGGTCAGCGGTGAACCTCCAGCTGAGGCAATTTCGATGCAGGTAAATTTGTAACAATTCGATAAAAGCTACCAAGACACTTTCAGAATACAACAAAATTAACATCCCCACCAGTCTCCTCCACATAAAATACTAACTTTGAATCATTCTAATAACTCTAGATATCAGAAGAGCCAGACATTCGGAGCCGTGTTTCATACTACGTGGCAGACTCTCAAGGAGCTGTGTATCCCATCGTTCGCAGCGTGTCTGGTCTCAAAAAGAAAAGCCTCCTAACGCCACGCCTTCCCAAGAGGCTTTGCGGACTGCCGGTGAAAGTCACCCGAGATAACCTTGGAGTGGCGCTAAACAATCTCTGTAGATTTCTCTTTCCATCCTCGTTTCTCTTGTTCAATCTTGTGTATTGGGTTGGCATAGCCTAAGTTTTCTGGGAACCAAGAAAGGGAAAAAGCTTTTGAATGTATATCTTTGTCACGCACCCTGGTGATGGGCTTGAAAAGTCGGCTATGGTTTGGTTAACGAGTTGAATTTTTTATTTCTCGTATCGGTAAAATTCCTCGTTTTCATATGAAAAAGTTCGGTTCTGTTTACTGAATGAGAAAGCCCAGCTATTAAAAGTTAAAACATGTTACGTCGGTTATATTCTTCTTCGATAAGTTCAACATCTGGGTATTCATTCTAAACGAACTTTTTACACTGAGGATTAAAAAAAAAAAAAAATCGAACTTTACGTATATACTTCATAAGATCTGATCGTCAATTTTCCCTTCTAGCCGCTATACATTTCCTTGTAAATTAGTTACGAAAATTTGGTGTCAGATCAAGATAACAACTTCTACCTGATAAGTTTGAGCATTCTCAATTCCGGTTTGCAAGATAAACTATGGGTAATTTAGGGAGAAGCTGTGTGTTAACCCTGCTAGAAGTTAAAGTGTTAAGTTCTAAGGGTAGATAGATCAAAACACACTCAAGCTATCCTAAGAAACGCCTCTATACGAGATAACATAAAAGTAAGTTTGACTTTTGATCGTGGATAAGTGCAAAACACCTTTCGAGAAACTAACCCCATAAAATGGACTGAAGAACAGCTCTACTGAGTCTTATAGAGTTCAATATGAGGGGATGATTTTACAGTCGACTATCGATCCAGACAATCCAGATCAACACTCTTTGCTTAACAAGATACGTCTCTGAATCTGAACTTCTAGGGCCTACAAAATGAAAATTTTAAACTAATAACGATAAAAAAAAAAATTAAGAAAACTGTCAAAACCGCACTCTACAAAAAAATCGTTTCAAAGCATTCTTTACTATTACAAGACGAATGATATTTACGAGAAGGGTACTGAAGGTTAAATTTACATGGGTGTTTTGTCCTCTTAACTGGCTTTTTCAGGAATAAGCCTTCTGAATTTTCAATTGAAATTAGGGCTGGACTTTATTTCAAAAGTGAAAATTTTAAATCCTGATAACGTTGCGAAAAATCGCCATTTCTTCTTTCATTTTCCTTCGTTGTTTGGTTTTTAACGTTGAGTTCTACCAGGCTCCTTTTGGTATTTTCCTTCGTTCTTACGGGCTCTTGTGATTACTTTGGTTTTGATTTAGCAACACTCAATCGAAGAGCACTCTACATATAAGCTTAGCTGTATTTGTGAATGAGGACTATTGCATTGGTTATTGAAAATACCTGTCGAAATGTAAATTGTGATAAAGTAAACCAATAAAGACAGGAATGATAAAAATAATGAAAAAAACAAAAAAAAAAAAACAAAAGAAAACACATCACAACATAAGTAGCAACAACTTGCACTGAACCGGGGGAGGGACATTCGTCATAAAACTGTATTTCATCTCTCCTTTAAGATCTAAACTGTCTCCTTAACCAAGTTTTTTTTGGTTTTCGTTAAATCGAACTACAATGATTCACTTCATTGAGGGATGGCCGGTCGATTTACAAACGGGTTAGGAAAGGAGCGAGGAAGGTTAAACTCGGTTCGCATTCCCCAACTCCTACCAACTTTTCCCCCAACCCCTTCCCACCTTCCCTTCGGAGTGAGCCTGGGAAAAATAGAGAAGGTTCAAAAACCTTTGAGAGCTGGGAAGAGAGAAGAAGTTTACCTACAAACTGCTCATGAACAATATTTCTAAAGGCGTTCCCGATAACGGAATCATGTACTCGGTCTGTATGACGACTTAGACAATATATAGTTACAGTCACTGACGAAGTAAACCGCTGCAACGAGTTGAAGTATCTTAGGATACTGTTTTTCACTTTCCCATCATACCCTGGGACCTCTGTTGATAATGACCAGTGTTGTTTCGTGAGTTTGGGCCGATCAAATACCTCGTTTCCTGCAGGAAACAAGAGGTTTAGGACGCTGTATTTGAAGTCTTGAAAATGCCTTGTTCAATTCCTCTCGAGTGGATCTGCTTGTATAAAGGGAGGGGAGGGGAGAGGTAAGTTTCTAAAGAAACTGTGGTGCTGCGTTGGTGAAAGTACGATAAGTTACTTTGGTTTTACCAACTGAGTTGATAATTTAATTTGGGCCACGTGAAAGAGTTGCTAAAGCTGGCGTTAGCACTTCAGCAGAGCGAATAAAGGAATTGTGGGTTGTGTGTCACGGATCCGCTGATAGTTTTAAGAGAACCACTTCTTTGCGGCTTTCATGAGCATCTTTTTTAAAATACGCACAACTTGGAACACAGAGGGAGACCTTTTAGTAAAGTTGTTTTCTCTATGCGTCTTAACGTAGTAAGAAAACCTTGGTTATTTAAATGCTCGTATTTTGAGCAGAGGCTATTGTCAATGCAGCTGTTTACCTCATTAAGAAGTACACAGCTCTCATTTCGAGGAGACTATTTGTGCGTCTACGCGGGCTGATAACTCAGCGATGGCACGTTTCAGACGTGGAGGGTCTGTGAAGAAATATATAAACAGCTCCCTTTCCATAAGCTTCAGGTTGTCAGAGCGAAGGACCTGGAGACGAAAAAAATCAAAACGACGTCACGGAAACTTAACTTACGACACTGACAATTCTCCACCACTTCAGTGAAGAGTTTGTCCACAATGTAAGTATTCATTGCTTTACCTTTTTCTTGGCTTCACAGTCTTTGATAACATCTTTAATAGACTTCTCTAAGGTGACCAGAAGTTCATCAAGCTGACTGAGACCATCCGCAATACGCTGAAAAGGAAGCAAAGTAAATTTAAGTCATTAAACGCTCAAAGAACATTCTATTAACGTTAGAAAGTGACCGAACGTTCTTTAACAAAGAGGATTATGCTTGTGCCGTGGTGGAATACTGTACGTAAGATGACTGCGGTCAAATGCGGCTTTAAAAGGCGTTTAAGGTTACGTAGCCTGAAAATGATTATGCTTGTGTCACACAACCGCGTTAAAACCGCGGCTTTAAACGGTGTTTAAGATAACCTGGTTTTTATCGCAGTATGATCATTACCTGTGGACTCAACTGAGGAAGACCACCAGTCGTGGCAGATTCTCCATACATCGTCTTTATACCCTGTTTAAGGTTACTCTCCCTATAATAGTGTTAAAAGATTTAGTTACTGATCGACGCTGAACATGTTTAGTTTTTTCAGTTACCATTAAATGATACTTTCAGAAATACCATTACGTTGTTGAGCCTCACACATGTAGGTCAGTGGCTGCATGTTGACGCTCGTGCATCTCACTGCACATGCATGGCGTGTTGTTCATCGCACGCAAACAATAAACTTCAACGCGTCACTAAATTCTGCAAACTTGTCTTTGTATCGCCTTCACACAACCAGTCTCACTTTCCCCCATCTGTCATAATTTAAATTTCTACAAGAACACCCAGAATCCGACAATTTGAGTCTAAAAACTGCTACAGATGTCGCGTCATAGCGATAACTGCCAGCGGTACAGATTCCATGGAACCCTCCTTGACTGTGTAATGATAACGCCTTCAGCTTTCCAAGTTCAAAAAACTTAGGAAATAAGGACATTTTTTAAAATTGTACTGTGACACAACCAATATCCTCCTTTCCCCCCTCCCCCAGACTATAAATTATGACCAGTCGCTCAGTTACTTTAAAGTTAAAATACACAAGTTTATTCAAACAAAACATAAGACAAGCGAATGATGAGAACTTACAGTTGTTTCCAGGCTTCCTCCTGTCTGCTGCCCGAGGTGGCCAGGGACATAGTGAATGATTCCAGCTGTCCAGCTAACTGCTGACTCCATTCCACAAGCTGACTATATGCCAGAAAAATCTCCTTCTTGCTTTCCTCCTCCCCTTTGGGTGAGCTTTCAAGAACACGATACAACCCCTCCATAAAATGGTCTCGGCTGTCAATTGTCCCACGGGATGGGTGGGGAGGGTGAAGGGCATGTTCGTCCATAATTGTCTTTGGAAATTGTTAAGGTAATGAGCTGAACATAGTTTGTTACTTCTCAAGCGAGAAAATACAGTACTAAAAGCTATCCGTGAAACGACCTAAACTAAAGGCATTGGAACTTTCAAGAGGTATCTAAGCATGTAAAAGGTCATGCGCACTCACTACCACATAGTAAACGTTCGAAGTTTCGTTTCCGTAAACATTGATGTTAAAAGCCATGTGCCATCATTTGATTCACACTGAAAAAACTTCTCATGTTACAGTGCTCATATATACAATCTAAGGTACTGTATGTAATGTAGCACCGCACAATGTCACCATCGGTGGTATAAAACGTCCCCTCCGATCCACTCAATATGACAGGGTAATTTGGTATCACTAACTGATTCGATAATACCAAATTACCCTGTTATACTCTCCCACCGACACAGCACAGCAGTTTCTTTAGAAACTTATCCCCTTCACTCAGTATGACAACTGCGCTTGAGAGATTACAATTGACAACGTAAGGGTGCATAAAAGCAAAGGCCTCCCCATATTTTGTGCCATGATTGAAGCTCAACTTGAAAATGTTACCAGCAAGAAGAGAGGTGTGCTTTTTTGTGAAATTTTGCAATTGTTCTTGAAAGAATTGGTCACTGTATGTACAGGATACAAATCGCGCATCAATTCCATTGACTGCATCACCAAGTGTACTCTCCAAGGTGCTAAACAAACGATGAATGTTACGGTTCTTGCGTCCTTCAACCTCAAGTGCCATTGAGAGAAACTCGTGCCGAGAACGTTGAAGCAAAAGCTGGGTGATGACCTAACAAACAAAAGAAGTAAGATTGTTGGAAAAGTAAATGGCAATTTTGTCAAAACCTCTGATTAACAGGCTTTTGCCTAGACTTCATATACAAGTGTATTCACCAAGAAGAGTTACCACAACCGTTTTACGATATCAACACCATGGTACTGAACTGTGGTGCTGCGTCGGTGGGAGAGTATAGCAGGTAATTTAGTGTTAACAACTGAGTTGAAAACGTAAATTAGCCACCGTAAAGGGTAAAAAAGCTGACGTTTCGAGCGTTAGCCCCTCGTCAGAGCGATTGGAGGAATTGCGATCGTCCTATGCGCTGCTATGATCAGAATGTTGAAAGCCTCATGTGAGCAAACATGAGAGGAATAAAGAAAAAAAAACCCACCTGCTCTTGTTTGGATGTAAAGTAGTCTTGTCTTGCTATTTTCAACTCATAGTCCCCTTTCAAGATACTTGTTGCTTGGAGCTCCCCTAGCTCCTGCACCAATCCAGGAAGGGCCTTCTCAGTGAGCTCTCCAATCTCCATCTTGACTTGGGAAAGAGCCTTTTGTACCTCAGTCAATTTGGCACTAGTGAGAAACAGATGCTGATTTAGGAAAGTTGGTAAGAGCATAGGTTTTAGAGTATCAATTGAAAATTTGTTGGATGGTTGACAGGATGGGTGGATGGTTTGTCAGCCAAGAGGTCAGTCAGTTAAGCTGTCAGTCAAACAGTCAATCAGTCAGACAGACAGAGAGTCTGTGTGATATTCTGTCAGACAGTCTGTAGGTCAGCCTAACAAACAACCAGTGAGTCGGTCAAGCTGTTACTCAGTCGGACAGTCAGACAAAGAGTCTATGAGTGTCACTCAGTCTCTCAGTTGAATAAATGAATAAAGGAGGTAAGTTTCTAAAGAGACTGTGGTGCTGCTGCATCCATAGGAAGAAAGAACCAGTTCTTTAAGTCAATCAGTCAGTCAGTCAGTCAGTCAAACGTTTAATATGTTATTCTTTCATATAAGCAATTCATCTTAAATTCAAATCATCTATCAGTCAGTCTGCCTTCTGGCTAATCCAGTAATCAGGTCAGGTTGACTACTAATTAAATAAGTAAAAATACAACTTACAGCAAATCACAGCATACAGTATCTTAAATCTATCTCTCTTTCACACTACTGTATGTTTACTACAATTACTACCAACAACAAACACGAGATATTGGTATAATGTTGTGTAAATGTGACTGACCTTAACATATCACTGCTTGGTGGGTTTGTTTCCCATGACAAGTTTTTTAGTTTCTCCTCAGCTACACTAACTGCTGTAGTAACCCCTGATGCTGTAGCCATATTGTGAATTCTTCTACTTTCACTTGAGGCATAACTGAGACCACACAAAAAACAGAAAATAATATCAATCCATGTAAATTGAAATAAAGGGGTTTTATTGTATGTACAGTGAATCATTTTATTTTTACCCAGGCCAAAATTTGCATGACCTAGTTGGGATCAATATCAGTATCTGGGCAACTGCCCACCTACCCCTCCCTTAACCCAGCATTAACCCTAACTTGTTATCAATTGACTGTTGTTGAGTTAGGGGAGGGGTAGGTGGGCAGTTGCCCAGATACTGATATTGATCCCCTAGTTGCACTATCTAAATAGTCAAAGACTTAAGCCTTTAACCCCAAACAGTGACTGACATCTAATTTCTCCTTACAATATCATCCCTGAATCAAACATTAGGGTCATGAGAATAAAGGAAACGATCACCAACTAAAGAAGTTCTTGATTGTTAAACAAATTCTCCTTTTCAGCACCTTAGAAAATGTACGGAGAACAGTATGGAGAATATGGATACTGATGCTTGGGTGTAAAGGGTTGAATTAAATAAAAACTTACACAGATTGCAGTCTTGCAAGCTCTTGACAGTCATTGAGGTTAACTTCATTATTCTCACCTGAGAGAATTAGAAATGATCTTTCAGGAAAATTGTATGGAAGATTAAATTCAAGAACGGAAATCTGGAGAAAGGTAGGAATAAAAAAAGGGAGGTGAAGGGGGAAGAGAACAAGATGTAAGGAGGCAGACATACACGTCAGGACAATGTTAGAAATTGGTTTTTTCTGTCAGCATAGGAAAAGAATAGCCTACATGTAGCTGTACCCTCCCCCGCCCCTCAAAGGTGAAATGGAGGTGAAGTTTCCTCACTTTCATTTTACCTTTTGGAGGGGGGGGAGGGAGGGTACAGCTACATGTAGGCTAGGAAAAGAACAGCTGTAGTAGGTTAATAAAAGATTTACAGTGCATACATACACAGTGCATCAGAACTTCTGCCCTCTTGAATAATTTAGCCTGAGTAGTTACTTCAGTCTAATGCGAGACATTTTTAACATCACAACTAATGATACAAAAATATTGTGCAACACAAATCTACAGTGTATGTACATGACAGTTAGATACTGTAGGATTCAGTCCTAACCTCTCACTAGTAGAGTCGAAGGATCACTTATTTCCAGTAATTCATATCTTGATCTCTCTTGCCCTCCTGCCATCTCAGCAATTCCCTGAAAAAAAATTAAAATGTACCATGTTCAACCCTTTCAAAGCAAATATCTGAAAGCTGAGTAACTTTGCCTGTAACTTCAAACCAAGGATGAGCTGTATCATGTCTGGTTAATTATACCTACATGATCATAGCTGATAAAATGCTTTGAAGAGCTGGCAATGAGTGGGCCATGAAAAAATTTATCCTGTACATCATCAATACATTCTAAAACAGACAAGTGATGAGAACAAAGAAAAATATTAATTAACCCTTTAATTTCCAAGACCTCATTACTAATTCTCCTTACTATCTTCAGAGTGATTCTCATTCTGTTAGTTTGGAGAATTTGGTATTGGATCAATTAGTAATCCCATAATTGATATTTTTCTTTATTCTCATCACTTGTTTGCATGATATTGTATAGATAAAGTAAGGAGAAATTCTGTCTTGGTCACCCACAGGAGTTAAAGGGTTAGGGAATTTAAATTAGTTGATCCAATAAAAAATTCTCTGAACTACATGCAATATCATAAGAATTGTATGGCAGACAGCAAGGAGAATTATAAGCGCTGATAAGATCTTGGTAGTTAAAGGTTAATTACACTGAATCTCTCAATTTTTGATAGTTGCCTTTTCTTTTGTACTGTTATTTTACCTCAAAGAACTGTTTCCTGGTATAAGCAGTTAGTTCTCCAGTAAATCTTTCCTCAGATGTGAAGTAACTATCATAGGGCAACTGTGATAAAAATGGAGCCGAATCATTCCCACCTAGAATGAGGAGATAATTTCAAAAATTTGTGTGACCATCCACACTGTACATGCAAGATTTACAAAAGAAAAAAAGGTACGTATGATGCACATGATTTATGGATAATCAATTTAGTTTCACAAAGGGTGATATGTATGCTTACTTACAGTCTACATCAATCTACATGTCTGATGGCTCACCTTCTTCTCCCCCATACAATGCTACCATCTGTGAAACAGATTGTTCCAACTGCTTCAAACTGGAGTTCATCTGAAGATTTAAGGAAAAATAGAGAATTAATTGAATATTATTACCTCAGTATCTTAAGTTTACCATACTTTTGTAGACAGGCCTCAAGAAGCAAAACAAGAAGAAGTTTTAGTTTGATGGAATACACTGATAATTGAAACAAATAAATGGTTTCAAAACAAAATATTTTTTTGACATGTACCTGAGTATTGTCTGCTTGACTGGACTCAAGGCTGCTCTTGTATTTTTGTTTATGTTCCTGAACAACACCACTCAGTTTGGAAAGTTTGTGAGTCAAACCTGCATGATGAAGACTAAAAAAGTACAAAGGCATAAATTGTTAGCTTAACAAAAATGTACTGGTACAGTGTGGATACCCACATGGATGGGTTGCATAATATTAGCTTTAGAGAATGCTAATTGAATGTATGACAGTAAACAGTTGAAAGAGAGAAGACAAAATCAACAGGGACAAATGTGAAAAAAAAGCCTAGAACTGCATGACCTTACTGAAGGAAACAAGTTGGCTGAATGGATGTGGTTTGAGAAGAAAATTAGAAATTTCAAACATTCTTGTACTGATAACTTTCCCATTTCAGTACTATTGTGTATAACACTGTGGTCTAGAATTTAACAAACTCCAAGCAAGATCCTCTTTTCAAACTTTATCTGTTGTTTGGGTGAAAACATGTCGCATAAACAAAAACAGTGATTAGAAAAGTTTTTTATTCAATTCATGCAATCTTTTTGGTGATTACTTTTGACTGGTACAATAAACTAAGCTTGAAAAGAGGGAATGTCTGTCCTGTTATCTTAAAATACAGAAAGAAATAGGTTAGTTATATGAGTTGTTTGGTATTTAAAAATAAATAGTTATCGATTAACAACTGCATTGCTACAGTATTGCTCTTGTATACATTAACTGCGCAGACTAATTTCATGTGTTCTGACGCAGGGTAGTCAGACGCGTATATACAATTTTTTTGCAAGCATGTTAGTAGAGGTTGGGTGCCTGGAACATCCAGGAGCTGCCACTTATCACATCAAACAACTTCTTGCTAAAAGCACACGTAAGAACGCCTCAAAGAAGAGCCCATGGAATTCCAATGCATGCTCATACGCAAAAAACCCACTGACTACTTGAGAACGCTAATGCTCTTTGTTGTTAACTCAGTTAAATTGCACTTAACTGCATTGAAATAGCTTCTTACCTTAATTTATTCCTTTGTGAAACCATTTTTTGTAGTCTCTGTTTTGTCGTTTGAACCTCTTTCCCTAGCAAGTCAACCTCATTTCTGCCAGTACAAAATGTAAAATGCCACAATTAATAATCGTGACAATACTATTAGCAAAAAAGGTATCAATGCAAAAATCAAACAAGCAGGCTAAGCTATAAAAGGGAAATATGAAAGAATATTTATTTATATGTTGCTGAAAGCACCCCTTGGGCAGTATGAAGCCAATCCTGTGTTCTGATTGGCTACCCAAGGGGGCCAGATGGGGTTATCTTGCTCCCTTGCAATTGCCCATTTTGATCCTGTGCAGTGAAAAAAACTTGTAACCAAACTTGGTTGGTCAAGATGGCTGGATATAAGCCTCATACTTCTTGTGCATCTTTATGGACCTTAATTTTGCCTCAGTCCTTAAAAGTGCAAAAAGAAAGAACTCGGATCTTGACCTCACATTTGGTCAATAACACAAATGCCATGTAATCCATATAATAAGTTACTGGCATTGGCACCTCTCAATGTAACATCAAAAAGAAATTAAGTGTGCTTATCATATGATTAAATCAAAACATGATAATAGTAATAATACAGCAGTGCTAGTAAATGGATTGGGGATGTACACTTTACCTCAATGTTTCACCAGAAAACTCTTCTTCCTCGTGCAACAATATTGACAAAGTCTTTTCAACTTGATCACTCTAAAAAAATATAAATTGTGTGAACTTAACAAAATACCCATAGTGAGTATGTAGTTTTCTATTCTGTTTTGAAATGACAGTAAAGACTATGGTAATACGTTCATCCCCTTCAGTTGCATTGATTCCTTTGGAGCTTTATGGATGCTATCTTACCAACAGCTGTACAAGCTTTTACATGTATGAGTAGATAGTGGTACATACATGTGGTAGAGTGGAAAACAACCAACCTCAAGAATATGTGCACCAGATGACTGCAGTTCATCAAATCTGTAAAATAATGGATTCAATTTAGGTACAACGCTTCTCTACCCTTTGACCTCTGAGTGGTTAGCATATAATTCTTCCTTATAATATCACCCCGGAATCACACCACATGAAATACATGAGAATAAATGAAATGATCACCAACTAAAAAAGCTATTGATTTTTAAACAAATTCTCCTTCTCAGCACTGTGGAAAAGCATGGAGAACTGTATGGTGAATATCCATGTTGGTTTTAGGGTGTGAAAAAAGCAGATGTACAGTGTAAATAGCAGATTTCTTGCAGATACACCATAGTGAAGGGCAGTGTCTACTTATGTTACTTGTGAATGTAAACCTTAAGGTTGTTGTTATCTTTGTTACTGTTGTTTTCCTTTTTCCACAGGTTGATTGAACGTTGAGTGTTTCTGGGCACAATAATAGTAACAATTAAGAGGTATATGTATAGAGACTCTTAATATGAATTGCGATCGTTTCGCTAACAACTAGTTCGCTAACGTATGAGATCGATTCGTTGACGTCTTGGCGAAACAACCAACGAGACATTAGCGAACTGCCCTGAGACTTTAGCGAAACGACCTACATGTACAGCCGTAAGACTCGAGAGTAGCAAACTACTGTTGTCATTAGCGAAACGACTCTTAAGTCTCTATTCCTCTCACCTCTTAAGATCTTCAAGAGATACCACATTTGACTCGTGTATATTTTCAAAAAACCATTCCAGGAATGGAACAATTGATTCGCAATCGAACAGCCATTCCAAACTGTCTCCTTCAAATTGGTTTGCCTTCGGATAGCCGATGCGAGACAACGCACTGAGTATCTTAGCTCCCTGATTCATTCTATCGTATGTATTCCTCACATGGAAGCTGATTTAAAATATTCGGTTCCTACTCTCTGTCATGCATATGTCTAAAAGAGATTGGATGCCGAAAACAACGACCAGCCAAACCGGGAAAGAGTTTAAGATTGTCTGTGCGCCATTTTGGTTTTCCCGCGTAGCACCATTGCGCATGACATAGAAGAGCTGGTTGCCAATACCAATCAATCGAAGCTGTTGAAGAGGAAGGAGGAGTACTAGGAAGGAGTCTCCCTTTCTAGTACTCCTCGGTTGTTCTTTTATGAGGTAGGCGCCTGTAAGATTTCTTTCTCGAGTTCCCAACATGGCAGACAAAACAGTAACGGCGACAAAGAAGACAGCCGCTGAACTCGACGAGGAAATCGATGAATTCATGAAAGAGAGGTCCAGTGGTAAAAAGCGTGTCATCACTTTCACAGAAGAAAATTGGGAAGAGGTATGATTGTTGATATGCATGAAAACTTGCCGAACTAACTCACACGTGTTCACTCAGCTCGGTATTGTGTACCGATGGTTTTCTACGATCGAATCATGGAAATCGAGGAACCAAAGATAACATGCAAGTTTGATTTTTTGTGATATCAGGCAGATACTCTCAGAAATGAACGCTTTCAGGCTCTGGAAACTATTCCTCCAGAGTGAGAGATCAATCCTCGTCGGGCATGAATGTCCGATACACATGTAGTGGTCAGCTGTTAGCCAGCCGCAGGTTGGAGTGGTGGGGAAGACATCAGCATACATATTAATGACATCATCAGATGATACAAGAAAATCTATCACGTTTCTTTTAACCGTTCCACTCCCAAGATCAGACTAGTAATTCTCCCCACTGACTGATGTTCATTTCATTGTTACACGTACAGTAATTAGGCAGGAGAATTTGGTCTTATTCCAAAGTAACGCCTTAGAGCTGATAAGCTTGTCTGTTCTCGTAACCAGTTAACAAGATAACTTATTAGAATTGTAAGGAGAAGTTACATTTTGATCACTTGTGGGAGTCAAAGGGGTTAACCTTTTCAGTCTCAGGAATGACCCACAAGGAATTTCTCCTTGCAATGTCAGTACAGTTTCAGACAAAAAGATTGTGAGAAGACAGAATAATGAGAGTGAAGAAATTTCACATCAATTTATTTTCAAAACCAAAATCATAGGCAGTGTACGGGAGATGATGCAGTCCCCAATATTCTCAAATATTGCGAGACTCACTCTCTGTCTTGTTTTAGGAATTTGAGAAAACACCTGCTTTTATGACAAAAACTCCTACACAGGAAGAAATAGATAACAACCCCGCCTTAGCAGCCCTTCAAGCTATGAAATATGAAGATGAGGATCCTGTAGGTAAGCATGAAGTATTTATTAAATAATGATGTACTTGGAAATATCATGTGCATCTGAATGGTAAAAAATGAGTGCATTTTTCATGTAATTTGAGTGCAAAATTGTAACACAAGTGCAAAGTTGTAACATTGGTGCAAATTACAAATAGCACACATGTTGCAAAAATGTAGTCCGTCTTGACTTTCTGTGATTCATTTTTCATGTAAATTATGAACAATTAGCAACTTGATTTTTGTGCAATTTGGTGTAAAAATCAATAAGCACTTAAATTTTTCAAAGACTACCTAATGCATTTGCCCTTACATGCTCATGTAATTTTGTTGTCTTTGAAAAATTACTTGATTGTACTTATTAAAACCAAATTGCACTGGTAATCATGTTGTTACCTATATGAATTAGGTTTAAAAAAAGGAAACCTAAAATTTGGCAAAATAATTTTAATGCAAGTTTATTCTTGACCATGTAGCAAGTTTGAAACAAAGGACAATGAAATTTTAACTGAGAATAAATCTGAACCACTCTTATTTCACTTGTTGACTCTTTTAATCCCAAGCTAACCCTTCACACCCTAACATAAGTATCCATATTCTCCTTACTCTTCTCTTTGTATTTCCCTTGGTACTGACAAGGAGAATCTGTTTAACAATCAAAGCTTCCTAGGTTGACGATCATTTCCTTTATTCTCATAATCTTAATGAATAATTCAGCAGTATGACTGCTAGGAGAAATTAGATGCTGGTCACTCTTAGGGTGCAAAGGGGTAAGCCCATGAGTTTTTGCATCCCAAAATATCAATTAATGTTCAAGCAGAATCGTGCTAAGAAGAAAGAGAGATATAAACCACCTGGGGCATACATACTGTATGATTTAGCACTTGGTTCTGAGAGCTGAAAAATTATCAGGAATGTATTTTAAAAACAGCGAAAAGAATTAATGATCTTAAGAGTTAGCCCTTTAACTCCCATGAATGACTAAGGGAGAATTTCTCCCCACATTATCAAGCAGACAAGTGATGAGGTTACAGAAATATATGAATTAGGGGATTATTATTTCATTGATAAAATACCAAATTCTCCAAACAAACATAATAAAAATTGTATGGTAGACAGTAAGGAGAATTACCAATTGAGATCTTGGGAGTAAAGGGTATTAGTTCAAGAGTGCATGACACAGAGTTAATATGAGTTTTATTTACAGCAAGAGCAGAATCATACAAAGAAGATGGTAACTATGAGTACAACAGAAAAAAATTCAAGGAAGCGATTGCTGCATATACTGAGGGAATCAAGGTGAAATGTGATGATGCTCATCTCAATGCCATCCTCTACACAAACAGAGCAACAGCACAAATATATCTGGGTTAGTATTGATATGCCTACAATTGTTGCCAGCAAATTGAAACAGACCTTTTGCTAATGGTACTAGATGTAACATTTTGTGCAGGGAATTTCAAATACCTGTCTTTAATTGGAAACTGTTGGAATTAAAGTCTCTTATATCTGGCCAGTGAATAAATTGCTCTCCATTGTTGTTTTTTTTTGGTCAACACTTATTTATCAAATAGCAATATTACAGTTAGATAGCATACATTGCACAAGAGGTCCCTAATGAAATCCTATCAGCAGCAAAATTTTATGTTTGAACACTGAGTTAAATGGAGACTCACTAATTGAAGAAGAAAAGAGGCTTTCTAGAGACAATAACATTTATTTGTTGATTAAAAGGACTATAGTAATTGGTATATACTAAACCAGTGAATAGTGTTGATGGCATGCTCTGATTAGTTACTCAAACTCTGAATATCTTTTGCTATTTACCTCCAAGCAAAGGGTATTGATTTCCACTAGAAAATATTGTAATTGTTGCAGGAATGAATTAGTTAAAGTCATCTTTTTGCACTCAATTATCTCACACTGTTTTAGTACATACTAAAACAACCATTCACCTCAGTGTTGATGGCCAGTGGTAGATATTTATCTCACTGCTTTGTTGCTTCGTAAGCATTCACCACTAACCACCACTACTTTGGTGAATAGTTGTTAATAATAATAATAATAATAATAATAATGATAAAATGATGGTAATATTGATGATAATATTAATAATGATGATGACAACACTAACAATTGTAATGATTTATATATAAATCGTCATTTCTATAAAAAACACTTTTTGTGAGCATTGTCCATATTTCTTCATTTTGTAGGTTTTTTAAGCTCACTAGAACACAAGGACTGAAGGTTTTTGCAAATAAATAAGTCTAAAGAATGAATGCCACATCTCCACACAAGATTAAAGCTGGAGTCCTTAATTTCTTTTGACAGGAAATAATCGTAGTGCCCTCAATGATGCCACAGCTGCAAGGAAGCTAGAACCAACTTACATGAAGGCTTTAATTAGAGGTAAGTACATAGGTGTACATGCGCATGTAGTGGCTCCAAAATTTTTCAAACTAGTTTGATTTTTTTTCCTTTATCTTGAAATAACCTTTAAACTCTCAGAAGTGACTTAGATTTAACCTCTCCTTATAACATTCATACATTATCCAGCAAACAGGTAACGAAAATACTCAAACTTATCAGGTAGGAATTTTTTCTTGATCTTACACTTAATTCTTGTAACTAATTTACAAGGAAATGTGTACCAACTAGAGGGGAGAATTGACAATCAAATCTTACAAGGACCTGAAGGGTTAACAAAGGGAAATAAAATTGAGCAGCATGTTTAAATATTTAGTTGCTTCATTCTACAGAAACAGGTTTATTAAGCTTTGGCCAGGTAATCCACTTGGATTTAATACTGACATAATGTGTCACTTACTTTGTAGGTGCCTCTGCTTGTGTGGAGCTTCAAAAATTTGAAGATGCTGTAAAATGGTGTGATGAGGGATTAGCTGTATCCTTTTACATCTTTTTAACACTTATTAGCTGCTATTTCTTTGACAGCATGCCCAAGTTTTTCATCTCATAGAGCCTGTTAGAAGGCCTTCATCATGAGCCCTTTGGCACTACAGGAGCCCTTGGAGCCTGTGAGAAGGCCTTCACTATGAGCCCTTTGGCACCACAGAAGCTCCTGGAGCCTGTGAGAAGGCCTTCATTAAGAGCCCTTTGGCACCATTGTGTCTTCGCCCACAGGAAAATAATGGAGGCCTTAAGCAACAGAAGCCATAAAGAGGTCTGCAAATGGTCTGGTGCTGATAATGACCAGACTGTAGAAAATCTTTTGCTTTTAAATTCCAAGTAATAATTTTTCTCTTCCTCTCTCCCTTTCATAATTATTCTTTTTGTATTCATGCGTGGCTCGCCTGATTTCACAAATTAGCCAATCATGTCAAAGAACTCAAACTTTTACTTTGGAAAACTAATGTGGACATTTTTTGCATACTTTAAGTTTGTTTTCGCAGAGTTTTAGATGGTTGTTTTTGAGCTTTCATTCATGTGAATTTGTTACTCCTTTGTTTGCAATTTTAAGAAGCTTCAGAGTTTTTATTTCAGCTAAATGTTGTGGTTCATTTAACAAGTTTAATTCATATTTCCTATGGAGTTTGGGCTCTAGCTGCTTTTTGGTAAATGGATTTTTTACACAGACCATGGAAAACCTTTCCCTGATAACTAGACTAGTTATTACAGACTATTTGAATTCCTGATGCATCTGCTAGTACAATTATCTTTGACTTTAATAAGATTGAAGCTCAAAACCAAAGGCTTTTGGATTTAAGGAAAAAGGCTGTTGCAGAACAGAAAAGGGTGCTGAGAGATCAACGAAAAGCAGCGTTAAATGAAAAGAAAGAAAGATCTGAAGCAGAAGCTTTGAAATCAGCTGTTAAGGTGTCTTGTTCAACCTATTAGTGGTAGGAGATAGGATTTTTTTTGTTGAGTTTGAGTGTTCTCATCACTTGTTTGCTGGATGATGTATCAATATTATAGGGAGAAGTTATTTGTTAATCACTTAAAGAAGTTAAGTACATGTAATGTAACTCATTAGGAAACACTAAAGGTTTTAATTTTAGAGAATTTGGTTGATTGATTGATTTTTTCGTTTATTCTTATCACTTGTCTGCTTGATGTTGTATTAATATTGGGAAGAGAAATTGTCTTGGCAACTTCTGAGAGTTAAAGGGTTGAATTGACTTTTTTTCCTAGGCCCGAGGAGTCACTTTGGAACATGAGGATGACCTGTTGAGGCCCATGACGGATGGGGGACTGGACATCAAGGTCTCTTTGGACAGTAGTGGTGTACTTCACTGGCCAGTCATGTTTGTTTATCCTGAGTTTGAGGAGACCGACCTGATATCTTCATTTAATGAGAATGACAGGTGAGTGTTGCATAGGGTAATTTAGAATTATCAACTGAGTTGATAACGTAAATTGACCACCGTTAAGAGTTATAAAGCTCACGTTTCGAGCGTTAGCCCTTCGTCAGAGCCATTGACGAAGGGCTAACGCTCGAAAATGAAGAGAAAAATACTTCACAAAACAAAATTGATTATAAGAGCAATTTACAATCGAGTATCAAAGGCAAATATTGTCTGTGCTTTACCTCGCTCTTAGATTGATGTAGACATAAAACGAATACCGATCGTGGCTTGGTCATCCGCGTTTTCCCGCGCTTTTAGCCGTTTGCCTGTTTTAATTATGAGTTCTGATTGGCTAACGATGATGTTTTTCTTCGTTACAATTGGACGTACTGATTTGGTTTTGGTTTATCAACAGTCAATTGAAAACTGCTCTAATTCGCATTTTGTTCTGGAATGATCATATGGCCTTTTTATCTAAATCAAGTAATCTTCTGTTTATTAAACATTTGTCAGTGTTGTTGATTACAGTGGTCGTTTCGTTTTTGTAGAATGGCAGATCATCTGTGTGCCATGTTTGACCAAGAATCTCCTCCCTGGGACAAAGAAAGGAAGTACACTCTTGCAAATATCGAGGTAAATTTATGAGAACAGCACACCTCTTACTAACCGAGTTTGAGGTCCGAGCTGTAAGTTATGAACCGAATTTTTTCCCGTCAAAGGGTGCGTTCCTTAAATCTGAGCAAAAAAAAAAAGAAAACGAGGCTCCGTAACTTGTATACGGATCAAGGAAACGAATTTATTTTGGTTTAAATAGAGAGGGAAGATGTCAATTCAAACAAACTTTTAAATTTAGCAGGCCGCATAGTGAAATACAGCACGTAAAATTGACCAGTCCTTGCGCCCCCATTTAAAGAGAAATTTAATATATGTATTTAGTATACGCCACACTGGCTATGTGGCTAACCGTGACTAGTCGGTTGTTGGGAAGTGCGCCCGCACTCCTCTTCCCTTTGGTGACGCCGTTCATTCCGAGAAAAACAGTTCTGCTTGCATCAGGCTTTCTGCAAAGCCTTAATTTTTCATGGAGTTACTTTGCAAAAATTGCAAGCGTCTATTTTGTGATCATACTCTAATAACCAAACTGGTGATAACTCTTCTCAGGTTTATTTTGAGGACTCGGCAAGAGAAAAGCTTTGTTTGGTGAAAAATAGTAGCTGCCTGAAAGATATACTATCGGACTTGAGGTGAGTCATACAAGATGTATCATTCACGTTTGCCGGGTATCAGAGCTAAAAAACACTAGAATACTGCTAAATCTTGGCTGTACATATGGAAAGCATGTCTGTAATACAGGTTAAAAAAGAGGAAAACATTTAAGTTAGCGAGCGATCCAGGAAACTTATCATAATGGATTTATCCCAGTTTCAATACCGCATGGAAAAATGTCACAAAGGCAATGCCTTCGCCGCTTTTTTTCATCAAGAATTTTCGAGAGAGGTTAACAGGGCTTTTTGCAAGAAGGAAGATTTTTGGATTATAGGCTCTTTTTATGGAAGGTCTCTTTTATTTCCAAAGAGGATATTTTATCTCTCTTTTTTGGTTAATCACCTCAGTAATTTTTCTTTGGTTTTCCCGATGGTTAGGTTTGTGGTAAAACAGAGAACACCGTCGTTTATTATCCTAAGTAAAGAGTCTTCATTCTGGACAACTTTCCTCCAGCGATGTCAAGTTGAGCGATGACACGTGCATTCGGTACAACGTCGGGTCTACGTCCGTAGCACCCCAAGGTACTTCGAGGAGATGCCGAAGGGTCTCCGATTCAAGTTGTCGAGTGAAAGAACAATGCGGAGATTTGAGACCATTCCCACAGTAAAATGTCGTCTTCAAACATTGTATTGACTCATTCTATGTTGGCGTGCTAATCACACGTGAAAAATATGGACAGTAAGTAAACGCAATGCATTTTTTTTCACCCGTTAGGACAGTTATTGTCTAAAGAAAAATCTTGTATACAGAACGGACTTTTCTAAAGGACCTTACTTCAAGCTGGTGACCGAAAAATTTCAGTACCTCATCGTAAAAGAGGAGATATTGTAAATTTAATTCAATATAGATTAGAAATGTAAAGATTTCGAAATTTTCAAACATCGTAATGAAAGGCGCGCGCGAACCTCTTTATTTTAGGCGGGAAAAACGCAACAGAAGTCAATACGATGGAACGAGTTTCCGAAAATGATGGTGGTAAATACAAGATTGCGACAATTTTGCAGGAGTACAAGTTTTCTCTGGACAAAGCTCAATTCTTTCCATCAACAATAACTGTACAGACTTAATTGCTCATAGCCTTCACAGTGAAACTTCACGAGGTATTTATTTTCTTAGTAATGCGCTGGAAACTTAAAGTCAAAATTCGTACTCGCAGTCAAACTTGTCCTAGAATTTAAAGATCTCTCTTATCGGAGAATGGATTCATATCTGCACCTGGCCAAACTAGTTTATCCGACTTGCAATTGTTGAATGTAAACAGCGGTTGACCAATCTGAAAAAAGTGTAAGATAACCAATTAAAATTGCCTTTGTTGCGCAGATATAAACTTGCTGTGAGGTTTACAGTACAGCCTAGAAATTTTGCACGCGCGAGGACTTCTTTTTGCTTCCGCAAGCGGAAATTCATCTTTCTGTGAACTGTCGGTTACTTGAGATTGAGTCCTTGAAGCTGCACAAACTTTTCTCCGTTTGCTTTGGTAATAACACAATAATTTGTTGCGGTAGAGTTGAAGGGCAAGATCTTCATTTTAGTTCTTTGGGCCGACGCTGAGAGATAGGGTAGGTCGGTTACAACTACAAACTTAGTGAGAGAAAATTATTTTTAGTTGTTCAATGAGGGTAGTCTATGTAAAGACATTGTTCGTTCTTACCTGCTAGTGCTGTGCGACGTTCGACCAACGCATTCGAAGCGTTGTTGAACGACATACCTTGCCCTACCTTGAGTAAGATCTATTTTTAAGCCAAATCTATGACGATTATTATCTTCTAAATAGGGCTTGGATATAGGAGACTTTAAAATTTGATTGATTTCATGCACGCTTTGAATATTTCCTTCGTTAAACTGAGAGATTCATGAATTTAAGAATTTAAAGCTGTAATCTGTGTCTAATTTCTCTAAGCTACGCGGCGCTCGTGAAAGTTGTGAACATCACATACTTGATCTCAAAAAACACTCGTACACTTTTCATGCATGGATAACTAGAAGTGATTTCGTTTCGAAGAATAAACAAACGCAGGTGATAGCTCAATTCATTTCCATGTACGAGATGTACTAAAAATCCAATAAATACTTAAGGACAATTGTAGTTAATCACGTCTATTGTGGCGTAAAGTTAATTGCTTGTGTAAGCCGCTAATTAAAGCGTGCATGGAAAGAGCACTCATCCGAACTTACTTATTAAGCACATGTAAGCCTAAAATGTAAAATGGGAAACATTGTCAACACTCATCGAGGGCAAAATATCCAGGCTGAAAGAGCAATCGCCACGGTCAAAGCAGCAAGTGTTTTTAAAGCAAAAATGAAAGAAACACAAGCAGAAAGGACAAAAGCATCGGAGGAAATAGAAGAGGTAGTTAAACGGAAATTTCGCAGGAAATCAACTGTGTTTGGATGCAGACCCATAGGGAGACTAGCTTCTAGTGATGAATCGCCACCACCAAACACCGCAAGCTCCCAGAAGGATGTTCTAAAGTTTGTACGCAGGTGAGGATAGAGGAATAGGTTTGATATTTTTACTTGAAGGATCAACTGTCATATATTTAGTCGTTATGCTAAAATTCAATGTAATTGTGAATATCAGCATTAAAAAATATGCGTTTTGATTTTGCTTTTAATGTCGTCGCACTGAGCTAATCGCATCCAACAGTTTCGATAGATTGGGCCAGTACGAGATCTCCTAATTTTTCAGTGGTGAATAAGTTACCTAGCTTGGTCGTGAATGCAGAGAGAGACGATTATGCCTCGTTAATGTATTGATGTTTTAAATTTAACTGCGATTCTTCTAACATGTTTGGGCGGAAAAAGTGATCGAGTTTTTACTTGTTGCTAAGTGATGTAAATTTATTATTTTTTTCCTTTCTGTGAAATCATTGATCACCTAGCAACTGTTACCGGCTTTCTCCTCGCTTCCAGTGAGTGGTTTCGTAGCTCAGTTGATCGTAGCGCACAACTAGTATTTGGAGGCACGAGTTCGAATCCTGTCTAAGCCTGTATTTTGTTCGGTTTCTTTTCGCAATTTCTTTAATAGAAGCTCATCGAGGACCATTTCTTAACTTGTTCACCATCTAAAGGTCAAAATAATATTTATTTAATTAGTTGTGCTGTCAGGTTCATTGTGAATGACCAGAAACACCAGCTGGCTGATTTGACTCGGACAACTTTGAATTGAATTGAATGAAACAACACATTATGTCTACTTTGAAATTAAAACAAAGAAATTATTGAAAAAGATCCTGAACGTTAAAACAAGGGGGGGGGGAGGTACTTGGGTCAATATTGATAGGGTACGTGCCGCTGGCCTCTCAAAACCCCTACCCCACTTTAGTCAATCTTATGGCCAATCGTAGACCCCATTTTAGTACATTTTTGGTGAAACGAAGTTTTCACGATCACAACTTATTTACCTTCATTTTATAAATCTACCTTATAAAGCCTTACCTGAAATTTCTTACCTGCAAAATCCTGAAAATGTGGGACCACATTCTAGTAACTCTCCATGGAAAATGCAGCTCCATTATAGTCAATCCAGTCGTGAAAACGCAACCCCATCCAGTGGCACAACCCTATTAGCTTATTATTAAGAAGTGCTCCCCTCCCTTGGCTCGATTACTAACCGCTGTTCGGGAATATGAGCCCACGCTCCTTCCCCCAAACCCACCTACTCGGGGAAGAGCAAAGACCGGACACGAGAGAGCGGCGAAAATTGAGCCTGTCCACACCACTGGATGAAAAATGCCTGGAATAATGTTCAGGCATGAACGAGTGTCAAACCTATGACCGTGCTCTCTTCCTAACTGCATTGAAGACGGGATTAGAGGACTTAGATTACCGCTATTTAAGTTTGGTTGAAAATCTACGAATTTCTTTTTTAATTTTCTGTCTCCTTAAGGGTCAGCGTTAGTGATACACTAGTTGTTAAGGACACAAGTGTTGCATGGAATGCGTTGAGAGACTTAGTCAGCCGTGAAAGAATTCCCTCAACTCAAGACACAGGACGGGGGCGTCTTAAATCGGTAACAGATGCCATTCGGTTCACTCGAAGAACTTCCACGTCATCAAAAACAACGAAGGTGGCCAGCGGGGAATTTTCGTACAACGATATGCTAATTGTAAGTGAAACCATTCGTTTGCAGGGGTGTGCGTGCCTTCATTCGCGCGTTCGGGCTTTCGGGAGTTCGGGTGCTCGTGCGTTCGTGTGCTCGTCCGTTCATCTGTCTTTCATCCTTGTTTCCTCCCTTTCTCTCTGTTTTTCCCTTCCATCTCGAACATACTTACGTCAACTTATTTTGTGTTCGACTTTTTCTTCAGACAGAATGGGAAACACACTGCCACTTTTGCCACTCTTCCTCCATTGAAGAAAGCCCTCTTAATCGTTGCCGTATCTGCCCAAGGGTTTATCACACTGATTGTCTTGCTAAGCGAGGGCATCTTTCAGGGGATGGGGCAGCTGAAACTCTGACGCTTGCAAATTCAGAAATCGGCTGGAGTTGCTGTAATTGCGTAAGTTGAGGTTCATAACGTGAGATCTCGTCAATACGACCCGTAGTTTTATATTTATTAGATAATAAATATTTGCATGTAGCAACATGAGGTATTTAAGAAATAGACCGTATTTTCTATTGGTTTACCGGTTTACTAACCCACGCGGGATGTTGGGAAAACACGAGAAAAGTTTGTAAACCACGAGCCAGAGGCAAGTGTTTTACAATTTATTGAGTGTTCTCCCAACATCCCCACATGATTACAGTTGAACCTGCATTAAGCGGTCACCCATAGGAGACCGCTTAATACAGGTTCCAAGGATTAGGAGTTTGAAGTAAAACAGTAAACAACACCACTTTATGCCATAATTGACCTCACAATGTACATAAACTCGCTCGAAAATACTATTTAATTGGATTTTGGGAGAGAAAAATTGATTAAAAATTACGTTAAAGATTATGCCTAGTTTTATCTAATTGGTCCCGCTTTCAGTTACCGTTAAAAACGGGTGGAGGATAATAGAAGCAGGTCATGGGGACCTAGTATAGGAGACCTTGACCGCTCAATAGAGGTGAAAATTACAGTGATTTGGGGAGAAACAAATTCGAGACTTTGGTAACTTACCGCTTAATACAGGGTGATAGCTTATTACGGTTCCACTCAGTACACGTTCGACTGTACTTAAGTTTCTTTTGTCAGGACGTCCATTTGAAGAGCGTCCCCACCAACATGAACTACATACAATAGTCACCCTTTGCACATGAACGATGAGATAATGAGAGATCGTCTATTTCTCATCCATTCTTTTCATTTTCCTCTCTTGATTAACTAAGACTGGTGAGAGTCTAAACAAGTAAAAGTTACATTCTCAGCTTGAAACTTTTAATCCTTTAACTCCCAAGATCTGATTGTTAATTCTCCCCTCTAGCTGCTACGCATTTCCCTGAAACTTAGTTATGAGAATTTGGTGTTAGATCAAGACAAAAACCTGTACCTGATAAGTTTGAGAATTCTCAGTACCTCTTTCCTGGATTAGGTATGGATATTATAGGGAGAAGTTACATATTAATCACTCCTGGGAGTTAAAGGGTTCACAGCAGGGATGAAATAATCTAATTCTATTGTATTTTATTGCAGGAAAATTTATTCGATCTTTTATCTGACAACGAGAAGATCGATATAATGGAAACATTTGATCTAATGGACACCAATCAAGGTCGGTAAGAAATATTGAAGTGAGCCAAGACTAACGTAACTAAAATGTTGCTTCAGAAGGTAACTAGTCGTTTCGCCTACGTTTCGTTTCCCCAACGACCAGTTTGGCTAACCTCTTGGGTCGTTTCGCCAACGTCTCAGGGTATTTCTTTAACGTCTCAAAGGTTGTTTCGCCAACGTATTACGAAATGTTTCATGATTCCTGGTTCGGCGTAACTTGTTCGACTTCTAATCGACCGAAAAGTCGAAGGGGAGTTCGAAACTAGCGTTAGTGACTGACCTAGACATTGACGAAAAGACGTAAGAAGTTATAATCGTAGGCGAAACGACGGCAATTCCATTAGCATGTTTAACTATATTTCCTATTAATTCCACTTAGATTCTTTTATAAACAAAGAAGAGTACCTTTCATACCAGAAGGAGATTTACAGAAAGTTAATGGACATGGAAATGCCCGGTTATCGAGTGATAATCGAGGAGCGGATGTTTGACGACATGGATAGGAACAACAATGATCTTATCGACTGGTGGGAGTTTGTGATTCCTATGTGCGTGAGGAAGTTGAGTGGACGGAGAAAGGTACTTATAATTCTGTGATCTGTGATTAATGTCGTTCTCAGGTTCCCTGTTCGTCTCGGCCTCTTACGAGAGAGTGAAGGGCGCGATGGAGATAGAGTATGGGTACGAGGTTGATCTGTAAAAATGTACTTCCCCTACTCAAATTTTCTCTTTTTGGTTCAGGTAACGTTCTGTTGTAGCTGGCCAAAACTAATCTCAAGTAACGAAATTAACCTCAATAATGAAATGAAGATGCAGCAAAAAAAGCCTGAAAAATCAGGCTTCGGGATTTCTCCCAGAGATGAAGCTATATATCCTATGCAAGGTCATCTTTAGAATTGCGTCCTTGATAAATTTTCCTTTGTAGTGGAGATGGTAAGAGTTTTTCCTTGGCAAAACTGATCTTCCCGTTCAAAAGCAGGCCACTAGTTTCTGGACAATTAAAAAGCTTGTAAGGGAAGTATGATGTTTTAAATAACTGCATTCCGCCAAAAACTGAGATGAGCGATTCTTATTTGTAACTTTCTCGTATGTGGACTTGGCATTTTTCTTTTACCTTCCGTGTTATCTCTCTGCATTCAGTGCCTACGGACGTGGAACTGATGCTTTCATTTTTTCTCCTATTTTTCGACAGAGAACACTCCCATCTTTGCTTACAAGACAGGAAATTTACAAACTCAAACGATTTTTCAAAGAATACGATATGGAAGGAGAAGGAGAAATCAGGAAAGATTTATCTCGAGAGGTCTTTAAGAACTGGTACCTCTCTTTGATACATCGACGAGAAGAGGAGGTCCCGATTTGGGACTGGCTTGGGACTGAATATGTCAAAATAGACAATGAAGAGGAGCACTCGTTGTGTCAGCGGTTTGCCACGGTTAAGTGGAAAGACTTTGTGTTAAATCACGCGTTGTACATCCTTGCCGCGCGACCGAATACAGGCTCAATGAGGCCTTACGTTCCACAATTCAACAGTTTGAATTTGGAGTTCGATGAAGACGATGAAGATATTGAATATGATTAGAAAACAATTTCCTTTAATTACAGGAAAGATTGGTCCTGTCGTAAACATTTTCACTCTGTGTTCTTATTGCATGTCACGCCAATCTTGCGCATACGTGAAAATGGTGTCCTCCTCAGAGGACATTACATGATGTATAATATGACATACTAGTCGGTTAGTTTTGCAAAATAAGATTTAGATTTAGTCGGTGTGTTTTGAAGTAAAAGATTTATTGTATGAAAAACAGGTTTTCCTTTTCTCGTTTAAAGCTTCAGCTGGAGCCACTACCTTCCAAATTGGGGAAAGTATGATTTACTAATGAACCTCTTTTCTTAGCGTTATCTTACATCATCTTTTGTTCAGAATCTTCAAGTCAAGTCTTCTCTCCGAAACTGGAAGTAGTTCATTTGGGAGTTTGGATAAAAGAATTTTACTATTTCCTGGTTTCCGTTCATCTTAATGATGTATTCCCATCTTCAACCTCACTCTCAAGGCTTTCGCCAATTTTCAGGGAAAAGGCCCTTGGAACAAGGTTGTTCCCATCCTCTACCTAAGTCAGTTCGAATGGATCTAAAAGAAAGTGTTCATAGTGGCCATGGTCACAAACATGAAATAATGCCATGCAACTAAGGAACTGCAATGATTTATTCAAAAACGGTAATACTAACAAAAAACAACTTAACGTAGAGGGTTTTTGTCTCTTTTGACTTAACGGTAACCTCGCACCCAGATCCTATTGTGTATCTGTAACTGAAATGAATCGTTTGGCCGTGGAAGGTCTGTGTACGCGATTACTTTTGTCTCAGTTATGTCTAGGTAAATGTCATTTTGTGGAATAAATGGCTTAGACTTGTGAAAATGTCTTAGAGTAGAGTCAGTGAACATGTCAAGGTTACCCCGAATTTGCTTTCCATGTAAAACGTATTCTTTAAAGTAGCTAATTGTCCTCTCCCATTAAAATCATGTCCTAATTTAAATTGTTAGGAAATTTTTCTCAATTAATTTCTTTAGAGAGATAAACAGGTTAAATAAAGATTTCCATTTAGAGTTCCAGTTTCACATCATATGAACCGTCTCCGCTCTCTTTGGCCTCCTTTATAGCTTTTTCTTTCTCCTCTTTTGTTTTCTCCTCATCCTTAATTTCACTTTTCTTCTGTTCAGTTTCTTCCTTTTTCTCTTCACTGCTTTCTTCCTCGTTGCCTTGTTTCACTAGATCTCCTTTCCAATCTGTGCCAGGTTTGTATTTAGTCTCGTCTTTTCCGTAATCAATCCATCCCTTGAATGGTTCCTCAGTACCTTGCTTTCCTACGAGTGTCAACCAGAGGTTTGCCACCCACTTTGTACCTTTTATTACGTCACAGCCGCCATGTTGTGCCAACTGGTCCAAATCACTAAGCCAACCTGCAATCAAGAAATAAATACTGGAGGAAATAAATATTGAAAAAAGCCTGTGTTTAGTTGCGTAACACCAAAGATTTTCGTTGACTTCGACGTAATTTCGATCAGTATGAAATTAAAGGGGCATAGATTTTTTGTGCGACAATGTCACTTACCTTACCCCTCCCTAGCTAGTAGAAATTTCTAGTTCCAGTCTTGACCGTGAGAATTGTCACGCGACGAGAACAACATCGCTTCCAAAAGGTTGAATGTGACATAACCAAGTGCTCTAAACAGCTGTTTATCTCTGAATTATTGCGGGCATTGCTCACAAAGGGCCTTAGTTGGAAATTTTACCATCAGTTGTTATGAAGGTTTTAGCTTCAGCTATTATGAAGGTTTTGTTATGAAGGGTTTAGCCTAGCTTTGGAAAGCATGACAGGCCAGGAAAATTTTGTCTTTGGCAAGACACTTTACAAAGTACGCTGGAAGGATTTACGAATGTCGAAATCATTTTAATGACTCAATCGACGCTCATTCAGCACCAAGGTGAGTACATAGATGGAAATATAATGTGAACAAATGGCAGAGAAGTTTCCACAGCTGCGCGCTTCACGATTTATTCCGATTGAAAAATTTGATATTCAGGTGTATTAAATTAGAACTTTAAAAGGTTGTGCTCAATGTTACTCAAATGCCTGCCTTTTTAAAGGCACAAGATCAGCAGAGAAAGAGAAAATTTCGGGACTCAGAATTTTCTTAGTCGGACTTTGGCGAAGATGAAATGCGGAATGCACTTTAGTCCTTGATGTAGATAAACACGATTTCTAAGCGCTTAGCAGCCGGGCTGTTCATAACCGGGCTAAATGCCCGGAAGTGAATAATTTTTCGAAGAATTTCCACTGGAAAGTTATTTCAACCTTCTTAAGATTATCAGGATGTTTGTGTAGAAATGTCAGGCGATTCCACAAATTATTTTGTTTTCCAGTGGACGCATATTCCGAGCCTTTACCGTTAAGTTGTCCGATCGTCGACACCCAGAAAACATTTCAATCACATTAACTTTTTCCTTGCATTTTATTTTCCCGCAGAATATGAAAATTAATTCTTTTACTTGAGGTCTTTGATTTAGATGATTGACCGTGGAAACTACAGGTAGACAGTGAGTATGCAACTATTCTAGAAGTCGTTTGTTTATTAGTAATGCATTTGAGCGTTAACACGGGAAGTGATTTCTCCTTTTAATACTCAATATTTCCTTGTTAATCAGCAAAGATAATTTGGTATAAATTAAGGGAACACCCCTCCCCCCTGGCTGACCAGTGCAACGGTTCAATAACTATTTTTCATAAGCGACTGCCGCAAAAAGGGCCGCGCGGCAAAACCCTGACACGAGAGCCAGCACGCAGGCTAAACAGACTGCGGTAATAAGACTTATAGGCCAGCGATAGACCAGCAGTAACCTGCTCTAATTGGAACACCTTGCAGGTGTCAAAATTCCTACCACCCATTAGCCGGATAATGCATTGATATTGCAAGAAGTTATTAGTAATAAAAATCGCTTTTCGTGAAGGGATGAAAATTGAACAACGTTCATATTACGTACCTGTGTTTTTGTCCAGCTGGTGGTTATACCACAATATTGCTTTTCCTTTCTCTGGTTTAATCACCAAGTTACTTTTATGGCAGTTTTGTGCAAGATTACACTTCCATCCTTCTCCTCTCTCCCACGCCTAACAATTAAATGCGAGCAAGTGATAAAGCAAGTTAAAATGGTTTTGTCAACACAGTTGATAATGTAAATTAGCCACCGTAAAGAGTTTTTCAAGCGTTAGCCCATCGCCAGAACGACTGAACATTTGTCAACTTTAGAAAATCTTTACGGTGACCTATTTACATCATCAACTCAGTTGATAAAATAAAGTTCTTGTAATACTCCCCTCCGACACAGCCTCATAGTTTCTTTAGAGACTTACCCCAGATATTTAAGTGATAATTACCTATCCAGTGCGTTTGATATATAACCGAAAAGAATTGAAATAGGCGTTGGACTACTCTGTTTCGCGCACTCTTGAGCTAAGCAAGAGATGGGGAGAGTTCAAGCTATTTCTCTCGTATGCCGCTAGTTTTCGTTAACTCTCACCGAGAGTTGACGATAGTTGACGAAGATAAACGAGAATGAATGAAAGGTAAAGAGACTTTAAATTTCCGCACACGTTGAAGGGAGGATCGTTTCTTGCTTTCGGACAATCACGAGTTACGATGAGCACTGTAACATCAAGTTAATTCTGTCTTGCATGCATGTCAGCACGCGTGAGCGAAAAGTAAGGAGAGTTTAAATTACCGCTGAGGGAAGATCCTTTCTTGTTTTGGTACAATCACAAACCATAAAGATTATTGTGACGTCAAGTTAAACTCCGACTGTCTACGCGTAAGTACGTCATAACTGTTTCCCAGGAAACCATGACGAGAAAGATGACCACTCGGTGCCCGACCAGCATTATTCGAAGTACATCGACAATTGCTGATTCTTACCTCCGCGGAAAACGTTTCATTACCCGCCACTGGAAATGCCGTCTCTCCGCCTTCCTGAGGTTCGTTCAAGTACAGTAAGACTGTGGCAAGTCTGTAGCAAGAAGAAAAGAAAAAAATTGTATACTGTCCTCACGGTTTGTCGGTTTCAATGAGAAGGCTAGTTTGGATTAATGTCAGTATCTGAGCGACTACGCACCTACCCCTCCCCTAACCCAATAACAGTCAACTGATAACAAGTTAAGGTAAATGTCAAAATAAGGGAGGGGTAGGTGCTCAAATCCAATTTTGTCCCGCTTTTACACACAGCTGTCTTGTATGAGGTAAACTTCACGGTGTCTTCTTTTGTTAAATCTAGATGCGGTCGTACATCCTTTTGTGAGCTTTTGTCCATCGAGGGCTGTCTCTCTCGGAACAAGCGCTTACCTGCATAGACGGCAGTCGTCTTCATTCGCATAAGAGCAGCACTGTAGCTTTGGGTTCAAATCATCTGAGTCGTGATGACAGTGATAATGGCCATGAACATCATACTTCACCACCTAAATGTTAAAAAAAGCTTTGCGTTAAAAAGTTATGAGCGTAGAAACAGACGACTCCCGATTTCTCACCTAAGGACGTACATGAGATAATGACACGCTTCTGATAGGCATAAAACAGGTGCATTTTTCATGTAACACAAGTGAAAATTACAAATAGCGCGTGTGCGCTGCCAAAATTTCGTCCGTCTTGACTTTCTTCGATGCGTTTTTCATGTAAACTATTGACAGTTAATATCTTGATTTTTCGTGCAATTTGGTGTAAAAAGGCACTTGCAATTTTGTTGTCTTTGAAAAAATTTACTCGTGCTTATTAACACCAAATTGCGCTCGAAATCATGTTGTTACCTGTACTTATTCCAACAATTTTAAAATCACAGATAATCCTATCCTGATTGGCTCTCAGAAGTACGAGTTATATATGACTCGCCTTTTTTTTCTGAATCTTTTCCTATTTCTTCTTTTCTTTCCTGAAAGCAAACTTGCCTTTGAATCAAAAACATATTGACACTGAAAAAACCCTATATTTTGGGGACTGAATTGCGCGGTTTCAAATTAAAACAGATTTACTGAAGTACATGGAAATCAAACTTCGTGTGGAAATAATTTTCATGATTACAGACAAAATTGCACTTCCCTCAGTTCAGTTCCCATCAGTAGTGTCAATTATGTTAGGAATTACTTACCTGCAGAGGCTCTGTATTATTGATAAATTCCTCTGGAAGAAGACTTAAACGCGACAATCTAGCAAAGATAAAGATAAAATTAGAAGGAGTCTCTACAAAATTGAAATTTTATTCCACGCACCGCACTTCTGATTAAAGTGTGAAAAATTAAATTCTAATTACAAATTCAGACTCGTCTTAGGTGTAAGAAATTATCAAATTCACTAGTGACGTAGAATCAAACGAAAATGAAAGGAGTAAAGAATTTATGGAGCGATTGAAAGTAATAGCAGAAAAACAAATGAAATGTCAAAGGTTTTTACACCGAGAGAAACCCAACTGCGTGATATTATTGTTGGGCAAAGGTTATCCGAAAACGAATTACACCTTATCAAGAGATGATATTGTCCCTTATTTTCACTTGACTTACTACAGCCCATTACGGATTGCGAATCTTCGAACGTGGATATTTGATCCATACGATGAATACCCCATTAAGCAAAAAACGCCTTTATCGACCGGCAGTGAAATTTATAGTTTGGTACCATTCTCTTACCTGCCATGAAAATCCGAGAGGAGTGGATACTTTGGGTCATTGTGGAACATCCAAACCTGTCTACTGTTGCGACTGCGCAGTCGAGGTTTCGTTCTTCGCACTTTGTCGAAGTAATCTTTCATCACTGGAACAGTTACCTTGCTAAATTCTTCGAAGTCAATTTTACCTAAATATGTGAAAAAGAGAAAGGTATAAATATGAGTTTGCAAAAAAAAAAAACAGAGTACGTGGGTCTGCTTTTTGTTGCGCGCGTTTTGAATGAGTGTCGTGAAATCAAAACCAAAGTTATCTTAACTATTTAACTCCCAGATCAAATTTGAAATTCTCCTTACTGTCAACCATGCAATTCTTATAATGTTAGTTCAGAGAATTTAGTATTGGATCAGCTAATTATCCTCAACTTGATATTTGTCTTTATTCTCATCACTTAGCTGGTTGATATTGTACTGATACTGTAAGGAGAAATTCTGTCTTGGTCACTAGTGGGAGTTAAAGGGTTAACGTCCAACCAGAACAAAGGAAAGCATCATATGGAGCCAATGAAAATTCAAAGTGAGAGCAAGTGAACTGCCTGAGGCGCGGGAAAACACGGGTGACCAATTAGGCGCGATTGATTTTAGTTTGAATTTGATTGGTTGAGAAAGTAGCGCGAGTTTTCTGGGCCAATCTAAGAGAAAACTGTAGCAAAACCAACGGAATCCACGACTGCCTGTGATACGAAATTTTAAAATGTCTCAAGAGAACGGGTTTTGAGTTAAGATCTTTAAACTAGCTGAGAGAAATGTCTGATGTTGCAAAGGAAACGAACAAATTCGACTGATCCGATCAGTCAGTACACAGCACCAAAGCAAGCAAAGAGTACAAAGTTTCTCAGAGAAAACAAAGTTCATTTCCTGGCTGTTATCGGATTGGTCATTTTCTTTTTATAATTGACTCAGTAATCGCACCATAAAATTCAGACGCAACTATTTTCAAAAGGTTACGAATTTTGAGGCTTTTTCCAAGAAATATGTCTTGAAAGACTAGACTTTTGTACCCCTGTATTCCTAATATAGCCTTACCGTTTTTATCTTTGTCCATATCAAGTTCTTCAAACCTAAGATATAATGAAAGTATAGTTTATTTTTAATGATAACATTCCACAAATACCGTGATCTTATATAAGTTTCTTTATCCAGTGTTGAAGTGATCAAAATTGACTGCAGCCAGTCTGAGTTTTAAACACGGACATTTTCATTGTCCCTTCAGCTGAAATAATAAACAGCAAGTTTCAATAATACCGTGAGAAACCTCGCGTATGCATTTACTGCGCTCTACTTGTGGTTTCTGATTTTCACACCGTGAATGGAAAAGGGGAAAGAGGGGAGCAATGACTCGGAAAGAAACACGACTAAGTTTTTCTTACATTTCCCGTAGGTCGTCCTCAGTAAAGTAGAGGTCTTCCTTTCCCCGAACATGCATGATCTGAAAGATGAAAATATGTGACTCCTTTCTTTTCTATTATTTATCGCGATAGTAAGGCTCAAACTAACAGAATGATAAAAACAACACAAAGGTTACCCTGGTAACGTCCTAGGGCATCAAAGCTAGACTAGTTTTGGGAAAGAGGACAATTTTTTATATCTTACCGCTGCTTAAGGGAAAGCGATTCGTCGGAAATCTTAGTACGAAATCCGGTTACTATGATCATGTAACACTTGTCTTACTGAATAATTTAAAATAATCTTATCGTGAGTACACCTCATATTGTAGCTTACGCTGAGATGACCCCAAATCTTCATCTTGCAGCCCTCTTAGAGTTGAAGATGATAATGTAAGCCCCAGTCTAACAGGTACTCAGGTTTTTAGAGGAATATATCACGAGCATATATTTTTAATTTAAGATAATGAATCGTTGACTGCAAAACTGTACTGATTGAAAGTTACTAAGTTTCCATCTCTCAGCGGAAATCTTATTCTGCTGTGTACCTCTAATGGGCAGGGCCAAGGGGAAAAGAGGCCAAGGGCCAAGAGGAAAAGGGAATGATATTTTATAATCGGCCATCCTGAGATTTTCCCAAAGGGAGCATAGAGCCCCATTCCGGCCGTATAATCCACTTCCGGTAAATCCTACTAACTTCCCTTACAGTCACGGTGGTGTTTAAACGTACCTCAACAGGCTCTATAAACCCGTCGTCGTTGTTATCCCAAATCTTAAAAGTTCTCTGTGATGTTTCGTCATCGATGACAGTGTCCGCCTTTGCCAAAGGACTCTTCTCCAATCCTAGGCGCTTAGCGTAACTGATTAGGTGATCACACTCAACATCCGTCAGAAAATTGGAAATCTCTGAGAGAGACAGAAATGTTTTTTTTTCTTAGCTTGAGGAAAGGCGAGCTAAAATGTAGAGATTCGAAATGGCTACGCCTGGAGCGGGATAATTTTTCGGGAGGACATCGTCTTCAGGGGTAGGGGGGGGGACGGACCAGGGATCAGTTGTTGCTAACTGAATTTAAAAGGAGGACTATAACAAATTGACTGCTAAGGAGGTGTTGGGGAATTATTGTAATACTAAAGAGCCTTATGGGGGTATCAGGTAACAATTATTGTAAAACAATCAAAATCTTCCGCTCCCGCCCCCTCTTTCCCCCCAGGAGATAATGTTCACTTCCTTGTTTTACCTTAAACTGTTAGGGTTAAAATACTGAACTGGAATTGTACTTAAATTGTTTTGTTTTATATTTTTCACCAACAATTTATATTTACAATTTTTAAACAATTTTATAATTTACTACTCTTAAACCTCTATTAATGACTGGCTTCTAATTTCTCCAGACAGTATCAACCTTGAATCACATTCGTAAAGTTACGAAAATAATGGAAACGACCACCAATTTATGAAGCTATTGTTTGCTGAACAAATTCTCCTTGTCGCCAGCTTAGGAAATGTATAAAGGACGGTATGGAGAATTTATTTACTGATGTTAGCGTAAACAGGGTTAGCCGAACGGTCTTTTTCGCAAATGATGTTTTTCTCTCTACTGATCGTTCCAGAATTGAAATTTGCTGTTTATCTGATTTCTTGTTTGGAAAAAAAAATTATTCTCCTTTTAATCCATGAAAAGAAGTGAATCTCATTTCATTTCGTCAGTATGTTATTTGATTTTTGGCTGGTCAACTTACTTCCTATGACATCTAAGACTCACCAAATATCGGCGGGTTCATACTTATAGTTTTCACCTTCCTTTTGTGAAATGGAAAGACCATCATTTCTTCTTCGTGGCCAACCTTGAATTTACGGGTACAAAAAGAATCGCATTTTATAAAATACAAAATCTGTTTCATTTCTTTGCGTGAAGGACGTTTAAATTGGTTCTTTAAGTTTAGGGTAGAGATTGGTCATTATTTATCACCCGAGGGATGGGGGGGGGAGAAGGAGGGGGGAAGGAGTGGGGGAGAGGGGGGCGGAATTTTTTTGTTGTGTTACAATGAAATTTACCTGACTTCCCCCTCTCCCCTTAGGATCTCTAGTATTTAATGACCCCCTTCATTACAGTCAATTTCCTATAGTCCCACCTTTATACTATGTTAACAACGACTGACCCCTCCCCGTTTCTTTCTCTCCCCCCCCCCTTTCGAAAACCATGTGATCCCCCAAAATCCTCCAAACCACCCTCTCCTCCCCGGATGCGAAAAATAATGACGGGTACCTTCCCGTCATAAGAATAAGATGACATGGTAATTATTTTCATTTTAGGAAATAATTTGCAATTTAGTGAGTCTGTGTATGACAGACAAAATTTCAAGGATTTTTCCTTCACGGCCGTCTGAAATCATAAGAGCAGAACGATCACCTGTCTTCGTAAAAATCCGGAATGCATCGGAAAAATTAAAACTCTTCCGATTTATCTCCGACCATCCCAGACAGTGAGGATATCAACGATGTCGTATTCTTATCCCTTAGACTTAAAGTCTGAAAATAGTGGAAGGCCTTGTCTTTTGGAACTTCCCTGAGATTTGTCAATAAAACAGGTTTCTACGATAACTTTGAACACTGCGAACTTGCTTGTCTCAGGCAAAGTTCTACTGGGGAAATTAAGCAGAGACGTTTTGGAGACGAGAACGGCAACCGTTTGAAGAAATAAGGTTATTCCGGCAGGCTTTGACGCCAAAGTGTCGACCGTAAGGTCGTCGTTTTAACAATTTAAACTAAATTGTGCCCACCAAAAAGGTGAAGTGAGCATCAGGAATGAGAATTTTTAACTTTCGGCTGTCGTCCGCGTCTGAAAAACGTTTTTAAACCTTCTCAAGCTCCTTAATAGCTTAAATCAAATTCGCGGACTTAACTGATTCATAACGATCACAAATGAACCCATCTTCAATGCTTCGACAAAATCAACCACTCTATTAAAATCAGATAATCCTTATGAAAGACATACCACGCACGTGGTCGTTCAACCTTAGAAATGCTCTCCCGAGTTGTATGGAACTACAAAGCTCACTTATCTAATGTTTTTCGAAAGATTTCGTTGGTTTTAATTAATATATCTACGCAACTAAGTAGGGTAAAGAATGATCATGTGGGAATTTTCTGATTTCAGCTTACCTTAACTGGATCGCGTAGTTTTGGAACCCATTTTGTTTTGTCGATCTCGTCTCCCGCTTCAGTGCTTTTGGTGATCCACATAAAACTTAGCAAAATTGTGCAGGAAACTGCGAAATATGCCCTGTTTTTCATGTCGACTTGAAACAACAAATCCTTTACAGGGAAGTTTGTGCTTTATGGACTATTTGTAATCTGCGTTTCCGATAGATATCCTTTCTCAGGACTCTGCAGGTCCCTGCACACGAACAAAGGCCAGACCACCGGTGACCGAACAAAGCGAGTTTCAACCGGTTCAACTGCGTCGAGGAGAGGCCTGAGCGGGTTTCCTAAGAAGAAAGGTTGTTTGATGGTCGACAATATATGTTTTAGCTTCTTATCACGATAAAAATTGTATGATCATCTGTAAAAATTTGAAATCTGCATGTTTAGTGTTTTGGATTAGGACAAACTTCAACCGTGTACTGTCTTTATAGTATGTACGTTTATGTTGTTTATGGTATGTCCCGTAAGCACGTGTTTTGCAAGCTAAATTCCATTATTGGAAGCAAGTACTACAATACTGGGGGTAATTCTCGAACTCATTATTATGAAGCTTTGAAATCGTATGATTTTGGATTAAATGTGGCCCCGTAAACAGTGCGACAGTCTTGTAGTTTCAATATCCTACTTCTTCCTTAACCTAAATATAGTCTGCCATCAAGTGTAAGAACCGATTAGATGACAAATGAGGAGATTTCCGTATTTCCTAGATTCAAAATTTCGGACAGCTGCTATTCAAATCTTCTAAGGGTTTTGAAAAGGTAAAACAGGTTCAAATCATCAAAAACAATGAAAAAGCCAAATCCTTCTATAATTAGGTAAGTGTGGAAAATTTGGACTGCAACGCCTTATTTGAATATCGGAGGAAAATGATGGAAAAGGGGAAAAATGCAAAAAGCCATGGTTTCTTTAACAAAAAAACATTAAATAGAAATAGTAAAATGTAAAAAAAGAAACTCAACGCTTGGAAAATGCTACCTATAGTATGATGAAATCTGCAACATTGACTGCCTGTCATATCATGGGGAAAAAGTGTCTTCTTTGCTCTCTCCTTCACTATAAGCAGGGGTTTCCATAACTTTTTTCACAAGTGGCTGCCGATAATGTGATATACTACTGGGCCGAAGAGGGGCCGTGAGGTGAAACCCAAATACGGGAACCTGCGAGCAAGCTAAACAGACTGCGGCAAGAGGTCATATTTTAGAGGGCGGCCTGGTAACCGGCTTTCATTAAGACTTCTGTCTACAGGCGTAAGGACATAAACCGCGTTTACGATCGAGGAAACTTGGAGAAAGAAAAAAATTCATGAAAAAAGGAAGAAAATATAGAAGAAAGAATTAAAATGATTAGATAAAGGACGATGGACTGGAAGAGAAAGCAAGAAATTACCGAGAGTAAAAGACATTTTGGCCGAATACTGAGTATATACGCTATTTCAGAGAACTTTTTACCGGGAAAAAATAGCCAGTCAGTGACTGTTTCGTAGAATTTCGTCGCAACAATACAGCATATGCACTCTCTCATCCGGCAAGATCGGATTGGCGGCGGTAGATTTAGACCGCCTATCGATCAGAAAACCCTGTTTATTGACACCTCTGTTTTAATTTTGAGCATTTTAGTGTACACGCATTTAAATTAATCGCTTCGTGACCACACTATATTTGTGGAACCTGTTTCGTGCGAAGTCTCCTAAGTTTTTTGGCTTCTAGAGCGGTCGTGGCTATTTTTCAGGAACGATAAAGAACTCCGCGGTAATTGAAATAACGCTAATTAATTTTGCAATAGAGTAGCAATATCAAAGAAGAAATTTAGAAATTTGAACATTCATGAGATAATTTGTTACTGATGGTAATCAAGTGAACAAATGTATTCTTCGACGAACAATGCTGAAGAGTTTTATTAATTTTATTAAAGTGAAAGGCTGGAAAATAAATAGGTGGAGCTTTGCTCAGTCTATGTATTATTACATCACAGATGACGTCAAAATGTGGTAGCCTTAATTTCAGAAGCATCCAAGTACTTTTGAGGCGTATACATTGCGTTAAATAAGTTTTGTGGATAAGTTCTACTTATACTGTGTATTTAACGTCACGCAATAGGTCACAAGGTCGTGATGTAAGAATCTTGAATGGACATTTTCACGCAACTCGACCCAAGCCTCTCTCGCTTTTTTCACTCTGTTATTATCGCGCCGTTCACGATTTCTTTCCGTTTTCCTAATTGGACCTGAAACAGGTAATAAAGTTATTGGTCTGGATTACCCGTATTTGCCCTTTTTTTTTTTTTCCAAGAAAGCCGATAATGTTGAACCTTCGAAGGATTCTTCTTCACATGCATAAACAACCGGACAAAACAAAATGTCAGGTCATCTAAATAGTTAAATAAGTAATAATGATAAATAGATAAAAAATTTTTATGGCGCCAGTATCCTAATGTTCAAAGGCGCTTTACAACATCGGCAAAAAAATCCAAAGTTAGCCTCCTTTCAACAAACAGCCTAAGAATAGTTACAAACGGGCTTTTCCAAACAGAAACGTTGTAAGTCTGTTTTCAAAAAACGGACATTGACGAACTGTTTTTAAAGTCATAGGGCAAAACATTCCATAGCCCGGTTGACGGGAAAAAATTGTCCACTGACTGTCCGTTCCTTCGAGCTCTGAGTGCTGTGTTTATTAAGAAGAATCTCTGTGATTGTTTGCATCTTTCAGTGACGAGCCATGATCCCTTTTCAGAGACGGTCGAGAACTCGCTGAGAGTTTTGGTTAGGTTCATTGATTATGCACGTGACGACAATGTGACGTCATGATGAGGAGGTTCGTATTTACTTTGGCATTGAAATAATACCTGAAGTTACCTCGGAATGAAATTTTTCTTTTCATGCGTAAACAACCGAAAAAATGATAGGCGATCCGGAGCTGGCCGCGTAAAAGCTAAATGAGACGACTTTGTCAGAAATTCAAGCCCCGAGTTTTGTGTTTTGTTATGAGGAACCTCTTTGATTGTTTGCATTTCAGTTCTAGCGTTATGCAACGATCTATTTTCACAGGCGGTCGAGAGCTCTCTTAATTATGCGCGTGACGACAGTGTGACGTCATTAGAAAGAAGTTCGTGTTTATTTTGACATTAAAAAATTGAAAACAGTTCACTTGCAAGATGTGGTCCTAACGAAAATGATTGGTCGAAGATGACGATTAGGTGTTGCTAACGAGGTCACTTAACCCTTCTTCGGCAATTCCTAGTTAAGCGAAGGACGTAAACAAACCTATCGGAGGCTTGGCAATGACGGGGAACTCTTCGGTAAGTACTTTGCAACAAACTAACATTTAAGTCAAAGAACCTTGAACGCAGTTTGTATTCCACTTTACTTTTATTTTGTCTAACGAGTCATCATAATATACTCGTAGTGCAGCGGCTCACCTCCACAAACTGCTGTTGGTACACCACTCACTCCGTTTGACCAAACCAACGATTCTTCTTGGAATACCAGCAGCGATCCTGTCAAATCTAATAAAGACTCGACCAACTTGAAAGAAGGTAAAAATTCCAGAGTTGGGCAGATTAATCCAGAGGAAGTTAATGGGACCCCACAATGGACTCGTCTTAATGATGAAATGCTAGAACACTACTACCAAAAGAGCATAGAAGAAAAGGTTTACAGGAGAAAGTACGATGAGGCTGCTTATCTAGTGTATGGCTCCATTCCCAATGGGGTTGAACCAGTCAAGTTCCGTGAAAAAATGACGGATTTGCAAAAGGAAAAAAGAAAACGAGTTTTTATGCTTGATTCGACGTTGTCAAGTTGAAAATTTTGACTAATGTAAACGATGAGGATTAGAAAGTACTATTCTCTAATAAGTTAGAAATTTACTCATAATCAGTTTTCTTTGAGAATTTTTGTTTTCCAATCATGATTATGTAATAACGTAAAAAACTTACTTTTTTCAATAGTTTATAGTACTTAAGACCATCAGGGTTTGATGTTTGATTCGATGTTGTCAAGGTGAATTAAAATAATTACTAACAAACAGAATAAAAGGTAATGTTTTAGAAGGAAAGCTTAATTCACTCATTTACCGACTTCCCTTCGGTTTTTTATTTTAAACATACGTGTAATTATTATGTAATGCCTTAAAAGGTGCTACTACTTCAATTGTTGGAAGGATCTCTCAGACTTCAGACTACTTTTTGTTCATTTTCTGTAAGAGGTCTCTTGAGTTTTTAAGAACAGGAAAATTATTTTCTCTTTTTTTCCTTCATCGCACGAAGGAGCAGTCAAAATAAACGCTTTATTAACATCTTAAAGGGAAGGGGATGGGGCTTGTTCGAGACAGAATTTTTTCGAGACAGAGTACGTGGTGAGAAACGCCCTGTCTGGTAAATCAGTCTCGTTCCAATCTCTTCGCACCAAAGCTCTCAAACAGAAAGTCAACGTGCCATCTCGGACCGTTATGAATCCTTGCTCTGCGCTTATTGTAAGAATTCTTTCAAATCATTATTTCTGTTTGAGGTGTCACTTACAGATTGTTATTAACAATAATGAATCTGTTGCTCTCTTTCCTGTCACGGATGGATTTATATATTTACAAAGGCGAAATGTTTTTATTGGTGTTGGAAAATTGATAATGGCTCACCACTTATACGCATGCGTGTACTTGTACCTGGTTCTAGATGCGCCCCATAGGATTCATAATAAGAGGAACGCAGACGAGTTTCAGTTTTGTATGCAAATTCCTCGCGATTATTTCAAGCTCCACCTGATCGAGTTCTTCTAGAAGCAGCATTATAGATTGCACTATTCGATTGCCTTGAAACTCTTTGAGTGGAAGATGGCCAATTGCAGGGCCCTTTGGGATCATTTGCTCTTCCGTGAGAGGAAGAGGCGTTGATGTTTCTGTTCTAGCTAATCTTGGACTTTTTGGAGCAAGCTCTGGTGCATCGTCTACACTTACAACACTTGCTTCCTCGTCGCTGTCCGATGTATCGCTGCTACTTAGTTGATTTACACCTGATTTTGTATTTTCTTCCTTTACAGTATGAACGTCTTCTTTCGAAAGATCCTCGTTTTTAACGTCCATCGCAATATTTTTATTCATATCTCTTGTGTATTTATTTTCAACTCCAGTTTTTTCATGGATCTCAGAGTGTAAGGCGTTCACTATCTCTTTGTTGTAATTATTCCTAGCCAGCCAGTTGTGCCCCATCTTCCACGCTCTGAGCTCCTCTTTGCCATCACCGTTGATATTGACCCAAATCTTTGCAACCCACTTTTCGCCTTTCTGAACATGACAGCTTCCTTGATATGACAAAGGATCTAATTCACCCAACCATCTACGAGTACCATCGTACAAATGGTTATACCAAAGTAGGGCTTTTCCTTTCTGCGGTTTGATCACTAAGTTTGACTTATCACAGTGCTTGACCATGTTACAGCTTTGAACTGACTCGTTTGACCACGCCTTGCAAGAACAGTTAATCGGCAAGAGAAGTTAATATGTTGATTTATAAAATAATTCAAGTAGTACGCGCGCTCTGATTGGCCATAAAACCATTTTGTATGAGCGTATGTAAACAGGGTTTTCGTTCCTCTTTCATTAGTTATTTTATAAAAGAAATGTAAAATGATTTCCGTGTTTACATAGCCTGATGTAAACACTTGGGAGGTTGGGAGAACACTCGATAAGCTGGAAACCACCCCGCTTCGCGTCGTGATTTCCTACGCTTATCTCGTGTTCTCCCAACCTCCCGCGTGTTTATATCAGGCTATGTAAACACGGAAACCATTTTACATTTCTTCAATCTCACGCTTTTAGGTCTTAGTAGAACACAATTATGCAACACTGTTTGATATTTTTTGATACGAAGAAATTACTGAGGACATCACCGCTTATACATGAATATCTTTGTCTTCTATCAGATTGTTTTTAATCTGATTCCAGAGAGGTGACATGTTTGTGAATTCACGCTAAATGAATGTCTCACATTGTAATGAATGACTAGCTTAAATCACGTGTTAAAATATTGTTTTTTTTTTTGCAAAACATTTACGTTTTTCTCGCTGAAGAAAGGTTTTTCAACTTCGGTTTCGGTATTTAACTTTTTTTTAAACAACTGACTGATGGAAGGAAACTGAGTGAGGAAGGCCTTCAGCAGCAGGTGATCGGAATTGACATACTTATGGATCGATCAATTCGAAGCTTCAACATACCTCCCGAGCAATCCCCTGAGCAACATCCCCGGGCACTTGAACTTTTGAAGAGTGTTTTGTTCAAATACCCCACCCGGGGGGGACATTCTATACTTGACCAAGCTTTAAAACCTTGACTTTGCAGACCTTTTCATTTAAGACATTCGCTCACCAACGTGAACTATTTTTCTTAAACATCCTCATTAAACGTTATAATTTGTATTCTGCTGGAAAGACTTGACACTTCCGGTTCAAATTCCCCATCCCCTCGGTCACGGATGACAGTCGAATGCCCGTGGGTTTCTTAGAGTGATGTTGCAGCTTCGGATTGATCGGTGCATTATCAGTTATGCCATGTCATCTTGACACAGCGTGGGATTCTTGCAACTGATGTGGTGGAAATGTATAGGAGTCAAAACAGAGAATCATTAGTTTGATCCTGGATTACAAAGGGTCAATCGTCTCTTTACCTGCCAGCTGAAAGTCGTGTTATCAGCAAGGGGGAATGCACATTCCCCTCCCTCATCGACATCGTTAAGAAAGACCACGATCGTTAGATATCTGAAAGGTGAAGTTAAACGTTTTCTTAAAAATGTACGTGGAAACTATTACGGTTTTAGAGCGAATTATTAAAAAGGAGTAATAGATTATAATCCCCCCCCCCGCGGATATAAGCCTGCCTCCCTCTCTATCTTTTCTCGTTTTCAGTACCACTGACTATGTGCCACTGAAGAACAGAAAATTTGAAAAATCATTGTGGAATGATAAGCTAAATTTATTACTTTTTTTTAGATAAAAATGAATTTCAAGGAAAAATCTGAACTTTTGTTTTGTTACGTTCCAGGTTTGTTCGTGTTCTTAGTTTTAATTCTGTTCCAAATGAACGGATATGAATACGATTTGTTATGAAGCTCTGAAGCTTAATTTGAAAAAAACAGCAAATGCAAGAAGTACTTCATAGAGCTCGTTTCGACGCGCTTTTTCCGTCACAAGCCCCTTCGGATATACGCCTTTCCGTTTATAAGCCCTCCTAAAACCCCATACGAAGTTTTATAAGCCCAGGGCTTATAAACGGCAGTTTAAGGTAGCACTGTCTTTCTGACATTTGAGTAAATGTCAGGGATTTCCTTATCTTAGATTATCTTAGCATTAAATACCACTGTGAAATAAAGCAAAAGATTCAAGTAAAACTGAAGTTCCAGATTAAAGGAAACTTTCAGTTGCTATTCTGGTTCTCAAAAGAATTCTTGATTAGTGACTATTTATTAGTTGACCTTCATTCACCTGCAGAGCCTGCAATCACTAGAGCCATACATACAACAAGGTTTGTCATGCGAGATCGCCTGGCTGTCATGGTGACAGTGATAATGTCCTTGTTCCTTATAATGTACGACCTACGAGAGAGGAGCATCACGGGAAAAAACTTTTAAAGGAAAACAAAGAGGGATTATTGATGATTTTTAAAAAAAAAGATTGGAATACACTAAGTACAAACCTGTACGGGTTCACTTTGCTCTATTATCGGCCTTGGCAGCTTGGTAAGTTGTTGAAGTCTGAGAAATGAAAGACACCAGACTGCATTAGTTTGTTTTAAAGGTTGGTGTAACGAGAATCTGATCGCAGGCTCAAATATTGAAAACCCTGCGTAAGATCTACCTTGTATATCAAGTCAAGAAAATGAACGAGTGTAATGAATTTAAGTACTAATATCAATCCTTACCGGTCGTGATAATCTTCTAGCAATCCTTCGTATTGCAAAAGTTCATCTTCATCGTGCCATAACCATACCTGCTGGCTGTTATGACTGCGCAGGCGCGGTTTTGCCAATTTTTCTTTGTCAAAATAAGCGTTTAGGTCTTTTAGTGAAGTCTTTTCAAGCTCTTTCATGGAAAGTTTACCTTCAAAAGAATATTTCACAAAATTTTCTATCGAATTTGTTATTCCTTTGAGGGAAGTAGGAGCAGTGTTGAAGGAGGATTATCAATGAAGAAGTTTGAACGGCAACACCAAATTAAAATTATTTTCAATTAATTCTAACTAGAAAGAAAACAGGCAACAAAAAGGATCATCATCATTGTGCATTTTGCACGTCTTTTACCCACTTGAGTGACTGAATTTTGTATAAAAGTCAGAAGTAATATATGAGACTGAAGGGATAGAAAAGTCTTACCATCTTCGTCTTGATCTAAGTTCAAGGCAGCGAACCTTCAGTGAGGAAAAAAAAAATAAACGGAAGAACAAATTTGAGGTCGAGAATTAAAAACAAGATTTTTTATTGTTTTTATTTTATTTATTACTTGAAGAGTTTCCTTTAAAAGCTTCCGTTTTATTTATTTATTTATTAGTGATATTCATGCTGGCTGGTCCAGTTCGATTCAAGCTGGTTTGAATGGGGGCCTGCCAATCCTGCGCATTTTTTGCAGCAAGTAGCTAAAGGCTGGAAGCTAAAGTCGATCGAACGGGTTCCAGGCATTTATCAAGTATAACGTAGCATATTAGTAAGCGGTGCGATTGTAACGGGGGAGTGGGAAAACGAGAGAGGTTTGGGACAGGTCGCGTGTAAAAGGGAGGCTTGAGGCGACCCGAACCAACCTCCCTCGTTTTCGCTCTGCCTTTACTATCGCGCCGTTAACTATTTCTTTTCCGTTCTACTAAGTGAACGCCTGGAATATAGAAGAACTGTCGTCGTTCGGATGTGTTTTAACCATGAAATGATGTTTGGTTTACGGTAGTATCAAGTTTCGCAAGTAATGACAAGCCGGTAGAGAAAACTAGATCACTAAAGGTGCATGATAAGCAAAACGTCTGTATAGTTTGAATAAACTTACATCTCTTGAACATCATCTTCTGTTAAATATGTATTTCTTTTTTCAGATATATGAATGGCCTAGATAAGAAACGTATAGTAAAAGTTAGGTGGTTAACACCATTGATTTGGTGGACGCTTGCGTAAAAATACAGCAACTCGAATTCAAGGGAAAAGCATCAACAGAAGACCGCTGACCAAAAAACGACCAAAATGTGGTCGAAAGTTACCCGGATATTCTTACCTCAGTTTTGTCGATAAATTTATCCTCATTTTTGTCCCAAGCTTTAAACTTGTCTTCTATCGAATCTGTATTATCGCTCTGGTCGTTATCTTGGGTCAGCGGAGTTTCGCTCATTCCCTTTTCTTGCGCTAAATCGATGATCATTTCACATTCTTCATCGGTAAAAAAATTTGGAATTTCTGTGAAAAGAGATTGAAGATAACAGTTGGTGTCTGACGAAAGCGACTCCTCCAAAATGTAGCTGGATTAATATATGTGTTAAACGCAAATCCTCCACCCCTCCCCACCAGGCGATAAACAATGACTGGTCTTTAAGAATGGGACACCATGATACTGGCTTTGAGTTTGTAGTTGTAACCTTTATATAGGAATTTAATTCATTGTACTAAACTCTCAACAGTTTTTAGCCGTTTCGTCGGCCGTTTATATCACTTACCAAACACTGGTGGTTGTAAGCTTAGAGTTCTCACAGTGTGCTTGGTACTCTCAGTCAACTCCATATCTTGAACATGGCCAACCTAAATTAAAATATGGGGAACATCCAAGGTGAAAGCCTTATTACCATATTACCACGGTGATAAAACATTTAGCGAGACCGATGAATCAACCTTTTACACCTAACATTAGTATTCATATTTCCACACTGTTTTATTTTCATTTCCTCTGGTACTAGAGAGGAGAAATTGATTGACAATTAGGAACTTCTGAAAGTGGCTACCATTTTTTTCATTCTTGCAACCTTTATATTTGGTGCAAAGGTGATACTGTGGGAGAAATTAGAATTAAACGCGGATGGGCTCTACCTCTAATGTAATTATATTTAGTAGGGACTAGTAGGGTTTTTAAAATGTTCAGTCTTATAGTTGTGTTACAGTTGTGCTCAGATTAAGACGACAATTAAAGCTAGCAAGTTTTAGAGGAGATATACCTATATTCGACAATCCGTTGTTTTAACCTTTAACCCCTAAGAGTGACTGGCCTCTAATTTCTATCACCCCCGAATCACACATTAAGGTCACGAGATAAGGAAATGATCACCAACTAAAGAAGCTCCTGATTGTAAAACGAATTCTCCTTGTCAGCACCTTAGGAAATGTATAGAGAACAGTATGGAGAATATGCATACTGATTTTAGGGTGTAAGGGGTTCAACGGATTGTTTGTCCTATTTCATTAATTACAAATAACGAACTTGAAAATTATGGGTTTAAATTTCAAGATTTATAAGCCGTTGCAATGCCAGCGATAAAGAGAACAGTGTTTCTCCCGCATAAATAGAAAATTAATCCCAAAAGCTTTTTGAAAGTATCCGCCACACTTTCCCTTTTTCCCCGACAAAATGAGCTTGAAATTATTGACCGCTTACATTAGAAGATTTTCAGTAATTTTCTCTTCTTAGAGTACTTCTCGCTTCATTTACTTCGCATATTTCGGAAAAGTGTGTTTATCGACCGTTCAGTCAAGACACTCCTGAGTTATCATTCCATGTACATGCTAAACCGCTTTGCAATGCATTGAACTGCTTATGCGTGATATACGCATGTACGGTTGATTGCGTTGACCATAAATATTGTCACTTTGCAAGAAATATGCAGGAGAGAAAATTAAAGACCAAGCTAGGATTTTTACCTTACAATGCCTTCGATATATTGATTAATTCAGTCTAGTTTGAGAAATGTCGGGCCTCTTGAGCGAATGTCGCCTCTATACGCAGATGGTAGGAGATGGATAGTGTGTTCCGACTATCGATAGATTTTTTTCCACCCTCTATTGCCTCGATGTCAAAAGTCAATGAGTACTCATTTTTGAAGGCTATAGGTTATATTCAAGCCAACGATACTTTAATCTTTGGTTTGAACCTAATCTTTTACCCTTCCCGTGAATGCCGGCTGATTTTACAAATAGACAAGATCGAGTCAAAGGCCACGGAGCATGGTATAAACATGCATCTGATAAACAAGACACAGAACTTCTTGTTTACTCTTTTGCCCGCAATTCACCTCTTAAATCTGACAAGTTTGCGTAGTCCATTCCGTTGTAAAAAAAAATAACGGTAATCCCATGATCAGACGATTACCACAAGTTGTAGAGGTGATCAGTAAAGCACAGAGCCAAAAACTGCCGCAAGCTAGCGAAGCTCAAACAAGTTCAGCTTTGCGAGCCAGATTTTCTTCCACAGATCTTCGCTCGAGGAAAATTTAGTAGATAAAATTTTACCTTTACTCCGTTGATTCTTGGTAAACTTAAATGGATATTACGAGGTTCCCCATGTCCTGCTGAACAATCTGCAGTGTTGTCTTGACACTCGCTTATTTTTTGCTTATGAAAGTTATCAGAATAAACCAATTGCTTGCTACAAATCATTGTGATAAATAGATGAACCGTCGTGAAGGCATGACGAAGATATATCTCCATAATCGGTGAAGCTACCCGAAATCTTCGAAATTGTGCTTTGATTTGAAGTAATCACAGCGAAGTTGAATCACTCTAAAACATCTACCATTACAAACCAGATAATGTATTCATTTGATAACTTATTCATGCCGGTTCAACAGGTATTTAACAAGTACCTGACACTGCTAATCTTATTCTCACGATTCTCTTGAGTGGGGACTGGTATGAGATTTAGAAACTCAAGGTAACCGCCCCGTTAAGGTTTTTCGGGAACTACTGGAACGAGCTTAATCGTTGACGAGTTAGTTTCACATCGCGAGACTTACACAAGCTATGTAACGAGAATACTTTCGGTACTTACTTGAGGAAAAATAACAGACAGAAAATATTCCAACTTAAATTAATCCAGAAGATGTTTACTGATAGCCTTGTCTCAGTTTACGGCCATAGCTGGCTTTAACCCAAGCAACAGAGAATCTACTCCTCAGTTTACATTATTCATGCATGCAAATTGGGGGCTTCAATTACCCTGTAATTGCTTTTTGCAAATTAGACTTAGTTAATGTCATAACAGTTTAAGTTGGGGGAACTTCGGGCGCGAACAAGTTTCAACGAATGCCTTCACGAGACGAGTCGTTATTGATTTTCATGTGATTAGAAGAACATCAGCATGTAGAGAAAATTTACCATGTTTACAGACTCGAGAGTTATGTGGTTTATTGATGTATCTCCCAGTGGCTCCGCGCTACGTCAAGTTGGCATATTTGTTATTTTCAAAATTTGATAGAGTTCAGATTTTTCATTTTTGTTTTGATCATTAACTACTTTGGCTTATGGTAAGAAGAAGAGTTCACTATAATGAATGTTGACCACAATGGTGGCTTAGTTATTTTTCATTTCAGTGCATCTAATTTAGAATAATTCTCTGTGGTACATGTACGAGTTGATGATGGGTGATTTTTTTTCTAATGGAGCGATTTTCAATTAAATGTCGAAAATAACCGGGATTGCATTGGTTTTTCTTTACTTCGCCCCGTAATTGGTCCTGAAAACCAGGGCCACCTTCTCGACCAATCAGATTCAAAACTAAAACCAATCGCGACTTTGTCACTTGCGTTTTCCTGCGCTTCTGGAAGTTTGCTTGTTTTTACCTCGAGTTCTCATTGGCTCCTGGATAAATTTTCCTTGCTATGATTGGCTGTTTTGATTACTTTGGTTTTGGTTTTACAACACTAAATTGAAAAGCGCTCCTACTATCGTAAACTAAAAACACATCGTGTTGAATATTTACATTTATTCTCAAATACTCACGCCTTCAGCGGTGACTGTAAGCAAAAAAATAACTTTCACTCCATGTTTCCATGTAAAAGGATATTAAGAGATTGGACTACACTTTAGTCTAACATTTTTATACTTGGCTTCGTGTATTCTTATGAAAACAAAGTATTTTTTAGCACAGCCACCATGTGTACACCAGATCACCAAGAAAAAATGGGTTCTGATAAAGAAACTCATAACCATCTACATGTATGTTTGCGCACCAGCATTTTACTAATTGACGAACCGTTCTACATTCAATTACTGCGAGAATCCTCACGCAAAATGGTTTTCTCAACAAATGTATTAATAACCCTTTGTACAACATGATGTCTATGTACTTCAGGAAAGGAATATTTAATGACCGTCATGGGAAAACAACACACATTAGGGTTTTATACACGAAACGTCAACGTTATAGCTTCTCTGTACAGAAATATAGACAATATAGCTTTAGGGACCGGTCATCATGGTTATTGCCGGGGGTGGGAGGCTTGGAGGATTTTGGTTGTGTCGCAATGAAATCCCAACATAAGGCAAATAATACTCTTATGATTCCCGCCACTCATTACCAGTTAATTGGCGGTCAATTTATACCCTGTTGGCAACGACTGATACTTCTCCGTCTCCCCTGAAAACCATGTGAAAAATTACTGATTCCTTAGTACCTCTAATAAACTTTCCTTAAAATGTTCAACTCTGAAATAATGACTTTTTATCCACAATAAAAAAGTTCGAAAATTATTTTACCTATGATTGCATTCTAGAGGCGAGAATGTTTTCTCTTTCACTCAGCCTTACTTCCATCCACTAAAGAAATTTTACCGCCTTGGTTTAGAACTAAAGGTACACATAGCATCTGAAGTTTCTCATGTACTTTCTTCGAAACAGCTACCATTTCTTCCTCGTTAAGAGATTCTAACAGCGATACAACAGCATTAAGAACGTGTCTTTCTTTCGGACGAGATTCAAACGTCCATTCTTGGGTGTTCTCCATATCATTGTTAAGTTCTTCTTCAATCTCATCTGGTGCTTTATTGTCTTCAGCTCTTCGCATTCTTTGAAGAATATTCTGGTTCAAGTGCTTCCTAGTGTCAGATATGAGGTTTGTACCTCGTTTCCAGGCCCTCAACTCCATCTCCCCGTCACCATCTACGTTGATCCAATTAGTGGCCATCCATTTCTCGCCTTTGGTGACGTCACAGTGACCGTAGTACATCCTGTTATCCAGTCCCCCGATCCATGTACCATCATCATTAGGCACATGGTTGTACCACATAACAGCCTTGCCTCGTTTCGGTTTGATGACCAGTTTGCCTTTAGCACAGTACTCGTGTGAGTTGCACTTTCCAATAGCATTGTTCATCCATTTCTGCAGATAAGGAACATTTGATTAGAAATAACTACCGGAATAGATTCAAGAAATCGTTAATATAGTCTGAAACGAAGAAATTTAGCTCGCAAAATCTGAATTTGCACTTATTTGGTTTTCTATACATTTACTAGTTACTGCTGAGGTAACTCAGGTCTGATAACTTTGCTCTGACAATATCACTTGTGAACCGAATTCAAATAAAACAAACCTCGTATCCTTTGTGACGCATGAAAAATTTCCCACGCATCTTCTCCCCGCCAGGAACCCACCACTTTCCATCTATTTGTGTATTTCCCTTTAATTGTCCAGCGTATTTAATGGAAAAATCTTTGTTTCCTTGATTCAAATACTTCTTGCGGAATCGTATTATGTTTCCTGTCAAAAGACTGTCAATCAATTCGAATTCCCCGTTGTCGTCACTTCCTTTGCCATAAATAACTTTATTAGCACCATCCATTTTAAATTGTATATCCACTTCAAAGGTATTTCGACTTCCGGTTGTCTTGTCGTAAGTGAAAAACCCTGTCCAGGTACCAGAGTTGTTCATGATGTCATCCTAAATAGAGATTCAGAGGGTAAGTTTGTAAAGAAACTATGGCGCTGCGTCAGTGTTCGGTGTTAAGGGGGGGAGGTGTATAACGAGATTATCTGGTTTTATCTCCTGAGTTGATGATATAAACAGGTCACCGTAAAGAGTTTCTAAAGCTGACCCGTTGGGGTTTAGCCCTTTAAGAGAGCTAAATTGTGGTAGACCATTAAGTTACTGCAAATACTCATGCACCTCCTCTCTGTCAAGAACTTCAATTTTCTAATGAGCCCCTTTCTCTGAGGAACCTTCCTTGTCTAGAAGTTAACGTTTATATGAGCTTCTTTCTCTTATAAGCACATGTACCCTGGCATCTTCTGGAACTTCATGTTCCCAATAATCACCATTCCTCGAACTTCAACTATCTATAAGGCTCCATTCCTTAGCAAGCCCTCTCCGTCTAGAACTGCAAGGCTTGTATATTCTTCCTCCACGGTGAAGATCTTCAATTTTGTAGTTAAGACCCATCCTCTATTAAACCAACCACCTCTCTGAAATTTTGAGTTTACCCCATCTCGACTTTCAAGTTTTTAATGAGCTCCTCTCCCTTATAGACGCTACTTCCCCCGTATACAACTTCAAGTTTTTAATGAAATCGTCTCCTTTATTGGCCCCCGTCCCTGTTTAGAACCTCAAATTGCCGATCTGTCCCTCTCCCCCTCCTTGACGGGCAAAAATTTCTAAGTTATTTTCCCTTCATTAATACTGCTTACTGTTGAAAAACAATTTTTATCTTACATAAGGTTACATCTTTTAAAAGTTTGCATTTTGCGTATTTTATTACCACTATCTATATATGGGACCAGACTAAAAAATAGCTTCTTTCATATCTTTGCCAGGTGTTTGCATCGACTTACCTCAAATTCGCTATTTGCAAGTGGCATCACCAATTCCCCTCCTTCATCGACATCGTTGAGGAAATAAGCTAGTGTTATGTACCTTTGGAAATGATATAGAGAAATAACTGTTTATTTATACCTAGTACGGTATGTAACGCTCTGAAATCTTTAAAATTTTTTTTCTGATTGACTTCTTCCGGATTGACTTCTCCCACTTCAAATTTTTGTTCCACAATTTTTGTCCCACAACATCGAAGACGTGTGGTTATGAAGTCCTTTTTTTTCTCGGTCCCCTTTTTTTTTGTGGAAATTCTTCAGTGTGGGAAAAAATGTGAAACATAGATAAGAAAGTCGAAATGGATTGGAGAGGTGTCCTAGTTGTCTCAATTTTCATGCTTTTTTTGGGTAAATTGTCTTTCACATACCTGCATATTCTGCATTCTTTCATATCTCCGTACAGACAGCAGGGAACACCCTCAAATTTAGGCTCACTATCTTGTTGGCAATATTGATAGTTGTTTTCTTCAAACTGCATCACCTTAAAGTGAATTGTATAATGTCAAAACAACGACTTGGCTGTTGCAAGATACGTTAATGAACACAAAATGAGGTGGGTGTGAGTGGTAATAAAAAATAATGAAGGAAGACAGAAAATGAAGATTGGTCAGGTGCGAGGTATAACAGGACTGTTGATGGAGCTGACGGACTACGAATTTGGGTCGTGCTATTGGTCAACTGGTCTTTCAAAGAAAACCTTAAAAAGATTGCAAAGTTTTTCAGAATCATAGAATTTTTCGTCATCTGAGAACAACAATAAAATAACAACAACAAGTTTGCGTGTCATATACGGAACATTGTTATCTTGCTCAGCGCGCGCAGAGTTGTTTCGTTGAAGAAGTAGCTACAACGTTACGTCATGTCTATGTTTACGTTCCTAGTTCCTTTCATTTTTTGTGGTAGAGGTTGAGGGTTTGTTTTTTTTCGAAACTATTTGTCCCGTTTACCTGCATGGGTTCACTCTCCTGAATAATTTCCTTTGGTATTTTGGTAACTGCTTGAAGCCTGGAAGAAAACTTTACTGTTAGAAATACACCTGTTGTAGACCATACGTTAGACTATAAATTAAAAAAAGTTATACCTCAATAGGTTCCTATATAGGTGTTGACTATTGATGTAGTTTAGAGTGTAGCTGGGGGGGGGGAATCATCGGTTACATGTCACATCTTACCCTTGTGTTAAGTAATTTGTTATTCATGGTAGCAAAAAAAAATCAACGTGGTATACCCTCCAATGTCCGTGAGAGGCTAGTATAGAAACCCCCCTTCCCCCCCATGCCCCTCCCCTGTTGGAAGGTTCTTCCTTTAACCCTAATTACTCAGGGACGGGTCATCATTTATCGCTAAGGGAGGTGGAATTTGGTTTCGTCACGATAAAATTTACCTGATCTAAGTATAAAGCGCTATAATATTCATACAATCCTCTCGTCACCCATTTGCAGTTAATCATCAAAAATTTTCTATGGTCCTCCCCCTTTATACTCTGTTGGCGGCGACTGATCCCCCTCCGTTCCAGCTGAAAACCATGTGATCCCCTTTAAACTCTTCCAAACACCCCTCCCCCCTTCACCCGCGGTCACTAATCAAGAGTTCTTTGTCTGGTATATCTTTCCAAGAATAGACCCGCCATCTCCTGTTATGGTTGCGTTCTAGGAGACATTTTTTTAAGGGATTGACTCGCACTAAGTACTATGAGTGGGAGATCTCATAAGCTACAACAAACGTGTAACTACCGACCGTTCGTGGAATCCATGCAATAAGTCAGGCTGGTATCTCAGCAGTTCGTCCTCATCATGCCACAGCCAAGATACTCTACTGTTAGGTATTCTCCTCAGTGACGAATCGTTCAGGAGGCCAGCAATGTATTGTCTTATTTCCTCCAGTTCCACGCTTTTGAATTCGGTCAGGTTGATTTTTCCTGGTCAAACAAAAGAAAAAAAAGATGTATATTGTTAATGAAGGTGATAACTTCAAATTATTTGAAAGCGGGGAACACGCTCTACAGTTTTACTCCTACTTGATTATAGATCATATTCAGTTACCCTCGATAATTTCAGGATCGTATATCGTGCTCTAATGAGACACAAACATACTTACCATTATCATCTTCATCCAAGTTTAATGTTTTCATCCTGTTAAAAGTAAATGAACGAATCAATAAATAAAGAAGCAATTTTTTAAGAGCATATTTCTCTCCCAGTTTTAAAAAAATAAGTTGACCGATAAATCCCACTTACATCTCGGTGGCGTTATGTTTGGTAAATTTAAGATCCATTTTACCAGGGATCAGGACAATCTGTAACAGCAATGGAAAGAAAGGGATGTTAGTATACAATTCTTATTGCGAGCAGTAAGTGATATAAGTGAATTTATCTTTAAACTCAAGTTCAAGGATGGACTAAGGCATTGCGAATCACAGATGAACCTCTCTATGCCCGAGTCTCCTCCTTGATTCTATAGATAGGCTATTACAAACAACAATGGTAATTAAGTTCTTAGATAGAGGATAATCCATCGACGCGTGTAGATATGGAAATTCTCTTCAGGTATCTCGATCTTATTCGTTCGCTGCACTCACGACTGAAATATGAAAAAATGAAGAGAAAATCCATATCTACAGCAACTATGTATTATTAATTTTTGTTGATCATACGTCGATTTCATGAAAGGTGAACACTTTACTATTCATTTATTATTAGCCTGACAGAGTGGCGCGAAAGGAGAGTGACGTGTCAGCAGCTGATTGGCGATATCAAGGACACGTACAAAATTATCGTAATTTCACACTTATACAGTTATGGCTTTTCTCAGGGCTGGAAATCTTTGTAAAATACCGTAGTTTATATAATAATACATTTAATCCTACTATTTAGAGAAGTCTTGAACAGCACTGTTGGTGGAAGTGACTGCGTGACTGTGACTTCGACTAGGTCATAGGTCACGGTGTCATTCACAAGATGTGCTTGTTTATTTGTTTGTTTTATCTGAGAATGTGTTCCAAGAAGAACTATTAAGAGACGCGATTTTACTAACCTCCTCTGCGTCAATGTATTCATCACCATTCAAGTCCCACTGTTTGAAAGTGTTCAGAGGGTCTTCATAGTAAACACCTCGGTTATCTGTTTTCTTAGGATTATCATTGAGTTTTTTGTTTTCAGCCATAGCTATGATGAGTTCACATTCGTCCTCGTCAAGAAAATCGGGAATCTCTATAAAAACGATGAATGAAATTGAGAAAAGCAAGTTTTTTAAATGAGCAATATTCTACAGGCATGGTAGCAATTCCAACTACTATAGCATTATTTGACCATGCCTCGCACATGATGAGTGTAGAGAAATCCTCCTCTCACTTAAATCACTCTCCGTGCGAAAATTCCATAACTCCCAAGATCAAGTTAGTAATTCTCCCTACTGAAGGCCATACATTTCCTTATAAATTATACATATAGGAGACACAAGTGTAGAAACAAGACAGCGGGGCGAACTTACAGTGGGGCGAAACCACTAGTTACCCGTTAGCGAGTATACCATTTATCATGTTTTCATGTGGCAAGCGCTGTGTATACTCAGCAGTTATGACGAAAGTGTTTCTGTTGTTAATAAACGGATCAATATCAGTATCTGAGCAACTGCACACCTACCCCTTCCCTAACCCAACAACAGTCATATAGTAACAAATCAGGGTTAAAGCTAGGTTAGGGGAGGGATAGGTGCGCTGTTGTTCAGGTATTGACTTTGATCCTAATTATCTCATAGGACTGATCTCTTACCAAATACAAGAGGACGCATGCTCAGGGTTTTCATGTGACGTTTGATGCCAGGCAGAATTTCAATTTCTTGAATGTGACCAACCTATCCAATGTGTAACAAAGGTATCATCACTGTAATGTTTACATTTGCAAAGAACCTAAATTGTTTGTAAAAGTTCGATTAGATAGCAACTCATTTTACGACTTGGCCATAAGACATGTTTCAACAAGCTGCGCATAATAGCGGTTTCGTATGATTGCAATGGGTAGAGGAATGTTTTTTATTGGCTTCCTTTGCATTCTTCCTGTGTGAGTCTCCCCACTCAAGAACACACATCGGCTTTCCTTTCTGAGCATCATTGTTTGAGGTCTGGTAGAGTCGCGACTAGACTCAAGAAAGAGAGGGATTGGATCCGACAGAAGAGCGTTATTTCAAAGGTAAACTGTGAAGCTTGCAATTCTAAAGTCAGAGTGTATGCATGATCTCTCTGAAATAAACCAGGCAATCCCGCAAATTACTTGTATTTTTCGGTCTGAGAACATTTCGATGCGACCTTGAAATTTCTTTTAAGCTAAGTTTGTGACACGGGATTGGTAAATGCTAGATCCTTCTACTATCTTTGATAGCGAGATTTATCTAAAAATAACTTATTTATTAAATCATTGAGCCTGCATGGAAGTCCAGTCTCTTAGCGTTATTGTCTCCTGGTTATGGGCATTAGCCTGTAAACTTATACATGGAAAGTCGGTGATTAAGACAAAGATATAAATACCTATATAATCTGAACGCAATAATGGCATCTAATAAATTATATTCAAGCGAGATCAAAGAAGAATTAAACTTGCCTTAATTCCATCGACAACTGGAATCTGAAGTCCAATCCATTCCGTAGTTGCGTTGCTGTTAGATAAAACTTGTTTATCATTGCTTTCTGATAAATTGTTATGAACTTCGTTACTTTGTTGTCCCTCTTTCAAATCTTGTGAAAGACTTTCTACTTGTTCTGTCTTTTGTATTCTTGGTATTTCTTCCTTTAAGTCCACAATTTCGTCGTTCTGAACGTATTTACTTTCATCTGTCGTGTCACAGAAGCCCTCTTCGTTTTCGTCGCTGTCGCACGTGTGTTGATGTATTGAGATATCTTTTGCTTTGATTTGTAAACCCCTCGCAATGATCAAAACCAAACCTAAAAACCAGACAAAGCGGTGGGATGTTCTATCCGCCATTAGTTGCATCAATCCTGCCTTGTTACGCTCCCGTCAAGGCCTCGGAACCTCGTCAAAAAATTCTTCATAAATTAATGATCCAAAATATTACGGCTCAGAGGTTTTTCATTCATGGAGAATAAATTGTTTTACTCTAAAGCAGCCATATGAAAGCGTATGATGCCACCAGCGTCTGTGATTGGTCAGTTTGAATGAGCAGGGCAGGTACCAGAAGGGACCATGAGCGTAAAAAACGGGAGGAAGCCTTTTCAGTGCAAAGTGATGCGGGTATTTCGTAAGATGTTGTGCAGTCTAATGTTTTGCTTTTATTTTCAGCTTTAAAGAAGATATTCCGCTGTATTCAATTTATTCAATTGCTCTCATATGGAATAAAACCTTTTGTTCTCAGTTCAGGGAGACAAAGGCAAGAACAAAGAGCAGGGATGATCAATGATGGAAAAGCTGGATTATAAAATACGTTCTTGAAATATCCAGGCTAAAGTTTCGCATGATTCCCGGAATGATACACAAACCATTAAGTGTATAGAGATCCTTTTTAAGTCACTCATGCAGGGTAAAGGTCTTTTTTACTTCGCCGAACAAGAGAAAAGTCACGAGAAACGACTTCGTCGAACTTTAACAGTCTCTGAAAGGCAAGGAGTTTCCGGGGTTGCCAAAGTGCAAGAATAGCATGCCCGAATTTAGTAGGATAGCCTAAAGTTGATATTTTTGACCCTGGCTCACTGGGGAACACCAGGGTTCCTGTATTTCGACAGTAATTGTTTGGAATACTTGGCATTTAGAATGGTTGCCATGACTTACCAAGAAGTCATTAGAAAAAAAAAAGGATCATATGATCGTAATGGAGACTAATTATATCGAGAGAAATGAATGTAACTCGTTTTGTAATAATTGAACGCTAATTAGATATGCATAATTTAGTGAATATCAATTACCGGAAGGAAGTCGCTTTGATCGTGACTAATTTCATTATAAAATTATATTGTACGTTGAGTTAGAGAGATATTGTTTTTGTTTTTATTATAAGTTTTTTGTTTTTTTGTTTTGCCTTTTACCGCACGGCCATTGGCTGAAATTCTTGCGAGTTGCGAGGTTCCTGTTTGTCTGGTCGACAGCTACAAATTAAAGGGGAAGAGAGATAAAATGCGTGAAACCTGCCTGTCACACAATACTTATTTTCTCAATCGAGGTCGTACGCTGGCCAGTGTTCACTGAACTTTAAATCCGCAATAATTTTCGAGAAAACATGATGGATTCAGCAAGCTACTGTAACTTGGTTATTCTTAGATAAGTCAAATTTATGGATGTCTGGCTCTACATCTGACATCTCAGTGAGGGCCATTGTTAAATTTTGTTTACAAATGATATGCAAATGTGGTGTTCACGGCCGTGAAATCAACTAGTTACGGGAAAGAAGCCATCTAAAAGATCAACTATGGCGCCGCCGCGTGCGGATAACAAGAAATTCTTGAAGGAAAGATCAAAACAAAAGGCAGCAAAGAAGCCCTCGAAATCGTCTCTTCCTTCTACGGCAGTGGCCGTCGCTTTAACCGCTCTGGTAGCGATATGTGTAGCTATGTATTACAAGAATGGATCTGGGGTCGAGACGAACCTCCGCCAAGCGACTAAGGAAAGAACCAAAGAATCAATGGGAAATTCAAATTTCAAACGAAGTGATACGAATGCCGATTTTAAAGTTCTACCTCGGTTAAATGGTGTGAAGGTAAGAAATAGAGATCCAGTAATACCTCAGAAAATAAGTTTCAGCTCAAGAACCCATCGTATTAGTGACGTGTCGTTGTATTTAATTTATTTTCTTTGTATTTAATGTATTTCTGCTTACTTCAATCTATTGCTTATATCGAACATATTGTAGGTACAAACTTAACATGCAATTAAAGATCTCAACTTGTTGTTGAATTGCATTTTTTTTATTCAGAACAAAACACCATGATATCTGGATAACTTATTCCTGCTTGTTCGTAGAATCATGTTTGTCCACGGGTTATTTATTTTTTGGTCATTTTAAGCGATTCAGTAACGGATTTTTTTTCTAATGTTTTTGCGTTTAAGTCTGTAAAATGATCATTTGATCTTCATTAAGATTAACAATGTATCGTTGATAAAACAAACAGAATATGCCAATCCTGTTGAAACGTGACAGTCACGTAACGCAATCCTTATGATTTAAAGATGTATCTGTAACTGTATCATGAGGTGGAGGTGTTTTCAGCTGTTATCATTGCGCCCGCCCCCCTGAATTAGCCTCACATAGACGCATATTTTATGAACAAATTATGTTTACCCTTCAGGTTGGCCATGTGCAAAAAAGACAACTAAGCCCAGGAAAAGTGTATGAAATTAAAACACTTAGCTTAAGACCGCCTATCTTCGGTAAGAAAGTTCAAATTTTCCTAGATTCTTTGTCATCCATTTATTTATATTAAACGCAGTATTGACTCATTAATAAATTTCATGTCTTGATCTCCATTTCATGTCAGAAATTCCCGATTTTCTGTCCGAAGACGAATGCCAGACTATAATAAACCGAGCTTCCAAGGCGGGCCTGGACACCAGTGAGGTCCAGGACCCTGAAACGGGTATCAACATTGAGCCAACCAATAAGGCGACATTTCACAGTTGGGATTACAATAACGATGGTGTCATTGACAAAGTGGAGGTGCGAGGTCGTAGACAGTGCTATCTTAAATTTATTGGCATTTTGCTCAAGGTGTAATCTCGATCTCCCAAAAGTGTTAGTGTCAGTCAATCTTCTTCAGCCTTCAACTCATCTCCCATCAGAGCAAGTGTCAGGCAATTCTTCTCTGGGTAAAGAGGGTGTGACAAGGTATAACCCCCTCCTCACCCAGAAGAGTATTCTTTTGTTAAGAGTGCGAGTATCTATTGTAGCAATTTTCTTGCAATTCTTCGACGGATAAATTTAAATGAGCAAAGAGGAGACCAAATCGGGCAATCAACCTTTAGATAACAAAACTCTAACTCTTTTAATTCCTTTTTTGTAGGTAATGCATAATCTTGTTGATCTCAGTGATTTATACTTCTCAGAAGAAGACATCGCAAAAATGTAAGTGGCCCGTCAGGGTGGGACGTTATCATAATCATTTCGTTATCTTCCCTCGTCCTATTTACAAAAGACATGATCCTTTGTGATCATCGCCGTTACAATTAGGGAGACTTCACATGTTAATCACTTCCAGGAGTTTAATGGTTAAGACAAAGCTGTAACTATGTTTTTCTTTTTACTAAACGTCTGCAGGTTTGTTGAGCTGAAAGTAGACAAAAATAACAATGGTTTGTATTTTGTTCTTTTTTTTTTTGCTATTCTCCTTACACTTAACCTTTTTCTTTGGGTATTTAGAAACCAAAGGATGAATTTTTTAACACAATATAAACTTTCAGTGGCAAAATTTCGATTTAGAGTAATATGGGTCAGATTACTCACGTTGCACTATTTCTGCCGTTAGTTGACAATTAACCTTTTATTTTTAAGGTGTTATGGATTTAAAAGAGTTCCTTGCAGTGACGACAAATAAGATTATGAAAAGTCTTCATACCATGGCAAAAAAACTTCCTCGGGTGAAAAGCCGAAACAGTCAGCAAACATGGTTGGATCATCGAAAGATCAAAGGACTCAATGACAGGTAAATAAAAAGAGGTCAAGGTAGTGAGTGACAGCCTTTTGTTGACTTTTCCATCTATTTTCCGCACAATTTTGGAAGTTACAAGTTGATCACCTCCTGGTTTTTAAGAGGTAACAGGGTGGTCGCGCGACTTGGTGTCAATGGAACTTATGGGAAATTTTTATCTGAAGTATCTTGAATAATTTGCGGTCCACTCAATAGGCTACTAAAATAGGAGTAGCCACATTCTGGTAGCCATTAACTAAATTAAAAAATATGTCTAACAAACTTGTTAAAAACGTCAAAACATCTTTTAAAAATGTTTTTGCATTTTAAAATATAATCATTGGCTTTCAGAGTGGCGGCTCTAACAAAGCTTCCAAGGGCAGTTATAGAGGAAAGTGAAGAGCTTCAGGTAAGCATTCCGTTTTTTTTTAATTTTTTTTATTGAAAGAATCCATTGATCTATGTTTCCGCTGTGTTTAAGTTAATAGAGGAATGAGGTGGCGGTGATAATAACCTTTCCTGACCCTTCCCGAATGATAAATGGCTCGATGCTGTTATTCATTCTTTCTTTCTTTTTCTTTTTCCATTTTTCATCCGTAGGTTGTCCATTACCATCCCGAGGGCCACTATCACTGTCATCATGATTCCCAAGATTTTGAACCGAACGTTCCTTGTTGTGCTTTCCGTGATAGAAGTCACTGTCGTCTTTGCCGGTAAAAAAAAATAGATTACGTGCAGTTTTCATTGGTGCTGCTGCACAAGCATTTTGCTGGCTTTTCACGAGGTTTACAGAGTCGAGTTAGCCTGCCAGCAATATTAGCACTTCTCCACGAGCGTTTATACGCCCTGGAGCGACTTGAACGAGGCGAACCCGCTAAAGGTGTGCAAGGGGTCTAGAACCAAGCCCCAGAAAACCTCTCCCCGACTCGTCTCAAATCCACGCGCGGGCGGAGAAACGGACGTTATGTGCGTCTGCTCGTAATCTAGAGTCGAGCCAGCCCGCTTTGTTTACAGGCGCGAAAGCTTACCCACAGGCTAAGAAGTCATATTTGACCAGTGGGTAATCTTCCCCACAAATAATATTCGGTCGGGTCTGGAGAAGAGCTGATGGTGAACTCATGGTGAGAACGTGTATGCAAACTTAATTGTGAGAAATGCGGAGAGGGATTTAGATTTTAGTTAGATTCAGTTTCGTTTTAAATTCCATTGGTTGGGTAGGTGGCAGAAATTTCGTCGTACATGTGAAGGGCATACATGTGTTAAGATCCCCTTGTTTGGTCATGTCATGTTAAGCTCTCGTTGGGAAACGAGAAAGATCACATTGCGTGACGCGAGGTAACAAACCTTGGTAGAAGGAGTCTAATCTTAATATAACTGACTATAGGATATGTTTGAAGTAAATTTTGAAGAGCCTTGATCATTTTCTTACAGGTATATTACAGTGTTGTACTTTTTAAATGATGTGGAAGAAGGAGGCGAGACTGCCTTTCCAGTTACGGATAATGCAACATTTAGCTCAGAGGTAAAAAATGAACAGCAAACAAACGATAACAAAGTTTTTTCTCCTAAACGAATGTGCCATAAGGTGTTAAATTTTATTGTGAAAAATTTCCCCCTGCATTCCAAATTTTAACCCTCATTACACATAACCATAACTTACCTTATATGTTAAGTTTTAAAATGTGGGATCTGATCAGTATTTTAGCTGATAAAATAATATCTGATCTTTCTTTGATCGCTTTCCAACTTGATATTCGTCCACGGCAAACACCAAAGAATTGAAATTATCGCTGTCCACACTTAACCGTTTGTAGACGTTCGTGAAAATACTGGAATTAACTGGAAACGAGATGTTCCTTTTTCAATCTTTCGTTATTTTGGATTTAAGTTTAGAGGAATAGTGAGCAAAACGAGTGTTCATTTTTCACTGGCGTTTTCCGTTGCCTTAATCTTTCACTCACAAGATCTGAAAGTCAATTCTCTCTCTGTCTTCCTACGTTATTCGTTTTATTTAAGCTCAAAGACTTTGGTTCCCAATGAAAGAATGTTCACTAACTGATGCCTTCCTCTCTTCTCATTATCCATGTGCTTTCAATTCTTGTGATATTGTAAGGAGAAATACCATTTTGAGCACTCCTGGCAGTGATAGGGTGAAACGTTACGCTTCAACTCAGCATTACTTCGTTCAAGCGAGGAGATAAAATGCATCCATCTCATTTAGGTGTTTTATTTCCTTTGAATCCAGGCGTGGGCGAAGATCACCAAATTTCGCTGCGACCTGAGCAAGCATTGTTACAAAGCCAACTTATTTGTAAAACCTCGTAAAGGAACAGCCATCCTGTGGTACAATCACTTGCGAGATGAAAAAACTGGATGGCACGGGAGACTGGACGAAATGACTTACCATGGAGGATGTGATATCATCAAAGGAGAAAAATGGATTGCAAACAATTGGATAAATATCCTTGGAGACTCGCGAGAGACTATGGTTTCGTACAAAAATCCTAAGAAAAAAATTAAATGAGAAGCCTTGAATTGTTATTGTTTTAAAATAACACTAAAAAAGATTGTGACCTTGTTCTCAGCGTCTTCTCTCTACTCGTCCTCCAAAATCAAAGAGAGACTGGGGCGGGAAAAAAGGGACTCTGAGAATGTAACTGAACTGGTGTTTAACAATGCACTGACGCCTTTTCTCTCGAATTCATATTTTTTAGCCTTCCAAAAATAATTCTAGCCTCCCCCATCCTTTTGTGGTGATTTTCGGGAAGTAATTCAGGGGGTCGTATTTCTCTCAATACACTCATCAAATCTAATTTTGCTACCTTATAAATATTAAGCACCGTACCAGTACTGTTTAAGGTAAGAAAAACTTTTTTGATGAGTTTTCTCTATAGAATTCAACGGTTTTCGACGTTACCCTGTGGCAATTGCCTCATGAAACTATGAAGCTGGCATTTGTGCCGGGAGGGGAAGGTGTGAATGTAGTCCTTAGACACCACTGGAGGTAATAAGAAAAATAAAGAAATATTGAAACAGGTAGAAAATTGTTTTTAACAAATAAAATTTTAGTTTATCTTTGGTGTTGCGTAATTTTTGTAGTTGTCTTTTTGTTTGTTTTATTGGATCAATATCAGTATCTCGGCAACTGCCCACCTACCCCTCCCCTAACTCAGCAACAGTCAATTGACAACAACTTAAGGTTAATGTTGGGTTAGGGGAGGGGTAGGTGGGCAGTTGCCCAGATACTGATATTGATCCGTTTTATTTGTCTTTGGTACCTTCATATTTTGTTCACACTGAGGCCAGAGAACACGTGACCATGGCCACGCCTTTTATTCTGTCTGTTCCATCCACAGTGAATTGCGAACAACATGTTAACACCCAATATCCGATAAGCTATTCTCCCGGCCCTTCCAATTGCTGTACGTTGTTTTCTTGAAAATTAGTTTAGACAACACATCCCTCTAGTCAGCATTATTTGTCGGACGAGACTGTAGATATCGGCCACATAGGTATCCCAGCGCCGCGTGAACGTTGGTCCGCAAATCACACGTAAAATGGGCTTCACCTTTTCAGTCTCAGGGGTTCGAATGACCAAAAGGAAATTTCTCCTTCCTGATTAATTACATTTCCAAGCGTTCAAAGAAAGAACTGAGTAGCAACTGTGCTACACAGAGCTGTGAATTGATTTTAAGATCTTTAAACGAATTCAGACAACATGATTAGAACTGGCAGAGGATATTATATTTGAAAATGGTGCAAAAGTGTCCCCTGACCCTGGGACCCTGGGAACCTGATCCTCTTCCCCCCTCTCTTTCCTCTTAAAAATTGCAATAAGTAAATGCAAGCCTCGGTTTATGAAGGTTTGTTTTCCTAAAAGAAGGGACGAAATTTTTCTTGTACCTCGTTATTTCGCAAAGCAAGCCTCGGTTTAGCTTCTCCCCACCTAACAATCAAACCCTCCTCCATCATTTTATGCAAATTTTAAATCTAACTTGCTGATAATTTTTCTCAAGCACGTGATGATGCCAATTACTATTCAATTCCTCTTAACCTTCGGTGCTTCTTGTTCCATGTTCATGTATGTCTCTCCGAAAAAAGCAACGGAAACTGCTCTATATGTTAAATTGACACAGCAAACTCGAACGTCGCACGTGGTTAATTAAGGTTCCTCCGAGCTTGTCGACTTCTGAAAGACTGCCTCGGTAAGTACAGTTATTTTGTACACCCCGCTTGAAGAGTTATCGATGTACCGTGTTTGCGGCTTTCTTACATTCCTCATACTGAGTAAATTTGAACTTAAAACTCTGGAAAATTTTGCTGAATAACGGTGCATGTTTATTTTAGAAATGAATCAACGTTTTTGTTCAGAGAAGGCAAGGTAATTTGGCACTATCAACTGAGTTGATAACATAAATTGGCCACCGAAAAGAATTTCTAGGCTGACGTTTCGAGCGTTAGCCCTTCGTCATTCGCTTTGACGAAGAGCTATCGCGAGAAAAGTCAGCTTTAAAACTTTTAATGGTAGCTCATTTACGTTATCAATTCAGTCGATGATACCAAATTACCTTGTTACTCCCACCGACGCAGCCCCACAGTTTCATAAGAAACTTACCCTCTTTATTCATATGTTTAGAGAAGATCTAGAGTTGACTTTGTGTGTGCCGAGACAAAAAGAATCGTATGTCTGCCTGTTCAAGTAGGAGAGGTGAATTGTCACTCATGTCTGGGCTCAGGACAATGGCTCGCACGCTCAAAGCGCCTCAATTTTGGAATGCAACTTCAAATAGCAATTTTTCAAACTGAAGTGAATAAATAAATCTGGTTTTAGTAACTGGGCTGATGATATAGCTGTCCATCGTAGAGAGTTTCTAAAGCTAACGTTTAGAGTTTTAACCCTTCTTCAGCGCGAATCTGCAATGTGATACCCCACCGACGCAGCACCACAGTTTCGGCTTTACAATCTTACCCCTTCATTCATTTGATGTAAATAAAAGTTGAACAATTTGAAAGTTAAAACGGATTGTGGTTGGAGTAGAGGACAAAATTCCGTTCTACACCCGTACTTCATTATGCAAAAAGCAAAATCCTGGCGCAAATAATAGGTTGTCTCTAAGACAACATCTTTCTTTAAAATAATAATTTATAATTAAGGGGTTAAACTTAAATATTTCCAAAATATACAATAACTGGTTCTTAGGGTAAATTGTGCCTTGGTATTATTTAGGGTTCATGTTGAAGTTTGGGACAAGAGCGCGTGGCCAGGGTGCAAGGGACAGGCGCTGGTGAAGCAGGTTGATGAGCTTATTTTTGACAAAGTAGGAGAGGTATTACAATTTGTTTAATGTGTTTACATAGAAGTTAAATGCAGATTTTTTGTACCGTGATTATGAATTGCAAAAGTTTTTTTCTGAGCCGTGTTAAAACGCGTGCCATTTTGGAATGTCTTGGAAAAGATTGGTCCCAAGGGTAATCTATTGTTTTCGCAATTTATCAATCAATAGGGCGGGTACCGAATCATAACGTCACATATCTTGGCGCATCTCGTTTCGGTAGAATTTCCAAACAGTGCTATTTTTCAAGGCGAGAACAGAGCTTTGGTAGTGATTTAATTACCTTGTATTTCGTAATTAATTAATTTTCCTCTCCTTTTGATGTATGTTATAAGTTGTTTATAAGATTATTTGAATTATACGCTCATTTTGATTGGCTTTTTTATTAACTAAAATAAAGCGTGAAATGTAATGAATGTTTTATTTGTTTTGCTCTCTACAGTGTTACATGTACAATGCACTAAAGATAACAAAGACGTATAGTATTAAGGACAATTGATAGTACACCATACATCTTTTCTTGCAAATTGATGGCAGTTTTCCTTTAATCGAACAAATCCCGGGAGGACTCAAATATAAATAAAAACTGCCGTGAACTAAAAAACGAGAGATATCACATAAATTGGCTGACACATAAAAGGAAGAAGTTTGAAGGAATGTTTCGAAATAAATTCTGTGAAAATTGCTTGGCTATGAAATAAATCATAAATTCCTATTAGGGCGTTCCCTTGTTTGCCTTTATCCATGACAACGTTATTGCAAATTTCTGTATGCATTTCGTGAATTGTCATTTAATTGTGTCTTAAATTTCTGAAATATTTTGCTTTGCTCTGCAAAGTTCTCGAGAATTTTAGCGTGAATTTATCCCATTAATATAGAGCATTTTTCCGATAACACGGAGGGCAAAATTACTAAATCCTGATTGGATGAGACACAGGACATTTTTCCTTAATTTTGGTTAGTGTCCCAAGCAAATTTACTTGAAATTGAAAACATTGAAAAAAGTTCAAGTTTATTTAATTTTATCGACGACGAATATTTTTTTAGCAGGGCTGATTTTATTGCTCTAGCATCGTGGCACAAAAATGCATTTTTTTGTTTTGCTGATTCGTGCGTTTTATTCATTGACGTCATAACTCAGCGCTGAAATGGCTTCCTACGAAACTACTTGATAGCGTGCGTTTTTGACCTCTTAATAAAAGAAAATTTTTCCCTTTATATCTAGCATACCTTGCTACCTTTATACCTAGTATAAATCCTGCAACTTCTGAAAACAAGCATGACGTCTGTCCTTGATTATTCTCAGCCCAATGCAACTACCTGAACAAATTTTGGTCCCAATTCAATCGCTTATAGAGAGGTTTATTGCTTGTGATGAAAGGTCAAAGTTCTAAAACTAGAAGGGCTGGCGTTGTTTATCCACTCCTCCAGAAAAATGCTGCCAGATTTCAATTTAATGGTACACTCGCTTCCAGCTCAAGTTAAATGCGATGAAGTAAAAATAGGGGCTTTTTAAACTGTAGGAAACAATTTACAATCTTGATTTTGTTGTTTCTCTATTCATTAAAGACAAAAAAAAAAAAGATGAACTAATGAATTATCTCATGGTAGCAAACTTATTTGTTTGTCTGGATAACTTTATTTGTAATTCTTTTGGAATACAATTCTAAGATTTCAATTTTTACAAAAATTCACACTGCTTTAACTTAATGATAATCATTTTCATGTTTCATATTTTTTTTTATTTGTAGGATGTGAAGTGATACATGCTGAAGAATAATCCACCGAGAAGCCACCAAGTTTTTAGTTTAACTATCAATCAATGCATTGTAATTAATAAAGAATGACTAAGCTTGTTTCTTTCTAACGATATCATGATGAAAAAGAAAAAGCAAGTTTTCGGTTGGAGAACTGTGCGCTTTTGAAAGGAGTTTGTAATTTGCATAAACAGAACTAAGTCTATCAGCGGAGAAAAAAGGGATGTGCTTTTAGTTTCCGTTCCGGAGAGAGTTAAAAAAAGCTAAATCTTTTGGTGAGAAATTTTCTACTTTTTTTGTGTATGGATGGTTGCCCAAAGGAAAAAAATGTCTGCGGTCTTGAATCAAGTCTAGTGTTGATTGAAATATATACTAAGTCTTTTGGCGGGAAAAATCTTGCATGTGCTATAGATTTTCTCCCATCAAAAGTCGAGTATGTGTTTTTTTCAATGCCAGACGCTGTTCAAATCCGCAGAATTTTTTTTCCTCTCGGCAACCCTCCATACGCAAATTTTTTTAAAAGAGATAGCCTATATTTTGACTAGTTACCAGGCTCCTTTTAAAAGCGCACATTTTTTTCAATACTTTGTTGGTAAATAAAGGAAGACTGATTTGTTCATCATAACTTGTTTTATTACATTTTGAATAAATAATTTAAATGCTGATTACAAGAGTTTGTTTACTGAGTTAAATTAAGTAAAAATACAATAAAAGTATTTAAGAAAATTATTACTAGTCAAAGATTCAGTATAAACTGCGATAATGGGAAAAATAAAGACAAATTTCTAAGTAATACTTCAAATCGACTGACCAAAATAAATGATTTTGCAATTCAGTCATCTGTAATATTGAAAAAATTGGTTGAAAAATATAACTAAGCCAAAAAAGTCAGTTTGACTGACCAACGTAACGAAGTCTAATTGTATTGTTTACAGAATTTTACAGGAAAAAGTATGTTGAAGTCGAATTGACATGCTGAAAAAATTGCTTAAATTCATTTACATGTAAAAGTTGCATCAAATTCTTAAAGATGTTTCTTAAAGTACATTTGGGTGAAGGAGAATTTTCAATCTAGAAATTTGGCATATCTTAGTAGTAAACATTTCACTGAAGTTTCATGAAAGTATGGTGCTAACTGCTAAATATTTTGGTCACCAACATCAGAATATTTATCACTTGCCTGATAATTCCTTGAAGTTAGTAATAGAGATTTTGTTTTTCCCGTTCTATCAAAAAAAAAACGGCACCAAACAACTGTAAAGATTTTTGTAAAAAAATTGCTCGTAGTTTTCAATACTAACAAATCGAATCTCGTCTTTGGCTTAGAGATTTTTGCTTGTAATCGGTTATAAAAAAATTTCTCTTTATCCTACTCGCAATTTTCTGTTCTAGAAAAATTTGGATGAATTTAAATTTTGGCAAAGAAAATATGGTATCGATATAATATATTATGTACCTAAATATGACTGTACAAAACGCAAATCCTGCTTGATCCACAGACCTCTTCATATCAGAGCTGTCATTGTCCATCTGAGTCCACCACATACGTAATACTTGCGATTCCATGGAAATCCGACATAGTATAAAGTTACACTAAAAATGAACAAGAAACTAACAATGAGAAACTCAAGAATGTCGTAATCATGTTAACACCTTAACTCCCAAGATCTGATTGTTAATTCTCCCCTCTAGCTACTACACATTTCCTTGTAAATTGGTTACGAGAATTTGGTGTTTAATCAAAGTAATAGTGATGAGTTTGAGTATTCTCATTACCTGTTTGCTGAATAATGTATGGATATTGTAGAGAGAAGTTACATGTTTATCACTCATGGGAGTTAAAGGGTTAGCTGATAAATTAATACCCTTGGATAGCCTGAGCAAGAGAATGAAGCGAGTTTCTCCTTTGAAATTTACGAGCCAGCAAAAATTACTTTCTCTCGGGTCATACTCGCTAAAGCCACCATCAAATTTTCACAGGATCTTATTTTTTACTTGATAGAATAGTTTGATTCTAACAACAAAAAGACAGAGTGAAAACTCTCTTGCATGAATATGTGAGAAAATCGTGCTATTTGTGAGTTCATTTGCAATTAAATTGTAAATTCCACAATGTCGTTCTTACCTTACAGATACCTCCTAGCCAGAGTTTTCAAGGCCAGATAATAAGAGTGTACTGAAATTTTTTTTGAACAATGTATTATTGACCAGTCTCAAGCGTAAATAACACAAAAATTAAAACAAAACCTTGCCGAAAATGGCTGGGCAGCCGTCCCGTGGGACGAGTTTGATTTGCATTTCAAATGAAAACGATACGGCGGCCGTACTAAATGTGACCCCGTGAAGGTTATTCAAGGTCAGCCCAACGAGCATGAAGTGTAGTAAACAGGTAATCGGCGCCAATTTTATTTCCTCGAATTTTATCGGCAAGATTATTAATGACCGTGACAACGACAAGAAATAACAAAAATAATGATAAAGTAGGAAATGTAGTGCCCTATCTCTACCGTTCAAAATTTGCAAGGGAATCTAAGTAATGAGATATGGGGCTCTGCAGATCTCTTACCAAAGACGGACTCACGCAATCTGTTTCGATTCTACACAGAGTGTAGATCGAAATCTAGTTTTCTTTATATCTGTATAGATTTGTTCCTCAAGTTGATTTCTTAAGTAATTTTTCCTTTTGTGACCAACAAAATGATTGATCAGCACGTTTTTGTTCCAAATTTCTTTTTCTTTCTGGTTTCGTTAAATTTCATCAATTTACTTTCGGGGTTTTCTTTAAGAATGTTATAATAATCCAATAAATATGATATCAAAATAAACAATGATTTAAAAAAAAAACCGATTACTTGGGTCCACTAAATAAAAAAAAAAAAAAAAAAAAAAAGAACTCACCATTTTAGTGGTCCATTTGGTGACACAGTTTGAGGGGCTATAGGTCAGCGGACATCATTCACTTTCACTGAACTGCAAAGGAAAAAAAGTAAATTTTTAGACAAATTGAGACATGGGAAATTATGATCTAGATCAAAATTGGTAAAGAAAATATTGTACACAAAAAAAAACTCTCTGAAGCTCACCTTTGCAACTGAGACATGTCAAAGATATCTCAATCATGCAGCCATGTTTTTTGTCAAAGATCCCTGGAGAACTAAGACCTGAATAGAGATGATGATATGAAATCAGTTTACAAACAAGTACAATTTTTAACCATAACCAGATAAGAAAAACTGTACATTTTGAAAAATGGAGGATACCCTTATGAAATTTTTTCTCAAACAATTCTAATTTCAATTTATATAGGACCATTTGGCTCATCAAGGTGTATTTTGCAAACATTGTTGTACTGTAATTGTATCAAGACTTGATATTTCCAAAATGGATCTTTAAATTTTGCATGAAATTTGACGTAAAATAATTCTTTTTCGACTGAAATGGTGAAAAAAGCTGCCACTCAGAGAGATTCAGATGTAAGTGTACCTTTAATGAAGAAATTGTAAAGGGCATCAAAGAGCTGCCACAAATATCTCACTCGTGAAATAGGAACAACAAATAAGGCTTGATATTGAAGCGCTAACCATCGAAGCAGTAGTTTGTGTGCTTTTACCAACCTGAAAAATACCAGTGAAGGTCTTCCAGCTCAAAGGTCTGGTAGAGTGTATTTGTAGTTAGCGTCTTTCCTAACACGTGTTGCATTCCTTGGTCTTCGTATCGTTCAATTGAGTCCAGTTATCATCTTGCAGTCGTATGGTGCGTCTGTCGTTCTTCATGGACGTAACCGCCTTTCTCTTAGTTGGAAAAGTGACTAAGAATGTTGTTTTCCTCTGCGAAACTTCAACCGAGAGGAAGCTATGGCGGACGGCAAACTGAAGTGCTATGAATAATTATCTTTGGATTATGCACGTGGTATTGGAACAATTTGTAGATTAATGTAAATTTCTCACAGTTTTGTGTTTAGTGTCGCATCCTGATTCCCCCAATGGTATCGTTATCTTAAGGATTTTGTCTTTTTTTTTCCTTATTCCTTCTTTCTACTACTCCAAAGACGTGCCTCACATGAATTGGCTTATACCGCTGAGCTCCCTTGCGTTTCAACTCATTTTACTCGACGAGAAGAACCAGAAAATTGTCGTGCATTTTCGCCACCTAAATTTTAAGTTTAGTATATTTTTGAATTAGAAAAATTGTTTCTCATGAAGGTGGGAGAGAAGGGGGGGGGGAGGTCAAAAGCAAACCTTAACCCCTTTGCTACTACCCCCTCTACAACACAAATGGAAGATCTCTTTAAAAACTTCAAAGCATTTTAATTAAGCTAATAACAGCGCGTAGAGATTTAATCCTGCTAAAAAGAGTAATTACTATAAATGAACTAATTTACTTGACTTTCTTTCTGACATATGGGATTCAGCTAATAACCTTTCTAAAAATTTAACTATTATACTGTCACGTACAAAATATAGTTCAAAGTTGGCATTCAGAGATATAGGAAATTTTATATATACTGTTAGTGATCTCCGTGAGAACGAAATAACGAGTAATTGACCTCTTTATTTGTCAGTTGTGTTGAAGTTGTTACCCAGAATAAAATAATTGTTTTAATTTGGGTGCCGAAATGCTAAGAAGACCTGACAACGGCCATCAAAATCAGACGCAAAATGACACAGTGAGTTAAAGAAAACTGTATGGTTAAATCAAAGCTTGTACTTGCAAATGATTAGTGGGGTAGAGGACGAAAATCTGTAGCCAATCATAAGACGTGAAGGTAGCACAAACTTTACATGTATCATAAATACAATTACTCTAACTGTTCAAAATACTTGTTTTTAGTTTCTGAATTGTTTTAACAAGTAAAGTAAAGTCAATTGAAATTTACATCATGCTAATCATTTCTGTTCTATTTTTCCTTTCGGGTTTCCTTTTCCGTAAGGTTTTGTTCATGGGATTTATCTTCCCCGTAAGTTTCCTCCTCCCCACGATTATCTTTCTTCCCAGGGGTTTTTTCTTCAATGCGATTTTGTTCAGCACCTCGGTTTGAAGTCTCTTCCGCCGCTTGCAAACTGTCGTTACCGTATGTTTCTTCTTTCCCAGGGTTTTCTTCTATCCCAGGGGTTTCTTCTTCCCCACGGGTTTGCTCCTCCCACGGATATCGTTCCAGTCTCTCTTGAAAATCTTTCTCCACCAATCTACTAACCTCCCAGACTTTCATATCAGTTTCACGATCGTTCCCAGCATTAATCCAATTATTTGCTGCCCATTTTGTTCCCTTCAGGACGTCACATCCACCATGATAACTCATCACATCCAAGGGGCCCAGCCAGCCTGTTTCTTCGTTGATAAGATGATTGTACCAAAACAAGGCGGTGCCACGCTTTGGTTTGTAGTACAAGTTGGCATCATAACAATGGTCACTTAGGTCACACTTGTTCACTCCACCATCCATCAGCGACTAAAATGAATAAAATTAAGAGAGATTCAAAATATGAAAGGAATTGAACCCAAGACTTGGTTAATGACCAGGAACATGGAGGACGAAGGACGGTAGAAAACAGAAGGGAAGCAAAGAAAAGAGGGAGAAAAGAAAGAACGAAGACACGAAGGCATGAAGGAACGAAGGACCGAAGGAACGAAGAAGCGAATGAACGGAGGCACGAAAGAATGGAGGAACGAAGGCGCGAAGGAACAAAGGAACAAAAGAACGAAAGAATGAAGGAACGAAGGAACGAAGGTACGATGGAACGAAGGAACGATGGAACGAAGGAACGAAGGAACGAAGGAACGAAGGAACGAAGGAACGAAGGAACGAAGGAACGAAGGAACGAAGGAACGAAGGAACGAAGGAACGAAGGAACGAAGGAACGAAGGAACGAAGGAACGAAGGAACGAAGGAACGAAGGAACGAAGGAACGAAGGAACGAAGGAACGAAGGAACGAAGGAACGAAGGAACGAAGGAACGAAGGAACGAAGGAACGAAGGAACGAAGGAACGAAGGAACGAAGGAACGAAGAACGAAGGAACGAAGGAACGAAGGAACGAAGGAACGAAGGAACGAAGGAACGAAGGAACGAAGGAACGAAGGAACGAAGGAACGAAGGAACGAAGGAACGAAGGAACGAAGGAACGAAGGAACGAAGGAACGAAGGAACGAAGGAACGAAGGAACGAAGGAACGAAGGAACGAAGGAACGAAGGAACGAAGGAACGAAGGAACGAAGGAACGAAGGAACGAAGGAACGAAGGAACGAAGGAACGAAGGAACGAAGGAACGAAGGAACGAAGGAACGAAGGAACGAAGGAACGAAGGAACGAAGGAACGAAGGAACGAACGAAGGAAGGAAGGAATGAAGGAAGGAACGAAGGAAGGAACGAACGAATGAAGGAATGAATGAAGGAAGGAACGAAGGAACGAAGGAAGGAAGGAAGGAAGGAATGAATGAACGAAGGAACGAAGGAACGAACGAAGGAAGGAAGGAACGAAGGAACGAAGGAACGAAGGAACGAAGAACGAAGGAACGAAGGAACGAAGGAACGAAGGAACGAAGGAACGAAGGAACGAAGGAACGAAGGAACGAAGGAACGAAGGAACGAAGGAACGAAGGAACGAAGGAACGAAGGAACGAAGGAACGAAGGAACGAAGGAACGAAGGAACGAAGGAACGAAGGAACGAAGGAACGAAGGAACGAAGGCACGAAGGCACGAAGGAACGAAGGAACGAAAGAATAAAGGAATGAAAGAACGAAGAAACGAAGGAACGAAGGAATGAAGACACGAAGGAACAAAAGAACGGAGGAACGAAGGAACGAAGGTACGAAGGCACGAAGGCACGAAGGAATGAAAGAACGAAAGAACGAAAGAATGAAGGAAAGATGAAACGATGGAACGATGGAACGAGGAAATGAAGGAACTGGAAAATAGCATGGAACTGGAGGAACCAAAGAAGGAAGAGACTTACGAACGAAGAATGGTTAGTGTTTGTGCGTGAGAAATATCTCGTAACTTGAAGCAATAAGAAGCTGTTTAGCATGAGATGACTTACAGATGTTAAAACGACTCTCGGATTCTGTCAAACAAATGAAACTGTGATTCAGATGAGTTTGCAGTGAATCGAGAATTGATTAAAAAGGCTTGTAAAAAGAATTGTGAAAATTAATTGTTAACTCTGAGAAATCTACTTTTACAATTAACTCAGGTCAGTAACCTCATAGTGACTTATCTCTTAATTTAGAGTCTGATTCCTTTGTTCTGATTGGCCTTTGCCGTTATTTTCCTTTTTTTTACGACACTTAATCGAAAAGCGCTCTTTGTAATCGTCAACCATTGAGTTGATGTCGATGTTTGTTGTGCCCCTCAAAGGAGAAGTGGCGTTTCCCTCTCTAAACTTTCCAATTTTTCTAACATTTTTTAGCAACATAGATGCTTTTTTTTTTCAAACTCATTTAGATCTCTGCACTCATTTGTCATGGCATCTGCGGTTATACTAAATCAAAAGAGAATAAAACAATATAGTTTATGCTCTCGGGTATAAATATGTTTTGGGCCTGACTGAGGGTCATTTTAGTCCAGGTCGCTAAGCGAGGGCTTACGTGACTCTGAAAAGGGCACAAAACAAATCTATGCCCAAGGACATCAACTCTATTAATTTCATTATCACTATAAAGGGCATTGTGAAAATAAAGAGAGAAACAGAGAAACAAACAAACAAACAAACAAAACAAAAACGAAACAAAACAGCCAAGCGAACGTACGAGCAATGATAATAATAGTGATAACAATATAGTTTATGTATTCGATAATTATGGCAAAGAATTCAACATACTTCATTTACTGGTACAGTTTTGTTGTCGGCAATAGGAAATGCAGTCTCACCACCCAGTGTAGGTTCATTTAGATAATAAAAGAACGTCAAATACCTAACAAAAAAGACAGAGAAAAACACTGCAGCTGTTGGTAACAAACGTGTTGTTTCTGTTTCATTGCTATCCATTCCCTTTAATTTTTTTTTCCGACCCGTTCCCATTTTGTTTCCATCCCTTCCCATTTCCTACCCTCCCCTTTCCCAATTTCTATCCATCCTCATCCCATTTTTATCCATCTTCTCTCATTTTCTATATATCCAACCCTTTCCATTTTCTATTCATCCCTTCCCATTTTCTATCCATTCCTTCCCATTTTATATCCATCTCTTCCCATTTTCTACTCACCCCTTCCTGATTTCTATCCATCCCCTTCTCATTTTATATCTAACCTTTTCCGTTTTCTATCCATCCTCTCTCATTGCCTATCCATTTCTTCCCATTTCCTATCCATCCCCTTATAATTTTCTATCCAACCTTTTCCATTTTCCATCCATCCCCTCTCATTTCCTACCCACTCCCTTCCCAATTCCTATCCACCCACCTCTTTCCCATTTTCTATCCATGCCAATCCCGTTTGAAATTTTGTTCTCTATTTCATCTCATAACATATGCGTTCAATGGGCGGACGTTGTCAAATAACGATATCGTTTACCTTTGCCACATAACGTACTAACCTTGAAAAAATTTCAGGACCGGCTAAAGCATTTAAGATTTTAAAATTCGACGACGATAATGCGATGACAAAATCATAACGTGCTCTTGATTAAACTTCAATTGAAATTGTGGACAATAAACTTCAGGGACACATTTTGCTTGTTCAAATTTCATTTAATCTGTACCCGCTGCTTTTTAGGCCTACCTGCACGGAATACAATCCATATCTTCTAATTCACCCTCATCAAGAGTTTCAACTTGATGACAGCAAGGCAAAAGTTTTTCCAATTCGTCGTCTGAATCAAAATGGCAGTGATAATGTTGCTTCTCACGATACCTAATGACCTAAAGCATTAAAAACGCGTTATAATGATAACGACTGTATAATGATAATGATGACTGTAACGGTAACGGTAACGGTAATAGAACTGCATCAATAGATGTAAATCTCATTATGTATGAAATAATGGCAACGTCGATATGAAAGGCTTTAACAATGGAAATAATTTTTCATCTTATTATAAGATCAAAATCCAAAGTTCTAATGCGCTCTGAGATGTAAAAAGATGTAAAGAAAGCCCCACCTACCCAATGGGCCTGAAAATTTTTAAACTTACGAATTAGTATTGGGGGTCTGAGTTAAATAAAAATTCAACCATTCCGTTTCTTTTCCCGATATTTTCATAATTTAAATTTCAAATCCAGTTACTATCTCGACCCTGAGTGGAAACACGGCAAAACAAAAGGCAACTTTTCTGTACCGGTTACAAACGAGACTTTCGAGAAACAGATCTTAGGTGAGTAGACCTAACGGGAAGTAAAAGGAAGGGGGGGAGCACAGTTAATAGGGAAGGGGGAACACTGTTAAGAAAGAAAGAGGTAACACAGTTAACAGGGAAAAGAGAACACAGTTAATAGGGAAAGGGGGGGCACAGTTAAGAGGGAAGGGAGGACACAGTTGATTGGGAAAGGGAGGACACAGTTGATTGGGAAAGGGAGGACACAGTTGATTGGGAAAGGGAGGACACAGTTGATTGGGAAAGGGAGGACACAGTTGATTGGGAAAGGGAGGACACAGTTAACCGGGAAGAGGGGCACTGTTAATAGGAAAAAGAAGGGCACAGTTAATAGAGAGAAACACTCAAGACGTGGTGTTTTCGCTTATAACTGCATAGTGTGTTTATTGCGTTAGAAACACAAACCTGCATGTCTTCACTGCTCCAGATCATATCTCTAGGAAGACGTGTCACTAAGTGTATTCTGTAGAAAAAAAAAGTAGAGCCGGGCATAAATGAATTTACAGCCATAACCTCAGTGGAGCGAAACTACAAACGTCAAAATTATTACGTGAGAGATTATAAAAAGGAAGTGTGAATTCGCGTTTGCATGCCAAACTTAAATATCTCACCAGAACAACCCATAACTACGGTTTTCAAAACATTCGACGACTTACAAGTATATTCACCCCACACTTATAGAACTTCCTCGATGAGAGACCGCTATCCCCCCACCCCCCCCCCCCCCTTTCAAGGTGTCTTCATAAATAGTCCCATCGAAATTGTAGTTTTATTTAAATTCTATTAATGCTCATTTTCTGAAGTTAAGAAGAAGCATGCTCTCTGGGTAGAAAAGCATGGGAAATTTATAATAATGAATGGTGTAAAATACAAAACAGTGTACTCTATTCTGCATCCCTTTCAGTTTTTTTTTAAGTAACCTCTTGGTATATACAATTTTTCAAGTTAACAGATGCCACAATTTTTCGGCTTCCCAGGTTTTCATAATATGCTCACTTAAATTCTCTTAGTCGAGTAGTTTACGAGTTTCTAACAACTGTGTGTGTTTATTTCTTCTAGATGAGATCTATGTCATTGTGATTCACAGAGCTAATTTTGAAACGATCAGTCCACTAAAAGTCATACGTTGAAGTAAAACTATTACTAAGATCTTTGTAAAGAACACTACACACTTGTTTCAGGAGGAGGGGGGAAGTCCAACACAGATGTATAGATTATTGATTTTTCACATCAGAGAGGGTTCAAATACACCCTTGGAACTCACCGCTCTTAACCACGCCCTAAGATCGTAAGACGTACCTCTCTCGTAGACTATCAAATAGTGGTTTAAAATCGATGTGCTCGTAGGGATCAAGAAAAGCAGTACTGCTATCTCGAGTTCGCTTATTTGGCTTTGTTTGATGAATTTTCTCCAAGTAATGCGTTATGTCTTTCATCTTGCTGTCTGTTGCTAATTTTATGAATTCGTTGTATGTTATCACACCTGACAGAAGGTTATTGGTAAAAAAAATAAAAAGAAAAAAATTAGTCACCACATAAAATTATCTACGACTACAGCTGGGCATAATAAATAATCATATTTAATTGGTGTTGATTAGAGCGACAAAAAAGACACGTTCTCCCTTATCACTTTAACTCTCATGAGTGACAAAAATAAAATTTATCCTTACAATGTTAACACGATATTAAGCAGATAAGTGATGAGAATAAAGAAACATATCGATAAGTGGATTATTAATGGATACAATACCAAATTCTCCGAACTAACATCATAAGAATCATATGGCAGACAGTGGGAAGAATTATGAATGAAATCTTGGGATTGATAGGGTAAAGCGTCCCATTATTTAATGCTGAATTTTTTCCTTTACATGTGATGTGTAGGTGTAATTATCAGTCGATGAAGTTTTTACACCACTTCGTTTAGCCCCACAGCGACGTGACGTGCAAATACCTGCACAAAATTACGATCTGCTCAAGTAGTAATACCATCAAAGAGTTTTTCTTTTCTTTTTTTTTTTTCTACAAATTATATTCTGCTAATGTATTGCAGATTCACTAAGGAGCGAGCGTGCAAACTGACAGATTTATTCTTTAGGCTGTCTGACACTGATTTCCGAAAATAATTCTTACAAGACATTCAGTTGATAAGACAACTATTGAATTCCATTGTCGCAAAATATCAGAATTTCTCGTTGCCTCTCAAGTTACCTATTTACCATAGCCTTTGGCCTTGGCAATTAATCAAACTTTTCTTTTTTGATAATTTATAAAATTTCACTCCACCTTGTCCAATAATTACTAACTTACTCACCATCATTGTTTGGGTCCATGGTTAGGTCTTTCATGCTGCAAATGTATCGAAAAACGAAAAGTAAATATTTTAAGACTATTCCATAAAAACCTAGTTATTGCTTAGAGAGTTCGAAGTCTCTCTCACTCAGTATGTTATATTTTTACGCTAGGTAACCTTCTAGGGTTTTTGAATAAAAATCCTTTGAGTTTTTTAAGCCAGGAGAGTAATTTTCATTTAGAATATCTCAGAAACTTGTGAAACGGTCAAAATTGTATAAGGTATCAAGCGATGTGAGTTGGAAACAACATACATTTTCTTTGTAAATTTTTCGTCGACAAGAACTCTCCCCAGCTCCATGAGAGCCTGAGAAATCTGTGGAAAAATAAAAATAAACAGGGTTAAAAACAGTTACTCAGCAATTGATATACCTATCTCTTTTATACCTCTCATGAATATTTATATAGCGAGAGAGGTTCTCCAACAATTGTGACAACATTGGTTTTTTTTCCGAGGAAAGATAAGCTCTAACAAGGAATTAACAACAGTTTAGCGAATATCTATCCGAACATTCAGCTCAAATACATTCCTTAGAGATAGGGAGCTGATGAACAAATGTGTGGGCCCGCTGCCATGACAACGACTAGGAATAAGTCTTTTTTACGATAACTCAGTCTAAGGGTTTAAGCTTGATGAATAACAGTTTCACAAAATGCTTTTTTCTCCCTCAAATATTATCATTTTTATGATTATTAAATATTCAATTCAATTTTGAGCGGGCATGCAGAAAGAGAAGTACTTATTGTGTCAGTTGGCTAAAAGGTCCTACTAGAACGAAGGTCTCATACGAACAAGTTACTGCCCACCTACCCCTCCCCTAACCCAACATTAACCCTAACTTGTTATCAGTTGACTGTTGTTGGGTTAGGGGAGGAGTAGATGGGCAGTTGTCCAGATACTGATATTTATCCCAAGTTAATATCACAAGACGTCACGAGAAATTTGCTGTAATAAGCAAATAGAACTTCACCAAAGTACCTTGTAAATGACTAAAGAGGGTAATTTCCTGAAGAAACTGTCCGCTGCGTCGGTGGGGGGGTTTTAAAAAATAATTTGGTTTCATCAAATGAGTTGATAACGTAAACTGGCCGCCGTGAAGGGTTTCCAAAACTTCAGAAACTCTTTACGGTGGCCAATTTACATAATCAACTCAGTTAATAAAACCAAACTATCTTGTAAACTCCCTTACGCGTACAGTAGGAAAAAGGAAGTAAGTTTGTCACAATAGGTTTTAGTCTTCTATTTGCCTGGTCGAAGGAGGGGCGCGACTTCTTCAGACAAGTCGCAGAAGACATTAAAGCAAAGCTAAATCAATCCCAGATTACTTTCGACATCAATTGAAACTTTCTCTGTAGTGGACGAGTATTTTGTAAGCATACATCTATCACTTACCTCTGCTACGTCTATACTTCCGTCAGCGTTTAAATCGAGATTCTGAAAAGTTTCTTCAGGATTCTCTGGCACATTTTTTTCCGCGGTTCTGTTTGGACTTAGTTCCTCGCCTTCGGGTACTTTTTCTCCAAGAGTTTTAGATCGCTCTAGACCTTGTGTTTTTGCCATGAATATAATATCATCACATTCCTCTTCGCTAAGGAAATCTTCGATTTCTGAGAGAAAAATGGAAATAGATTTGCACTCGCTAGTAAAATTTGGAATGGAAATGATCTTTTATAACGTAAGGTGTGTTTAAGGCAAATGTGGCTACTAAGGCAGACTCATAATGGACGTGGTCCATCTGTCTTATCTTGATTAAACTTTCTTATAAAAAGGCCATCCTAAGAAAGCTTGTTGAACAATCTATAGCAAAGGATTGGGGGACAGAGGCTAGACGCGGGGAGTAGCCAAACTGACTAGCACCTGATCGACTTAAATCAACGGCGTTCTCTGACCTTATGTGCATAGACGCACGATGAGGACTACTAAATGAAATAACAGAGACAATACGATCGGCCTGATTGGTCAAAAAACCCGGCTATCGCTTTTTGCACCCGTAAACCAGTAGAAAATTAAATTTTATTCCATAAAAGCAATAGACCACACTTTCTATCGGTTTATCTGCTTAACAACCCACTTTGGATGCTGGATGAACACAAAAAAAGTTTATAAATCCTTTATCTCGTGTTCTCCCAACATCCCACGTGGGTTAAAACGCCGGTAAACCGACCTCCTAAAGGAACTATACCTTCACAGACGTCGAATAGGTTTATGTTAAAGAACAAGGTCTGATAATCTTACCGAAAAGGGCGGGTCGTAAACTGAGTGTCCTCATTGTATGTACTTTCCCAGGGACCAAATTTAGTTCACGCAAATAACCAACCTATAAGGAAATAAGGGAAATGTTTAGAACGTGACTCTCATACCAAGTGAGAAATTCGGCATACGCAGAGACGATGTGCTTTGCAATACTAAGAAATAAGTACCTGTTTCGTTTGATTTTGCTGACTTCCTGATCCAAAACGTTGATATAAACTGAACAAACTTAGCCGATTACTGCTTAAGAATTATTGTAGGTATCTCGAGGGACTCAAAAGGGTGAACGTGTTAATGTTAGCCGTAAAATGGCCAAAACAGTTACCCTTTAGGCGTGAAAATTGAGATTTCAGTCGCAAAAAGTTAACCGTGAACATTTTTCCCCTTATTCGATCAAAATCTTCTACAGTTTCATATTCATTATATTTCTCTATATATAGTAATATTGTCACTGAAATAATATGCTTTATATAGAGAGAATAATGCATGGGCGCGCGTAGATATGGTATTTCTCTTCGAATGCCGGTTTAACTCGATAGCTCACGAGTGAGCTTATATAAATACAATAGCCTTTAACTGACTAGAAAAGTCGACTTTTTTTAATCATTTGAATGACAATCCCCAAATAAAAATCGTAAAGTGTGTTGGCGCACTCAAGATGAAAACATGTGCTGAATCACTACAAAGACAAACAATGGGCCTACTTTTCAATATACAAAATTCTCGGTTATTGAATTGGTACACGGCCAAAATCGGCCTGTGGCAAATCTTTTAGTTGTCGACTTTCGTTGTCAGCCGCGAGAAATGCCATTACCAAAGCCATTGATAACGTAACTTTCGGTTTTTCTTTTCGTATTTTGGTTTTCTTTCCTTTTTACGAAAGTTTGAACATCACTGTCTGCAAGCGATACGGATTTTTCAGTGTTTTTAGCAGCCATAATCCGAAAACATCTGACAGGAGACCTTGGATTGAGAATGGTAAAGGCTTTGCAGTTCATTCATCAACCTGACCAAGTGGTGTGAAAGGCGAATGACGTGTCAACAGCTGATTGGTGATATCAAACATGCGTGAAAAAATATTGTGTTTTGTCACGCGTTTTGTTGCGGCTTTTCTCAGGGCTGGAAATCCAAGTATAGCACCGAAGTTTATAAGATAAATATACATAAACACCTAATTCGATGGTTTAACACATAATACGCGCGGATATTTTGCAAGTTGTATGGTATTTTCCAAGCCCCGAAAGAGCGGGGAAAAATACGTGTTAAATCAGGGATTTATTATTTCACTGTTATTTCACTTTTTAAAAATATAATTTTAGTTTGCTTGTTTGTGCATCGCATAAGGAGTACGCGGACGGACGAAAACAACATGAACGAAATCATTAAAGTGTTCTTTCCGACTTACAAAAAAAAAATATGTCGTGCATAAACGTTCGTTTCTTTAAAAGTAAAGCCTAAAAAGCGAAAAAAAAAATCTTTGGGTCGTATCAGTACGGCCATTTTGTTTCTCCGCGTTTTTATCCCAGTGTTCTGCAGTGTATTAGCGTGGCATATTTTGTACGTTCTTGTGACTTCATTTGGTAAAATGACATAAAAGTGAAATAATAAATAACGTTTGTTTGTAAATTTGTTCATTATTCATCCCACAATAAGTGCGGAGTATAATCTACGGGTCGTAAATGTGTTTTAGAACAATCAATCAATTATATACGTTTTTTAAAAAATAAAAATTAATTTTTTTATTTACCGTAATAGAAAGAACTTAACCATTAGCTGTACAGTTTTAACTGTAAAAGCTATCACTCTTGAGACCTTTAAAATAACCTTCGTTTCTTACCATCAACAAATAACAAATGCAACTTAATATCAAATAGGAGTGTGGAGGTGAGTGATCTATTTATTTTGACAGTTATAAAAAAGAGAAATCGAACAATTTACCTCAATTCATATTTTCCTTGCTCTTAAACTCAACATAAGGAAAAGCTGTTCTCTTACAGAATTCCTTTGTTTAGAATATGAACTGAGTGGTATAAAACACGCGACTCTAATATTCAGACGAGAAGCATCTTCTCGTTAAACGTCTGCTTTTTTTTCCACTTGTGCGCTAAAACCCCAAAAAAACATTTGAAAAACTCAACTTTTTTTTCTAGAGAGTCTTTTTTTAAGGTTACAGGAAGAGAGAGTACAAAAAATATTATTTTTGCCGTTTTTCAGTTTTTTTTTTAATTACGCCATGAAACACTCGCCAACCTCGCGGCCTTGGCAGCCGGAGATCTTTTAAATTGTGCGCCGCCCCGCTGTCGCCGGTGATAAACACGAATTTTCCAGTTAAACACCATTGGCGAACTGTTAATAATAAAAAGTATTGCACGTAATTTTTAAAACAGAATACATGTATATTTAAATTTCTGTCGTTTCCTGAAGTTTGTTTTCAAAATCAAAAAAGCACTGAGTTAAAAGTTCACCATATCATAATCATATTTTTCATAAACTAAGTTTTTGTTGAAGTTATTGTGTTTTGAATGTCAGGTCAACTTTCTATAACAAAAGACTTCGTTATACAATTCGTAAACGAACCTCCATGACGCGCATTGGAAAATATGGGAAATTCGTTCAACCGATATTTACACAGCTGGTGTACTTAGGCGAGTAAAACCTATATCTGAATTCGAAATGTTAATTCAGCTTAATGCAGCAGACATTTCTTGAGATGCATTACAAAAAGGAAAACACACGAATTGCGTGAGACTGAAAAGGAAGTTTATATATTTTTTCGTTAAAAAGATGCTTCTTTGACAAATTTTCCTCACTTTTTACCAATACGTAAGACAACAGAATCATTAACGCCGACAAAAAGAACTCATTGGACACCTTAAGCCTGATGATAAGTTGAATATGCGAATCCCAAATTACCTGTTTCACATTTGCATGATATGTTGTAAGAATATAATTTATCTTTTTCTAAGAGACCGACTCAGTTAATGATATATTATTATGACACATTAAAGGCAAACTAAAAAAATTACTGTATTGTCGCCCACTTTATTTCAAACAAGAAAAGCTGTATATCTTGTTATTTTTCAAACAGGTTTTCATCAAAAAAAATGCCATATAACTTCATTCGCCCAAATATATCAATTCATAAAAAACTGAAAAAAAATGGATTGTATTACACTTCTCTGTATCGCGAAGACTCAGACTATTGTCTAACACGGCTTTATATCGCACATTCGAATCGAAGATCAAGGAAATCTTCGCTTATTTCCTAAGTGTATGACTTTAAAACAATGCCTTGTGATGAAAAAACATACATTTTAGGATACCATTCTCAAACTATCAATAACTGTTTCTCTTCCTTTTGAAGTATCTCTTTTCAAAATAAATGGAACCTACTTACAGTTAATATACATTTCGTTACTTTTCTTTTTAGGCACACAGTTTACTATTGCTAGCGTCAAAAATATAAATCGATCATTACACCGGGGCCTTCGTTACTAAGGATTTTTGTTTACTGAGGTTCTTTTCCGTTCAATTTATTATTATTCGGCGATAGAAAATCGCTCGTCACATTTAAGTCTTCGTGTTATCGAACTGAACTGTAGTTTACTCGTCATATACGTGCGTACGTAGATCTGGTTAACGTGGAAAAAATTAGTATTACATGAGTATTGTTCTACCGTTTACCTCCACTGGGTCAATTCGTGGCAACCTGTATAGACTCTGCTCGTTATCTGTAACTCGTCCGCCTGTAGCTGTCTCTGACATGTTCAGTTGCGTCTTTGCGACAGTGTTCCTGTTAAACCAACATCTCAAAGCTACTGATAAGATCACAACTGCGATCGAGACATATGACAAACGTTGGTAAACTGGCTTTAGCGAAACTTTCAACATTTTTGACAATAAAACGCCGCGTGAAACTTTTGGTTTTAACAAGACTAGATTGGAAGTAAGAAAGATATGATACTTCAGTTTTGGCTATGGATCTTTTCACGGGCGACAAATTTAAATGTCTTTTTAAGTATTTAAGATCAAATCGATCAGGTGTAAACAGTCTTTGATGTCACAAAACATTAAAAATTGGCTTTAGATTATTAAAAAATGTAAATGACGCGTCATGCATTTTGGTTGTTTAAGTCGCAAAAACAGGTGTCCAATGATCTTCTTTGGAATTGTGACCGCTGGCTAATGTTTAGTCTCACAAGAATCCGTCCAAGTCTGTAAACCTGTTGAACTTACTAAGATTTGTATCGTATTTTTAGATCTGTGTGGAGAGGGTAAACATATCTAGGGGATTTTTCAGTGATCCATCATGGCTTTTAATTGCTACCAAAAGCTACGCTTCAAAACTTTGCGCTAAATTTTAATTTGTGTACAAGCGCTGTTATCGTTGCTTAATGCTGCGTAGTCATTGGTTAGCTTGAGAGTACGCTTTCATAAAGCGTCTCTCCTTTGAGGGCGGCACTTAATTTTTGGGCTAAAACTGACTATTGGTGACATTGTTTCCACTCGGTAATTGAGCCTTGCTAAAATTTCAGACTTAACTTGACATTTCCGTTCCGGAAACATGACGAAAACTTGATAGAATCGCCAAGACTCGGTATAGCACGTTTCCGCAAAACGTAAATGTAGTGGAAACATGAATGTTTCCGTCACATTTAAGAAATGCAGAAACGTGAAATTTCGTCCTGTGTAGTCTAGTCACACAAAAGACTTAAACGCGTTTTAAAGCTTTTTTGTTAAACACGGTTCAAATTTTTTTTTATTCATGGAGGCTGATTAAACCGATGTTTTACGACTTCAAACTTTTTAACACTTTGAAAATGAAAACTAGAGACCACTTGAAACACATAGAAATTCAGTATTTCGCTTCTCTGTTTATGATTTTTATTCAGTTAAACCTACTAGTAGTTTTACTAAGCATGTTTTGCTGGAGTGAATGGGGTATAAGTCAAACTGAATTGCGTTTCATAATTCGTCTTACCTTGAATTCAGAGACACCTCAGGCTTAAGTGGGCCTGTAAAATGTCGAGCCAGCGGAATGCCGTTTTGTGCAGAATCAAATCCGTTTAGATCCTCTTCATCTCTACCTGAAGTATTGACATCCGACTTTGAGGTCTGTTTTCACACAATCAAATAGTATAAAAAAGTTAAACAAACTTTCTTATAATTAATAGCTTTCCGGCGCTCGCCTAATAAAAATTATACATAATGTCTGCCATTCAATTCATATGATGTACAAAAATTTGATATTGGATCAACTAATTATCACCTTATAAATATTTTGCCTTCTTCTCATCACTTATCTACTCAATATTGTCTTGATATTGTAAGGAGAAATTTTGTCCTTGTCACTGCTGCGACTTAAGGTTTAGAATACACCGACCAAATCCCTTGATATCAAACTGCTATGGCAGTTAATAACAAAGTAAGTTAGTATTATCAACTGAGTTGATAAATGGTCAAATTTTGTTGGTGGCTAATTTACGTTATCAACTCGGTTGATAATGCTAAATTACCCTGTTATACTCTCCCACCGACGTTGCACCACGGTTTCTTTAGAACTTTAATCAATAACAGACCCGTATAGAATGTCTACATTTACAAATGAACCTTACACTTTGTTCGGCCATGTGTAGTTTACACCGAAAAAGAAATGTCATATCAAATCAAAACGAAGACATTTGTGTAGCTGAGGTACAGCATAAATTCCCCTACGCTACAAAAACTTCTGAAATTAGCAGCATATTCAGAACAACTTTTTTTTGCAAAATTTTAGGTAATGTCTTTAATTAACGGAAGCTACAAAAATTTGAAATTTTTCAAGCTAAAAATTTCGCTGCAGAGTTAAATCATGCGCATTATTAAAAAAACTGATTGAACAAACTACTGGAACCATGAAAGTTACTCTTCCTAATGGTAGATTTAAATTTTGACTTTCACCTTGGAAAACAGATCTGTTTCATCCATAAATTGATAAAAATCACTTCGAATACGGTATTATTAAATTAAATGCAAGACCCGGTATATCATTTATATCTTCATCAGCAATGGTTCAAAAAGGTAATAAAATTCATATTGCCAAGTTTGAAATCCAATAAAATACCAATAACACTGTGCAAAACGAAACATTTTTTTACGCAATCGCACAACCCCTTCGGGAATCAATTGTTTTAAAATGGTTCACGAAACTCACAACCACAATTTAAACCCTTAGTACGAATTCAGTTCTTTTAAACTCAAAGCAGCAAAATTGGAACAAAATTCTTGAAAAATGCAACAACAACACCATTAAATATTTGATGACAAATTTTTAGCTGAAATTTTTACACAAAAGCCACAGACTGTTTTGATCTGTTATACACTCGACTGCAAAAACGTTGACACTATAAAGCGTGAGCAGTGAACGATGAGACCCATCAGCTTTATGGGTCCACATGTACATGATAACCCCAATTAGTTGCACGTAGTAAATGATAGAAGCTACCCACGCTTTTCTGACAGAAAAAAAATTGTCTTCAACAAAGATTTTCATAAATAATTAAAACAGTAAAGCATTGATAATAAAACTATGCCTACATTTTCCATGAAGCCGTTTGGTCTCATCCTTCACGAATCATACTTTTTAGGTATCAAAGTGTTTGCAATGGAGTGTATGCTTCGCCACATCCTCCTTAGATACACCCAGAAGCTTCCTTCGTGTAGATAAATTTCCCCTCTGTCTAAAACCTTGTGTAACTGTTTGAATTCTGACATGGATACTCAAGTGAGAGAAAATATACCATGATTACAATGCATATATTATTTATGTTGCATTTGACATCAATCAGGGCCGCTAATAATCATGTACAACATTACTGCAAAATAAAGCGATCTGAGTTCATAGTGTTGTTGGAGTAGTAAGTTGTCGCAATAGCGAGCGCACTAATAAAAAGCTACTATACTACACTGGTCTATTCGATCACCCAGTGTTAGCCCACAAGATTTCTTGAGGCACAGACGACTGAAAGAAAAGTTGTTATACTCTGCAACCTCGCGCTAAAAAACACCTGTTCGTAACAACATGATTTTTTTTTTTCACAGACTGTCACTTTTCCAATTCATTTAACGAAACGAAACTTCGGCCGTTTCATATTTTCAAAGCCAAGTTAACCCAACCATTTCCTTAATATGCTAAGGTTTTAATTTCTCAAACCGTCTGTCGTTAAATACTCATATCCATGTTATATTGAGAAAGATCATCGCCGTAATCTGCATCGTTTTCAATAAGACGTAACTTAATTGCACTACATTTACACAAAGTAGAACAAACCAAGATTTTCACGTTCTTGAATAACTGATCATCCATTTAGAAATAAGATCGTTAAAGGAAAAGTGCTAAAATATTATTGTTTTTTAAATATACAGCTGGTGCTACAGCGACTTTTTAAGGACTCCCTACCTTCAAATGCTTAATTTTCCAGTTTGTTTCAAAAATTTCTCGAGGCGAACATGATTTGTGGGTGAGCAGCTCAGGAGACAGGTTTTCATGAACGGATATTCCACGATTAACGATAAATCCAAGTGTTAGAAATATCATAAAAATTTCTAGCATTTTGTGCGAAAAACACAACTTGTTTAAGGTTTTGGGAGTTTGTTCAAAAACAAAGTACAGTACCGACTAAATCTGAAGAGTTCTCCAGTAAGGAAATAATGACAAAGAGGACAAAAAGCCGCAAGTCATCAAATTTCACGGGCGTAAGTTTTATGATCAGATAATATTATGTCTCTCTTTTTTGTAAATTCATTGTTCTCTTGTCATTTCATAGGATGTTTCGCTAATTTATGCCATTACTGTCGAGGTAGAGGATTTAAACTAACTCGTCAGGCAAATTGAAAGAACCTGCTATGTCTTATCCTTCAGTTTTAATGATAGACTCATCTGAGACAGTCTAAAAAAACTTCGGTTTTTTAAAGACACCTTTAAAGACAGAAAAAAATAAAGACAGTCTAAAAAATTCTGCTTTTTAAAGACACCTTTAAAGACAGAGAAATGTAAAAATGAATCAGTGAGGAAAATAATTGCTGCAAACAATAACTGTTGATTGATATCCTTTGGATAAAGTTACAAGCCCCCAAATAATTATTAAATCTCCTTTTCGTTTTCTTTGTATTCATTGTATTATTGCCAAAAATTTTTAAGTTGAGATGATCCTTTATCAGTAGTTGATAATTAAAATTTTGTCCAATGACAAAAGACTTTGCGTGTTGTTTACCGAAAGATTTCTTATTTAATTTGATCATGACAAAGTTATCGTATCAAAAAGAACAATAAAACAACTTAAGAATTGTTTTGTCTTTCTTTTTCTTCTCTGATAATTACAAAATTGTAAACAGATGTCAGGTTCTTTGAAAAGCTTAAAGGGAAAAGATTTCAAAGTAACCACAAAGTTATATGACCTTTTTTAAGATTAGTTTTATTATATTTAACAATTATCAGTATTCAACGAAGAGGGGGTAAACATCCTATATTTTCACCGACGCGGAGGAGATAATCGTGTAAGTAAATCTCACTCAGACACCAAGGAATTAGCTTATTTCTGTTGATACACCGAAGAATGGTCGACGTCGGAATCTTAGCTTTTGACGCACGATTTTGTCTAGGTCTTCAGCTACTCAGAAGCGAATGGCACTTTCAAATCACTTCCATTAAGCGGTGCTGCATTTGCCGGTAACCCACTATTTAGCAGTTAGTTATCCAAGTCCCTTAGTTAACGTAATCTTCACCTCTAGTAACGGTCGTGGTCACCCTTAACTGAGTCCCAAAAGCCTTCATGCGTTGTCCTCCACCTGTATTGAACGGTCAGTTAAAGCGGCACCTCTCAAATAAAACTGAGAAAAACATTTCAAGTAAAATAAGTCAGTTTTTCATCTCCCGGAATCAATTTTACAAGTATCTTTGAACGTTTTTACGTACATTTAGTTGTCAATTTTGGCATGATAAGGCGATTTTATCAATTTTTAAAACTAGCTATATTCTGCGTACCCTGTATTAAGCGATCAACCTTTTGTTAAGTACGTAGTCACCTCGACATTTCCGGTGGATAACCGCTCATACAGGTTTGACTATAATGTTTAGGTCACAAAATGAAATGGAATTAGTTCATTTTCTTTATCGACTCATTCCAAAATCACTGAACGTATTACAAGGATCGTCTAATTATTTCTCACTGATCATTCGTGAAATTTGTTATGTAAGCGTTGGCAGATACAAAAATATGCAACAGACATTGTCAGACGTTTTTTCGTTTCTCGTCACTAGTCTTTCTCAGTTTTCGTATTCTGCAGTTATAAAGTAGACAAATAAAATGTGCTTTAATTTCATAAAGAATTTCCCAACCGGACGTTAAAAGCAGGCGGTTTAGGAAACCGAAAAACTTGAACTTCCGTGATCTTAAAAAAACTGGCTGGATTTTTCATTCATTATTCATTATTTCTTCCCCTCCTTGTGGAGAATAGTGAATAGAGAATAGCCTCGAAGTTTAACTGAATTTTGCATTACCAGCAAGACAACATAATCCTCTTCACTAGTTTTGCATTACACACGAAAATGACATTTCAAACGCCACTTTGCTCAAATTTCTAATTTAATTCACTCGATACCGCATGTCTCAATTAGTGGAGAGACGTTTGTCGGAATACATTTCAAATCTCATCAACTACCTTTCATGCTAAGCAAACTAAACGATATTACACACTATTGCAAGCTCTTAAAATCGTGACGATCAGAGTGACAGATCTATAGTATAAAAATAAAATATTAAAACGACCTGCACTTGAATACCATATCAATACACACCTACAGATGGATTAAAAAAAATCTGTCGGACATCTTCCTGTTTTGAATAAAAAAAACTCTCGAATTAAACTTCCCTTCCATGCTGGTTCGCGGGATTTACTTTTCTAGAACGCTGCGTTTTGTTTAATTGGGCTTGAAATAACCACGGCATTGGTTTTATCTCGAATGAATGACAATTTTAAATATTAATTGAGGTAATTTTCTATTTTTTGGCAGTCATAGAAGGTGTGAGACTAAAAATAATCAACCAATTCAGCTGGAAGAACAATACAAGCGTTACATAAAGAAAAGAAAATATTTTATAAGATTCAACAAAAAGCGTGATATTTGTTCAGTTGGACCAGATATCGAACTACATGTCGAAAGATGAATATCTTTTTTTGCATAATGATTTTCCGTGGTCCGTTTGATATGAAGCACCTATTTCGAACGAGTAGACTTCTCGTTTTTATCTTTCTGCTAGTTGGTTTTTCGTCTAAAACACCGATCTTAGCGAACGAGAAAAATTTTCACCCAGATGTATGTTCGCCACAGACCCCAGACTGCTATTTTGAACGTTTTTCAAAGCTAAAGTTACCACGAGTGGAACCGATACAGGCAAGTGAGATCTCAGTTTTGTACAAAAAATTCTTGTATTTAAAACCACTAAACTATAGCTATCACAAAACAAACCCATAATCTCATTTGATTTCAAAGCAAATATACACGTTCAGTTGCCGATTGGCCTGCGTGCATTTAAACAGACGTGATATTAAACCAACCTATTCAAAATTTTCAAGAAAATTTACATAAAGTGATCTGAAAAGTTCCAATATGAAGTGGACGGAAGGAACCTTTTTAATATCCAAAACGGAAATTTATTTTGCTCCTATCAGACTCAGGTTCTGTCAGGCTTAATCCTATCGCTATTTTTTGTGCATTTTCCTTTCCTTTCCCACCTTTTTATCTGATTTCTTTATGGGACTTAACCAGCCGTATCGGTAAAAAAAATCCCTCAATAAGATAAATGCCGCTGTCGAGGAGGGAGCGAGATCGGCCGAAAAAGAAGAACATTTATTAAGAATTTAGGGTTGAAAATAAATATTTTATCATCGTTTCTTGCGATGGAAGTTCAATGTAATAGAAAACTTTTGTCAGACATGAATTACTTGCAATAAATTGCCAATACATACGATCATTAAAGCAGTTCAAAGTCAATATCACTCAAGCTAAATCGATTACTAATGGTTTAACCGCGGTTTTTAAGTCTTGCTATCAAAGGAATACACGTAACTGCTTGTAAAGCTCGATCGACACTGCGCTAAATTCGCGAAATTGTATGACTGGATAAATCACTTTTAGAAACGTTCATAATCTTGCGTCGAAGTTGCACCAAGAAGAGCTAAATTGACCGCAAAATGTTTGAACAGATCTTGAGGAGACATATGAAAATTCCGTTTGGGGCACGGTCCATTGAGTCACGTGGGCGACAGACGAGCTATTTTATCTTAAAAACACCTGTTTTTATTGCAATTAGAACTCAACAATTCACAGACATTTCGCTTTTAAAGATTTCCCTTTACGTGAAAAAAGGATGTGTTAAGGACCTAAAGTAACTTTTCTAGGCCACTTTTCATGTTTTTTAAATTATTTCTGTTGTTGAAAGTGTATTTTATTCGTTTATGTCGTTATTTTCTATTCTCTCAACGGCTGAATAAGATACGGTGGGAAGATTATCTTTGTCTTAAATGATAATTCATGAAAATTAGAAGGAGAAACGAATCGAGCACTTGATAATGAAGAAATGTGAAACGGTTTCCGTGTTTACATAGCCTGATGTAAACACGCGGGAGGTTGGGAGAACACGAGATAAGCGTAGGAAACCACGACGCGAAGCGGAGTGGTTTCCAGCTTACATCAGGCTATGTAAACACGGAAACCATTTTACATTTCTTTTATAAAATAACTAATGAAAGAGGAACGAAAACCGTGTTTACATACGCTCATGTAAAATGGTTTTATGGCCAATCAGAGCGCGCGTACTATTTGAATTATTTTATAATAGCTGGTTAAGTACTTAAGATGGACATGGTCATTCTGGACGATCGGCGATTTAATTCTCCCAACTAAATACCCTACATTTCTTCGTTACCTAAGCTGAGAATTTGATATTTGGTTGAAATGGATATTATAAGAAGAATTCACTCAAACAAAGTTTATGAATCAAAATTGCCAAAATACCTCTGGCTTCTTCCCATTGACTCCTGTCACAGAGATGGACTCCTACCCATGCATCTGCTCCCCACTATCCCCTCCCGCCAAAATACTTGCCAAGAAAAAACATGGAGAGGGCTTGGGAAGAAATATTTATACTTTTTGTCCACTGTAGGTCGGACATGTTAGAAAACTAAATTTGATTGATGGTGATGAACATAAGATGACAACAGTCGCTATACACCCTCCCATATTTGGTAAGTAGGTAGGAGTATTTGAAGAAACTTTACGAGAATTGATCATTTAGCTCCAGCTGATCCCAAGTCTCGTTTACGACACCTACCGTAAGCATACACGAGGCCCGATTTGAGCTTTAATAAATAGGACAATGTACGCATCATGCTTGTAATTTCACGATGTAACTAAACAGTCTACGCGTCATGCCTGTGCAATTGGACAGTGCGCATAAAGTGCGCGCGCCATTGCTGCGCATTTCGTTGAGTTAACTGTTGTTTTCTCTGATGAAAACTTTCAAAGGATACCTAGTTTATCTCTCAAATTTTGTCCTAGATTTTTTCAATTGGTAACAGGACCTTGTGCCAACCATTTCTGTATATAATCATACTGGTGAGTAACAAATCAAATTCCAATTTTGTTACTATCTCGTATGATTAGAGACCGAATTGGACTGCACTCTGATTTATTATCTTTATTAATCAGTGCGAGCAGTTCAGGCGACCCACAAAGTCCATAGCTATGGTTCAAATTTAAACTAAAACTCGTAGAAAATATTTTCAAGAACTCAGTACAAAGATTCAATCAGGCTACCCACCGTAACTTTAAATAGACCACTGACTATAAACTCTCCGCACAAGAAAAAGTAATCAGGATAAGCTCATATAGTACACTTTTCTCACTTAACAACTTTCAGAAATTCCCAATTTTTTGTCAAACGAAGAGTGTGATCATATAATTGAGTTGGCAAAGAAGGAAGGCCTACAGACATCACAAACACTCAAGGAAGGAGTCAAGCAGGACATGATAGCGCTGGGAAAAAATACCAAAAAACATTTTGACTTTTGGGATCCAAACAAAGATGGGCAAATCGACATAGACGAGGTACATTCAGAATCTAAGACAAGTGTTCTACATCCTGTAGATTTAGATGAATGCGACATTTTATGAATATTTTTCACGCGCAAATCGTTAAAAATATCTAATTAGTTGGAAAGCTTCTCCAGCACAATGTTTACCGGTTTTCTCTTACCCCTCTTCCCCCCCCTTTCCTCTTCCAATGTTATATAATAATTGCTACGAGTGTGACGTGAAACGACTGCACTTTTCCTGCAAATTATTTAGTTCGGCTACTTTGTTTTATTTCAAAACAGATGATTAAAGGTCTGGAAACTAATTTGGACTTCACCCCAGATAAGGAGACTCTGCTCACGATGTAAGGAAATGGAACAAGGACTGGTTTGGTAAACAAACAAAAAAAACATTAACACAGTCAAATAGTTTGAATATTAATTTGAGTATTGTTACAATTCACAACGACCAATCAGAAAAAACTATAAGGTATAACGAATGAGAACTCGTTGCAAATACACGTGAAAGGCAAATTGCAGAAAATCCAAAATCACACATGTGACAAGTGCAGGATTGGGTTCGATATCGCTTAGGAATGGTTGAATTCAAAGCTTGTGGTTTTCTTTTTCCATTTTGAAAAGCAGCCAAAAACTAACTGTTAGTTTTTCGGGGAATGATTCCCCGATTCCTTTCGTGTCTCTATTGAAGGTACGAATATTTGGGATTGGACAAAGATCATGACGGTGAGTAGTTTTAAAATTATGAGTTCGTCACCGAATATTTGGGCCATCTTAATTAACGACACAAGGTTAGCCGGAAATGACAATTAATTTAAGCTTTGACCAGATTATCAAAACCATTCTAAAACCTCGCGTCTTTTTAATCGATCATCATACCGACACTGTCTATTAACATGAAACCACTAAGCGAAGTGAAACAAATCAGAGGTCATACAAATGGTTTACTGAGCTCACCAGAGGCAACGTAATCAGAACGGCCAATCAAAACGAAGGAAATGTGATAAGAAGCCAATTAAAACTCAAAATAAATACATAAGAACGACCTTACGCAGATGAATAAAGGGGTAAGTTTCTAAAGAAACTGTGGTGCTGCGTCGGTGGGAGAGTATAGCAGGTAATTTAGTGCTAACAACTGGGTTGAAAACGTAAATTAGCCACCGTGAAGGGTAAAAAAGCTGACGTTTCGAGCGTTAGCCCTTCGTCAATCGCTCTGACGAAGGGCTAACGCTCGAAACGTCAGCTTTTTTACCCTTTACGGTGGCTAATTTACGTTTTCAACACAGTTGTTAACACTAAATTACCGACCTTACGCAGACACGGGTAATGAGTAATCATCGGATTGGTTGAGGGAATGGGGTCTAGACCAATCACCGAGCGTGGTAAAGCAAAATTACTGATTCCCAGATGATGACATTTGAAAGACGCTTTTACATAGCAATATCTAACAACATTGTATGGGACAGCATCCTTTTCAAGATATAGATGACCGCATTGAACAATATATGCTGACGAAGGTCTTGAATTTCAGTGAACCATTGCAATTTCAGGAAATATAGACTTCGTAGAATTCAAGCAGAGAGACATTCCTGAGATGGCCAGGTATATAGGAAAAGTGAAGGATGAAAAGCCGCATACAAAGAGTCGACACAGCCGTCAAGCCTGGATTCAGAATTACTCGAGGAATTCTAATAAAATCATGGCTTCTTTACAAGACAGGTGAGCCCATCAAATACCGCATGCTTCATGCCATTCACTCCCGGGAGTGACCAATATCTAACTTCTCTGTGAGCTAGAAGTATAAGCAATGCATGACAGAAGGAAATATTGATATTGTAATATTGTACTCGTAAGTTCCGAAGTGGAGTGGAACATTTAGACTGCATAATGCGAGTCTTCCTTAGGCGATAAGGTCGACTAGGTAGTCCGTAGAATTAATTAATACGTAAAATTCCCAAAGTTCAGCTAAAGTGAACTCGTTAGGTGTACGATAAATGACTATTACGGAATCCCCTCCACTCGTTCTTTGTCTTTTATTTCGCCTGCTCGCCCCAGAAAGGTCTGTGTTAACTGTTTAAACAGTATGTATTTCATTTCTTCCATACTTTAACTGATCTCATTGTCCTTAGAGTACAACGGCTTACAAATCTTCCCTTGGAACTGATTCTAGCCAGCGAGTATATGCAAGTAAGTTAAATCGAGTCGTTAAACTTATCAAACAGCTTTTATGTTATTCATTGGTAATTCATTAAAGGAGTTGCACTATGTTTTTGTATCTCAGAAGATTTACCCGAAGTGCTTTAGGATGATCCTGTGCAATTCGTAATAATCTTTTCCATTCTTCTGGTCTCTTTATGACTTTGGTATTTTTCTATTCTGGCAAATGATCACTGATCCTAAAACCTCCTTCTATTGACCCCTTTACACCATAAGATCAGTAGTGATATTCTCCTTCCCTTCTCTTTACAGAATTTGTTTAAATAATTTGAAGCATCTTTAGTAAGTGTTCATTTACTTCATTCTCATAACCTTTTAGTTTGATGCAGAGGTAATTCTGTGGGGAGGAAGTGGATGCTTGTCACTAAGAAATTCTTCCTGATGCTAGAAATGGATCATAATATCGTGAGATTTGTGCTTTCACAGGTGGTATCTTATGGTCCAATGGGTCACTATAATTGTCACCTGGATTCAGACTTGATCAGGCCCAATAAACCATGTTGTCATTATGTGGGAAGTGAGCTTGGTCATTGTAGAGTTTGCAGGTAAGGTTAATTATCAAGGTGGTTATTCGAAGACACTTTCGGTGTAGGCGAAGCCTCTCTCACGAGCCCCTTTCGCTAGCTCAAGGGGGTTGAGTCTAAACGCTGACGCCCCACATATGGTTTTTCCTCCTGTGCCAGACCATGAAGACGTTCTTGGGACAAAAAAGACCCTGTACTGATTGGGCTCAAAGTTTTAACACGAGGGACACACGGCAAAACCAAACAACCCTTCCCCAACTCTCCCCTCCGAAAAAAACCCCCCGAGTGACAGAGGATATGCTATATAATACGTGACTGTGGAAATCATACGTTGCGCATATGCAGAGAAAATAAAAGTCCTACTCCTTCTCGAAAATTGTGTTGAATGTTTCGATATACTGATGAGGAAACATATTTTGAAAACAGTTTTATTTTACTCAGATATGCAACGATACTGTATTTCTTGGACAACGTCGAGGATGGAGGAGAGACTGCATTCCCTGTTGCTGACAACATAACGTTCGACAAAGAGGTAGGATAACAGTTCTGTTTTGTCCAAGAAAGATGGGGCCGGCCACGAGTTAAAAATCACATCTGCGATAAAAACAAGTATAAAAAAAAAACCCTATTGGTCCTCACAACTACGTCCCAGCCCTTTGAGCCATTATAACAACGTGTTTTCCTTCCCGGACAGATCGCTTAGTAAAAGTTACCTTTTGTCAAAAAACACATGTCTACGTGGAATAAAGAATTCAAGGTATTTTAAGCTGCGAGCTCACAACGATGCAAAATAAACTTAAGAAAATGACTCAGAATACCGTGAGACGACCTCTTTGTTTGTTTTCTTTTTTTTTCACCAACTGCGTGGTTGCATTATAGGAATGGATGCGCGACGCGAACAACGTGTGTAATTTAGCCAAGAACTGCCAAAAGGCGAATGTTGTAGTTAAGCCAGAGAAAGGGAAAGCTGTGCTATGGTACAATCATCATGTTGACAACTCTACTGGTTGGCTTGGTCAACTTGATCGATACACTTTTCACGGCGGATGCGACGTAAAGCGCGGCACGAAATGGATTGCAAACAGCTGGATTAGCGTTGGAGAGGACAGAGAGAAAGATATCTTGAACTGGATCGAACTTGCTGATTATGAAGAGGAGAAATCTGACGTTAAACCTTCAATAGATTCGGGGACAGATTCAACCCACGAAGAATTGTGACTGTGTTGTTAAAGTGGGACTGGACCGAGGACCACTCGCCTTTGCTGGGCCACCAATCAGTTGAACTCTACTGAATAAAATCCAACCGCAAGGTCTTAATTTATACAAAGCTTCAAAGCAAAGAGCTCCTCAACAGATGAGGTTGCAAATCGCACATAAATTATTTGTTTTGCTAAGTTAGTGTAGAACAAGTTTCGATGGTTAACAAAATAAAATGCTCATTGAATACTTCATAGTGGTTTCCTTTCTTTTTTTGTATCGTAGTTAGCTTTTACAGAATTCACTGTCGGATTTCTATCAACGTCCATGCTTGCTCTATGTAATATTGTTAAATCTGATAGGTTGGCATCGCAAACATATTTTCTGCAGATCATTTCTTGGGACTTAATGGAGCTACCGGTGGGACAAAAATCACTACATTGGACTTCGTCTGACAAAGTTCACATGTTGCATTTTGCAAAGCATTATACATCAAAGTGACGTCAGATATACCAATGTGGCTTTCATCGATGTTGAAGCCCAATTCATCAACTATGCCTCCGTTATCCGCGAGAAGACTGGGATCCAGGAGGGCGTCACTGAGTCTATGGGTTACGTCACCATTCATAGAAGGGCCCGAGTTTAAGTTTGACCAATCCGAGAACGGAGAAGGACTTCACGTAGTCCGGAGAGGTACTTCTCATTTTTGAATCAGCAGATGATCTAATACGGCTGTAGAGTAACAGGTCTTAGCCAACGAAAAATTCTTTCCGAAAGAATCTCTGAGACATGCGGTAGGGAAAAAAGGATTAAATCAAAAAGCGGGATAGAACTGCCAATATTTCGATCTCATCTAGTGAGTCATGAACCTTACTTGGCAATCGCTGTTTTTCTTCAAAACGTTTGACTGAAGACTAGAGAACAGCCTTCTAAGGAGACTGGCTAGACGCAATGAATGCGTCGAAAAATGCACCTTCAAATGTCACTGTCTTCTTGCTGCTGCGTGCCTCCAGTGAGCAATACACCAAGTGACGACTGATAAAATTTTTGAGTCTTGACTCATATGAGTAACTTTCGTAAGAATCTCATTCAAAATACACGAAAGAGAAGTCAAAGAATTTGCTGTCTCTATTTGCCGTTCCCTCGTCAGTTTGCACCGAGTGATTCACGTGTTTCACAAATCTCACTGTCTCCTTGTCTCTGTAAACCAAGGCCAAAGAATTCTCTTGAGGATGGACTGTTAGAAGCTATGATCAACAGTAAAGGAAGAATTAGGCAGGAAGTTTAAAGGAACAAGTGCTTTTGGTTAGGTTTTTTTCCGAGTCCATTAGCTCGTTCGTTTGATTCTTTTTTATTTGCTCATAATTATAAACCTCGACTCTGATGAAGGGCTATCGCTCGAAACGTCAGCTTAAGAAACTCTTTACGGTGGCTAATTTCCATTATCAACTCCGTTTCATAAAACTAAACCGTCATCTTAAAATACAGGAGGTTCGGTAAGAATTCAGGTGTTGTCGTGGTAACTATTTGTGCCAAAACTGTCAACCATTTAAAGGAAAATCGTTACAAAGAATTGCAGTATCCATCCATCCGAGAATTCGCATCAAATATAGCGAAACAGTTTTGATCCACCTTCAACTTAAATGACCACAAAGCCAATCTTCGCCCATGCAACTTTAATAAAATTTCGCTTTGACGAAGGGCTAACGCTCGAAACGTCAGCTTTGAAACTCTTAATGGTGGCCAATTTACTTTATCAACTCAGTTAATTACTAAGAAAATAGTAACCTATAGAACAGTAAATTGTAGTGCTAGTCAGTGGGTGGAAAAGGAGTAATGTTTTCCACGAGCAGAATTGCCGGGGTAACGAAAAATGCTCACCTCCTCATCTTCGCCGCTCGTTAAATACGTGGTGTAACCACCATAATCGGTTTTCCACCCTGACCATGAATGAAAAGAATATTTTAGTACCGCTATTCAGTTTGCAGTCTGTTACTTCGGAATCTCCCAAAGGCATTCAGTTTCCGTAGAGGTCGAAAAGGTAATGTGCAATGCCTTTGGTAATGTACCTCAGAACAAAAAACAGGAAGAAATTGATTGAGTACGTTTGACGTATTTTTAAAATTTAACGGTGTTTTAGTACCACGTTCGAGCGAAAGGCCAAAACTGAGCTTTTGTCGTAAGTAAAGTTAAAATATTTCAATTTGTTGTGAATAGGAGCTATTTTTAACTTTGCGTTCGAATATCTTTGTGGGTTAAAAGAGACGCAAGCGAAATCAGATATAAAAGTTCTATCAAAATTTTGTTTTCCGTTTGAACATCACCTTTTCCACCAACGTATAACATGACGTCCAAAGCAAATTCTTCGCCTTCAGGATCAGTGTCGTGAACTAAAGTATAACAACCGTGAGTCCAGCGTCTGATGCTACCATGGCAACAAGGGCCTCGCTTTGAAGATTCGCCTCTGTTATTACTGGTCTCCTACAAAAGTAAATTAAAGAAAGAATTTGTAACACAGCGGCATGTAAGAGACTTAAGTGCCATGCTATGCGAAATATGTTAACATACGTGGGCTGGAGATTACTTTAGGAATACAAGTGCTAGATCAGCTGAGAATCAAATAATGTTTTATTGTTGTAAAGCTACATGGATTAATTACAGTTGTATGATCGTTCAATATTATTTCTTTGTTTTTTTACTTTCAATTATATCGACTGCATGTCCGTTTTTTTTTCCATGTCTGTTTTTTTGCTAGTGCAATAAAATAAATGATAACTTCCTTACTGCACTGTTTTCCTCCTCTTCACTGTCGTCATCATCATCATCCTCATCATCACTGAGTGGTACATCAGCCATTTCCAGTCCAGTCATTGTTCTGAGTAATTTGAACATTGGCTTAGATTGAAGTAGCTTGTTGAGCTGTTGTACAACAGATGGAGCTGACTCTGTGTTAGCTTGCTCAAAATGTCTGCAAAAAAAAGACCCGTTTAATCCAGGACCGTCAGTTAGATATGTATAAAAAAAATAATAATAACAAATGACAACAATGACAACAACACACAAATGCACTATTCCCATTGGAAGTAGCTTTTAACTGAAAAACATATTAAGGGCAGAGCTCGAGCGGAGCCCCATACTTAAGAAAATAGGGCTATGCGCCATAGAGAGGAAACTCGCATGGACTTAACCTCATATGCAAAACTGTAGATATATATCCCATGCTCAAACAGCTGCTTAATGCGTGACGTGGCTTGCACTGAGTAATGCATGTAGATGAGTAGAAGTTGTTTTTAATGAAATTTTATGTTAACTTAAGCACTGTTTTCTCAAAGTGAAACTAAAATAGTTATCTTCTGTTATTATGGCGAGTTAGCTATGAGTGTTACCTCGTAAATTCAGTAGCAATTCCAATATAATGAAGGTCAGTAAAAATTTAACAACCAAAGCTCCTTTGTCACAGCACTTCAAGCAGTGCTGCACGACAGAACTGCTTCATCCTTTCCATTGAAAAGGTGCTAAGTACACTATGGTTTTATTCAATGTATCAGTGCCACAGTCTATAATGGACCATATCGTTGTCTCTTCAGTTACATACTTGCAGAAGTTTAGTTTCATAAATAAAAGCGCAAACCCTATACCTCTTATTTGCTGGTCCTTGATACTTCCATTTTATCTTATCATCACGCAATGCTTCCAGAATTTCTCCATATTTATTCTCCTATAAAGAATTACAAATACAGGGACTGAATCTAGGTCTCATTTGACCTATACGCCCCCCCCCCCTCAAGAAAAAAGAAAAAAGACACGATTTTGTGAAATTCCTACGTGGGCCTACGTGTGACGGGTTGCATAAAGCCGCACAGCCCAACATATGGCCCCACAATATGTAATGCACCATAAGAAAGGATAAAATAGAAGGAGTGATGGTTTTCTGATTTGTGCATATTGTCTATTGTCTAAGGTCAGGCTGGTTACTAAGCTTAACCCATAGTTCACAAAATTGGACCAAATATTTTACCCTCTGGCACTCTCAGTCAGTCAATAACGAAAAAGTTACAAATGTAGATATGAGGTGGAGATTTACCAAAAGAAATTCTTGTAACTGTATTTCAGATTCATCTTTAAACCTTGCTCTTATATCTTTGACCACACCTGTGTCAAGGTACATAGGATTGACCCAATCAACGAGTGCCTCATCCTTGAAACAGAACAAAAGAAAGAGATTAATGCTGAAATATCACCTCTCAAAGACTACTCACATTTTAAGCACAAAACTGAAGATTTTAACTACACTATTATTTTCAATTTTAAGGAGACAGATCATGTACCATAAGCAGAGCTGAGGTTGTCAAGGTTTTACTCAAAAATGAAAGATTCCTTATGCCATGCTAATAACACCTTGTGAGCTTTTTAACCGAAAAGTGCAACCTAATGCTGCACAAAGGAAAAACATATATCACACTTTTTTCTGTTTTACCACTCTACCACACTTTTTCCAGGTCCTGAAATTAGTTTGAAAATTTCCATTAGATCCCTCAAAAAGATTGCTGACTATGTATGAGCCCCAAAACTTACATTTTTAGATTGCACATTTCATTATTATTCCTAGGGTTGTCTCTCATTTACCTCTAAAGTGCAGGGTTTGAGTGATTTTGGGTGTGGTTCCTGATATGGTGTGGGCCTGTCAATGATATTCCCATGGAACCATCCACTAATTGACAGTCTGGTTTTACTGAGAGACAACACCTCTGAAACCTAAAAGAAGGAAAAGTCAAGGTTCATGGAAATTTTTTTAACAAAAATAAAAAAATTCCCTCAAAGCAGATGTTCTTTTTTGTCATGTCTCTGGCATGGTACAAAGAAAAAATTTTGAGTCCTTTGAATTCCACACTCTGATGCCTAGAGTCTGAACATTAAAAAATTTTTGAGAAAAAAAAAATTGATAATTTTTAGACTGTACTATTACTGCATTATTAACTAAAGTAATTAACTAATACCTAAGGTTGACAACCAACTTAAAATTAAAATAAATAACAATAAACTTTTATAATTGTAAAGTAAATCAACTGCCACTGTAATTACTCACTTACAAGAACTCCCAAGGAAGACCGTGTTTATAATATGAGGTTGTATAAGATGAGGTTTTATCATTATCACATGAAGTTGTTAGGAACTGTTTACTGCTAACACAGACCTGATGGAATGAAACAGGTGTAACTTCAAAAAACACCAATGAGTTCTGCTGTGGAACCAGAGATTTTGTGATCTGATCTGGCTGACCATGTTCTGCAAAAAAATTTGACATCATAAATAAATTTGTCATTAGACCGCAATGAATAATAGCTATAAAATAGGCAATTGTGACAAATTTGTAGATGTAAATCAACTTCTTTATACAAGTGAATATTGAATGTATTCTTAATAACAATTAGATATCAGTTCTTAAATTTGTATAAATAATTTCTTGTTACACTCGGGTTGGTGCCCTAAGTGGTGCCCTAATGGGGGGACTGACTAAAAGGAACAAGGAATCATTTATGAGCACTATTTCCCAATTCCTCAAAGCATTCCCTCATTTCTTCTTCAAAATGCCCTTTTTAACAACATTTCATTCATTCAAATATAGCGCAACACTTTTTAATAATTTTATGTATTTTGTAATTGAATATATTGATCACGCACTTACTATCAATGCAAAAGAGATCCAGGGTTCCTGTGAAAAAAGTAAATGGAAAACAATAATCAGTACTACGGTAAACAATATTTGTAAACATGTTTAAATGTCACAAAGAAATTGTGAAAGCAATAAAAAGCATGCCAGATTTTAGTTGCCCAAGTTCTTCTCAATCCTAAATTCATTTGAAACATATTCTACCTGGTTTTAAAGGTTGAATACACATACTTTGGAAAAAAATGAACAAGAAATACAGTTGTCTAGGTGATGGTGAAGATTTCTCCTACATGCTCTGCTTTTTTATTTTATTACTTTAAAGTAAAAAAAAAAAAAGGTAATTTCTATGCTACAGCCATTATGTAATCCATCCAACCAGAGCTTATCACAGTTTCCCTGGCATGAAACAACTAAGAGTATCACTACTCCCCCCTAGACAGGATGCTAATCCAGCACAAGGTTACCCCCTCAGAATTTTGCCAGGCTTCTACTCATGGGTGGAAAAAGGCACTTTAAGAGTAAAGTGTTTGTCCACACCTCTTGACTAATGGGTTCAGGGCCCAATTGTTTAAAGGTAGATTAGCACAAACCCAGGATTAAATTTTAATCCAGGTTACTTTATTTCTATATTCAAGGGCCTTTTTCAGATAATTTTCCCCACTCTTTTTAGAGGATCCAATCATCACTTTGTAAACAAAAACAATGAATAAACTGAATTTTTCTATTCAAGCTTTAAGATCTGAAATCAAATTTCATGCTTACCCTGGGTTAAACCCAGCTATGAACAACCCAGCCCAACCAAGCCCACTTATCATTATGCCACCACTTCTCACATAAATTGCAGTATACTTTTCCCTTAACCCTTTAATTCCCAAGATCTTATTGGTAATTCTCCTTACTGTCTGCCATATAGTTCTAGTGATGTTAGTTTGGAGAATTTGGGATTGGATGAACTTATAATTCCCTTATTGATATTTTTTTCTTTATTCTCATGACTTGTCTGCTTGATATTGTATTGATATTGTAAGGAGAAATTCTCTCTTGGTCACTCATGGGAGTTCAAGGGTTGAATGATTATATACTCATCAGTCACTATGTAACTAAAAAATTAGTCGTACAATCATTATAATAGCTACCCAATACTGTTTAAGGGTTTACTCTACTAGCTTTAATTTTCAAGAGAAAACAAATTAACACACTTATTTTAAAAGAAAAATAGAATCATACCACCATCATCAGCCTCCCAGTCAGGAGGAACTAGGTAAAATATGTAAGCAATTCGTCTCCCTTCAAGTTCATCATCATGGCACAGAAGAACATCTACATGTAGGCAGCAAACAAAAGACATAATTGACATCTCAAGACATCTCAAGACATCTAATATTTATACATAAAATTTGACCACTAAAAGTAGACTAAATGTTCCTATAAGGGTTCAGTAAGAGATGATCCTTGACTATCTCTGCAGAGAAACTGGCTGCTCTTGCTTCATGTAACTTTTGAGGAACAGGATTTTCTGCTTAGAGACAACTCCCTTCCCTCAGTGTTCTTTGTCATTAGTTAAAAACATAATTTTTGCAAATGAATAAACAGAGGATTTGAAATCATCCATTGAAGCTTTGTGAAATTCTTTCTTTTTCTAAAGAGAAAAAGAATGAAACTTCTAGGGTTATCTCCAAATAAAAGCTATTTCTCTTCTGACGTAATTGTTCTGAAGCTTCTCCATCTTCTATATCCCAGTTTTTTTTATATCGAACCATTTCAAATAAAGAATAATACATGGGCAATTATAGAAACTTATGGTATTTCATAGCATAGCTGTCAAGATATGGCATACTTGTGAAAATGTCATTAACAACTCAAATAGTTGTGATAATGTAATTACGTATGCTAACGCTGAGACGATATTTAAGGTGAGGCATGTAACGAATAGGGAACTCATGTGTGAAGATTATATGTCATAGGTTGTCTTGAAATTTTGTGGATATTAAATTTGCTTGTTTGGATACCAAACATTTCTCTTCACAAACAAGACATTGACCATGAGAACATTGACCATATCTACAAGCAACCATGTATTATCTTGCTTATTCCATAAACACTGAAAAATTTTTACTGATAAGAAAAGTCAACTTTATCAATCAATAAACGAACAAGCTTGGACTGAGAAGAGTCAAGCCTTTGCAATTCTTTCAACATCCTAATGTGAAAGGTAAATGATATGTCAGTTGCTGATTGGTGATATCAAACAGACATAAAGAAATTATTGCGATTTTACATGTGTGCAGTTAAAAGTTTTTTCAAGGATAGAAATCCTTGTAAAACTCTCCAGTTTATTACATACAATCTTTTCATAGCCATATTGAACTAATTTATCACAGATTTTTACCAGTATGCTCATATTTAGCACAGGACATATCCACTTGGTCAGTCAGATCAACAAACCCTGTGATCTCATGAAGCCATCTTCTAAAGTCATTGTATAGAGTATTCCTGAATAGAGAAAAAAAAGACAAAAGTCTCACAAGTATAAATCCTAAGACAATGAAAAGTTTCCAAATACATATTGGATACTAAGACTGTGAGCACCATATACATTTTGCCAAACACTGTATGAAAAAATTGTATATGGAAGTAAAAAGGTTATATATCCTCCAGTTATCAGTACCTTAAAGAAGATATGCTCAACTTTGAAGACTTCTTAAGGTCATCACTCTGAAATTGAAATTAAATTGAAAAATTCTCAAAAGGCCATGGGAAAACGAGTTAAATGATAATTCAAATATTTGAATTTAAGATACAGCAAACATTTACCTGATGAAATTTATATAAATCATTTGATTTTTCAAAAAATTTTAACTTGAGAAGATCTTGCTCTAAACTCTTTAGAAATTCCTCATCTGATATGAAATTAGGAATAAAGCAGCACTTGAATGGTTTGGTATGAATCATACATCCATTCTCTGGAGAAAAAGGGAAAAAAAAATGAAAATATGTTAATCTATTTCCTTAACCCTTTGACTCCCAAGATCTGATTGTTAATTCTCCCCTTTAGCTGCTACACATTTCCTTGTAAATTGGTTACGAGAATTTGGTGTTCAATCAAGGTAATATCTTGTACCTGATGACTTTAAGTATTCTCATTACCTGTTTGGCAAATAATGTATGGATATTATAGGGAGAGGTTACATATTAATCACTCCTGGGAGTTAAAAGGTCAAATGGTTGAAGACGTAATTGCAAAGTACTAAGAATGGTTTATACCAATCATGATAGTAAACATTTTTGTTTAATGCTTCCTGTAATTTGCTACTGTTTAACACTTTACAGCCCAACATCAGCATGCATTCTCCATACTGTTCTCCATACATTTTCCAAGGAACTGACAAGGAGAATTTATTTAACAATCAAGAGCTTTTTTGTTATTGATCATTTCCTTTATTCTTGTATCCTCAATGTGTGGTTCAGGGGTGATACTGTGAGGGGAGATATAAGGTTCTAGTCACTCTTTGAGGTCAAAGAGTTAACTCCCAGAAACTACATGGAAATGTAACTTCTCCCTCCAGTTTTAACCCTTTAACCTGTAAGAGTAACTAGCATCTGATTTCTCCTTACCATATCACCCCTGAATCAAACATTAAGGTCAGGAGAATAAAGAAGCTGATCAACCATTATAGAAGCATCTTAGGAAATTCTTAAAGAATAGTATGGAGAATATGCTTACTGATTTTAGGGTGTAAAGGGTTAATGAATCGCACTGTAAATACCTATCAACTGGAGAGTGTTATATTGATAAGAATCTAGATTCCCTTATCTGATTTTTTCTTTGAAATATATAACAGCTATAAGGAAGAATTACAAGTTGGAACTTTGGAACTGAAAAGGGGGATTCCCAGGTAAGTGTTGGGTTCGCTTGTGAAGACAAATATTTAAAGAAACAAGTATTGTTCAAAGATTCTATTTTTTTAACTTTGACCTCGTGGTCCAATTTTCTCGTCCCCCTGATGGTCACGTGACTAAAGTACTCTGGAGGCTGGATGGGGTAGCTGTCTACCCCTTACATAAGCGATCATACTTATGCGTGCAGTTTTTATTCCATGTCTGTGCATTTTTTACTAGTTTATTATTTCTGCTGGAAAAATATTGTTTACAATGATTGACAAGTGAAGCCATCGGAATAATTTAGAAAACTATCAAGTGCTCTGCTGTGGTCGTTCATGAATGTTTAATTAGGTCCTGTTAGGCTAGGTTAAATGAAAACTTTCACTTTAAATGTGTTAGAACATTCAGGTTGTCGGTACTTACCATTAAAATCCTCTTCATTCCTATATGAAAAAAATATGTGGAATTCATTCAATTAGGAGCCATATGCATTTTACAGAGGAACGATTAAGCTTGCGTAAAAAATAAACATGTGTTCACGTACGTTACGTATCGCAATACTCTAACCTACCTATATGCACCGATAAATTTTGCTTTAAATTCCTCTGAGAGGAAATAGTGACTCAAAAGTTCACCCTTGAAATCACTCTTTGGCTTCTTAAAGCTTTTTGAAGCCCCGTTCGTGGAATGTGCCTTTCTCTTCTTGGAAGATTCCATCCTAAAGGCACATTTTGCATGTAAGAACAGTTTTCGTCAGGCGTTCTAGGAAATGTCAATACCTGGCTGCTAAGTCGACTGTGTAGCCTCGCCAAAAACGTCCGGACGACAAAATTCAACATGGTGGTAAGTTTTGATTTGAATTGAGTTATCAGTAAGTCTTGATTTCTTACTGATCTTGCGTGGAAAACAACTCTAACAGTTTATCATTGTTTAAAGCTACCTCTGTCTCTTCTACGGACGGCACAAAACCACCCTATGGTAGGCACACCTTTCACAATGCTGTGGTATTACTTTGCACGTTACACTTTGTTCGAGTCTTTTTTGTTCGGGAGGCATTTGCAAATTGATGGCCTTTTATTAACACATATTACTTCCGTGATATTTGAGAATTTAAGTCTAGCTTACAAAGAAACTTCGTAAAAAGTCGTGTGCATTCATGTTCAAGTTTGTAGATAAGAAAATATTTGCAGAAGGGATTGTTACATGCAGATCTGTAACAATCGTTTTTGTACATTTGGTGGATACTGATGTACTTTGAATAAGGCCAAACTTTATCATAAGCACTGATAACACTTGTGGATGCATTTTTTTTTCTCTTTACAGCTGGTGGAACTGAAAAATGGAGAGACGTACAATGGCCATCTTGTAAGCTGTGATAACTGGATGAACATAAATCTTAGAGAGGTCATTTGCACTTCCAGAGTAAGTTCATTTGTCATTGCTAAAGTACCACTCAAAAGTAAGTTGAAAGTCTGGACTCAAAACTGGATAATTGATCTTCTACACTTTTTAGAATTGAGCATCCAGAATTAAGGCTCAAGAATCAAGAATCAAGATGCTCAAAGGACTTGTTGAGATTCTTGTTCCACAGTTTCAAGGAAATTACTTAATTCTGTATATGCTGACTGTCTTTTGTATGAATTATTCCATTACTAACATACATTTTCTGAAAGAACTATGAAGTTTTTTATGTGTTTAGCAGTGATTTTTATAATTTCTAAACTCTCTTTCAGGATGGTGACAGGTTTTGGAAGATACCTGAGTGTTATGTGAGAGGCAGCAACATAAAATATCTTAGGATTCCAGATGAGGTACAACTTGACTGAACACAATTTTTAATGACTGTTTCCCAACTGACCAGTGAAATGATTTTAATATAAACTGTACAACAAATCCTTTTACACCTTTACATCAGAGTGGATATTCTCTATACTGTTCTCTATACATTTGAAACGATTACATTACATTGAACGATTAAGAACTTCTTAAGCAGGTGATTATTTCCTTATCCTCGTGACCTGAATGTTTGATTTAGTGGCAATATTGTATGGAGAAATAAGATGATGGTCACTCTAAAAGTGAAACTTAAATGAAACCAGGTTGCAAATAATGGTATCTCCTATGTGGGGCTAGTTTATGTTTTCATGTAACACATGTATCCTTTTTTGTCAATACTTCAAAGGTTATTGACATGGTGAAAGATGAAATGGTGAAACAAGGGAAAAGCAGAGGCACAGGAAGACCAGGTAAAGTAACCTGGATTGTTGAAACAGAAAGGGTTGTTTTTTTCTAAGTGATAGCAGTTGCTACACAGTTGCTACAGCATTTAAAGCACCTTCACATCAGCTAGGCCCCATGCTGGTTGGTCTCTATTATCATTTATATAATAAGCTCAGTTATGCACGCATTCTGATTGGTTCTCACTTATGATCTATTGGAGGACAGACGTATAGATGACATCATCATTAAAACTTTTTTCCGCATATTTTAATTCTTTATTATATAAAACAAATAGATTCCAAGTTGCCGTGTGTCTGTTCAGTAATAGATCACAGAGGACATCAAAATGTGGTAAGAACATCAGTGACACACTCAGCTGCACCTTGTGTGCCACTTTTTTGTTCTTACCACATTTTAACATCATCTGTGATCTATTACTGAACAGATGCACAGCAACTTGGAATCTATTTGTTAAATAGACAGCTGTGCCTATGAGAGTCTGCTCACATTGTTCTTAATATCTTTGGATGATCACTAGCCCACATTTCAATTTTCTCACATACATATATTAAGGGCTGGATTAGAAAATTTAATTTTTTGATCCAGGTCAATCTTTCTTTTCATAGATCTGTGAGCTTTTTCTCCTAACACTGGATAAATCTCTTTATTCTCCCTATCATTAGCGTTTCATTTGCATTTAACTGATCCACTTTTTCTAATAGAATTGATGTGTTTTATCCTCAGGACGAGGTGGTCGTGGTGGGGGTGGAGGCCGTGGAGGTCACAGAGAAGGTGGCAGTGGAGGAGGAGGAAGAGGGGGATCATTTGGTGGGCGTGGTGGAGGAAGAGGGGCAGGGGGTCAAAAGAGAAATAGAGATGATAGCTCTGGAAAGTAGTGTGATGGCTTTTATGTACATGTAAATATATGTAGCTATCAATTGCATAAAATACTTAATACAGTAGGTACTAAAATAGTTTTTTCTATCTTCTGCTTCTATGTAAGCTGCATACATGGTTTTTATCAGGCATAAGAAATCTAACTTAATGAAGTTGTGGTATTCCTGTGGACACTCTTTGAGCTACATGTACATATGTTACTGTTTAAGATAGAAAAGATCATCTACATGTACATATCTGTAGCAAACGCAAGTGTTATTTAAATAGGTTGCATTGGTGTACATGTGTCTGTCTCTTTATCTTATAGTTTCTTTGCTCATGAAGAGGAGCTGGAAGCAAGCTGAAATATTTTTGTAAATTGTCAGCTTTAACAACTGTACCTTGAAACTATTAAGTGCATCAAATTAGGTGGCCTTTTGTTTCCTTGTATTGTTTATTTTGTGTAGTAATTGAAATTGTGCCCAACAAACCAGAGCTTCAATGCATCTTAGTTAAGATTTTTATTGAGAACTATGGTAAGATTTCATTTTGCTCATAGTAACCTACTTTAACCCACTATTGCTTGTAGCAAACAGCACAATGTTCTTTTTTTGATTAAAGAATTATTACTTTCATTTGTTTGATGCAACATTTGCCTCTTGTCTCTCCTTTCCCCTCACAATAGTCCATAGCACATTACTGTTTTTGCTTAGTTGCCAAGCCTTTGAGAAGGAATGAGGCAAAGGTTGACCCTGTTATTTTACAAATGTTGCTACTTTTCAAATGCAAATTACTTTTTTTTCATGCTAACTAGATACTGGTCTCTATCTCTACAAGGTCACCTTCAGACTCACTCCAAATCCAAGGCTTGGCAACTAAGGTACACAATTTTAAATTGGCCTATTGTCAACTTGTCTGGACAAGAAAGGATTCATTTAGTGAGAAGGCATTAAATGAAAAGTACAGCTCAAACAATACGTAACTGTGTAGGGTTTTAAGGCTATAGACTGATGCTTGAATGAAATGAATCTATGTTTTTTAACCAACAAAATTTTGAACTTTACATTCTCCTTCATTAAAAAAGAACCCCTCTTTCTCTCCTACTTGAGTGTTTTTTTCCTTTGTAGAATCGTAATTTTTTGCGAAAAGAAAACCGAGAACTGTATTGGTATGCACCAATTTCAATTTGAACTCGTTTTGCATACTAAAAACAGTTATGAATACGAATATGCACCAATATAGCTATAGTTGCGTAGAGGAACGATAACGTGTAACAGTCCCTTTCATTCTAGGATTGATCAGCATATGATTTCTCCTAACAACCTTAACCCTTCATTTAGCATACAAGTAAAAAGAATTAAGAGAACCATCAACAAGGTAACATTGTTTGGGTGTCGCACCAATTTCTCACATCCTGCCAGTAGAGACGTAATTATTATTGATCTGTTGAAAGAATTGGTTTTAGATCTTAGGGTTATGTTGATGTTTATGCGCAAATGTTAGAAGTACACGAAGCTTTAATATTTATACTGCAGTCGAACCTGGCAGTCACTCGCTGGGAAGGACGATGAAAATCGCCATTTCATGCCATAATTAACCTCGATATACTGAAACCTCGCTCAAAAATACTTTAAACATTGATTTCGAGAGACCAAAATGTATTGAATTTTACCTGAAAGATAATTCTTAGTTTTATTTGAGTAATTCCGATTTAAGTGAACGATTAATACAAGTGGGGGACCATACCAAAAGGCCATTGAGACTCAGCGAAGGGTAGCCGCTACCGCTATATAGACGTGACTGCTCATTAGAGGTGAAACCCAAAGTAATTTCTAGACTTAAAAAACCGACCGCTTAATACAAAGTGACCGCTTAATACGGTGCCGTTTACTACAGGTTCGATTGTATTTAGAAAATTTTTAATGGTAATAAGACTGAGTGGGGTCCAATTCGTGCTCAAATTGGGCCGGTGGGAACCAATCATGTTCGAGAATTTCGTTATAGTTTTGACTATAATCCACTATAGGCGCCCTTCAATGAATCGGCATCACATCGAGGCGATTACTAGAAAATTAAGATCTACAAAATAAAGAAAATAAACTTTGGTCAGAATTTATTTGCTTTAAGGGAACATTTCCAACTGAACGGTTTTGAAATATCACTCTCCTTTTCATGTTTAGAAAAATCTCCAGAAAACTAGATATAAATGAATGGTTTGTCATCGTGGAGTCTGGAGATACTTTAAACTCCAAAGATTGCTTTTGTGGCAGACAAGTGCGAACGTTCCTTGAATGAGAAACTTGCCATGTTTGTTCAAGTGAATTGAAGTTGCCGTGGTTACCATCGCTGTCAGAGAGAGCCGCAGGCGAATACATAAGTTGTGTTTGTTAACGACATGTATACAGGTGCCTTTGCGGGGTGATTGTCTTGCGCCCCGTGGATAAAAATTAAATGCAATGTTTTCATCACAATCAGAGTTGGTGGAAAAAAAAAATTAAAACTAATCTTTCTTTGTTCCGTTCTAAAGAAAAGTGTCTCTGTTGGGACATGCGGCCATAAAATATATGAAAACACTTTTGCTGTATAAAAAATTGAGGAGTTTTAATTAAGAACCTTCGATCAGAAAGAGATTTCTGATGAGAGACATCGTGAAGTCTGCAATATTTTGAACGTCATATTCAGAATCAGAACATATATATATAAATATTTGGAAGGGTTATGACAGCTAATTAGTTGGAAAAGGCCGACAATGATACTTAGTAGATGTCATTTTTGGAAAGCCTTATGGATGATTTTGGAGCTAGTGGTCAAGGAGCGACAAATTTTATGTATGTACATATATGTATGAGGCTTACAAGAAAGACAATCCTCATCGGTGCGGAAATGAAAAAAAGAAATGATATTGAGATCGGTTTATGAGGCAAGATATTGGTTCTGTTTATCATTTTAGTTTCCTAAAGGTTTTTTTAGCCTGGAGCAAATCGGGAAAGTAAAAACTTAAGATTGAAAAATAGGTTTTAAGCTGCGTGATCTTGTGGAAATACCGATTATGCAAAGGAAATAAGAGTTTATTTGGAGGCACTTTGTAAAGATTTCAGTTAAGTAAATGTGGGCATTCACTCCCATTAAATTGTTTCCATTAGCGAGCAAATAAAACATACTAGGCTTTCTTCCAAAGTTAAAAGCCTGCTGAAGCAATTAAGGTTAGTACCCGATTGGACTGGTTCTTGATAATGTAGGTCATTTTAATTCGGAGATCTGATCAAACAAATTCAAAATAGGAAATGCAGATGCCTTCAACATGAGTGGATGATCACTTGGACTTTCCAAGGGTTTTGATTTTTTCCTGAATGTTCGCTCTTCTGATAAATGGTCGATTAGGAAAAGAGTAAGAGCTGAAGACAATGAAAACTCTGATCAAGATAATTTGCGTCGTGTATTTTGTCTCATCCATTGTTGTTTTCAAGAATCTCTTCTGTCACTTTTTTTAACCACTTTCTTTTTGAGAGTCTTGGATACAAAAAAAAAAGCATGAATAATTTAAATATTTAAGATAAGATGAAATATCACACCGGTGAAGTTACAAGTCAAGCTGCCGCAAAACCTTCATCGTTAAAACAGTTTCTGCAGATCGCAAGGTACAAAATTATTAAGCCTTTTTTACCCAGCGAGATAATCACCACATGTATTTTACAAGGAAAGACGTTATCAGAACGGAACTGAAGAATAGGAGTTCGTTATTTGGGAGACGACAATGTTTTACCGACTAAAGGTACTGCATTTGCAATTAGGCAATTGTTGTTCAAAACGTGTAACTGATGGCAACCTCTTACCACGTTAGAATTGAGGTCACATCGGAGTAAGACACATTCATGTCAGTTTCTACCCTATTAAACACAAGCAAAAGTTTTTTTCTGACTTAAAGGTATCATCTCACGAATTATTTTCTTTGAAGTCAATATCTATTGGATCGCACCGAACGGATGAGCTTACCAAGAAGCGGACAATACATCGGTTTTACAGTTGATTTTACACAACCATATTAGCACTGGGTATCGTCGTTTTAAGGACTCAATCCACGAAAAAGTTTATACGCTTACTGATCGAAGCTAGATACCGAGGAAAAATGTCGAAGACATTGCTTCTACCACCAAGAAGTCTCAGCTTGATCGTTTTCGAATCTGTTGCTTCGGTTGCACTCATCATTCTGTCTTTACTTGGTAATGTTTTAATTCTAACAGCGCTGTATCGTAACCCGCGGTTAAGAAACACTACAAATAATTACATCGCCGCTCTTGCAGTGACGGACCTTCTCAGTGCTTGTGTCCCAGGAACTCTCTTTGCAAGTACACTTATTGCGGGGAGACTAGTCTTTGGAATGCCTTTATGTCGGCTGAGTGGTTTCCTGGTTCACTTTCTGACCTATTTTTCCATGACAACGATGACCTTGACAGCAGTCAATCGTTACTTCCGCGTTGTAAGGCCCCAGTTGTACCGGAAGTTGTTCACCAAGACAAGGTCTCGGGGAATTTTAGTAGTTCTCTGGCTTGTTATCGCCGGCTTCGTTTTTTATCCGACGGCGCTTGGCATGGGAACGTTTACGTTCAACCCTGTGCTGTCATTCTGCGCATACACTTTTGCGAGTCAAAGCGCAGAAACGGTGTTTACAGTGACAGTGGTCTGCGTTTTTGTCGTCTTTTCCTTGTCGGTAATTTGCGTGTGTTATTATCACGTTTCCAAAGAGATTCGCAGACACAACGTCGGAATACGTCTCTCCCTTCAAGGTGTTTCCGTCCAAGAAATAAATCTGTCCAAAGTACTCTTCATCGTGGCTTTCGCGTTTGCTATATGCTGGATTCCCACGTTTGTGGTCGTCTTGATCATAAGGGTCATTTTGGATGGGGCCCCACACGAATTAGCTGTGGTGATTCCCTTCTTGATTCAGACTTCAAGCGTTTTGAACCCCCTCATATATGGAGTATTGAGTCCACCCTTCCGTCGGGAGTTCCGCCGTTTGTTTACGCCCAAACGGAGGGCTCGTTCTGGTGATATAAATTCAAATGCATCCTCGCCAACAGGACAGATAGGTCTGGCTCTGGAGCAGATATCTATCGGTCACCCATGGACTGGGGGTGATTCTCGCAGGCAGGGAGATGGTTCAGATGAACTAGCACAGTTTCCAAGCTTAAAGGTTGCCTGGTCGGTATAAGCATATTTTGTAAAGTAATTACTTACTCGTCCTTTTAAATCTGTGAGAAGACACGTTACAAAAGATGTCATTGTTACTCAATAAACGTGATTCTTGAATTGCTGGTCTCGTTATTGTGAGACCTTTGATGCTACTGTAAAGTATTAAACTGAGTGTCTAATAAAATGAGTCCAGGAATGCATCGAACCAGTTTGGCTTTACTGCACTCTGTGATTGGTCTTAAAACTACCGCCACCTTCTCAACCAATCAGATGCAAAACTAGCAGTAGATGTAGCTTGGTCACAAACTTGAAGTGGGTCAGGCGTAAATACTTCGAGTTCTTATTGGCTCTTTGGGATGTTATCATTTGTTCTGATTGGCCTTTGTTGATCCGTCGTAGACTGGTTCGACTCTTCCAATATCGCCAACTTAAGGTGGAAAACCGTCGAATTTCCGTGACTCTCCAACAGTAAACCAATAGATTGATAGAGGAATTGAACAGCACAATCATTCTCGATACGAATAAGGTGTTCTTAGTCTACTCGATTTGGAATAAAATCGCCGTTACAAAACTCACTTCAAAGAGCAAATAACAGAGAAAAATTGCACTAAAAACAAACAAACTTCCAAAACAGACTTCCTGTACTTGGATATTTCCAATTAAGAAAATCCGTGCAATCTTGTCGCTAATTTGTTTTGATTCTGAATCTGCTCTTTGCGCCGTCACAATATTGCGAAAATTTTATGATAGGAGATGGCAATCAGCGATTCCGGAAATACCTAAAACGAAGCCAAAATAAATGGATGCCTTTCCATACCAATCTATGGTAGAAAACCAGAAGTAAAACGAACATGGAAGACAAAAACCAAGAAATAGCAAATTAACTTGATCACACGGCTTACAGTGATGGTGGTGGCATATCGCAGATGCAAAACAAAGGCAAGATATCGATCAACAGTTATCGCAGCGATGGTCACCAGAGAGACAACCACAAGGAGACTCCCGGAGGATACAGCATGGCGCTTGTGACGCGATACAGCGACATATTGCAAGTTTTTGTACCCATCGGGTGACACACATGGGCTGAACGAAAATACCGACAATAAAGTCGTGGATTATGCGAGAATGAAAAGAAATACGGTAAACGGTGCTTGTAATGAAAATGTCTCTTTTATGGTCCACATAACTAAAAAGTTGCCTGTCCTAGTGACTATTCTTGATATGGTGCTGACTAAACAGGAAGCGATGGCCGGAGCGACTTTAATATTTTTAACGTCTCCAGGAAAAATAACGAGACAGCTATTGGAAGAAAAGGTGGCGTTAAAACGCGCGGAAGGATCCGCGATTAGAAGGTGCCTGCGGAGGATATTAATTACAATGAATGTAAATTTAGTGGAATCTCTTTCAAGCAATCACTTTGTATTACTAGCTGGTGGCTGTCTTAAAAAAAAGTTGATTAAAATCAAATTTCTACACCTTTCTTTGTTAGGTTAAGTTACAAAAATCAAACGGGGATTCGAAAGCTTGAGAACTCATTATTGAATTCAGAGTAAGTAAGAATTTCAAGTAATGTACTCGTTCGAAATGAGTCACATGACAAACCACCTATGAATTGATTTCAACAAACGAAGAAGTAGAACTAGTAAATGAGATAAAAATTACCTGCTCTTTATTCGTATAAACCTAATATTTTTCGACTCCGGGAGTGATTTTATATCCCGCCCATGTGCTTCAGTTTTTGTCAGTTTGCTTCCCACAATAGAGCACCATGATGCTGTCGAAGTTTACTAATTAAAATTTCAGAACTACAGTAGCCCACAACTGCCACGGCAAAAGAAATAACCCCTGCAGCAAAAGAAATAACCTCGCGGCAATAGAAAAAGACTCACGGCAAAAAGAACAACCTTACGACAAAAAGGGAAAGACTTACGACAAAATAAAAAACCTCCTTTTGCCATGAGGCGTAAGTCTTTTCCTTTTTGTCGTAAGGTACTTCCTTTTGCCGTGAGTCTTTTTCTTAAGCCGCGAGGTTATTTCTTTTGCCGTGACAGTTGTGGGCCACTGCACAGAACATTGTTGATATAGATTTGACTGATTTTATTTATTTACTTGTTTTATTAAAAGCTCTTCTCCAAATATGCATCATTCGTTAAAACTAAAATCAAACAATGCATTTAAAAAGTTCAGACTGCAATTTTGAAAAGTGGAAAAGTTGCAGGTGCTGACGGAAATAGTTCTGATAAGAATCCCATTTCATCATAAATCAGTTTTATCGTTCTCCGGCAATTAAATAGAAATTATAACATAGCTATTAAATTTGTCTAATCAAATTCAATTGCGTGCGAGTGTTTCATATTCCTATTGTGAACGCTCATGACGTCAGCAAACAAACCTTCGAGAAAAAATTGTCTCCGCGATTTTTTACTTTGGGATTTTACTATTAAAAAACTGGTTAAGACTTCGGCGGCAATTTAAGCTAAACATGGAAAGCTGTAAGCCAGCTGATGAGGAAGAACTGCTTAATTTTTCTGTGGGAATGGAGTTTTTAACTAAACTAACTAACTTTAACTAAAAGAACGAAAAGAAAAAGAAAACAAAGAACAAGCACGGCCGGTGTCATCCAGTTTCGCAATTCTGAGCCCGAGTTGGAAAATATGTTGACAGAGAGACACTCTGAAAGAACCAACCAAACAACAAACTGCTTAAATGTTTCCAAATATTAATACCATAAAAGTATGTTTGAAATATTCTTTGGTGTCGATAACAAGAAAATGTTTGGGAACCTTGCGATGCCTTCCTAGATTTGTTTGTAAGTCGAACTTTCTGTCACACAAAGCCAGGATATGGCCTGTTGTAAATTAGCCAGCGACACAGCATCTTTGTTTTTCTTTTGGATGCATGCTTCATATCTCGATGAACGTACGCTGACGTATGAACCAATTGTTAATTATCAACGCGCTTAAGCGTAGTAGAGGGAATATCAACCCTTTTAGAACATTTCAACCGTCGGGTTGAAAATGTTATAAAACAATTGGTTCGTACGTCAGTTGTGCGTTCAGGAAGCACGTGGGATGTTTGGAGAGCACTCAAGAAGCTAGAATTACTGTAGGCTACGCCTCGAGCAACTCTTACGCATCTTTCGCGCTCTCCAAACTTCCCACGTGCTTCCTATCTCGATGAACGCACGCTGACGTATGAACCAATTGTTAAATGAAAATAAGTGAGTCGACAATCCCCAATAACAATCGTAGAGTGCGTTGGCGCTCACTCTTTGAGATGGAAAAATGCGTTGTATTATGATTACAAAAACAACAATGGTCGTAATTTTCAATTTACAAAATTCTCATCTATTGACTTTGTCCTTAACGACAAAAGAAGTCTTTCAGGTAAAAGGCCAAAATCGGCCAGTGGCAAATCTTCCAGTTGTCGATTTTCTTTCTCAGCCGCGAGAAATGCTAACACCAAAGCCACTGAATACTAAACTTTCGGCTTCTTTTTGAATAATGGTTTTCTTCCCCTTGAAGAGAAGTTTGAACCTCACTGTCTGTCAACGATACGGATTTTTAAGTGCCATATTTCGAGAAAGTTCGGACAAATTACATGTATTGAGAATCGTGAAGGCTTTGTCGTTCATTCATCAACCTGAAAGCCAGAAATCCCTGTATAACAGCGCAGTTTATGAGATAAAGTCTTTTTTGAACTCCGATGAAGCTATAACATTTACTTATTTTTCACAGGTACCAATATAACTTTGCAAGTTCTTCAGTAATCAAGCTTTTATCATGCATTTGAACAGAGAAATGAATGGTGAAAAGAATTGTCACTCATATGGGAGAAACGAGATGAGCTACTGATCACGTGATTATGACTCATTGAATGTGTCGCAAAGTACACTAGGTTATCATTATTGCGTGGTTGACTCGTCTAAGACTCACAACCCCATGTGGTAAACCGCTGACCCTGTTAGTTCACTGTAATTTCGAAATCGCAAAGCGCCGAATATTCGGCATTCTCCAACAGTAAACCAGTGGATATATCGAAACGAGAGGATGTTCTTGCTTATCAGTGATCCAAAGACAAACAAGATCGCAAAACATAAGGCACAAGGTAGAAAACTTAATATCACTGCACCAAGCACTTATAGAATGGCGAACACAGATTTTCTGTATTTGGAAGTACTTCTGTCGGATAATCCGTCTGTTCCTCTCACGTTGTTCAGACTTTGCCTCCCAATCTGGCGTTTTTATCGCCACAATATTGCGAAAACCCGACGATAACAAAGTGAAATGGCTATGATACTTACAAATGTTACAATGAAAGCTAGAATTATCATAGATTTCCTAAAACAGTCATCTTTTGAGAACTATAAGTAAACGGCTAACACAAATGAGACATAAAATGATACAATATTCGATTTGATCAATAGTTTCATCGCAGATGTAAAGAGAGAGCGAGGTATCGATCCACACTTATAGTTGAAATGGCTATAAACCACGTAAAGGAAAGAAAGATCACCCGACTGTTTGTCACAATGGAGGATCTCGCAGATGTAAAGAGAAAGCGAGGTATCGATCCACACTTATGATTGAAATGGCTATGAACAAAGTAAAAGAATGATAGATACTCAAAGGGGGCAAATTAAAGCTCAGGGAACAATACAAGGAAGGATTAGCAGTCATATTGCTGATGAAGTACACTGCACAGAAAGGTTGGACGAAAAGTCCTACCAAGAGGTCTGACATTGCAAGAAAAGAAAAACTGAAGACGGCGCCTGTAACGAGGTTTACACCTTTTTGGCCTACATCACTTAACAGTTGCCTGATATGGCGATAAAGCTGGACAAGACGGTCACTACACTGGACGCAGAGGGCAAAGCAGTGTTAACATATCTTTCTGATGCATCTCCAGCAAATGTCACAAGGAAGTGTGTTGATGAAGAGGTTGTGTTTCCAGTTGCATTCATCGTTATAATAGTGTCTGATAGAGAGAATTTATCCAAATCTAAATAAAACTGAATACATAAAAATTTACTTGTGAAGCACCGGTATACAGGGCACCCATCTCAGAGTTTCATTACGTGTATTCCTGATATGAGCTTCTATCATCAGGAAACCGAACTCTTCTCTTTTTTTCCTAAGCTGTTTGGCATCGATAAGATATCCAAACTTCTTCTCAGATATTTTACATGTAGAGGTACACTGAAAAAACTTGTGTTACCAGTAATATATTCCGAAACGAATTCTCTGTTTTTTTTTTCCTAGGCCGTTTGGCATCGTTGAGATATCCAACCATCTTCTTCCTTATTTTTACATCCAGGGCTATAATGGCAAAACTAGAAATGCCAGTAATATATTCTGAAACGAGAAAATTTTTCAGCTTTCACCCGGACTTTTAGACTAGTCGCGTTTAGTTTTCGTGGAGCAAAAGTGTAAAGTTTCCATATAAAAAAAATAAAACACTGATCTATTTTCGCGTTCACCTGATGATAATGGTGTATATAAGACCGAAACCAAACAAAAAATTGCAGTGGAGGCGCTTTTGTGTGGATTTAACCTGATTGGAAACTTAACTTGTGAGCTCAGCAAATCACGGTCAAATAAGAAATAAAAGCTCCAATTGTACGTTTGTGGGGACATGAAAAAAAAAATTAAATGAGAATTCTCTCCCTTGTTTCAAAACATGCTTCTCTGTGACTTCAAAATACTTTTAAAAATTAGCACATATCTTTTTGTCGTTCTTTGTGGGTGAGATAACAAAACTTTTCATAATTGTGTTGCCACGTTGATTTTCAAAATATATCATAAATTGGAAATTGCTTTATTCTAAGATGCTTTTGTGTGCTTTTATTAAAAGAAATTTAGATCCCCCCGAAGATGTGTAATCATGTATTATAACCAGAAACAACATTTCACCTGCCAGGTTTTAGCCATATACACCTTGATATTGGTATTCACATTCTTCATACTGTTTTCTCTGCATTTCCCAAGGTACTGAGAAGGAGAATTTTTTTGACAATAAAGAGCTTCCTTAATTGGTGATCATTTCCTTTATTTTTCATGACCTTTATATTAATTCTCCACGAGGAATTGAACCGGAGACCTTCGGAAATCGCGCTTCTGGACGCTGTACTACTAAGCCACAGAGACTCAACAAAGAGCTAAGCACTAGGTTCATATATCGTGTTCCGCATGCATTCTGCTTGATACTAGTAGTGTTGTTTACACCTATAGCATCACGAACCAAGGTTTGCTTAAAACTACAATAATAATCAATTATTCAGTGACGTCTCAGAATTACACTTCACTTAACTGTTTCAGAAAATTGAAAAGTCTGAATTATTTACTCGTATTAATCAAAGTGCTCTGTGAGCAAACTCGTGAATTGACACATGATTTTTTAGATTATGTTTAATGTTATCTGGTTTAGGGAATTTTGTGGTTGATTGTCATATCTAGAGTACGAGCAGTAGTTCAGTGTTCGCTAATGTAGCAAAGAAACAAAGTAACGTTGGGATAAGAAGGCATTACCATTGAAATGATCATGCTATTACATTTGACAAGGTGGATGATGTCATGTGTTTCTGGTTTAAGAGAAAAGGTTGGAAGTAAATGTGGGTGAAAAGTGAGATTTGCTGTCTTTCGTTGTAAATATTAGAAAATCAAGGCAATACTGTCTTAATGAAAACATTAAAGATTCCCTCTTTATCAAAAGAGACAAACGGGAACGAGTTTTGAGTGATATAACTAAGCCAAGCCTGCCACCGTCATTTTGGATCTCCGCCTGGGTAGATTTAAGTCACGTGCTAGGCAACGTATAATCAATAACAAGATAGAATTTCATTTCAGGCCTATTTACCAATTTTGTGGTGTGTAACTTTCGCATTTTAGTACGTTGTATGTATGTTGAATCTTCAAATTGTCTTCAAACTTAAAAGAAAATTGTTCTTTAAAAATTCACTGAAAATCGGTAGCTAAAATTGTTTGTTTAGGTGTTATTTGATTTTCGTGTTAACTTGTTATTTCGTCAGTCGCCGGCATCTTTTGTTGCTTCACACAGGAAAAACACACGCGACGAAACGTAATGATCAATTTTGTCCTCAATCTCACGCTACAACAGAAAAAGCTTTTGAACATCTGTAAACTCCGAGCGCTTCGCAGTAAGTGATATTTTCAATGAATCTTTGGATTGTTTTCAAGTTCAAGGATTGTAAATTACAATTTTATGAAAAACGAAGGTTCTGTTATTTCAGTGTGAATCCTTGCATGCCTGCCAGTCGCTGGCGCCGCTTGTTGAAACTAAAACGTAAAAAAAAAACTCTTTTAAGATTATAATTAGCTTCTTTTTCACCCCACCACTATTCTTAGCAACAAAGGTCGCCATTTCGTCTGTTTATTGCTCGCCAAAAACTATCAAATGCACTCAAAAGCCTAAAATCTAAAAAAAGTTTACAGGAATCGACCAATCGAGCGAGCGAGCGAGCGAGCGAATGCCATTCCCCACATCGTACCTATAACTCGCTCTTGCGCATGCGCGCAATTCACGAGTTAAAAAGGAAAAACTGATATCTTCCTAATAACCGTCAACCGTTAAAGGTCGTAAGAAGGCACTAAAAATTATTAACCATCAAATGTTAAAATTGCAACAAATAAACGGTTAATCATCATATTCCCCCCCAACCTCAGGAGACTTTTGACGTGAACGGCTCCAAGAGGCTTTTTTAAGTGAATATTTTTTAAAAAATAATTAATTTTCAAGGCTTGTTTTGAGTTTACATTTGATATAGCTCCTCACTTATCAACCACAGGAAAACGTTTGTGTGATTTTATAACTTTAAGTAGCGCTAAATTTTTAATTAAAAGCACAGCATCAAAGTTTTTCTTTCAATCTTAAAAATACATAATTGCCTCAGAGGCAGGTGATCTTTTATTGATTAATTTTTGCGTGTTTATGTCTATAAAGATGTAAAGGCAGCATGCATTTTTCTCCTTAGTGCAGTTTAACGGCGAGAGGTTATCAAGTTCCATTCCAAGAGTCAATAGGATTAGCAGCCGAAATTTGCGGAAAGAGTTTGGTCTCATACAACTCCCTCACTATCAGGTGAGCTGCTTAAAACACTAAGCCCCTACAAAATGGGAAACGACTCCAATGTATCAAAATATATTTTTCAGCCTCATGATTGTTTTATGTATAAAACAGAACCCCGATTTGAAGGTTTCAGTGAGAGGGGAGGTATGTTTGACGGTTGACGATAAAAAGTTCCATTTTAGGGCCTTTGGCTGGTGACTGTTATTAGCAAAATGCTTCTTCTCGTGTGTCATACACAAGATATGCTTTTCATTACAGTTCCTTTCCTTCAATCCATACCCCTGTCAAAAGAGCTCCTCAAAATTTTTTTTTACTTTTAACTTTGATATCTCTCGAAATTAAGACTATTTAAAAGGAAAATTGTTCACGGAAGAAAATTGTGGCACTCAGGGCCAAAACTAATCACATTTAGGACTTAATCACATTTTTGGTCAGTTATCATAGGCATAGCACTTTAGCACAAAAGTGTTTCGAATTTGAATTCGAAATAAGTCGTGCTAACAATCTGTAATTTGATTCTTATTCCACGCAGCTTGATATAAGTTTTCTTCCACTGGATCTTGAGAGAAGCAATGAATTCATCGAGCAACTTCAGTACTACCCCTTTAATCAACTGCCCTATTACATTTCTCGGTATTTTTCCGGGGGAAAATGTCAAAATGGCTTCAATCATTGCAGCGGCTGTGTTGAATTTCATCTCAAGCTTTATCGCCACAACAGCCAACTTTTTGGTCATGTGGGCTATTAAAGGAACACCTTCACTCCATACACCATCCGCTGTATTTCTCTTTACCCTGGCATTATCAGACTTTGTACTTGGTATTTACGTCCAACCCTTATGCGCCGCACACCTTTTGGCCGCTGTGACTCACAATCTCTCCCTGTTTTGTACGACCAGCGCTTTACTGTACCCAGTCGGTACTTACCTTTCGTTTTACTCGTTCATGGCAATCGCTGCTGTAACTGTTGATCGCTATCTCGCTCTTGTTTTACATCTACGATGCGCCGCTATCATTACAATAAGTCGCGTGATCAAGTTTAACATCGCAGTTTTTATTATCTCCTTTCCAGTGGTATTATGTTATTGGTTTTCGAGGATCGACTGGATCAGAACTACTTCTCTCTTCATTGTAATTTTCTTATTCATTTTTGGCACATTTGCGATTCCCTTCTGTTATTGCCGGATTTTTATGATTTTGCGGCGACATAAAAAGCAGTTACAGGATCAAAACGACTTAGCAAAGAGGATTCACGGATTTTCAGAGAATGACCTCTCCAAGTACAGGAAATCTGTCCTCGCAATTCTTTATGTGTTTGGTGTTAAGGTATCAAGTTATATGCCATGTATTATTAGTTTTACGTCAGCGAATTTCTTTGACGAGGGCGTAAGCTGGGAAGTTACTTTTGTCTCAGCTATAGTGGTGCTGTGGAATTCTACATTCAATCCACTGTTTTATTTTTGGAGAACTACAGAAATTCGACGGTTTGCAATCTCGAAATTGCGACGCATATCTAGAGTCAGCAGTCTACCGCACAATGCTGTGCACGTTGAACCAGTCAACGTCACACTGAACGCATCATGTATTTGCACTAAAAGTACACAAGCTACCACCAATACTGATACAGAATGGTAAGATACAAAGACGTAAACCTCAGGGATTATCCCTCTGAGAAAATTAGATAAATAAAAGAGGAACAGAGGTAGCGAAAACTCTTCTCTTTTTGGTTGAATATCATCTAAACTCTTAGTCACTTTGGGGAAGGTGTAGGATTTTGTAAAGTAGGTAATTAATAACTTTTATCAATAGAGGGTGACACATAAACAGCATTAAACTTATGACCGGATGGCCCTCTATATTAACCCTTTGACTTCTAAGAGCAACTAGCATCTAATTTCTCCTTACAAAATCACCCCTGTATCAAACATCAAGGTCATGAGAATAAAGAAACTGATCACTAACTTAAGAAGCTCTTGATTGTTCAACAAATTCTCCTTATCAGCACCTTGGAAATGTTAAGAAAACAGTATGGAGAATATACATTTTGACATTAGGGTGTAAAGAGCTAAAAGATCCAATAAAAGAGTTCAACACTATGCAAAAAAATGTTTCTTTTCGATAGCAGAACTAAAAGAAAAGGCGGTGGTTGATTTGCTTGTTTCGACACTGCGATCCCACTGGTTCCCCATGATATTCTCCATGTTATGTATTTTTTTTATTTACTTTGGACATCATGAACGAAAAGTGTTTAAAAAAGATGACAGACGTTCAGTGTAATTTTAGGGATTAACTTTTTCTTTGAAAAATACTTTTGCAAGTGTAGAGATATTGCGTTATCCTATTCTGCACGTGTCTCGGCACGTGCCCTCTGATCACCAGTTTGATTTCAGCCAATCATCTACCTTAGCATAACAAGTAATTATGTAATAATATGATTCATCTCCGCGTGTCCGCAGCACTCAGACGTCCTTGGATATTCCTTGTTTTGGTCGATTAAAAATGTTCGTCTTTGACTCGCCTGTTGATTCGCATTGATCTCGTTACAGCAAGAAAAACAACGAAAACCTTTGGTGATTATACTTTCGTATCTGTTGTATCAATTACGTTTTAATTTGTTCAGGCGAGTTCCATGCAATCCTTTTGTACAAAACATCGGTCGAATAGCAACAAAACCTTATCAATTTAAAGTTTTTTATCCGGTCCTGGGGTCAAAAAGGAATTTTAATTAAAACCGCACTATGAACCAAGTTCAATGTAAGCTGGGAAAACTGACCCCACAGACCGAACTATTGTACGAAAAAGTATTAGGTAAGGTAAACTTTTTGCTTAAAGAAAGTGATAGTTTTTGTTGCGGTGAAAATAACCATTTTAAAAAGATGGATCTGAGTTTTGCAGGTTAGTCAATTGCAGGGAAAAAGGAACTTGACTCAGTACTGAGGTACGTGAGTGTTATTTTACTAAATTTTTTTAGCAGATATTTGTCGGCTGTTTCACTGCTCGGCTCTCTTGGCAGTAGGAATTTAAGTTCTCAAGTCTGCTTGAATGTAAGAGGGAATTTACGAAAACTTCTGATTCTCTCTCGATTTCACCAAATCGGCAACAGGCAAACGTCGTTTTAGAGATGAAGGTCTGCAAAGAAACTGCAAAAAAAATACCAAATTATAGATCCAAACGCAAAATAAAGAATTGTCAATACTGACTCAGTTTTTTAAAACTAAAACTAAAATGACAACTTGTTTTTTTAAAAACAGTTTTCATTTTGAACAAATGTTGTTGCGATATGGTTTGGACCCCACACAAATGCTTTATTAAGGCAATTGCAAAGACAACTGCAAGTAAAATATTTCCAAAAAAAATTACATAAAATAGGAGAGGACAAGGTAGTTTAATGTCCTGGCTACTTCCAAAATTTTCTCAATGATTTCCCTACATTTCTCTGTCATAAATTAAGAGAATCGAACGCACGCTTTGAAAATTAAATTTAAAAAATTCTTTAAGGAATAGCACTGCATATTCAAACCACCACGTATTAAAACCACTTACTCTGGAGCTTAATTATCTTATGGATTCTTAAACAAGAAAACACTTCTTTACGGATAGGTTTGTCTTTCCTTGGTACAGTGCTTGGTGGATAATGAGTGTGTTGAAAATATGAGAAGTTACATAATGACTGCACGGTCACTAGTTGATGTCTTCTGCACTGACTATTCACTCTTTCTTTCGTTTCTTTTTCTCAGAAATCATCCTTTGACAGGCATCTTCTCTTATGAGTGGGAGATATGGAGGAACGAACAAACAACTTAACATTTCCTACTAATTTTAGCACTTTCACTGACACCAATAACTGCCTAGTTGAATTTGATGGAAGTACTTCAATGGAAAATCTTCCTGTGTCTATGTTACATAACGTTGTCAACATTCTATCAATCCCCGTTGCAACAATGGCGAACTTTTTCGTTCTGTGGGCCATAAAAGAGAGACCTTCCTTGCACACACCATCTTCGGTGTTCCTGTTTATACTAGCGCTATCTGATTTTGCAATTGGTGTCTTCGTTCAACCGTTGGTTGTCATTCGATCCTTTGGTGCGGCATCCCATAATTATCGCTTGTCCTGCATATCCAACGTCTTAATTTTCGCCGTGGGTACCGCCCTTGCTTCCATGTCCTTCGCGTGCATAACTGAAATAAGTTTCGATCGATACCTGGCACTAGTACTACATCTACGATACAATTCAATCATCACTGTCAGACGTGTGATCAAGTACAAAATCATAGCATCTGTTGCAATCTTTCCAATAACAATATACTTCTGGTTCTCGAAGGAGGAGTGGTTCAAGAGGACAGTTCTTACGGTTGCGATCACACTGGCCGCCATCTGCGGCACACTAATTCCTATCTCGTATTATAAAATTTTCATGATATTGCGACGGCACAAAAGGCAGATACGGAACCAAAATAACGTAGCTACATGCACACAAGGATTTACCGACACTGACATTTCTAAATACAGAAAATCTGTACTTGCAATTCTATACGTTCTTGGAGCAGTCGCCTTAAGTTATATTCCGTTAGGAGTATGTACTTGGATGCAAATGGTGTTTCAGGCGAAGATAAACCAGTTGGTGACTAGTTCTGCGGGACTATTGGTTTTATTAAACTCCTCGATTAATCCTCTTGTCTACTGCTGGAGGATGACAGAAATTCGAAGGTTTATTGTCATGAAATTACGTAGCATATTAGGCGTTGATCGTGGAAGACAAGTCCGATCAGTTGGAATGATAACACGTTAACCCTTTACACCCTAACATCAGTATGTATATTCTCCAAACTGTTCTCTTTACATTTCCAAAGAGGCTGACAAGGAGAATTTGTTTCACAATCAAGAGCACCTCTAGTTGGTGATCATCTCCTATATTCTCATGACTTTGGCGTTTGATTCAAGGGTGATATTGTAAGGAGAAATTAGACACTAGTCACTCTTGGGGGATCACACAGAAGCTTCCCCCGAGCAACCGTTTGTCCCTGTCGGCAATAAACACTAACAGAATACTCTGCCTATTTCTAAGCATTCCTTAACTATTAAGTAACACATGATCAACAGCAACGGTCGCTTAAAGTGAAATAATTATCTATCTTTGAAACTTTTCTCTACGCTTCCAGAGGGTCCCTCGAGTTTCGAGCAAACAAGGTAACCCGCGTTATATCTTGACACCATAACCTACGTAGATGCGTTATAAAAAAATTTTGAACAAGGAGAAGGCAGGCAACTATACGAGCGTCTTGGTGGAACTTGGGAGAATACAAGAATATTTTGCTAATATACATAATTTATACTTGACCACAGGATACCCATATACTATACCAGTAATAAAAAGGAGCACTATGGTACACAGCCAATCAAAGAGGATTAAGTACTACGTAGCATAAATGAACCAGTCAGATAGCTGGTATATAATCCTCTTCTCTGATTGGCTGTGTACCATAGTGCCCTCTTGTATTATCCATACGCTTTCTGTATTATTATGTCCAAAATGATTCTGATTTCCTTTTACACGTAAGTTAATCAAATTTCAAATAAAAGCGTATGAAAGAAAACCAACAACGACACATACTGGCCAAACAAATAATCAAAAAAGTTATACACCCCTTAATCTAAAGACGATTGTGAACGACTGATTAGCAATTATGTGACCTTACATAAATTAAAATGTATCGAACCTGAATGGTAAGAAAAAAAAAAAAAAAAAAAAACGTTTCCCTCGGGAGCCGACATAAAGTAAATTATGTTCGGCGATAAAAAGTCTCCCCCTACAAGGAAACGTTAATAGTAGAAGAAATGAAAAGTTCTCAACCAACGGCAATATTTGTGAAGCGTTAATATTTCTACCCCTTGAAGTAAAACTGAGACCGAAAAAAATTTCTCCAATGGATCTTTCCTCTTCCCATGTACTCCACGCGAACAATTAATTGTATTTTTAAAATCAATTTTTTTTTCAATCTTAAAGCTGATTTAATCTTTTATACGCAGTAGCCCTAAGTTTTTACCTCGTGGCTACATTAGTTTTTTTTAAATTTTACGAATTTTACGCCATAAAATTTTTAAGAAAATATATTCAGCAAAGAAATTACAATAATCGCCTTGAGACTGATACAATCAGCATAGAGACACTTTTACTCCCACGATGAGATGAGCACTTCTCCCTTCTGGTTTCGAGCCATCCTTTGGAAAACTAGTTCAGGGAATCTGTTTCTATATCAAGATCACAGACTTACACCCTTGAATTGATAGGCATGTCTTTTCTCATTGGCTGCGCGCTGTGTATGAATTGATATTGTAAGGAGATGTGGCATGTTACATATCGGGAAACAAAGGTTAAAGATATCTCAAGCTAAGATGAATGAAACGTTTGCAAAAACTTAGGAGCACGTAAATAGCTATCCTTAAAGGATTTGCTTATTTAAAAGGCCAGTATGAGTCAGTCCTTTAGGACCGCTAGCGATTGAATTATTCATTACTAAGGTGAAACGAATAACGATGTTTTGCTGGATTGAACGCTAAGGAAGTCGGAGGCACTGTGACCTGGGCTTCGGGATGATTCGGTTCTTCACGGGAACTTTTCGGTTCACCTCGTGTGGTGCTTTCCGCTCTCTTGCAGCATTCGTTTCTCGTTGCGCATTTCGGTCATAGTCGTTCAAGTCTCAGTTCCTGTAGGCTAAAATCTATTATTTGCGTGTAAGATTCGGGAAATTTAAGTAATAGAGCCGCTCTCTCGCGTGGAGTGTTTGGTTCTTGTGAAGCCACCGACACTTATCAAATTTCGCTTAAGTTAGTCGGTTTTTTTCGTGGAGTGTTCGGTTCGTTTTTGAAAGATTCGTTTCTTGTCGTGAAGCAATCGGTTCGTTTTTTCGGTTCCTTTCGCGCGGTTTCAACACCACGTTAGTTACTCTTCCCACGGGCTGACATCTGTGTCGATCGCCATGCAGTTGTAAGCAGCGTATCGAATCTTTTCTTCAGCTACTTTTGCACTGAAAGCAGAACGATGAGAGTAAGAGATTTGTACGTAGTCTCAAACAAGTATGAGATTAGTGGAGGGATTCTTTTACACCCAAAAATACTTTAAGGAAAGGGTGAATCGGGTTTCTTTTTTATCAACAAAACCTGAGCTACAGCTATATCGCTTTCCACGACGAGATTTAAGATTGCTCGCAGTTCTTTCTCTCAAAGGTTTGGGACTTGTAGGCACTAGGCATAGTTCTTTCCCACGTTTCGTTTGCTAAGTGGAATATCTTTTCAGTCGAGCAGTCCCCCTAATCATAACAGCTTAAGCCTGGTAGCACTGATTAAGTTCAATGTAGAAAAACAAACCTTGTATATTCTGGTAGAAAAAGAGTGCTTGAACAAGTGGCAGCTTCAGGCAATGAGTCAGCTTGCACAGAACTGAGATTCAATAAGAGAGAAGCCATCAGTGGGGAAAAACGAATAGTGAAGACGATTTCGCGAAGTGCTTTATTTACGAATTATCAGCTCTTGTTTTGTAACTTTACAGCCTAACGATCGAAATAGTTGAGATAGTGCCAGGGGTGTTATGACCTCAATCTCTTTGAGTTAGGTTGGATAGTCTTTCAAGTTTGTAGGCCACTAAACCTGAAGCTTATTCAGTTTACTAAACCAGAAAGCGATTAGGAAAAGTATTTCTCCACCTGAAGAAGATCAATACAAGTCCAAAGCAAGTTATTACACGGTGTCAAGTCGGGTTTCCCAGAAAGGTTATTGATATGGCCCAGAACACCACACAATGTTGCCTTGTAAATGCTCAACTTCCGGATGTGAAGGGTTGGGTATTCTGTGGGCCAAAGCAAAAACGGGAAGAAAGTTTCAAACACAGTTAAGGTCACTTCTCACCTTCTCCCAGGACAGATGTACAAAGGCGCTGGAAGTCGTCTCCGTCCCGTGACAAAACGTAGAAATCGACTGCGATCATCTAAACAACACAAAAGCAAGTAGACAGTACTGTAGCCTCTGTAGCATGAAGCGACCAAGGGTGTTGTCATACCTTCCACTCCACCTCCCCTCCCGGGATGAAATGATAGATCATCCAAGGACACACCCTAAAATTTCGTAAGGTTTGCCCAACAACTCACTGGTACCCATTTCTACTCCCGGATGGAAAGAAGCGCCGTGGGAGGAGAGAACACTATTAAAGTGCACAACACGACATGAACTTTGGAAACGGAATTCGAGCTTGATGGCTAACGTTTCTTACGACAAACTTGCTAATTATGCCAGGAATGTATAAGATATGAAATGCTGTTGTTCATCGAAGTTCTGTCGATAAATGAATGTTCAGTCGTTTGTCTCAAAATGTAAAGTCAAGCTATCAATAGGCCATTTTACAGTGGTGTACTTAGATGCCACGCCTTTGTTTTTTGAGTGAGACTGAAGTCGACCATGTTGTGATAGAGATCTAGTTAGCACGATAACAGTATCTAGTTGGCATGGTAACAAAGTTATTTACATTTGAAAAGCAGCAAGGTTTGTATCATAATAAGGTCACCCTTAGCCTCACTCCAGTTCAAAGGCTTGGCAACCAAACAAGCAACTGTAAAATGGACTATTGATACATAAGATTCTTTAAGACATTACGATAAAATTAAGTTACTTTATAAGATTCACGCAAAAGGAGGCATTTGCGCGATCTGTGTAACACACAACCTACCGTTTGTGAAATTCTCCAACGCTTTCCACAAAAACTTCACGCGCCTATCATTCTCGGTGATATCTTCGTAGTGCACTGTTAGAACATAGAGAAGAGAGAGGCAATGAGCAACAGCGTTCCTACTGACGCTTCACTAACTTGCATACGACACGTAGAGATGAAACACAATGACTGAGGATGCACGTACCACTAAATTAGAAAGCGTTTGACATTCACGTTTACTCAATTTTAGAGTGCACTTCATACAGCCGCAAGAACGAATTCAGAGTTGCGCATGCACTCTGTGAAGGGTGTAAGCGTCAGGCATGCCAGGTGACATGACCGCACTGGCGGTTACGTGACTATACTTGGGGGTTACGCGACTATACCTGAGGGCTAAACGCTACACGATTAGCTTTCATCCAATTGGAACATAGGTCTTCAGAAAGGGTGGATGTAAACCAGTCATAACCTATCTTTCAGTAACACTTACTACACTTTTTTAATGCCTCAACTGCCAAATCAGGATCGCCACACACTCTTCTCTCCAGTTCCTGCCAAGTAAGAAGGTCGAGTACAGCCTGGGAAAGAACTTTTAGAAGACCCCTTCTGATCGCTTCAATCTGTAGACAAAATAAAGAGAAATATAGCAAAGACTAGGTTGAATAACTAAGAGCATTATGAGTGCGCGCTGCTGTCGCGTATTTCGCCGAGTTGATTGCTATTTCTTTTTATGAAAACGTATAACAGCTAGTTTGTTTCTCAACTTTTTTCATAATTTGACATCTGAGCTTTTAATTGACAAATCGGACTCCCGCTTTGCGGTCTTCTATATTTGTTAATCACCGTATGATTGCACACCGAATCTGACTCCACTCAGTCCTATTACCATTATTTATCAGCCTTGATCTATTGACCCCTAAGAAAGACTAGCATCTGTTTCTCCTTACAATATCACCCCTGAATCACACATTAAGGTCACCAATTAAAGAAGCTCTGATTGTTAAAAATTCTCCTTATCATCAACTTAGGAAATGTATAGAAAACAGTATGGAGAATATGCATACTGATGTTAGGGTGTAGAGGGTTAAGTCTAAGAGGCTAAATTTAGGAACTAAAAATTGTTAACGTCGTTAAGCAAAATTTTACCTGCTGTTTCCCTTCGCCCATCCGGCAATTTCGCACCAGCTGAATGTACTCAGTTCTTTCTTCATAATCTACGAATTTATCAGCTCCTCCAGGGACAAGGTTTATTAACGTGTTATCGCTTAAAACCTGTTATGGAGGGAGAGGGGTGTTAGTGAAAAACTAAAGAGAGGGGGGGAGGTAACTGAAGGGATGACCAAAGGTTGAGAATAAAGACGGATTTGATAACTCAGTGATGTCGGATGTGGCTCGTTTTTCGGTGGGCGAGGAAGGGAAACAATTCACACCGAGCGGCGAGGTATTGGCGCTTAAAACCAAAAACGCCTGTGACAAACAAAGGACCTCATTACTTCGGCCACGCCTATTTTTTGGTCTATAAGTAATAAGGGACAGACTATGTGCTCGTAAATCCCCCCGAGAGATCCGCCACGCTATTGTTGGGACATACTGACGGGTTAATCAGTTATTTATCCTGGAAAAAAACTGCCAAAGACATCTCACCACAATAAAACGTCATCTGCATTTCGAAGCTCAAAAAACAAACTTACCGTTGTGTACGTTAACACTCCACCAAACTTCGTATCAAACGATTCCTTATCCATTGTTTCGAGAGATTCGAGCAACTTGACCTGAGTTGAGAAAAGAAACAAAAGTACTGATTTAAACAAAGGCCTTCCTGAGAGACATTTGTTTGACTGCATGCACATTCTCGCTGATATGACAAGTTTTTAGATGACAAAAGGAAAACACAACTTAGACATAGCCTAGTCTAGAGTACTGTTTCTAAAACTACAGTACCATTAAAGTTTGAATTTAGAGGAATACACATATCTACTTACTTCAAATTTGTTTATTGGGGCAAATATTCTTTTCCAGTTTCGCCCGGATAAGTTGTTGATCAATCATTTGTGTGTGCGTTGGGCTAAGGGGCGGGGAGGGGGGGGGGATGCGGGACACGCAGTGTGCGTGTATCGCACGTGCATTGCGTGGAAATTGCATTTGCGTGTGAGTTGGAGGTGGAGAAGGGGAGAGGATAAAGGGTTCCAGGTGAAAGGCTCTTTCTAAAGAGATTAATAACGGAATAAAAATATCTGCAAAGAAGTAACAGTTTCGCGCTGAGTACATCAATTTCGTTAGCCACACATTTGTTGGTCCACAGTTCTTGGCTTTCAAAAGACCACTTTGACGTGTTAACGCATAACAATGTACATCTCGTAAATGAAGACCTAACCAATTACCTGGGCAGAATCAACTGTCATGAAATCTCGCGACCAAGTCACCTTTTCACCGACAAGTTGCCGCCAAACAAAAGACGGAAGTGAAAGAACCTTGAGGGAAGAAATGAAGAATGTGTGTTAATGAACGATGTGTAACAAGAACCCTGACTAAAGCCTTGACTAGTTTGTCAGTTGCACAGATACCGAAGGAAAAACTAGTCATTGAGGTTAATTTGAGTTTGGGTTTACGACACTCGCTCTTAACCATCAAAGTAGCCATTGTTTCATACCAAGTGTTCTCTGTTACTTCTAAGGCAAGCTCCCATTAACATCCCAATCCACTCGTACTTTCCGAACTGCTTACATGAAGGGTTAGGCACGTAGGCATCTCTATTGACATTTGAAGAATCGTGTAACTGAAAAAAAACGTGACTAGAAGTGAGTTATGAGCAAGATTCAAAGGAACATCGAAGAAACCTGCGTGTCCTAATGTTTTGTTTGTTGTTTTGTTTTACTTTGTTTTATTTTTCTTCGATGTGTTGTAATTATCTCGTAAGAAGTCTCTCTGACTTTAAATTTCAAGTCTAAGGATAACAACCCAAGGGTTTGAACGATCACAAAACAGCTTTTCAATAGCATTATCAAAAGCTATTATGTAATATGCAGCACAGGGTGGTTATAACTCTGACATTCAGCAATGGAACCCCAGTACCGTCTACGGCAACTTAGTTCTATCGGTGAATGAATTACTGGTGCGCGATCATTAAAAACTACCATATGATAAACACCAAGCTGTTAAGTTCATGGCTAACATGGTAAAAGGCCAGTGGTACGGTTTAAAATATCTGATAAGGCATTTTAACATTAAGTCACACAAGTTGATGATATACTACAATGGAATCGCGTAAATTCAAGCTGTTGAACAGCGTTCAGTAAACGCATCACCAAAACGTTTGTTGTATAGTGGTAGTTTTCACAATTGGTAGAGGCCATGTCGAGACATTTGAGTCAATAGCTACGCTAAAAGAAATCTACTTTCAACTTGAAGGAGAGTTCCAAATATTCCTTCGATAAGATAGGAAACCACAAAAGAGGCAATAATAAATCAAGAAGGAACAAGATAGCTTACTATGTAGAAAATTGATTATAAAATGGCGACTAGATATCAGATCGGTCAGATAGGAAAAGACCAAACAGAAATTGATAAACCGCGAAGGCCGTGAGAGTACCTGATTTGGACTGCGAATGAAGAAAGGGACAGGTATAGGAGCATCACCTGAGCTTGGACAAAGTTCTTCAGCCAAGTCTGCGAGGGAGTCTCGAAAACCACCACCTGAAGGAACAAATGTATGTCGTGTACTTCAATATACAAAAATTTAACAACTTGGCAAGGCATATACTGAAGCAAGGTTTACAATTTATACTTTGCAATGTCCAAACTATCAAAAACTCCCTATTATTTGTTTTCTACTTTAGAGGAATGACAGAAACGATGACGAAAAAAGTATAATTTTTACGAGGATACATTTTATTTCCTTTAATTGCCTTGGACGGTTGAGTTTCAATAACTGGAGAGTATCTACGAGGAGATCAACAAATTGGCGGAGTTCTCACTCTCTTATACCAGGGGAGTAATACCAACCTTGATCAATAATTCCTTCCGAAAGGAATTTGCATTCCCACCACTGATCATACCTGGCTGACCACCTGAAGAAAAATCAATAAACACTTCAATAAGAAATGACAGTCACTTACAAAGCTGAATAGGTTTAAATATTGAGCATGGTTTCTAGTTAACAGAGTTAATTTTTTTTTTGATCCTGAATTGCATGTCTTCAACAAAATGGACTAAAGCGCCCGCTTGATACAGTATTTGACATATCTTAAGTGACATAATGGCATAAAAAGTTTTAACCCTTAAAACCCTAACATCAGTATGAATATTCTCCATACTGCTCTTCATACATTTCCTAAGGTGCTGACAAGGAGAATTTGTTTATCAATCAAAAGCTTCTTCCGTTGGTGATCATTTCCTTTATTCTAATGACCTTTACGTGTGATTCAGGGGTGACATTCTAAGGAGAAAGTTGATGCTAGTCACCCTTAGAGTTTCAAGAGTTAAGGAAGGTTCGTTCCATTGCAACTTCGCCCCCAACCACCTTTGCGAGTTCGCACCCAGAAGAAAAACAAGTTAGCCCTCGACTCGATGCCATACGGCAGAACATATTCCTTTTAACTCTGTCGAAATCAGCTGTTAGTGGGTGAACTTGAAATGAGGCAAAATTTTAAGATACCGATAGTTATAGAAAAACAGATCTACAAGGAAAGCTCGTCATTGTCACCTGTAATCCATTTTTACGCCACACTTTTCCTGCTTGAGCCCTTCATACAACTAAACGATAAATATTTTCCGTTACGAACGCGACACAGAAAACATTCGTACATAATTAAAGGAAAAAAAAAACGTAAAGTCTGCTCTCCAGCCTGTTGGCTCCTACCATTAGAACTTATCTTGGTTCCTATATAGCAATTTTCAATTGGGTGTCGAAAGTAAGAATTTTCTTTAATATTCATCACTTTGTGTAAACTGTACGATACGTTAATTATTCTTAATTTGATTGACATTTATATATGATTTCGTTTATCTATACATAACCAAACAAACATGTATGCAGCACGTGTTTTATCGCCCCACAGATGGCACTGTTCCACGTGTTTACAACGGGACGTTTAGGGTGTGTTTCCTTCGAATAAGCCGAGAGCTGGGAGTGGGAGTTAACCGAAGCGTTGTAGTAAAATCGTTTAATCAAGTGAATAAACCGTGACTTAATATGGAAGCGTGGTACAGCTTTTTCACGCTTTCGACAACTTGTCTGTTTGATATTGTATCAGTAGAGCGCATTTCGATTGGGTGTGGTAAAACCAAAACCAAAGTAATCGCAACATGTACAGCCGATCAGAAGAAAGGAAAATACCTTTAAGAGGCAAAGGAGAACTCAGTTAAAGTAAAAGAAACCAGTCGTGATTGTCTTTATAGTAGTACAAGTTTTCGGCAACAATCACAGAGCAAGGTAAAGCAAAGCCAAAAAGATTGCGGTCGACACTGAAACTGGAAATTGCTCTACTGTAAGGAGAAATTCTGCCTTGGTCACTCATGAGGGTTAATGGGATAACCGGGAGGGGGGGGGTAAGTTTCTAGAGAAACTGTGGTGCTGCGTCGGTGGAAGAGTAAAACAGGGTAATTTAGTATTATACACTGAGTTGATAACGTGTATTGGCCACCGTAAAGAGTTATAAAGCTGACGTTTCGAGCGCTAGCCCTTCATCAGAGCAAATGATGGGATAATAAGATAACAGTTTGCAGGCACTGCAAGAGAGATGTGTCTTGCTAAGGAACACAACGTCATAGGAGAGTGAAGAAACTGCTCACCTGGTTCAGTATGGAGTGTTTGGCATCTGGATCTTGTGTTGGATCCGCTCTGTGTTCAGCTGCTGATCGTCTATTGATAAATAACTTTGGCATATGCGCAGGTGAGCTGTTGAATAAGCACAGTGAATAATAGTTAGGGTTTTAAAAAGATGCCTGCATTCCAAATAACTACAGTAGCACTCAAAAGTAAGTTGAGAGTCCCTCAAAACTCGATCCTCGATCCTCGATCCTCGATCCTTGAGGCTCGAGTCGAGTTTCCAGACGTTTGAACCGTGTTTGGAGACACTCGAAACGGAAACAAAGATATTGTTATAAAGCGATTTAGGAGTACTTTTTGAAAAACGGACAATAATAGTAACAATTATTGCAAATCTAACGTACGTTTTTGCAAAATGCAATACAGCTAGACGTAGATATCATAAGATTAAATACTATGTAAATGATATTAAACGAAAATGTTTGACATGAATGCTGTTTGTTCAGATCTATGCTAGTCTTGGAACGTGATAAAAATCATGTACAATGTCTCACCTTGACTGTGATTCTCTAATGACTTTTTCAATTAACAAGGTTCTGTGCTTCGACAGAGGAAGAAGCTGACGTATGGCCTAAAGGAAAACGAGAGAAAAAATTTAAACATTTACCTCCTTTCGCTCTTTTAATAATAATAATAATAATACAAACATATTTATGCAGGATTGCTGCTTCAGTTGTAAGAAAAAAAACTGCTATCAATGCAGGTCCTGTACAAAATTAAAAAATATAAAAATAATAAAAAATATAAAAATAAATAAAAATATAAAAATAAAGCAGCTTGGATAAGTTTTATTACTTTTGTTTCTGTCTGTGTTTCATTGTGTCGCTGTCATTATCATTAACACTATAAGTAGTGAGTAAATGAGGGTCCTATACAAATTACAAGATACCCTCCGGAAAACCCTCAGGGATTTCAACGTCGTTCGTCTCGGGGATGGAGAAGTTGAATCTCATCTGGTTGGGATGGGAATAAGAACCGGATGTGTCAAGTCTTCTCCAGCAGCAAATAAGTTTTACAACTTTTGATATGGTAAATAGTTGACTTTCGCGAGCAAATAGCTCAAAAGAAAAGGTCTACAATGTCTAAGTTTTCAGGTTTGGTTAAAGTGTAGTCATAGTCGCTCATTTTGCCTTTTACAAAAATATTAAGTGGGGCATTTGAACATAATTATTGCGGGGGGGTGAAGAAGGGTGGGAACTTGAACGCACCAATCTTCAAAAGTTTAAAAACTAGGGAGAAGGGGTCGCTCGGGAAGGAAGGGGGTCGCTCGGGAAGGAAGCGGGTCGTCTGAGGGGAGGGTTCCCAGAGAGAGGGGAGATCCCAGGGGAAGGGGGGTCCCCTGGGGGGGAAGTTGAGGCTTCGAATTGATCGACGCAAAAAAGAGAGTTTTAGCATACCTCCAAATCTTTAAATGACCCAGCAGAATAATTCCAGGAAGGAAGAAGGTAATGCAGTACACTGTCTAGAAGCTCAATGAATCTTATTTAACCATGTAGAAATAGAAAAAAACCTTTCAGTAAAATTCATGATGACACTGAAATTACGCTAGGTTAGGCTAGGTGTTTATCTAAGCTCAGGGAGCCCAATTCTACGAAGCTTATTCCAGTTTACAGTACCTTGCACAGGGATCCCAGTTCAATTTTTCAAAAAGTCAACGTTAACGAAATCGTTCGACTCAGTCTGTGCTTATTTTAAGTTTACACCGTATGTTTCTGATCACTTGTCATTCAGAAGAGCTCAAGTGCAAACCGCTCAAACAAAATTTGCAAACTCAAGAAATCAAACAAGCACACCTCATTTTGTACTGCGATCATGAGTGTTGGAGAACGCAATCATTCAAGTCGCATTTCAACCTAGTGCTTACACTTCAGACCAATGTTTACCTGAGCAAGGCTTGTGCTCTTCTGTAAAGCAGAGCAGGATCTACGGCATCTAGTTTAGGAAACCTGCGAGAGCGTTATAATCAACAGATTAACCATTTCTCTGCCAAGATCTTAAAATCGATCCTATGCACTAGATCTCTTAATTCTCTCATAATTTCAGCTCTAAGTATTGGGTGTAAAATCCATCAATATTCTTTAGAAGATAATCTTCTTTCTTCTCATCATCTTTCCACTTGAAATGTACTAATACTGTGATGAGAAGTTATTAATTGGTCATTTATTCAGGGTTTCTATACGAGCCAGTTACCAGTGGTCTACCAATGTATTTAAGACCCCTTACTGCTGTCTACACGCAAGCTCTCGTATTTGAATTTCACCTTACAGCCCCTTTTCCCAAACAAAGCCACCTAGTACAACATTGGTGCCAGCTTAGGGAAAAAATTTATTGGAACCCCTGTTACTGGAATAAAAAGGGTTCGCCTTTTAACTCTAAAGATCTCATTAGTACTTCTCCTTACTGTCTGCCATCTAGTTCTTGTGATGTTACTTTGGAGAATTTGGTATTGGATCAACTAATAATCCCCTTAAATTAATACTTTTTTTTATTCTCATCACTCCTCTACTTGAGAAGAAATTCTGTCTTGGTCACTCATGGGAATTAAAGGGTTAAAACATACTAAGGAGTGGGCATTGTGATCTAAGTACCACCCCAACGATGTGTACCTCTTTCCCAATCATTTTTATGAGGAAAAATTCACTTGAAAAAAAAAATTGCTGATATGATTGCACGCATTACATACCTGATAAGTTCTGTGGGTGTAAACAAATCTTGGTTCAGTCCTGGCTCCTTTTCACTCTCTGATATTAATTTGATACCATGGATACGAGTGTCAATACCCTCATCTAGCAAAAAAATACTTTGATACTTAATTATCATAAAGTATAATTAAACATGAAGAAAAATTTAGAGAAAAAGAGCTTTCATTAAGTCATATATGGTGAAGGTTTTACATTTGGGCCCAGTTGTTCAGGGCAGAAAATACTGTCCAACTGTTAAATCCCTATCTAGTGGTGAACTGGCTTTCACTCCAAAGATCTAATAGGTTAATTTTCCTGACAGTCTGCCATTATACAACTCTAATCCATTAGTTCTGAGAATTTGGAATTGGATCAACATGAAATGCCCTAATTGATAATTTTTCTTAACTCTCATCATTGTCTGCTTGATATTGTATTAATATTGTAAGGAGAAATTCTTTCTTGATCACTGATGGGAGTTAAAATTTAAGTGTTAACAAAACATACATCAGTGGTAAGGATTAAGAGTATTCTCTGTTTTCATTATTAGTGAGTTTACAGGGGAGAACGTTTGACCAAAATAGTGCAACTCTCTGAAGACTCCACTAGTAATTTCTTCTCAGAAGCTTTTTTTACCAAAATTTGAGTTGCTAAACTCAGGGTGCAGCTCTCAGGGTGTGGCTCTCAGGGTGCAGTTTATCTGTGAGTGCTAATGGTAATTAGTAATTGATGAGACTGTATGCACAATACCTTTGCATTCTTTAATTGCAATCTGAATGATACTGAAGTATTGTGTCATGCCTTTCAAAATACACACATCCCCTGTATGGCTTCTACAAGAAAAGAAAAAACCATTTTAATTAAAGACATAATTTTATATCAACCAAGTACATTTTCATGTCTAAGGTATTGATTATCATTAGGATTTTTTTACCCTTTGACCCCTAAGAGTGAGTAGCATCTAACTTCTCCTTACAATATCATCCCTGAATCATACTTTAAAGAAAGGAGAATAAAGAAAATGATCACCAACTAAAGAAGCTCTTGATTGTTAAACAAATTCTCCTTGTTAGCACCTTATAAAATGTATAGAGAACAGAATGGAGAATATGCCTCTTTGCTGTTAGGGAGGTTGTAAAGGATAAAGTAACCACAGATGTATGGTGAAGAATATGGAATAGTGGATATTGAGATTCTGGGACTCTGAGAAAGGGTCAAATAGCAATGTGAGTTAATTCTGCACTTGAAAAATGGCCCATAAAGCCAGATTTGATCCTGGTTTCCTTAGCATAAAGCACCTAGAAGTATTACTATTCCACCCTGGATGGGATGCTAGTTCACAGAAAGGTTACCCCCCCCCCCAGAGCATTTCATCAGGCTCTCCTGATTATCTGCAGCTACCCATTTGTACTCCTAGGCCCAGTTGTTGGAAGTCCAATTAGTGCTAACCCAGCATTAAAATATAATCCAGGTTTCTTCATTCCGACATATATGTTTGTTCAAAAGCCTTTTTCAGATAATTTTTTCTTTCCTTTTTAGGGCATCCAATCATCAAATTGTAGACAAAAGGAATGGAACAGAATTTTGTATTAAGGCTTTGAAATCTGAAATCAGATTTCACACTAACCCTGGGTAATCTTAACCCAGCATTGAATCACCTGTTCCTGGCTGGAGAGAGGCACTGAAAGGAAAGTATTTGCCCAAAAACACAACACACCAACCTGGGGAGGTCTTGAACCCAGACCTCTTAGCCCAAAGCCCAGTTCATTACCATTAAGCCATAGCATACCCAGCAGATAGCAATATAACTTTAACAACAATATTTTTATGACTTACGTATCAATAAAGACTTCATTGAGTTGTTTGAGGTTGGCAGAATCTCCACCCATGACTATAATATGATGTGGCATGTAGTTATCATCTTTGGCATCAACAGTGACAGAAAGTTGTCTAAAAAAAAAATGACACACACACAGGTATCAATTTGTTTATTTGCTTTGTCTAGTGTTATAGATAAAGTATTGTACATTGTTATAGTATAATAGATTGTTTTGTTGCAAATTAAATTTAACTTACACCTTGCTGAAAAAGATGAAAATTTTGATAAGTGCCAGCTTCAAACAAATGCCCTCCTCAAATAATTGCTGCCTCCCAAGTTCCAAACTTTTAATAAAAACCCAGGGTGCTTAATCTAACATATAAGAAAATGTGTCAGAAACACAGTGCACTTCTCAAAAACATTTACCAGATGAGGGTAAATTTTACCCAAACAGACCAATCAGAACACTTTGTTTCCTTAGATAAAGTTTACCTGACTGGAGTAAACTTGACCACTACAGTGTAGCAATTCACAAAATAGAGCACTCACATGGGCTGAACTAGTGCAGAATAATTACATCCTTTCAATTGTGCCTTCTTAGAATGAAATTTCAAGATTTATAGATGTAATAGGGTGCAAGACTGATCAGGCATACTCCCCTTGTTGTACCAAGGAAACCCTACAGCTGACTTTATGACTAGTATACTAACCTAATGATAGTTCCTGCTCTCATTGAGAGCTTAATCCAATGTTTACCCTGTCTGCCATCTGTTTCCCAGAAGGTATCTGGATCACCATCTGTCAATGCATCTTTTGAGTCCTCCTCCTGGAATGAAATTACTACTTTTATCTTCAATTTGCATCATAAGCATTGACTAAATACATGAATCTGGGGCATGGATAGGATTTCTAAAAGGCTGAGTCATAGCTATGAAATCAATTTACTTTGACCCTTTCACTCCAAAGATCTCATGAACAATTATCCTTACAGTCTGCCTTACAATTCTTCTCGCAGTTTGGAGAATTTGGTACTAGATCAACTAATATTTCCCTGATTGACAACATTTTATTTTTTTTCATGACAGTGCTCTGCTTAATATTGCACTTACATAGTAAGGAGAAATTTTGTCTTGATCACTCAAAGAAATAAAGGGATAACAAACAACAACAGTTTTTTCGCAAGTAATTTCAATTTAGAAATCAAATATTTTTATCACTTGTATTATATTTATTATGTTACCACTCAAAAGTAAGGTGACCCTCCCCACATGGAAACTCTATCCTTGATACTAAAACTATTGAGAATCAAGGCTCAAGTATCAAGAATCAAGAATCCAGAATCCAGAAGTTTGAAGAACAATTCAATTCTAGCAAGAAAAACAATAGCCAAAGACAAAGCCCTTAATAACGCTGGATGCAATTAATTACTGCAGATTGATGCAAAATCATCCATAAACACACCCCTAAAATGAATGCTGTACCTAAGCAGGTGAATGCAGCATTTAGTGGAAGATTGTGAGACAAAAAATTACAAGTATGGTATAACTCAATCCTTTACACCTTAATATTAACATTCATATTCTCCCCACAGTTATCTCTATATATTCCACAGTAATGACAAGGAGAATTTGTGTAAAAATCAGAAGCGCCTTAAATTAGTGATCATTTTCCATTTCACTCATGACTGTTACATTTGATTCAGGGGTGATACTCTAAGGAGAAATTAAAAAGCCAGTTCCTCTCAGGAGTTTAAGAATCTACTAATGCTTTAATATTAATAATTGTTGTCAAAGATCTAGGAAATATGATTTTGAGAGAAACACCTCCCTAAAGTAAAGAGCTTCCATACTTAGATAAATGCCTTGGGGAAACACTAAAAATTAAATTAAAGTGGCAGCATTTTATCAAATAAATTTAGAATACTACATCTTCATTAATATAGAATAAGCTGAATTACAAATGCATTTAGATTAGTTCTTACTAATGATCTCAAGAGTAATCAGGATCTAATTTCTCCTCACAGTAATGCTGCTGAGTAGTTCACTAAGATCATGAGAAAAAAGGAAATGATCGCCAACCTAACAAGCTGTGATCATCTAACAAATTCTCCTCATCAGAATCAAAGGAAATGTAAAGAGAAGAGTATAGAGAATAATTATTAACAACATTTTTGTTTTTTTTTTATCATATAATACAAAATGATTCCATATTGCCGTGCACCTGTACAATTATAATATATCACAGAAAATGTCAAAATGTAGTAAAAACATCAATGATACAACTTTTTTGTTCTTATTACATTTTGACGTCATCTGTGAACTATTACTTGACATGCGCATGGCAACATGGAATCTAACTGTTAACTCTTTAACTTCCAAAATCTGATTTTAAATTCTCCCCTCTAGCTGCAACACATTTCTTTTTAAATTGGTTGCGAGAAATTGGTGTTCATTTATGGTAATATCATTTAGCTGGTTAGTTTCAGTATTCTCATTACCTGTGTGCTGAATAATGAATGGATATTAATAGGAGAAGTTACATGTTAATCACTTCTGGAAGTTAAAGGGTTAAATAGATGCAAACTCACAGATGAAACTTGCACTGACTCCACATATCTGCTGATATTTCCAAGTGATGCTTCATGTTTATTTATATGATTAGCCATAAACTTGGCCAGCTCCTCATCTGCATCTAAATTCCACTTTGGTGGAGGAGCACTCAGCTGTTGCATGGCTTCTTTGTCAGCATACTTTTCAATAGAGGGTGGGTCAGATATCCTGAGTGAGTAACACATCTCTACTGCCTCTTGCCAACTGAAGGGTAAAGAAAAAAGGAAACTTACTTGGTTTATCTCTAATTATTTCTATCACTATTACAGTAATTGGTTCTAATACAGGGATAACATTTGATTATGTGGTCTGACTGTCTGAGTGACAGTTGTTCTGAGTAGTGGTGACTGACTTTTTTGACAACCTCAGTGGAATTCATCAGCAGAGTCAAGTGAAGAGTTGACTGTTATAAGTGACCTCACTCAAATGATCAGAATACTAAATCAGATTTTTCCCCTCCCCCTTTATAAAGCCAACATTTCAGTTAATTCACACATGCCCTCTAGAGGCAACTGGTACCGAGCTCAGATAAGGCTGCAGGAAGTATTTAAAAAACTGAAAGCCAAAATATTAGAAAATGAGATGAGAGTAGAATAATAAATCACTCATTCCATGGTTTAACTTATAATATGAGCACACATTTTGCTCATTGCTTGTATTTTTCCCTGCCCTCACATGGTTCAGAAAAATACCAAGCAACTTGCAAAGTATATACATGTGCATATTACATGTCCAACCATCAAAATAAGGAGATCTAAAGTTTGCTTAGCACCTCACTTAGTTTATATAATGCATTAAAATAAAACATTGCAGCATCATAGCCACCTTAAATTAAGTATACAAATACACTATTGATATGTGACATTACGAACCTTTTGATGGTTCTAGATCCTTTAGATGGTGAACTGCCATCTACAGCTTTGACGTAAGGTGTTCCTACACCATGTTTACTGTCATAAGGTGCTGCAAGAATCCACCCCTCTTTTGCTGGTTTACCAGAACAGTACCTCTGTAAAGTTTTCTGCCAATAAATGCATTTAAATAATTGATAAGTAGTGGTATGATAGTATAGTACTGACAGTGTAACCAGACAGCACTAGGCTGAGTTGTTAGGATAACCCAGCTTTGATGTGGAATATGATTTCAGATCTGAAAGCTTTAAAAGAAGGTCCAGTCAAATTCTTTTTGTGGATGAGATCAATCCAAAAAATGAACAATATTCAAATTTAGTCGGAAGGAAATACACAACAGGTGATTCTTGCTTAATTAGATAATGCCACTGTCATGAATTTCCTTGAATAGTTCAGTCCTATTCTGTCATCTCGGTGAGATAATTCTTGTAAAGAAATTAGTTTCATTAACTCTCAATTTCCTTCACTTTCATCAAACTACATTGCGCTGAGCAAAGTTATCATACGATAGACAAGTACAATTGTTTGAAATATGGTACGAACGCGGTGTACATGATATATAAGCATGTTAGGGTAAAATTTCCGCACAGCCCCATACTATGGTAAAACAAATCTGTTTTCCCAATGGCAATGTATTGTTTTTGTCAATGTTTTTTCTATCCGAGAACTGAATGCATAATGTAGTAAGGGGCTGTGCGGAGATTTTACCCATGCTAGTGGGAAACTTCAAGAGTATCGAAACTGCTTATTTTTCATGCCTTTCTGCTGGAAATAATAGCTCTAACTGACAAAATAGGACAACAGATTAATTTAAGAAATTGAAACAAGCACAATTTGTTTTTTAATCAATGCAGTTGAATACATCACGATCAGAAACTCGTTGTCAGTTGATACCGTAAATCTACGCATAAGCCGGCAATACCTGAGAAAGCTTTATCCAGGAGCCACTACTATTAAAGACTTCACTTCCTGATGCAAACAGTTGAAGATTAGACACAGCTGGCAGCTCTCCAATACACTGAGCATCACTTTTTGGTTTCTTGTGTATCGTTATAACTCTTAGGTTCCTATTATCCTCCCTTGCGTATTCAATTTCCGCAGGAACAAAACACAGTGCCGAAGGCAAACTTTTCCCTTGTTCTATGTGTTTTATGCTCTCCAAAAGGCATCTTATTCGAGCCAGGCGACGTCTCGCTGGTTCATTCTTCATTCTGTAAAGTCAGTTTGCCAGTTTATGCTATTCATTCCGACAACAAAATTAGGAAAAGGAAAGGCAAACAGGTAACCAGGCAAAAAACACAACTGCAGACCTCTGTGGACTGGATACAGCATCAAACCACAGGACACCCAGACAGCTGCAGACATTCCAGGTTGTGCCCATGCCTTCGTTGACGTTTTGTCATCTTGCTTAAGAAATCATTTTTGGTTTTTTTTGTTTTGTTTTGTTTTTTTCGATAAAAAACAAGAATTCTATGGTAATGATTGAGGGTTATGTTGCTTGCACCAATCCGATCGCTACATTTGGGTATGTATCTCACACCAATCAAACACAGCATTAGGGTATGCTTACATCATACTTGCACCAATTAGAGCGTTAGAGTATCGTCCCTCATGCCAATCATGTCATGAGATTAGGGTACTGCAATATGTTGCGATGGAATCAAACCAACATACCAGTTTATTAACACACACCAAGAAGACATTCAAAAACAATGAAATTATTTATGTCCTTCGTAAGGACTTCGTCGCTGCGACCTGTCAAGGTTAGATAGGACGTCAGGGAATTTTTCTACCATTTAGAAGTTAAAACGTGTTTTGTGCACCACCCCTTCACCCAGAACGCAGGCGCCGTCAATAGAAGGCGCATGCTTGTGCTTCTCCTTCTTGGGAAACATTTCTCTTTCTGACAATTTTTTGTGGATCAAATTTAAATCGAGGTCGAGGAATATAAGAGGATGCTTAAGACATAGTTCAGATCTATATGGAAGGCAACAGAACAAAGACAGACCTGACAAGGAGAAAGTAGCTCCTTCTAAAAACGTGCACTTTTATTATTATTTTTTTTTGTCAAAATGCAATATTTCGCTATCCATCATCTGCATCCAGCATCGTGAGCCTCAGATTTTTCTTCGTAATTGGGCGAACACAACAACGAGCATGGGTTACACTTAGTATGATTCATTTATTTAATTGATCTATTTACTTAATAATTTTTATTATTATTTGGCATTTATCGTGTCTGTTGGTATTATTATTTCTTTTCTCCTTTGCTTCTTTGCAACTTATTTGTCATTAGCTAGAAATTTGCGGCTCCTTCAAAATCCAAAATGGTGAGAAATTCACTAGCAGTAGCATTAAGTTCCAAGAGAAATTTTTGGGGTTGAATAATGCAGCTAGAATACGTGATAAAATTCAGGTTGTTTATAAGGAAATGCCATGTGATGGAGCGAAGTCTAATGTGGTAAAATGGAATTTGATTGATAGAATACAATTCAAGCACGTGCTCTTCGTGCACTGATGGGGTATGCTCTAAGTGGACTTTGGACGTGGTTGTCATAGTACGTGATGGAATGTAAGTTGTTTGGCGTATGCGTTGTGAGAAAAGGAGGGGAAAAACACGTTTTAACTGTAAAATGATACAATAAAAATAAATGCGAACCTTCATAACCCGCTAGACCTCGACCTCAATCGACGAGGCTCTTGCGAAGACGACAACCATAACACTTATCAAATGAGCCCAAAATTTCTGGTTAACGTCATTCTTCGTGCACGGCCCCCTGAGTCCATGACATCATTTACAAGAAAACAATTCTCAAACGCTGCGATTGGTGCAAGATATCCAAATGCTGTCGTATGATTGGTGCGAGACACATACCCTAAAGCGGCAATCTGATTAGTGTGTGATGCATACCCTAATGCAGCGATGTGATTGGTGCGAGCAACTTACCACTCTACACGCTAACACGACGATAAATAATGAGTAGTCACTTAGAGCCGTTTTCTTATAACACGAAGGAATCGTTCTTGTTTTGCGTCTATAGTCGCTTCCACTTTGCCATCTCTACGACTTCTTTTCCATTGTAGAGACTTTTGAGTGGCTTGAAGTGATTCCTGGTATTTTTTCGTACGAATCTTAAACTCAGGTGTATCTTTCTCTCGTTCATAACTGCTCTGTTTTGTTGTGCATTCATAAGAAACAGATTTTGAGCTTTCGCTTACGTCCTCCACAAATTCATCATCTTCCGTAGCAAGTGGATCTTGATAATCACCATCCGCAAAAATATTTTGCTTAGTCCATTCTGATTCCTCGTCATGAGTCCAATCTTTCTTGATGGGACAATTATCGTCTTCGTCACTTAATAAATTTCTTTGTTCCATCAGGTTAGTAGCCATAACAACTGACTTCCTGTCTGATTTACAAATTGAAAGTTTACACTCTTCTATTTGGATACATTTTGTCTGGTTATTTTTGACTTGTTGCGATGTCTGGTGCGGTAATGACGTCTCTCGACTCGATGACTGCGGCTCGATTCGGTGTTGTGGGACGGGTGCACTAAACAGATACCTTCGCCTATTTACCCTCTTGATTAGCTGAAAATCAGATCCACCAGGATCTTTTTCACTATCTTCACTCAGAGATGGTTGTGATTGACAGAAAAGTACTTTAAGATCCAAGTGATCCGTTGATGATGGTGTGAGTTCATTAGTGTCTGTAGTGGTAGCTTCAGACAAACAAGGAAACATCGCGTCTCCTGAGTACTCCAAAGTCAATGACGCGCTCTCTTTTGGGATCGTCTTTTTATTTATGGGAGCATAAAACTTTCTTCTCCACTCCTCAAATTCCTCTTTTTCTTTTTGACTCCCACTTGCTCGTAGCGGACCCAAATTAGCTCGAAGAAAAATGTTCTTGCAATCTTTGCTCTTTGGTAAATCAAATATGGAAATTCTACGTTGACTGTTGTTTTTTTCGACGGTGTGAACAAGATGGTTAGAACTTCTAGAACCTGCTACTGGGATCCTTTGACTAAATGGGGGGAGGTGATGAGGGAGTCTGGCAGATAACCCTTGTATTTCCAGGTACCTGTTACCCGCCACTGACAGAAGCTCTGGCTCTAGGCTCAATGACTTTTTCAGCACAGCCGTTTTCGGTCTCTCCCCTTCAATTGATACGTCTGGCGTTTCTCTGTCAGAGAGATCTGAATGCTGGTTATTCGAGCGTTGTACCTTTGTTTCAAAATTGCTCGGACGTCCTTCGCCGATTCTGGGTCTTCTTGGTAATAAGCGACGGCTGATTCCTGTACAACGATTCACTGAATCCGATATGCTTCGATGGCATGTGTCCTCCCTGCGTAAAATGGCCACGTCAGCACATTCTGGATCAAAACAGCAAATTTCTCCGGTTAAATACATGGAGGTTTGTTCGGGAAAATCACATTGACAAAACGAATGACGATTCATGTGAACTTTAGTTTAACAAGCAAACTCGTTGCATAAAATTACGCTAGAAAATTATTCTGATCGGATGTCTGACGGTATGGACTTGACATCGATAAAACGTTTTGAACCCATTTTAGACCAAAGTTAAGCCTTTATTATGTGAGGCGTAGGATCAGACACAATTAAAAACTAATCAGTAATAATTATGATGATCCATTTGCCGCTAATTAAAATCAGACTGATAACAATGAAGGGATGAGAAGTACATCTCTAATTAAGGGCAATGTTTTGTTGTTTTCCCGGTCATTTCCGGTTCGCTACGAAACTAATTGAAAACAAATCAGACCTATTATCGAGGATTGGAACTGTATTTAGTATCGTTTATTATTCTGTTTTCATAGAAACAGAGACCACAGTTAATCAGTTACCGGCTGTAACCAAATTCTCGACCACTTTAACACAATTTCGTGCTCGCCTGAATATTGTTAATTTCACAGTATACCAATGTATGAACGGTATAGAATTTTTGTCCATTTTACATTTTTACATACTCTAGGGCTAGTTAATATTTATATAAATAATTTTTAATATTTTTGTATGCATAACTCACATTTTATCTTGTTTCGTATTTTTAGCTTGTCGAGCGTTTTTAACATGAACCTCTGGCTCGGAAGATTGTGCGAACACTTCCCACGTCTATGACATTAAATAAATTATTCTATTCTACCACTTCTCGTGCTAAATTCTTTGTGTTCATATATATATATAATATATATATATATATATATATATATATATATATATATTTATACATTATGGTCGTTATCGGCTTGGAAGTGAACTACTTAAGCAATTACTACATCAAGATTGTTTGGATGATTTTTTTTAGTGTTTTTTATAAAAAAAAAAAAAAACTCTATGTTAGCGTATAGAGAGGTATATTGCTTGCACCAATCAGCCAACGGCAAATCAGCAATTGAATTTGCATCGTGTGAATTTCTCGGGCTGATTTAGGGCAATATAGCTTGAGTTTAGTTCATCTGCTTTAATTGCCCTCCAAGTTATCCTTCCTGAGCTACGTCTGTGAGAAACGCCATCCAAACGAATCCACTGGAAACAAAACGCTGTAAATTCGGGCGATGATGCTACTTTACGCTCGTGTTCCTCATCCAAAGGAGATCACAGAGACAATAGAACACAGAATACCCGGAGGATATTGGAGGATATTGGAAGATTGTTCTCCTTTCTCTTAGGATAAAGTAACGTGAAATTTTCGTTCTTTTGAAAGTTATGCTCTTTTTCTTTTACAAAAATTTAGACATCAGTTACACAGTGTCTCGACTCGATCAACCCGCCCTGCCAAAAACAACTCTGGCATGCGCAGCATGCCCATGTTTTCTTGTGAGTATCAGTATGGAAATCTCTTTCAGTTGACAATTCAGTTAATACTAAGGAGCGTTACCTCGGCTAATTTTTCATTAATAATTTGCTTTATCAACTGAGTTGATTAAGAAAGCAGTTGGCCACCAGGCCTTCTCCGATTGTGCCCAGCAACTTTTGAGCAACTTTTGGCATTTGAAGCAACTTTTTGCGGTTCTTGCAACCTCGAGCAATTTATATAGCAAGTTTTGGGTTCAGAGCACATATGAAGCACAACAAAGGCAACGACTTCATGAAGAACATCGATCTATGAAAATTTCTTGTATGTTCTGCAGGCCTCTTATTTAAAATTCAAATGGATAATCGGCTTCAACTACGCACAAATATGGATGTCGTTTTTCATTTTCAATTTTAATGAACGGAAATGAATGGTTAGAAGCCGCCTTTGTTTTTTACAGCAACTCCTTAAAGCTAAGTTTATTATTGAGAAGAACTTCTTCATCATCATTATCATCATTTATTTGCATTTCTAAAATACAAAACAACATTTCTCTACAGCTTTAAAATTTATAGAAGGCAAGGTTACCCAGGAAGCCGATTCAACTCACTTTCAACAATGTATTCAAAAAAGAATAAGCGCTGCAAATGTGCAGCTCGGCCAAATTAGTGATCATTTAAGTAAAAATTCGTGCATTTTTGCCTCAAAGCTAGGAAAATTTGATTGATTTTATTTGAAACAGGAAGAGAAAACTCGTGCATTTTCGTCTCAAAGCTAAGATTTGACAAATTAGATTTGATTGAAACAAGAAGAAGGTTCCAAATTTTAGCAACTTTTGATATTCCGATGAGCAACTTTCCAGCATTTTAAGAGCATAATCGGGACGTGGTAAAAGAGTTTCTAAAGCTAACGTTATGAGCATTCGCCCTTTGTCAGTAACTATATGGGTAAGGTTTCATCCGGGTCAGTTTCCATTCAGGTCCAATTTCATCTGGATCAGTTTCCATCTGGGTTTCCTACCCATGGGTAATTTGGCGGACACAGCGGGGCGCACGTCTTCATCACGTGATCCGGGGGATAGTAACACGTTTTGCAAGTACCAGGAGGACAGTCGGGTGGGGGTTGGGAATCACATTTCCAGGGAACAAAGTCCTCAATATTTTCTAGTGGTGTTGGAAACTTGATCCACTCAATGGCTTGGGAAACCGTGACTATCCATACGTCGCTCATGGACGTCAATGTTTTTAGAAAGTCTACGGTTCCTGTCAAGAGAAAGAGAATAAACAAAACAATTTTTTAAAAATTGAACAGAAAGCAATTTTTGGACAAATATCATAACTCATTATCATGTGTGTCGCTAAGGCCACCCCAATTAATTCTTAGAGGTTCTCAACGTACGTCTGCCGAAGTCAGGGGATGGGATATGATGGAGAACGTACGCGTATTAAAGGCGAGCCTCTCTCAGTGACGTCACGGCGCACAGTAGAATCCAAGTCTAACAACAGCGAGGGAAGAATATGATCTGCGATTCAGTATTCATCAACTCTTCCCAACTCAACACGATTGCGTTAGAAAAGTTCTAAAAATACCTTATTATAGCCGTAAAGGTGAACAGAAGGAAATCAATTGAGGGGCAGCCTTAGTAAACTACCTTTGCACAATCCTTATCACTGATAACTATTTGAAATAGTTTATAATTAGCCCTATTTATTCTTAACTCCTATCCACATGAAAGCAACTTTCTGATTATTCCTGAAAAAACTTAAGAATGACGAACTCTAACTTGAGATTCTTGACTTCCGAGTCGAAAATTCGTCGTCGGAAATCGGGAGTGGATGTCGGAAGTAGGAAGTCGGACGTCGGAAGCTGGAAGTCGAAAGTTCCTTCTTAGCTTTCTGAAAAAGATGTCCTGCTTTAACTTGGAACCTACCTTTGTAATAAGTGCCGTTAGCGAGCCACTGTTCCTCTAATAGCATGTAAAAGGGAGCTCTGTTGGTTGTGTAATGGCGCTGAAAGTTGGTATTGAAGAGTTCGTAAGTCCCCATAGCAGTTTTAGGGGGAGTGCAAGATTCGACGAAATTGCAAAGCTTGCCGTTCAGGTCGATGTAGTCTACTAATGGAACTTCCCACAGTCCCGGGAAAGAATCTACAGATTAGGTTTGAAAAAAAAAGAGAGTTAAAATGATCGTGCAGCATGACAATTTCCCGAGTATTATCTACAATTTTTCACTGATTTAAATTCAATGTTTTTAGAAGCGCGTCTCTATTAGCGACGTAAAAGCAAAGCAAAGTAAAGCAAAGAAACTAGATCGGCCGGCGCGTGGTTGGCAATATTTCATCAACCGTTTACACCCTAACATTAACATTCGTATTCTCTACTCCTTTAGATTTCCTATGAAACTGACAAGGAGAATTTTTCGAACCATGAGGACTATTTCCTATATCCTCACGACTTTTTGCATTTGATCAAAGGGTGATCCTGTAAGGAGAAAGTAAAAATCCAGTCACTATTGAGGGTAGAAGGGTCAAAACTTTAGCCTCTAAGCACGTTCTCATAGGTGCTAAGCACGAGTAACTCTACGCGCTTTTCTGGTACCCTTCACCGACCGGGAGGTCAACGAGGGGACTGGCACCAAAAAGTCTTCTTTGTTTGTGTGGGTCAGACTCCTTCCGGTACGGTGGCCCGTAGAGGACATGCCACATTTTTTTAATCGCACGATAAATGGAAATTATGGCGCGATAAATGAATAATTATGGCGCCATAAATGAAAAATTATCGCGCCATAAATGACAATGTTGCAGCCATTGTGACAAGGGCTGCAACAGTTGAGGAGGTATGTTTTGAGGTCAATAGTTCGTTTTATTTTCGTCAAAAGATTATTGCGAAATCTTACGAGACACTTTCAGAGATGGCTGTCAGTGTTTGAGAACAAGTGTTGATTATCTAATCTTTCTGATTACATCGCAGGTTCGTAAATTTCTAGATGTCACTTCTGCAACGCCAACCCTATCAAGAAAGTACTTTCCAACTGTTGCAGCCATTGTCGTCTCGTCCTCGGAAAACAACGTGCTTGACAGCTGATCACGTGCGACCTAACAACTTTCCCATTTATCGCGCGATATTTTGATTTTATTGCGCGATAAATGAGATTTACCGAGCGATAGAGCGCAGGCCTCTCGCGCGCTTTGCGAGAGGCCTGCGTGAAGTCACGCCAATGAGAGGCTTGATGACGCACTCCTACTCAAGCGCGCCTTCAGTCCTCAGGTTCTTAACATACAGTCTTTCGTATCGGATATTGACATTTGAAATTCACTAGGAAAACACCCTGTCACATGACAAAGGTGACAACCCAGAATGATGTCAGACCCCACAAAAATTGTGGTCTGGGGCCGACATCTCTTGATGTAACATGTGATCGACAGACAAAAGCACTCTGGCCTCGTGTACAAGGAACGATGCATACAATGGCCAATATGTTTTCGTACATTACACTTCTGTTGTGCGCCATAGCCATCAGTGAGGCTTGTAAATGTGCAGTACCACATCCACAGACTCAATTTTGTAATGCAGACTTTGGTAAGACTTATAGACCTGTTTACTGTAATCATCTAGTTCTTAGTGCTTTTCATGGGAACTTTACAACCGTGATGCGTTTTCTTCGCGACTTGCAATTTGTTGACACCGCATAGCAGGACGCTCCGGACATATTTAATCGATTTACACTTTCCTTGACATGGGATGCCAAACTATTGAGCCACCTTGAAAGATTGATTGAAAAAAGTGTCTCTGTTCTATGATGCGCCTTTATACCATTTCCTGTAGTCTAGATGCGTCTTCGCAATCTAACATCGTAGAGGAACTTAAACTGCTCAGACCAAATTCAAGTTTAAAAGGCGATCATTAGATAAACCTACGCAAATTTTTCAAGTGAAGCTTCGATTTTTATACTCTGAACTTGGGAAGGAACGCCTTTGCAATTATGTTTTCTGTTTAAATTCCGCTTTGAAACATAAGTCTGAAATGAAAGCAAAAGTAAATTTTTAAAAAGTCCGATTAGTTTGGCTTTTGCCCCCTGAAATTCTCTGTAATCTTGTTTCAAAATCGGTACCAATGTGAAACTTCTTTATTCTAACTAAAAAGATTATCAATCTGCTTTCGTAGTTCTGCCTTTGTATAAACTTCTGTTCGTTACATTATTTCGTATCAAATAGAACAGACTTACGTACAGTTTTCAGTTAATTAGAAAATAAATTTATTTGCTAAGTAATGTCTTTGATAAGGAACCAGCATTTTTCACTGTAGTTTGAGTTTCTTGGGTAGTATATGACAAGTAAGCAAGTTTTACAGTACTGAAGACGCCAAACAATGGAGTTTGTACTGGATCAGGGCCAATCATGAGTCGTGATGGCATTCGGAAACCGCATGCCACAATACAAAATCCGCCATAGATTAAAGGCCATAAAGATTAGTTTTGACAGAAAAATAAACTTCAAAATGACCTCTATCTTGACTTAAGTTATCGTTCAAGACACATTTCGTGCTTTGTGCGGAAATCAATGTTTGTACAATGCAGACGTTGGAATAGGATAAGGAATATTATTTACCTTGAAGTTTTACGTTCAACCAAAGTGACCAGTTTGGGCAAAAGGTGAAAGATCTACTATCACACAGTTGTGCCAATCTCGAATGATTTCTCAGAGCGTTTGTTTTCAAGGTTGCCTATTCAGGAGTAATACTTAGCCAATACAAATATAACATGTGAAATTGCAGCTGAAAACGATGCCACACGGTAAAACAGTTCAAAGCGTTTCTGGTATGCACTTGTTTGCCTATGTACCGATTTCCTTTATGACGAGGATGCACTGAATGCCAAAGGAACTTTCCACTCTCCACTTTCCACTAATTTTTTCCATATGTTTCTTTCTCTTTCAAACGTTTTATTCATTTCTCTTTTTCCATCACATTTTCCTGGCCTTCCCGCGCGAATCAATTTAGTTCTGATCAAATCGGAAAAACTTAAAAAACGCCCGTACTGAAAGCCATATAGTTAAACCACAAGTCGGACTATGATGCGTTTATTCAAGTGAAAAGGAACTGGGTTAATTTGTTAACTATTTGCTTTCTGTCTCTTGTGATAATTAGCTTTGACATCATCATGACTTCCGTTCAGGTTTCCGCAATGTCTGTCACTGTCGTGAACAACAGCACTTTCCAGGATTACACTCGAGTGGAAAATGTTACCACACGATCGACTTCATTCCCCGCAAAGCTTTTGTTTCCAACAGACAGGTCATCTGAACACCTGTCATTGTTAACGATCACACTATTCGTTTCAAATTACCCTTGTGCAAACAAGATCTCTTTTGTGACTCCTAATACTGCTTGCCATACGAAGTTAGTTCGGAAAAAAAATATCAATTAGGGGATTATTAGTTGATCTGATACCAAATTCTCCAAACTAATATCATAAGAATTGTGTGGCGGAAGGTAAGGAGAATTACCGATAAGATCTCTGTATTGAAAGGGTTAACAGAAGTAAGTAAATACCGAATGGCTTTCGACACTCAATTTTATAGACTGACAGTGCTGTTTTTCTCCGACCCCTAGCAATTCGTGCCAGAGTTTTGAGGGAGTCACGAGAAAACGGCAATAAAATTTACTCGCTCCGAGTTCTACGAACCTTTAAAGGTAATTCAACAATCGACCGCATGGCGAGGACTCAAGGCAAGGGGAAGAACACGAAAAGGGTGATTGACGTCGCAACACAGAACGAAACCGCTGCCTGTGGCGTACTACTCGACATTTCGAAGGTCTACCTACTTTTCGGTGACGTAGAGACACGTACAGGCAGGCAGTTGTTAACAACCAACAACTGTAAATGGCATGCTTTGTGGCAAAACATCTCTGTGCAACAACGCCGCGGGCTCAAGAGGGTTTATGGGCCGAACTGCCGATGTAAAATTGAAAAGTTCTGTTTTAAGAGTCCTCCGAGCTTATGCGACGATATGATTGGTGGATGCGACAAGCCCGCTGCTGGCAGTCGCCTGACCGATTGCCGAAGGAAGCATTCTTATTGCACTAAGAGTGGTGACAAGTGTAGGTGGATCCTTTCAAGAAAGGCTGCTTTCAAAAAATGCTTGCAATAGAGAAGAGTCTATGCCTCTACATGACCAGATAAAGTCTTTTTTCAATACTTCGAAGTCGATTGCTACCGACATTTTAGCGTAGAATGGATGTTCATCGACTGATCTTAACCCTTAAAATGTGATTCATGTAATCCCTTCCTTTAGCTGATATGTATTTCGTGGTAAATTAGTTATGTATTTGGAAAAATAAGGAAATAAAATGTGCCTATTCAGAAATGGTTTGCCAAGCTCTTGGCTCGTCGCTGTTCATGGCAAAGTATAGAAAGGTGTGTTTATTCTGAGTCTCAATGCTGAAACACTGCAACCAAATGATCCTTTTCCTAGAATAGGAAAAAGCTACGACAATTAGTTTTATCTAGGTTATAAGTCGTGGAGAGTTTCTAAGCTGACGTTAGAGGCATCAGCCGGCCTCATGATGGGAGGGTCATGAAACCTAATTGTCTCGTAATATACCTCCAACGACGCAGCACCACAGTTTCTTAGGAAGCTTTTTTAGAGAGTGAAGTCATGAGAATAATGAAATCATCACCAACGAAAGAAGCTCTGATTGTTAAACAAATTCTCCTTGTCAGCACCCTAGAAAAGGTATAGTGAACAGTATGGAGAATATGCATACTGATGTTAGGGTGTAAGGATTAAACGAATTATTTTACTTACCGGTCGGACAAGGCTCGATAACACAATCTTGGATTGATTGGTAGTCCAGCGTATAAGGCCATAAAGGTGGGTCCCTAAAGACCTGAGTAGGCATCGAAGACTCGTACAGGAAACCCAGGTTCCGAAGCGCCCTGAACTCCGTGTTTCCACCAACCTGGATGTAGGGAGCCCTGTAACCCATGATATCTTCCACTTGGACGTTGCCCCATTTGCGTAAAATCTCTCTCATGCCTCCTATCTCCTGCTCCTGTTCTTCCTCAGTTGCAGTTGCCCACCAGGTTTGTGGAAGACGACGGGAGATGGAGTTGTCAGCGATTTCGTGGCGTTGGTGGTACAACGTTTGCAGCATGCAATAGTTCGTGTACTCGTGTGACACGAAAAATGTAGCAGAGATGTTGCAACCATTGGGGTTTTTCAACTTGCCGTTGAATAGCTCTTCGTACAGAGGAAAGGCATTGTCAACCAAAGCGGCATCAAATGAGATCATTACAATCTGAGGTGTCGAGAACGGTGATAAATTGCCAGGGATTTTGGTTCCGCTGCAGAAGCACTCGGGCAGTGTGCAAATATCTGGGTCGCATGGCTCAGCTGAATCTGCTGCTTTAGCTTGCAAAAACAGTACTAACAAGATGATAAGGGGTGTAACAGCTCTTGAAGAAGACATATTCAACTGCTTTGTGCACTTTGCTGCGGAGACCTTTTCTTAGAAAAGTTCCTCGTTTAGGTCTGTCCGTCGAGACTGTCAAAAAATTCCCTGATGAAGTAAAGTGTTAATTTTTATTTTTCTGGTTACACATCATATGTTATTTTCGACAACAGGAAGTGAACCAGTAGAATTCCAAAATCAACCTCTTTTAAGAATTTTGTGAAACTAATTACGAATCAAAAACCTGTTTAAGAAAGCAGAAATTATTTGCTTTCCTGAATTAAGTTTTTTTCTTTTTTTTCATCAAATTAGATTTATCTCAATTTAATTGACCTTGGATAACCTCTAATTCTTAGAAAGATTTAGCAAATAGTGATTTATTTCACTCTTTTGTGACATGCTTTAGTTTTTACAGGAATAGAAGTATTTCACGCAAGCACTGTCATATTGATATATTCCTTTATTTCTCAACTTTTCCTTGAAATGGCGTCAAATTTTGACGACGATTGCGTGAGAAGCACTCAGATCATGGTTCCTAACCCCCTGGAGTTAGGGGAGGTAACCCGCCTGTCCATGCATGTAATCTCGTATTTTATCTTGATCACGTGTACATGATAGGTGGGGTGACCTGCATAGGCGGGTTGCACGGTCTGCTGGGTAGGGTAACCCTTTCAGCCGGGGCGACAATTTGCCAAGTAACGTCTCAAGGTGAGGTAGCCCGCCTAGCCGGGGTCGCATTCATGTTACAAAAAGATCAGATGAGCCAAACAATAGCGAAACAGATGTGTTTTAAAACTGTTTCATTTTTCTTGGCCGTCCCATACTGAACTAAAACGTTTAAACACCAACTTTACGTCCCCTTGAAAACTCGATAGCAATTTAGTCATTTTTTAACTTTCAACTCAACAGTACATTCACATGTTATGCCGAAGTGAAGACGTCGCACCGTCAGAAACATAACGCATCGATAAAAAAAAAATAGATGAAAACAAATTCACTTTTTTCGGCAACATTTTATCACAAGTCGCCGTCGTGATATCTTAACTCCCTAACTGAAAGCGCGACAACAACCTCGAGAAACTTCACCCCGGCATCCCAGGTTTGTAAGATTGTATGTAAACGCGGACTATTTTCGACCACTGCTAAACAGGCCCTAAAAGTAATCGGATCATTTGATATTTTTTAGTCACGTCAAGATATCGACAGTGATCGATGAAAGCTGTCAAATTGGGGGGGGTCACGGTGTTTGTTCAAGTTTGCACGTATTGCGAAACTACCACGAAATTCCGGAAATAAAAAAATAGCGTGACGCCTAAATTGACGTCACGCGACGACGGGTTTTACCCAGAAACGGAATTTCCGTCGGCTATAAATCAATGCGACTTGTACTAACTTCGTCTTTGAGTCACTGCTAAGAGAGAAACAGGATCAGTTGAAAGTCAACAGCTCAGCGATTTGAAGATCATGTCGTGGCTAATCAATACAACATTCGTTTTGATCTTGATGTGTGTGGAAAGTGCCTCCGGAGCAGTCCTTAAGTTTCGTGGACATGAACCAGCTCAGCCATGTTCACCAGATATTTGCAAGCTTCCCGACTGCCGTTGTAGCGGAACAGACATCCCTGGAAATCTTC